GGATACACTCTGTGGTATTTACAAAATCTGCCGTCGTGATGTCTTCTTGACCAAAGAGCAAGTCATGAATATGATGCTCTGGGTTCCTGAGTGGGATGGTGTGCTGCCGCAACCTGCAATTCTTAAACCACGCCCGAGATGGACCGGTAAACAAATGATTAGTATGGTGCTACCATCTGGTCTTAATCTTTTACGCGTGGATCGGGATAAAGTGCCCTTAGCCGAAAAGTTTTCACCATTGACCGATACCGGCCTGCTGGTACATGGGGGTGAACTCATGTATGGAATGTTCTCCAAGAAAACAGTGGGCGCGACTGGCGGCGGTATTATCCATACGATCTACAACGAATATGGCCCTGAGGTTTGTATGAACTTCTTTAATGGCGCTCAAACCGTGGTAAACTATTGGCTTCTGCACAATGGATTCAGCATTGGTATTGGTGATACAATTCCCGATCTTGCTACCATCCAAAAAATCGAAGAAGCGGTGCGCATTAGAAAGGAAGAAGTGGATTCCATTACTCTCAGCGCGACAGAGAACACACTCGAACCTCTTCCTGGTATGAGCGTTCGAGAGACGTTTGAAAGCAAAGTTTCTCGTGCTCTCAACAATGCTCGTGATGAAGCAGGTACCGAAACCGAAAAGAGCTTGAAGGATTTGAACAATGCAGTGCAAATGGCACGTTCTGGTTCAAAGGGTTCGACGATCAATATATCCCAGATGACAGCCGTTGTGGGACAACAGTCCGTGGAAGGAAAACGTATCCCTTTCGGCTTCAAATATCGCACTTTGCCCCATTTCACGAAGGACGATTACTCACCAGAATCGCGTGGCTTTGTTGAAAACTCTTATCTTCGTGGTTTGACACCTACCGAGTTTTTCTTCCACGCCATGGCCGGTCGTGAAGGTCTTATCGATACCGCTGTCAAGACAGCCGAGACCGGTTACATCCAGCGAAAGCTTGTTAAGGCATTGGAAGAAGTTATGGTCAAGTATGATGGTACTGTCCGCAATTCACTAGGAGATGTCATCCAATTCCTCTACGGTGAAGATGGTCTCGATGGAGCATTCATTGAGAACCAACGTGTTGACGTTATCAGATGCTCTGATGAACTATTCCGCAATAGATTCCGTATTGACCTTATGGATCCGGAAAACTCTCTGTCCCCTGAACTCCTCGAGCAAGCTACAGAGATCACCGGTGATATGGAAGTGCAAAGATACCTTGATGAAGAATGGGAGCAATTGCAAAAGGACCGGGCCTTTTTGCGTTCTGTTGCAAAAGAGGATGAAGAGATGATGCAGTTGCCGATCAATGTTCAGCGAATTCTAGAGTCGGCGAAGACTACATTCAGGATTCGTGAAGGCACGATCAGTGACTTACACCCTGCAGACGTCATTCCTCAGGTACAAGGACTACTTGACCGCTTGGTTGTGGTCCGTGGCGACGACGTTATATCAAAGGAGGCACAAGAAAACGCTACATTGCTTTTCAAAGCTCAACTTCGTTCTCGATTAGCGTTCAAGCGTTTAGTTGTGGAATACTCGTTGAACAAGCTTGCCTTTCAGCATGTCCTTGGCGCCATTGAAAGTCGATTCGCGAAAGCAGCGGCAAACCCGGGCGAAATGGTCGGTGTCTTGGCGGCGCAATCTATTGGAGAGCCGGCAACGCAAATGACATTGAATACTTTCCATTTTGCTGGTGTTTCTTCGAAGAACGTTACTCTAGGTGTTCCTCGTCTGAAGGAAATTCTCAATGTCGCCACCCACATCAAAACCCCGTCGATGACCGTGTATCAAGATCCTGCACGTGCAATGGACAAAGAATCCGCCAAGCAACTCCGTAGTGTTGTCGAGCATACAAACCTAAGATCCGTGACAGAGGCAACCGAAATCTACTATGACCCTGACATTCAGTCAACAGTCATTGAAGCTGATCGCGATATGGTTGAATCATACTTCATTATCCCTGAGGACGTTATGGATGATTTATCTCGGCAATCCAAATGGCTGCTCCGTATCATTCTGAGCCGACCTAAACTCCTGGATAAGGGTCTCACTGTCCAAGATGTGGCTATGAAAATCAAGGAGTCCTACCCTCAAGATATTGCGGTCATTTTCAGTGACAACAACGCTGACGAACAAGTCATTCGGATTCGCCAAATCCAAGATCCCAAGCAGGATGAAGAGGATGATGATGACACTGAATATGATGTAACGCTAAAGAAACTTGAAGCTCATTTACTTGATACGCTTACTCTACGTGGTGTGGCGGGAGTTGAGCGTGCGTTCATTAATGAGAAATCTCGAGTTCGTACCCTTGAGGATGGATCTCTTTACAAGAACAGTGAAGATCCACAATGTAAGGAATGGGTCCTTGAAACCAGCGGATCTGCCCTCGGCGATGTTCTAGCTATCCCAGGAGTCGATGCTACCCGAACATATTCCAACCAGTTCGTTGAGATTCTCGAGGTATTTGGAATCGAGGCAACCCGAACCGCCCTCCTGCGAGAATTGACCCAAGTGCTTGCGTTTGATGGTTCATATGTCAACCATCGTCACTTGGCTCTGCTCTGCGATGTCATGACTTCGAGAGGATTCCTCATGGCTGTCACAAGACATGGTATCAACCGTGCGGACACCGGAGCATTGATGAGGTGTTCTTTCGAAGAAACCGTTGAAATCCTGCTCGATGCAGCAGCATTCGCCGAGCTTGATGATTGTCGAGGTGTTTCGGAGAATCTTATCCTGGGTCAAATGGCACCTGCGGGTACTGGTGAATTTGACGTTTACCTTGACCAGAATATGCTTATGGGGGTTGTGTCCAACAATGCTGGATTAGTCACCATGGGTAACGTCGACAAAGGTTTGATTTCCGATGGAGCGGCAACGCAGTACGATAGTGGTTCGCCAATGCAAGAGAATATGTATATCAGCTCGCCTGATCCAGATTCTCAGTTCTCTCCAATCGGGCAAACCGGGTCTGAAACTCCAGCTGGATTTACTGAGTATCAACCGCCAGGATTCGGTGGCTTCAGTCCGGCTGGAGCGAGAAGTCCTGGTGGCTACTCGCCGACCAGCCCTTTCAATACCAGCCCAACATCCCCTGGATATTCTCCTTCCTCGGGTTACTCTCCAACCTCTCCTGGCATGAGCATTACTAGCCCACGGTACATGACATCTCCCGGGTTCTCTCCAGCGAGCCCTACCTTTGCGCCCACCTCCCCAGCGTATTCTCCGACTTCGCCCGGCTATGGACAGGCTCAGTCACCCACCTCCCCTTCATACTCGCCTACTTCTCCCGGGTTCTCTCCAACTTCTCCAAGCTACAGCCCAACGTCACCAAGCTTCAGTCCAGCTTCTCCCGCCTTCAGCCCTACTTCACCTAGCTACAGCCCTACGAGCCCTGCTCTTGGCGGTGCTACTGGCAGACACCTTTCCCCAACTTCACCCACCTCGCCGAAATACACCCCCACTTCACCTGGTTGGTCACCTACCAGCCCAGAAGCGTATTCACCAACTTCTCCCAATTTTGCTGGTTCCCCGACTTCTCCAGGTGGTCCTACTTCTCCAGGCTATAGCCCAACATCTCCCACCTTCAACCCGACGTAAGTTTAAGAGTCAACGAAATTTGAATATGACATACTTAATGAGTTCGCAGGTCTCCCCGCCAGTAGACTCGAAGCTCGAGCTATTTAGCTTTTGGTTCTCGATATGCTCCTATCCGCCTACGACCCCAAAGTATCGTTGTACCACCATTTGCTTTTGTTTAGTACTGGGCACATTGAAACTTGCATTTTATCGACCTATTTTTGCTGTTGGTTGGTTATATTTCTTTTCACTATCTGGCGCTTCTGTATAGGATATGTAAACCCCCCTTTTTTAATGGCTTCCCCAAAGAATGACCCGGAAATTGGTTTCAACATGTCTCTAACGTCTGTGTTCCGTTCTTTGCCCCCTTTAACTGATGCTTAAATAATGACGCGGCGGTGTTGGTTGCGGCGAAGCAAGTGAGCACAAAAGGTCCTGCGCGCAGGGCTCCAAAAAAAAAAAAAAAAAAAGGAAAAAAAAATATAAAAGGAAAATTTTTTAACTCAGTATTATTTTAGATTGATGGAGGCCACGCGCTCAAGCACAGCAAGGCGTTGGAACTGCTTCAAAAATTTCCTTGGACGCGGTGCCTTTTTGCCTAGTTTTTGAACCGGCAGCTGATCTCGTCTTCTTCTGATGATGTACCTACAGCTAACCTGTCCTCCGAGACGGAATCTTAGACATACAAGAATGGATATGCTCCGTATGTGTAACTCTGCTATTGGTCCTAGGACATTTTGCGAGCCCGTTCTTCCACTATAGGGTCAAACTCAATACATCCAAAGTACTGCACCAACTAATCTGTACCCTAATGAGTTGAGGTCATTCCTTGCCATACACTATTGTCTGTCGCGCCTCTGGTTTTGCTCGAGCAAAATGATCGCGTATTTTAGCTTTGTGTACAGAGACCATTCTAATATTTTCTTTCTGGCTCATTATCCTACTGGGCATGGTCATGATCTAACAGGCAATTGGGAGTTTCCCGGTATACGCAACCAGGAGGGGTATATTACGAAGGGAAGAGCCAGTTACTGTTGTGGAATATCGAAAGCATCATAGAGGAATACTTGAAAATGCCTCGTTATTATTGTACCGATTCAAACAAACCCTCGAGGGGGGGATCAATCGATGTCAACGAGGCGATAGGAAATGCTTAAAAAGGGACTGAAAACCAATGAAAACTATCAACATACAGTGGTCGCCAACCATTTAAACCACCGATTCACCGCTGAAATGCTAATCAAAAAAGAAAGTCTCCAAACACCACCAGCCTTAGAAAGGCTGAATGCCTCTTCTAGAATCTAAAAAGAAGGGGGAGTTCTGAATCATGCAACTTGCTGCATACGAGTGGAAAGATCGTCCTTCCCATCTGTATATGCAATAATATGCTATTAGTTCAACATGGGCATCAATGACGCCGATTGTTAAGATTCAAATTCTGAATCGGGACCTCTGTGCTATCCGGATCACCTCCGGACTCAGAACCTGACTCCACAATCGACTCCGCCATGTCACCAGAAGCGAGAGAATCCCGTGAAATATAGCTCTCAGCCATTCCGTCAACTTGCTCCTCATCCTCGTACTCATATTGGTCGCTACCATCATCTTCACTCTCTAAATTATCGTCTTCGTCTCGCTCATCGCCATCTTCGTCGCTGTCCGTAACGGAAAAGTCATCGAGATCTCCAGGGCTATCCCTCCAATATCTGAAATCCGTAAAGTCCTCGGCGCCTTCTTCGATAAGCAGGCTCACGGGCGGGAAAAAGTGATCTACCAGTTCTCTCATGGAGACATAGCTGCTCCTATATTTATTGAGGCTGAGAAGATCCAAATAAACCTCCGCATCGGAATTTATGGTAAAAATCCTGGTAGACGGGATGTTTACAGATCGATAGCTCAGCGCATCGGTAAGGCGGTTGCCAAACCCAGCGTAGAATGGATTTTGTCGCCCTTTAAAGAGACTTAAGATGTCACGAAGGCAGGCCATTTTGAAAACCTCCGGCTTTCGCAAATAGATTTCACGACGTAGCGCAGCAATAGTGCGATCAGGGCTCATGATAACCGGACCTTTGGGTAGCTTATAGCCCTCCTGAACGATCCCGTTAAGGTATGTTCTTGTGCTGTCTGCTTGGCCAGTTGAGCGGCTTGTTAGGTACATGATGTTGTATCCATTATTCACTATATCTGTATATAGTTTGGCTACGCCGACATGGGTCCAATCGCGACCGATCATGTTGAGGACGTGGCCTAAAGCATCCGACCTAAATCGACGTTAATATCCCAGTAACCATGGTTTGAGGGTGATAACTAACTTTGTAATGGTCCCGTCTATATCGGAAATGACGATAGGTGTCTTGTAATTCCATAAATACATCGTCGCTGGACATGTGGCCCGATTTACCGTAAATGACATTGGGTTAGCTCCGGGCTTAAGATTCAATGCTTTAAGCTGATCGCTTGTCAATCGGAGAGTCTTGGCATAATTGCGAGTTTGGTCGTCAGCTGCAGCGTCACCAGCGGGTGTCTGTGGCGGCGTTGGATATCCTCCCTGTGCGTCAGACTGAGAACGGTGATGCCGTTGGTTTGGCATTGCCAAAGTTTGTTCACTATCGCTATGGTACCCGGGTTCTGACGCTGCGTCACCAGCTAAGGGATGGCTATTCGGAAGACTGTTGAATGTTGCGCGACGAGTAGCGGCCTCTTTTGCATCCTCACTACTGTATATCCAAAGATTTCCATGTTCATCAGCGCCTATCAACGCTCCAATATCATAATTTCCTTCCAGCTCCTCCGCGAGAAGCTTGCGAGCAACTAACTCTGCCCGCAAGGCATCCTCATCACTGCTCTTGTATCCTGTCATATCAAGCATCAAGTCCCCAGTTTCGGTCACTTTTGAAGGGATGTTCGAAACTTCAAGTTTCTTCGAGAGCGATATAGCTCTAGAATAAGCCTCTTGAGCTGAGACGGGAGGAGGACTTTGAGATCTTCGCGAATCGGGGGAGTCTTTTTCTGGGCTGAACGCGGAAGGAGGTGGAGAAAGGCGCGCTGCGTCGAAATCCGCAGTGGCTCCCGCCCTGAGACGAGTCTGATGCACTTGAGCTTCTATCTCAGAGGATGGCGTTGGAGAGCCGTCCAACCATGGCTGGCATTCATCGAGAGACTTGGACATCGTAGCTAGGATAGCTAGCCTCGTGTTAATAACTTGGGGGAAAAGAACTATCCGACCAGAAATGCGTACATGGATCAGTTTCTGTTCTTAACACTGCGCCCGTAGGGTCAGGGTCAATCTTTCGCGGGCTACTCGGTCTGCTGGAGGAGAGGTCTAGGAATTCGGGCTCGGAGTCGGCTGACATATCTCCGTCGAAGGGAGCATGCTTTGGACTCGCTGCGGGTGACACAACAGGCGACGTTTGTAGCGATTCGGGGACATCGTTGGCAGTCTCGAATACGAAGAATGCCTCCCCTCCTTCCCCGAGCTTCATTGCATAGTCTTGTTTGACGCCGTTTACCCGGAACTCCACCTAACAAAACCATAAGTCTCCTTAATTCCCAGATATGAGGCCATGAGTTCATACCTTCTTCTCGTACGGCCGGAGGAGGGAGAATTTGCCGAATCGCACATGGAAAGGAGAGCACGCCAGCGTTCCTAATCAAGTACCTTAGCTCAACTCACACTTCACCCCGTCATGGAGGTCTCACCATCCTCCTGTTCAATAACGATCACGTCAATAGCTCCACTGAGAGTGGCTGGGTTGATTGAGTTCCATGTCTTTGAGACCGAACCGCTGATACTTCTGACGTACTGCATTACCCCGATGCGCCTGGCTGGAGTGGAATAAGAAAATCACACAAAGCGTAGGGCCGCAACGAGAACTGTCCGGGTATCTATGATGAAAACGGCGGATAAAACGGAGCGATTCGAGAGCAAATTCGTCCAATAGGCCTAGACGCCTCCAAAACGAGGAACGTTCACGCCCGAGATAGCATGTGACGCAGCTGTCTAGGACGAGAGGAGCATCCTTTAAACACAGCTAGCTAGTCCGGAATAATAAAGATGTTTGGACAAAGAATACAAAGCAAAAGCGCCAGAGGACTTTTAACGACAGGACTTCACGGCGGCGGCTAGACGGTAGATGTTCGCAGGCTGTTGGGGATTCAGAGCGGCGGCGTGATTGATCCACGGCCAGGCCCTTTCGCTGTCGGCCTTTCCGTTCACTGACTAAGCGCCCTGCGGGAGGCGTCTTGGTTTCCTGTTCGGGCATAATTATCCGAATCCGGAGACACGATATTCCTTAACACGGGACGATGTTCTTACGTAATCGTTCCATGGGCCGCAGCAAATCGAAGTTGAAAACCGCTAGGACGAACGAGCAAACATCAATCCAAACCAGCTTCGCGAGGCAGTTGGGGGGGGTTTGGATGCCGGGGATGTATGAACCATTGCGCCTTGTCTCCGACACCTATCCTGGTGTCGTTCCCGGGGTAAAAGCCCAGGGTGTCATGGCCCTGCTCGTCGCTGTGTCTATCCTCTGGGCGTTAATATGGTAAGCTCTGAGAATTCAGCCAGCATGGCAGGCTGCTTCTTGTCGCTAATGGAATGTGGTTAGGCTGTCTTACCGCGCTTACCAGGTCTGTGTGACTCCGAATGATGTTCTTGTCGATAAGCTTGGATTAGACATCCCTCCAACCCCAGAGGTGACGCTGGAAGATATCGGTAGTCGAGAGATTCGTATTGCGTGGAAGTATCCAGATTTGCATAATTCGATTCATAAGCATGTCATTCAGGTGAATGGAGTTCGAGGTCTGTGCCTTTTGCCTGATTATGGGCGTTCTTAACAGCTAACGGGCAACATTTTCAGTTGGCGAATCGAAACGTTCCGAAACCGCGGTTTCTATTTTAAACCTTCTCCCAGGACATATTTATCATCTTTGCGTTATTGCGATTAGTGCCGCTAATTTTCAGACCTCGAGTGCCGTGCTGCACGTCCGGACGAGTCTCGATCCCTCTCAGAATGAAGGCACCGGTGCCTGTGGTGGGCCGTACATTCAGGCCTATTCGCCTCGACCGTCGTCGCTCGTATCACCATCAGCTCCGATCATGTCGCGAGAACACAGTAGCGGGCCTGCCCAGGCGAAACGCGCCAGCGGTGGAAGAAAAGTCGCAGCTTCAACTTCAGTCCCTGAACATACGTCATCACATACCCCATGTGATGATGGCAAAGGGACTATCATCGAAGACTCGGAGGAAACTGTTGAACAACTTGCTGGGCGTCTCAAAAACCTGCAGCAGGAAAATGATACTTTGGACAAACAAATATGTCAAGAAGAAAAGGAATATGAATCCTTACTACGGGAACTCGAAGACCAGCGAAATGAGTTACGGCAGCGAGTCAAGGAGAAGGATGAAGCCAGTGGCGATCTTCGGAAACATGTTAATAAACTAGAGAGTGTCAACCGCAGCGTTCAAAGTGAGCGAAGTAAACGGGAGAGGCTGCTTCAACAGAAAGAGGCTGAGAAGAAGAAGCGCTCCAACGATGTTGTACGATGGGACGAAGGAATCTCTGAAATGAGGAAAATGCTGGAAACATTGCAGAATGAAAAAGCACAAATTGAAGATGAGTCAGAGAAACGAATTGCCGAATATCGTACCAAAATCTCCCAAGAGCAAGTGGAAATGAAAACTCTCGAAGATGACATCAAAGTCAAAGGCAGTCGAATCAAGATGTTAGAGGAAGAAAGACGACTCCTCGAGGGTGGAGATAACGAGGAAACTCAGGAGTTAGATCGGCTGGAGAGGGAACGCGATCGACGCTGGGAGGTCAAAATGGCTAATCTACGGGCTCAGTATACTTCCTTGATCAATGTCCACACTCAGGTTTGTGATACAGCCCCCTTAAGCTACGGATTTTAAGCTAACTTAGTTCCAGGCTCAGCAACAATACTATGAGGCGCAAGAACGCCTGAAGTGGATTACAACCCAACGGTCTAATTCAGCTGTACCCTATGCACCAGTTCCAACCATGGAACTGGATTTGGCGAGGAGGGCAAACTCGTATCGGCGGAATCGTCATCGTAGTTCGCTTACGAGTAATGTCTCTTCCCCTCTTGGCTACCCTCTCGCAGATACGACGTTCCAAAACCCGAGCGGCTACAGGCAGCTCGGGACCGCTTCTCCAACAGTCCCGCCAACCTCTGCCTTCTTCAATATCAACAATGGAATGACCATCCCCGATCCCACCGATCAGATGAGCTCGATCCGTACCGAACCAAGCAACCCTCCCATGAGCCCACGAGCAGATGCATTGCTCCCCTCCGATTTACTTGGGGATGAAGACCAATCACCTCGATCTCCTCAAGAATCCACTGAATTTCCCACTCTACCTGTTTCAGCTGCCCCTTTTCAGGGTCTTCTCCCTACGTCGCCATCTCCAGTTTCTGGCGGTAGCCATCCTCCTAGCCTCTTTGCAAGTCCCCGTGAAAGTCTGGTTAATCTTCCCGAAAGCGAACGCAAGCCCACTCAACCACCCGTGTCGCATGCACCATCGGACGCTGCCCAAAGCGCATCACGCAAATTGTCAGGATTGTTCACATTCAATCGGCAGCGCGGTAAAACAATGGCAGATGGGCCTCTCCTGGGCTCCCTCAAGCCTGGACAGAGCCAATCGTTCCCGCGGAATATGGACCAAGATTTTGACCCGATAGGAACCCGTCGTCGACGTTTGAGCTACACAGGTAGCTGGGCAAATCCGATGGCAACACTTTTCCCTCGGAGCTCGACAGCTGTGACTGCCGATAGCTCTTCTGACCGTGTGCCTGCATCGCGAAAAGCCATGATTCCTAGTTTCTTTACAACAGGAAAGTTTTCGTCAACATTGGGTAAATCCGAGTCCAGCTCCGGGTACAACCAATTCAGCCCCACGCATGATCCCATTGATCCATCAATTTTTGGGGCCGTCCGCCGTGATTCACTATCCCCTAGACCAGCTTCAACCTATTCCTTTGATAAATTTCTCCCTCGGCCTAATTCCGATGCTCAACCATTTGGGTGGCCTCCCTCTGAGATGCACAGGAACAGCCCCCTCAACGTGGATTGGTCTACCCCTGGAGGAGCGTGGTCACGTAGTCAGTCGCGACGTCCCTCGTTCCAACTCGGGTCGTCAAACCATCTTCCGCTAACCATGCCACCGTCGGATATGGATTTTTTGGAGGCACCTTATGAGCCACAGCGGCCAGTACAAGCCCCAATTGGAACCCGGCCTTCCTCATCGCATCGGCCAATGACTCCGAAGCTTAACCCCGCTGCACCCTCTTTCAAAACTCTTTTCAATAAGAAATCTGAGAAGTCAAAGGGTAAAGATCCAGATACTTCAAAAGGGCGTGATGAACTGCCACTGGAGGACACGTCTCCCGTGGAATCCCGCCGATCAAAGGACGCAAGGTCCATTCGCACTTCCGCAGCTGAATCGCATGAGTCACTGGAACGTATCTCGTCTGGGGCCCCATCCGAGGCCATCAGTACGAAAGAGTCATTTATCCAAAAGATTACTCGTAAAGGGAGCTCTAGCAAATTTAACATGCCTTGGAAGGATCGAGCTAGTTTGTTTTCTAAAAGGGGCGACTCCGCCACTCAGGTAGACGTGGAGGACGACGGAACGAGTGAAATACAACTCGGAAAAAGCATCGACAGTGCGGTCTCGAGCACGCCATCGGTGGAAAAGTCCAGCAAGAGCGGATTTAACCTCAGTTTCAGACGGAAACCAAAGAAGTCTGAAAGGGCTACGGGCGAGAGCAGCGAGAGGGCCAGTGAGAACGGAGACGACGATGTTTTTGAAGATGTTTGAGGATGTAGCCTGTATAGCATCAAGACAATAGATGTATTTATACGAGGTACTGAGTCCTGAAGTTAATACAAGCATACATATTCTGAATGTCACACATTACTTTATATCTAGAAATATTTAGATACCTGGTTTGAGTACTCTGTAGATGTGAAATTTCTCGACAAAGGTTGTGGCTGCCAGCGCTGGGCATCCCTACTCCATAATGGTCACTGCTCTTAATCCCTTCGTGCATCAAGTTGATCGTTCTCTTATCGATTAGTATTATCGAATTTAATACTTTATGGAATCGCATGTTATTCTTTATAAAATAATTACTTGTGTTCTGCCCTTGAAGCCTGTGGTTCCGGAGCAGCTTGGTATATTCAGAGTTCTGTCTCCCAAGCTGCTTTGCACCTCCCAAACCCAATTTGAAAATCCAATTGTTGAAATGCAGTCGGGATGTATTGGATAATAGTTATTCCGATCCGAAACTCAACAGGGCTGAGGTCCCCGTGCTTAGATGTTATTGTGGGAGTTGGATTACCTAACACAACCCTCTCCTCTGTAGTTACAGTCCGCGCCTAGTCGGCTCCTCCTCCTCCTCCTTTAACATAGACTAGATCACATACCTATTGACTACTATGCTGTTCTACTACTATGATCTCTAGAGCTGCCTGACCTTCCTGTGCATTATGGGCATCATTACTCCGTAGTGTACGGAGTATTCATGCTTGCTTAGATTTCCATTTAGGGCACTAGTACGGAGTACTACTACTAACACTGCTACTAGTTACTTGGCCTACAAGTCCTACTGCACCTTCTTGAGTTAACCACAAGCCTAGGAGAATGGCAAATTCAAAGTATTGAATTTTTTGACCCCGTTAAGTATTAATCATGAAGCTAACACAACCATCAAAGGTATGAATATGTAAAGTCTTTCGAGCGTGATGACGTTCTGTTGCCCAATACGTGGGTTGTCATCCGAATCGATGGACGGGGGTTTCATAAGTTAGACTCCCCATGTGAGCTGTTTTTGCATTATATTGTTATATACCTTACAGGTAGCTACTCGAGTTGCCTTTCAAATGGCTCCCAATGGCTCTGCTGGTCAGGCACTCTTTCCGGTGACCCAGAGCCTAGGAGTAAGGGAAGGACACCAGGAGCACCGTCCCAGAAGAATGGTGTCTTCTTATGCTTTGAACCTGTTTACCCTGATTTGAACGCCTTGGAGTTTCTATTTCTCACTTTCTAATTAGGTTTTCTGCTCGATATCAATTTGGAAGGCCTAATGATGTACGAGCGCTGAACCTGATGAACGCTGCCGCGAAGGAGGTTATGAGAGATTTTTCCGATTTGATCGTCGCATATGGCGTGAGCGATGAGTTTAGGTATCTATTGGATTATCCCGTGCCGATGAGTTTCTTCACTAACCATGCTCCGCCGAAAAAGTTTTGTCTTCCATCGGAACTGCCAGCTCTTCGAGAGACGAAGTAGGTGAGTGTCTCCCATAGCTGTGGACGACCCCCTCAGAAGCATCGAGCCACGAGAGGGATAGCTGAACTTATTCGGATTCCTTGCTGATCCTGCTTCATCAGCAAGCTTGTTTCTACAATCGTTTCGGCTTTTACAGCGTATTATGTTCATAAATGGCCAGAATTTTTCCCATCAATGCCTCTAGAACCGTGTTGTCTGCCTACATTCGATGGAAGGGCGGTACAGTATCCAAGCGTTCGAAATCTGCGAGACTATATGAGTTGGAGGCAAGTTGATTGTACGTGTGAATGAAACCAGCCACATGGTACCCAGCAGCTCGGCTGCGTGGACGAAATTTAACGAAACGCGCGTAGGTCACATAAATAACCTGTATAATACAACCTTTTGGAATATGGTGCTGAAGGGTGGGATGAGCAATACGGATGCAGAGCAAGAATTAAAAGTGAGTAACTTGCTTGATACTGGCTGAACCGCGTTGACACTTTGTACCAGGGAACCGTCTCATCTGATAAAAACGAGATTTTATTTTCAAGGTTCGGCATTAATTATAACAATGAACCAGAGATGTTTAAAAAAGGTAGTGTCTTATATCGGGATGTAAGTTTCGAATTCCATTATCCAACGGATAGCCAAAATTGCTGAGTTGAGGGAAAATGCAGTTCGAACTACAGCCGATTGAAAGACCTCAAGGCCACCAACAACTAAGTAAGCCGAGAGAGGACGAAGGGTATACCGAGGACGGTGAAGAGCCGTCGCAGGTGTCAAAAACCCAACGAGAGAAGCAGAAAAAGCTCCAACGGAAAGCCGACATCGCAATTGCTTATGTGGATATCATTAAGGACGAATTCTGGGAACAGCGTCCGTGGATACTGTCAAATAGGGCGGGAAGACTACGTGGGAGTTGAAGGCTTGACGCAAATTATTTTAACAGAAAGAAATAACCGATACCAAGGACAGCGATCTGATTGTTTGGCGAGGTCGTACTAATTCAACCAACACACAGGGAGAACCATTGTAGACAAGCAGTAAAGCAGCTCAATTCAAACCTGCAACTGTAATGGGGTATATGAAAAAATCGCAAAGCGCTTTTAAACCAAGGCTCATAGAGCATCAATATATATCAGCTGGGAGCCCATCCGTATCGCAAAAAGGAGGTTTTCATCTATATGAAGTTCGAATGATTGGTATATGCTTCATTTGTCGTCTGCTTCCATTTTCCTCCTCTTTTTCCGGCTCTTTGACTCCCTGTCGTCCTCTGATTGACGCTTGGATTCCTTCTTGGGCTTTTTCAGCTCCTTTCGTTTTTTTCCCGCATCTTTCTCCGATAATTGGCCGTTACTGACACTATCTTCCGCATCGGTAGTACCAGAGGTCGGTGATGCTTCAGCAGACTGATCTTCTTTCCGGCTTTTTTCCCGTTTCTTCTTCTTCGACTTGCTTCCTGAGGATTCTACTTCGTCTGCTGGATTCGAGACATCCTGCGATTTGTCCTTGGATTTCGACTTCTTATTCCGCTTCGCCTTGTTGATATTTTTGATGTTTGCGCACTCATCATCGGCCAGTGTCTCCTTTCTCTTCCTCTTTTTCTTCTTAACGTCCTCATCCTCGACATTTTCTAACCCTCCGACCTCGTCCCGCTTTCTTTTGATGCCATGATCACTAGTGGAATTGATAATACGCCCTCCGTCGACCCTCGTCCCAATCGTACCCTTCAGTCCCTCCCCCCTCACGAAAAACCTGTACAGTTCACTCCTCATGCCAGAACGATTTTCTTCGCTCGCACTTGTCGTGGGTGTCGCACTCCCATCGTCGCCTACCCCCTTGAGCGCCTCTTCAAACCCTCTCAACCACCATTGGTTGGTATGGTCATGTGTTGTCTTCTTTCCGATACCGTGGGTATTCTTCTTTCGGGCAACGAGGATAGGTTTAGTAAGACCCAGGCCAGCATGGGGACCGCCGGGACGGCGCGAAGACTGTAGTGGATTACCGGGCCCGGACCAACCCTGGCTCATAAGGTAGGCCTTCGCATCCATCGTGAACGCCTGTGGCCCTGCAAGTATTGCACTGCTCGACGGGGATGGAAAGCGGGATGGGTGGTTCTTTTGTTTGATTTAATTAATTTAAAGGGGCTACCCTATCGACAAGAGGTGGACATCATTGGCCGTAGCATTCGGGGAGAGAAATGGGTCAACAGCGAACGACTCGGATTCATGTCTTTTTGCTCTCTCCGCCGACCCGCAGTGCGTCCGACTCTGCGGAATTTTTGATCGGTCTGGTTATCATCACGTGTTGATATGGTATCCTAGATGACTAATGAAACGCGTTTAATGGGCTTGGCGAGTCACGGGGATGGCGCGTGTTGGCGCGTCTCTGTGGCTTGATTGGCTGTTGGCCGTCCAACCACCGCCACCACGACGGCGCAGAGAATACAAAGGGGGCGGGACTCGCCCAACATCGACCTCAATATGATTTCCTTTCGTGAATTTATTGCAAGAGGCTTTTCTTCCTCTTATTCTCAGTTCTTGAGAGTGCCATCTGCATGTTTTGAAGAGCCGAGCTAAACTGAACTTCTTGAAGACCCGAGGCCGCCATGGAGTCGACCGCTGGAAAAAGTCACCCGGGCTCAAAAAGACGCCGTTTTCAAATCCCAATCACCTCTTACTTCTCTGTATCTCACTCGGATCCTTCCACGCAGTCCGAATCTTTATCTCACTATAACTATGCTGCTCCAACGTCTTCCGCCAATCCTGCTCTTCCGGACAAAGTCCAATCGTCACTCCTGACCGTGGGAATGCGTGTCCGCAAGGCTGTTCCAGAGGGCTACCAGACCGCACTTAAAACATCTAGGTTAAATGTGTATATGACCAATCATGTTTCCTACAACACGAACTCATACGCCGAGTTGGCACCCTACTGTGGAGGTTTCAAAATCGGTAATTTAGCCGTGCAGACATTTCCTCCGCCTGCTATACGGGAAGATCACGAAATCGCTTTTGGCCGAATAGACCAGGAATCTGTGCCATCGAGTAGCCAGGAGTCCACCGATTCTGTGATGCCATCGAATCCGCATAAACGTGCATTTGGTGAAGACGACGCTGAGGATGAGGATCAGGAAGAGGACATCACTTCGTTGTACAACCCAAAGGCCTCGAACCCAAACACCGCCGCCTACAGTACTTCTCGCTTGCCATTGAGAACAATTCTTCGTCCAAGGTCAGGACGAAAGACGCAGCGATTCGTTGCTAGTTCCAGGGCCACCATGGGCTCTTTGCAAAACAAGCTAGATCAGATGTGGGGGCTATCTGGACAAGAAAATCGACATCCGATGTTAAATATTCCCTTGTCAGCAGACTTCGAAGAAGCAACATTCTTAAGACGGAGAGAAGAAGTCGACGAGGACTACGAAATGGGTGGTGTTTAGAACCTAGACCCCTCTTGCTTTTCTTCCTTCGTCGATCCGTTTGCTCGTTGTATATTTTATTTGTCATCTTGGTCATGGGTTGGCTTGCGCATTTGGTTTGGAGTTTGATACCTTGTCAGCGAATTGGCAATTTTCCTCTGATTTGCATAATACTGCAGGGAAGTTGTTTTGGGCGGAACTCCGGAGTACTGGGGATCGTTTGCCGCGGCCAATAGATCATAATTGTGGAATAGATGCTGGCCACGGTACGAACATTGGCGAATGTGATACCATTGTTGATTGCCTTTCTTGCGACTTTGATATATTTATTCTGTATTCTGTCCAGAGGACGCAAGGCGGATCCCTTTATTAGATTGTTCGGGGTGTGGCTGCTAGGCTCTGGATTGAAGCCGACCAACCGACCCGGTTTCGCCGATCTCTTGAGTTAATTTGAGAGCTCGCTTCTATACTTTTTAACCTTTCAAACATCCAATCAATAACGCTAACCACTGTTTCGATTATTTACCCTTCAGAGCGTTCTTCAATGCATTTGGTTCTGGGGCAACAAACGTTCAGGGATGCTCAAATATTTGTTACAAGGGTTTCCCTGATTGGCCAGGGATAGGGCAGTAAGAAAAGTTGGGTCCCCGCATGGATTTAACTCGCCTTCTGAAACGTTGGAAGGAGAGACAACGACGTTCATCCCGGTCAAAGAACGCTGCCCCTCCGCGTCCAGGGTTCGAAGTGATGACCTGGACGAGGAGCTCAGTACTGGCTTCGCAAACACTTCCGCGGTCCCAAAGGCGGTTTGACGGAAATGCCCCTGGGAGGTCAGAACCCAGATCCCTGGGTCTTGAAGCTGAAATCCGAGTTAATAAACTGAAGTTGCCCGGTGCTCTGGCTGTTGATGCGGCGCGAAAGCTTGTAGGCATAACGGCCTTTCCGCGTGGCTTTTCCCTAGTCATCCCGACCAGACACGGCCCCAGAGAAGGGACACAGACAGGACATATTATCGTCTTGATCTCAATCCGTGATTAGCTATTCTTTGGGCTACGGAGATCTGTGCATCGTGTCCCTTCTCTACCGTTTCGATCCGAGAGCTAGCTTGGAGCATGCGGCGTCAAACGACGAGAACATGGAGACACCTGTCCACTCGGTTCCAGTGAAGACCTCTGAGAGTGTCATTCGCTTGACTACAATTGTCCCTGATACTACAGTAGAATCAGAAGCTGCTCAACATGTCCAGGAACCGGAGGATGAACAGGTTGAAGACCGCAGCAGAAAGGAGGCTTTGTGGTATGGAATAGTCGGGATCCGTTAAAGTTGTCCTCACTAATGCACTTCAGGAGAGATTTGGGGGAAACCCAAATTAATGTAAGTGTGATGGACGCTTGTATATTTGGTTTTAGATCAAGCGACGCCTTCTTGCCCGCTGACTGCTCTTTTAGATGGTTGCATTTTCTGGGTATGAATTCATTCCTTCTGGCTTCGAGATACAGTTCTAACATAGCTGCCGATGCATAGCACGACTGGAAATGGTGTGTTGTCTTAGCCTGTACTTGATCATGGCATTATTGACCAGTGTAGGATTGTTTCTTGGGAGCGGTGCAGCACTTGCTGTGGCCGGCCCCTTTGGCGGAGTGCTGGCTTACCTCCTCGTCGGCACTGTGATTTCTTCTGTTGTGTCTTGCTTGGGCGAAATGACTGCCCTGATGCCAGTTAACGCTCCCGTCGTGGAGTTTCCCCGGCGTTTCCTCGATCGAGGCGTTGGTTTTGCAGTGGGCTGGATGTACTGGTAGGCCATCCGCACCGATAGCCTGACCTAGGAAGGCCCCTGATAATCGGTCATTTACTAGGTTCACTTTTGTTGTTGTCGCCGCCCAAAATTTGGTTATAGCAGCTAGGACGGCAAAATTGCACTACGATGACGACAAGACGTTTTTGGCGTGGGGACGCGGAGAAAACGTTGATGCCCATATTTGGTTTGCTCTCTTCATGTTTACTGTCCTAATCATTAACCTATTCCCTGTCAAAGTAAGTGGGTTTGGCATTTAACAGTGTCGGGGATGCGAGTTCAGTTCTAATATCTTGTCATAGTATTTGGGCATGTTTGACTACGCCATGGGAACCATGAAGCTGGTATTTATTGTGTTCTTGATTGTCATGTCGATTGTTCTCGATACTATACCACGTTGGTATTCCATCCTCCATTAACATATACTGTTCTAACAGCACATTCGGATAATAGCTCGTGCAAACTCATACCATGATGGGCCAGTTGGGACCAAGTGTAAGTGGCTTGTCTCTCCTCCTTATACCGCCACTCGTTAAACATACTAAAATGGTATATATGAAGATTGGAACTTACCGTATGAATCCATCAAATCTGTTTATCAGGTCTGGAGTCGTAGCGGGAGTGTTCAACGGGAAATCGGCGGCTCAGCAGGAAAGCTACTTGGGATGTGGTAAGCGCACTTGTTAACATGTAATTCGAGGAAGGTCCTCTAATTGGCTTCCTATGTGCGTTTGAAGGTCGGCTTGCATCAACGTGATGTACGACTATGCGGGCTTGGAGATCTTCGCCGCACCCGCCGCGGAGAGCAAATCTCTCGCTGATTCGGAGAGTATGAAAATGGCCGCACGGAAGATATACATCCGGGTTATGGTCCTGTATACGCTTGCATTTCTCACTGGGTCATTCCTTGTCCCATCAGACCATCCTTTCATCAACGGCCATGCACAGTCGACTAGCTCTCGTTCCATATTCTTGATAGCCGTTGTGGAAGCGGGGATACCTACTTTGGCTCATTTTTATAACGTTATATTCCTCATTACCACGTTGACCTGCGCGATTAATTCTGTTTACGTTGCCTCGAGGGTTTTACATACCCTTGCGCTCAGGGAGCAGACAGGTCCGAATTTCATTACTCGCCGGTTGCAAAGATGCAATTCCGGGGTTCCCATGAGGACTGTGGTTGTGACAGTTATCATGATGTTTTTAGGCTTTATGAGCCATAATGATTCAGAAAAGGGCCCGGTAAGTACGTGCACTGCAATCTCGCTTTCCAACCGATTAATTGATAGCGACTTAGAGGCTGGACGGGCTAGCTTCGAACGCAACGGTATCGTTTCTAGTCATTTATATTATCATTTGCGCAACATACCTCTGTTTCTACAAGGCGTTCGTATCCCTATGCTTCTACAGTGCAAGCAAATGGTTTATGCTCACCCACGAGTATCACAGACTTAAAGAAGCCCGAGCATCTGGAAATCCCTCCGAATGCTACGCCACATTTTACGACCGCAATAATCCTCGCTATCCTTACAAATCCCACGCACAATGGTTTAAAGCCCTCTGGGGCATGACGGCCTGCACGATTCTGTGCATCTTCAGTGGAGCAACAACTTTCCTCAGAACGCCATTCGACACTCATGGATTCATCGTTTCATATATTAGTGTATGGCTCCCTATTATCCCCTACCAATAAGAAAGATGATTATGGTGATGAAAATAAGCTGATACTTCTCCCACGCCTCCGGTATAGATTCCTGTATTCCTTGTTCTCCTTATAGGCTACAAAATTCGCCATCACGGTCTACGAATTTCACGCTGGGGCCCAGAGCGATCCTGTGACCTGCGGAATTGTGTACAGACGACGAGCGAAAAGCGGAAAGGCGTCCTCGAGTTTCCGGATCATGGATATACGTGGAACAACGCGAGATCGTTCTTTGGGTGGGTCTGGGTTTGGATGAAATAGAGTGGGAGTATTTCTTTGCTTTTGATCCAGGCGCATAGACAATATAGGCGGACTAGTACAGAGGCGTAAAGTTTCTTTGGGATAATAGAGATCTAAAGTACATGCCGACATATATGCATATAGGTTTCAGGAGAGGGGCACGACGGAGAAATAAGACCATGCTTTGCTTTTGTCAATCAAAACAGTGTATCATGCGAGTATAGAGGGCCGGCTATACATTATAATTCATCTTTGTTGCTCGTTGTCGTTCCCTTCTTGCCATCGGTTTTCTTAGTCTCCTTCTCCTCCTTCTCTTCGCCCTTAGTCTTTGACTTCTCCTTTTCCTTCCCCTTGTCGTTCTTTTTTCCGTTCTTTTTGCCTTGTTTTTTACTCCCTCCAGATCCTCCCCCGGTCTTGGCCTTTCGTGTCATCTTTTCCATGACTCTATTCAATGCCCTCTGCAATTCTGCAAGTTTAGCTTCCATATCGGCGATGGTGATTGCGGGGGTATCAGAGGCAGATAGCTTCTCTTGGAGCTTCATTTTCTCATCAAGCCACTTCTCAATCCTGTCGTGAGTCTCAGAAAGGATAGATAGATCGACGGGAGTGTAGGTAGAATAAGTTGGGGTAGGCTGTGAAGAAGACGTCGACGTAGAGGTGGAAGTAGTAGAAGAAGACGAATCGTTGACGGAAGATTCCTCACTGCTGGAAATGATAGTACTTGAGGTTTCGCTTGGCGATGGCGATGACGTTTTTGACGTAGATGCAGAAAAAGCGCTTTCTTCCGCTTTAATCTGTTTGTCCATCACCTCCATAAACATCTTCGTGCTCTTGAGATTCTGCTTTAGGCTCTCAAGTTTCGCCGGACGCTGGGCATTCTCACTCTTTCGATCCAAAGCCGGGTCAACTAGCTGTTTCAAACTATCCAGCTTCGCCTTCAAGTCCGGGGTCGGAGCATCAGATCCATCTGCATATAGCCAGTCACTGATTTCATGGAGACTCTGCTTCAATTTCTCCAAGGCATCGTTGGTGATCGCCTTCACAAATTCTCCATCATCGAGTAAATCACGAGTGCGGTAAATAAAGGCTTCCAGACTGTTCAAAGTCTCTTCGCGTTGAATGCGAGCAAGGTCTGATGCGTCAAAAGCCGCTAGTCGGCTTTGAATCCGGTTCATCTCCTCTTTTGATGGCCTGGGGATGCCCAGTGGGGCAAATTCAAAGCCAATGATTGAGCTTTCGACCCGGAAGTTCCGTGGTTGCTCCGGTCCTTCCACTATCACATTAGATTCGGCCGAGGGAGATTCTGTTGCGGTTTCAGAACTCGTACTTGAGGACGTGGTAGGGGATTCGACACTCTCGCTGGAAGCCGTGTTGGGGGAAGATGAGGCAGTGCTCGATTCGCTTGTCGGCTCTTTGTTCGAATCATCTTTGAGAGGCTGTTGGCTCTTCTTGGAGTCGAAGCCTAAGAATTCCTTGGCTTTTTCGACAACACCTTTTTTTACTTCTTCCTCAACCTCGCAGCTCGCTGAGCCGCGAGTAATCTCAGGAATCGCGTTAACAGGGTTGAGTTGCATTCCGAACCAGATGGTGATATTTTCGGCCGCGCACCCAAACTTGTCCTTCAGTTCAGCTAGTGCTAGTGTAAGGTTTGTTGTTCTCGCATGGAAGACCGGGTAGTCGATCGTTTCGTTATCGCGAAGGTGTTCTTGGGTAAAGTCCAATTCGAAATCGTTCAAATTTTTGATAATCGTGATTTTTTCCTGGCCGATCTGCGAAGTCGGAAGAAAGGCCTTCTGCTTCCTTTCCTTTCCCCCGGTTACAAACTTGATAGACGCTCCGTAGCCTGGGATGTCGTGCGTCTTAATCTCCTTTACTCTGAAGGAACGGCTCAGGGCAGCACCTTTAAATGCGGCTCCAAGAGCAGCGGCTTCATCGGCATTAACATTTGTTCTAAGCTTGCCTGCATCGTTGCAAACCTGCTCAAGTTGCTTCTGCACGAAGGGAGTTCGGATGGCACCTCCGTGAAGAATAATAGAGCCGATGTCATCCAATGTAAGTTTGGCCATAGCAAGAGCATCCATGAGAGGTTTATAAATGCGGTCGGCATGATTCTTTGCCAACTCTTCAAAGGTGGATCGTGAAATCGAATACTTGAAGTTAACATCTTCCTCGTACAAGCCTTCAAAGGAGCCAGAGGTTTCTGTGTTGGCACTTAGAATTTGACGAAGTCTTTCCGCTTCTTTCCATAGCTTTGCCATGGTCTTTCCATGAGCTTTTACCTGCTCTGTAGTTGTTCCGTCTTTCAACTTCTTGGATTCAACTAGCTTGGAAACCATATCATCAACGATTAGTTCGTTCAAGGCGTCACCTCCAAGGGTTTTGTCCCATCCAACTCCGACAGCATGTATTTCTTGGAAGCTTTTGGACCATTTGCCAAAATCCTTGACAGTACGGCTCTGGAACTTGAGGACTGTGGCACTGGTCGAACCAGCTCCCATATCGAACACAACGTGATGCTCAGGCTTTTCACCATTCGTCGCGTTAGGGAACGTGCGGCTAGTAGCATAGTTGACGGCAACAGACATTCCATCTGTGAGTAAGGAAAGGACGTTTAAACCGGCCAATTCTGCGGCAAACTGTACGCTTCGCCTCTCTTCAGCAGAAAAGAATGGAGGGATGGTGATAACCGCATCCTCCAAGTCTGTCCGCTGGGCACCCATTTCTTCTGCATTTGCTCTAATCTGATTTAACTGCATCGCCAACAGTTCTTCCACGAGGAATGGCTCTTTGCCTTCTGCTTTGTTGAGTCTCTCACTCCTGATACCAACCCGGTCATGGGAATCTGGTTCAAGCTTAACTCCTGGATATCGTTCTTTGAATAAAGAAACCATATTTTGTAGGCCACCATCAGAGCCCTGGACTCCGGTGTCAAACGGGACACCCAGGAGAGCCTTCAAGTTGAGGTACACGTCATTGGGGAATCTAGGCGCAAGAGCAACGGCGTCACTTCCATAAAACCTCTCTGGAAACGCAGCCCCGCTTTCCCGCGCAGGTTTAAATGCCACTGCCGAACGCTCTTTTCGCTTCGAATCTTTTGTTAAGACAATCTCGAGCGGTACGCCCGCTTTCACTACCGCGGCTTTGATATATTCGGTGCCAAGGTCGATTCCTATCACGCCTGTACCGACTGCAGAAGCTGTGCTTGGAAATGATGCTATAAGGACTGAGACGAAAATTGTTGGAAGTAGGTAGAGGAGGGAGGACCCCCTACTATTGCGTCGGCGGCCAGGCGGAGCCATCTGGAGCGACAAGGTATTGATCTAGGCATTGTAGATCATCAAGTCAGATATGCTAGGGAGGAGGTCTTTAAGGACAATTGTCAGCCCATACCTAATATGGATACATAAGCAATCGTAAAAAGTGACGTAGAAACCGGTTATTCGTTAGCAATCCATCAAGGTATACAAAGCTGCAAGCAATGTACTGGTGAGGCTCTTTGCACTTGAATTGCAGCACTGATGCGAGGAAGATGAAAAGGAAAATACGGCAAATTTAAAACAAGGGTATAATATTCGAAAAGGCCACGTCTATGACTTTAAAAAGGTCATTTAGAACCGATATCCCCTTCGAAACCCAAGCATCCCAAGCCTCCGCGATCGATTCGATTGAGGACACTTTGGCATTGGGCGGTCCCCAAGCATCGATGCAAACATACCGCCTTTGGTAATATTTGCATTCTTACATCATCGATTTGTAAGCAGGTCGGAGATATGGTTAATGAGTGGCAGGTTGCGGCGGGTTTACTACCCAGGCACCTGAGGTCATCCTGGTAACTTTCTGACCCCCTGTCTCCTTTCCTTTCCTTCCAATCTCGCCTCAACTTCTACAGCCCTTCTTCGCTCCGTCACGATGTGGCAACCCGTTACTCTTCCCTTCAAGAATGGCTCGCTGCCTCGACCCACCCTGCCTACTCCAGATGAAATCCGGGCCTGCACCACTATTTTATGGGAGCGCTCATCCGTCAAAGTCGTCGCAGTGAATGATGAGATTGTTGTCAAATTTGGAACAAGCTTAAATGCATGGGAGGGACAGGCTCTAGTTTACCTCGAACGATACGTCCCAAGTGTTCCGGCTCCCCGACTGTACGCAATGTACCGTGATGCTAAGCAACTCTTCCTGGTTATGCAGCGCGCTCCAGGTGTGCCACTGAGCTCAATTTGGCGTTGACTAAGCCCGAGAAAGATGACATTGTCACCGAACTCCGCAAAGCAGTTGATACTTTGCGACAGGCGAAGAGTCCGTGGCCCGACTTTTATGGAAGCTTGGATGGTGGCAGTGTGCACCATTATTTATTCTGGTGCCGGAAGGTTGGTGGCAAGTTTTTGGGGCCCTTCCATGGCGAAGCTGCCTTTGTTGCAGGGCTCACAGGGAATTACCGAGCTGCCATTGAACGTGACGGCCTGCCAGACTTCAAAGCTCGCTTCTATGAAACCTCCCTCCTTCACGTACTCCAAGGTCACCGGCCAACATCGACTCACGGGGACATTCAGCCGAAGAACATTGTTGTTGCGGAGAAAGGCCGCAACTCTCGAGGACAGCGATCATTTGATGTCATGCTTGTCGATTGGGAAGCTGCTGGCTGGTATCCTGATTTCTGGGAATACTTCAGTGCGTTTTCCACACCCCCATTTCTCGACTGGAGGGATGACTGGTGCTGGCGAATTCATGAGTTTCTTCAAATATGGCCGGCCGAAATGGCAATAATGCGTATGATTGATAAAGATTGGCTATAACTCAAGGGACTGGGAAGGGCCTTGGCTGCTAAATGCGAGTAATGAATGGTTAGGAACTGGTAGGAGACGAAGCAGCAGCAGTCAGAGCCACTCAAAAAGGTAATGCACAAATCGGGAGACAGCTTAGCTCCTGTGAACCATGAGGTCCCAAGTCCTCAGGGGCCTTCGATCAGGGGTCTTTGGGCGTAATAGCGCCGTGGAGGAGTGACCAAAGAGCCCGGGGGCCCACAAGCCAACCAGGCCAACAGTCGATGCTCCCGAGTCCTCACAGGTCTTAGGTTGGAGGCCTATGGACGCCGTAGGGCGCTAGAACCCTGTGAATTCAGGCGGAGGAGCGAGGTCCGATTTCTAAGGAATGGCGTCGGCGGAACGGGCGCATCGGGACCTGTACCTTGCTCCAATGACTCAGGCCACTTGTCCAGGCCACTTTGTCTAAGGGCCTTGCGGGTCCATGGAATGCGGCCTTAAGGCCTGTGTGGCCTCAAGGCCGCTTGCTGGAGGCTCCAATTGGCCCGTACACCCCAGGGCTCTTTAGTCACCGCTCCGCGGCACTATTACGCCCAAAGTCCCGTGATTGAAGTCCCCCCGGGCGGTCAAGTTTGAGATGATAGAAAAACAAAGAGCGTCTGGGCCTCCGCTCTATATTGACGGCTCCGGGCATGGTTGACAGTTTTTACCCTGTTCTGTTCCTTGTTTTGCTTAAGCAACATGGGAAACTGTCGAGGTTAGTCATCATCCTGTTCAAGCAAGCTCAAGAACCATATCGGAATTTTGTAGGCCTGAAAAACCATGGAACCCTGATGAACCCACCGTAAACAGTGCCCGAAAAGCTCCTGCAGCAGGAATGACATGTTCACTGTTCCCAAATAGGAAACAGTTCTCATTTTTAAAGATTCTCCTGCCTGAGAAATGATCCTGATTGCTGTAGAATGATTTTAGAATAATAGAAATGTTCTCAGAGTTACTAAGAATATCAGTAGAAACTCATCTAACCGCTAGTTAGAATACTGTTGGAAATTAACTAACAAGTCCCAAAACAGGATAGAACAATTGTAACTCAATTAGCTTCGAATCAACTTCATGCCTATGTATGAACTGCATTGACAAAGGATATACAAGAACACAGCGTGTGAGCATGCGTGAACAGTCTAAGACACCAATGGATTTTGCTTATTACCGCTTTAGCATTATTTGCTCGTTACATTCTGGATGCAGATATCTCCGAATCATGGACTCTTCCAGGCCTGCGGCATTGCTCTCAATGCTTCGGTGTAACCAGCGGATCGGACTATGAATGGCTGAGACACCACATCTCTCTCGTATAAGGTTGTTCGCAGAAATCCTGGCCTTCACCTTTTCAACGACGCGATAAGTACTCTGTACTGACGATGTCATCACACACCTCTTTACCGACGTCCAACTAACACCATGTTGCAGTCGACCCCACGAACGAACCAGCAATCCGACGTACAGAGGCTAAGATAATATGAGTAATTTTTATTTCCTTTTGTTTCCTTTCTTTGCTTTTGGTCGCTTCAAATAGTACGCTCTACTATTCCACGGCGCATTCGACCAGGTAGCTCCGGATTCGGTATGTGCCAGCTGTTCCAACCGGAGAATATGCCGGCAGGATAGTTACATGTCAGGATAGTTACATGTCAGGATAGTTACATGTCAGGATAGTTACATGTCAGGATAGTTACATGTCAGGATAGTTACATGTCAGGATAGTTACATGTCAGGATAGTTACATGTCAGGATAGTTACATGTCAGGATAGTTACATGTCAGGATAGTTACATGTCAGGATAGTTACATGTCAGGATAGTTACATGTCAGGATAGTTACATGTCAGGATAGTTACATGTCAGGATAGTTACATGTCAGGATAGTTACATGTCAGGATAGTTACATGTCAGGATAGTTACATGTCAGGATAGTTACATGTCAGGATAGTTACATGTCAGGATAGTTACATGTCAGGATAGTTACATGTCAGGATAGTTACATGTCAGGATAGTTACATGTCAGGATAGTTACATGTCAGGATAGTTACATGTCAGGATAGTTACATGTCAGGATAGTTACATGTCAGGATAGTTACATGTCAGGATAGTTACATGTCAGGATAGTTACATGTCAGGATAGTTACACGTCCGAAGCACTATGGCACAAGGTATATAAATTGGCCGCTATTAGCACAAGTATCACTGGCTCGATCAAACGAGTAACATTAATTCCAAACAAGGATGAAGCAACAGCAACAGCAGTCCACGCTCCCGGGTTCCGCTTGCAGTTAGACTACGCAGGGGCAAAAGTAACATCCTGAAATACTCGTATTATCTGAGAAATCCGAGTCATATGACAAGATTCGAGGAAAAATTGGTGTGAAGGAGAGTAAGTACAAGCAAGAGGGGCTTATGTAGAAAGGTTGATTCATTCATTGACTCTCTCTCTATACAAAGAGCCATTCACAAAATAATAGGCATTAAATTATCCTGGCAAATGCAACATTATCGGAGGAGAATCGCCGTTAAACATCGCTCGGCTTATGCTACCACCATAATGGCGGCCACAGCCAAGATAGCAGTCAATCCACCTTGAAGACGGGTAGCAGCGCCAGTGAACTCAGGTTCTTGAGGTGCAGTCGGGGTGCTTTGCTTGGGCGGTGGTTGCGGTACGGTAGTGAGCGTACGAGTGGGCGCAGGCGGTTGAGCAGTAGCCGGGGGCGTCTCGGGTTCAGGCGTGGTAGGAGGGACTTCTGGGACCGAATGGGCTGGAGAGCTCTGGGGAGGCTGTGGCACAGGTGTGTGCGGGGGTTTTGGCGGCTTTGGCGGCTGGGTACCAGGAGTCGAATGCACTGGAGGGCTCGTTGGTTCTGGTGGAATCACGCTAAGAGTTGTGGCAACTATGGTACTGGTAACTGTTTGCGTCAATGTTCGGGTCTGGGTTATCGTGATAGAACCACTTGTCATGGTTTCAGTAATAACTAAAATGGTTGTTAACGTCCATTCAAATGGCAAAACTAAGTGGTAGCATCTGATACTTACTTGGGCAAGTCGTAGTGCTAAAAGTTGTGGTTACGGTTAAAGTCTTAGTCGTGCCAGGGAGGGTAGTCGGCTCCTCGCACTCTGTTGTGGTTGGGATAGGGACTTGAGTGGTATTCATGGTTGGAATAGGAGTAGTTGGAACGGGAGTAGTTGGAACAGGAGTGGTTGGAATAGGAGTGGTTGGAACATGAGTGGTTGGCTGCTCAGTAGTGGTCTCCTCGCACTCGGTTGTAGGGGCAGGAGTAGATGGCTGCTCAGTAGTCGTCTCCTCACACTCGGTTGTAGGGGCAGGAATAGATGGCTGCTCAGTAGTCGTCTCCTCACACTCGGTTGTAGGGGCAGGAATAGATGGCTGCTCAGTAGTCGTCTCCTCACACTCAGTTGTAGGTGCAGGAATAGATGGCTGTTCAGTAGTAGTCTCCTCACACTCAGTTGTAGGTGCAGGAATAGATGGCTGCTCAGTAGTCGTCTCCTCACACTCGGTCGTAGGTGCGGGAGCAGATGGCTGTTCAGTGGTGGTCTCCTCGCACTCAGTTGTGATCGGCACCGGAACTGATGTGGGCATGGATGGCAGCTCAGTCGTAATCTCCTCACAATCGGTGGTTGGAATATCGTCGAGACTGGTTTCCACCGGATGATACATTGGAGGGAAGCTTGGGACATCGTCGTAGTAATCGGGTTCCACTGGCGGATTGTACGAGCGCATCCCCAAGAGCTCGCTACGCTTCTCAATATCTAGTTCATTCTGATCGCGGTGGTTGATCGCCGCTCCGAGCGTGGAGCTGGCGAGCACCAGCACGACAAACAATGACCTCATTTCCTACTGCCCCAATTAAGAGTATTATATGTGTCGATATAGAACGAGCGAAAAGTCAGCAATTAGTATTAAATAAGAGTAGGAATGGAAACGAGAGGAACGAGGGACCAGACAAGTCCCTCTTCAGCCAGAAGCGGAGATAGTATTTAAAAGGGCTGATGTGAGGGCCATCAGTGGAAAGGGTGAGTGCGGGAGGCGGGCGGATTTTTGTATCCACGAGATGGCGCCCCTGGATGCGACATCACCACCTGTGCTCCTTCGAATCGAGACCCGCAAAAGAAAAGAGCAAAGTTGATTCTGGGGGATGCTGTGGGCACTCCTTGAAGCCGGCCAGATTTCGCAGTGATCATGAATCATGCCAAGTTGAATTACCGATACAAGACAATACAGGCTCCACGCCAAAACGCGAATCCAGCAAATGGTCGAGCCACTAAAACAGGAAGTACAGCGAGATCTTGGCGGGTTGTGCTAGCTTCGCTGGTGCCAGCAGGCGCCAGCAGGCACCGACAGGCAGGGCTCACTCCTGGTGAGCGAAGCCAGCTAGCAACACACCATAATGAAAGTCATGATGCCTTGATCAGCTTCAACTGTTGAGCCAACAACCCTCCGGAGTCACAGTGGAGGCCCGGTCGGCAACAGCTTTTCCGGGGATGTGGCAATTGTCCACGGACGGAGCTTTGTGATCGGAGGACCACCACCATCATAGCCGAAAATGTGAAAATACAGGAAACACCCTTCCTTCTTTGTGCGAAGGTGCGTCCAAGAGCCCGTTTTAGCGTGCTCGTGCATTGCTCTGGGGTTGGACAAATGTTGCAGTTCCAAGCAAACGGGTTCAAGAAAGTATGAAATTTTGAGTTGAGACTTGGCTCCTTCGTGCAATCCCATCCCGCATAGAATCGCCAGGTACTCCGTACTCCGTACGCTTGCCTGCAAAAAGCATCACTAGCTCTCGTTTAAAAGTGGATCTGGGCAGCGAAGCGCAGGATCGTGTCTTCACTGAACCAGGAATCAATCACATCGGGCATGTTTTGATGTCAACCGACCGTCCCTGCAATTCTGGAGCATTATCTCCGAGGGAAGGATATGTCGACACAAAACGGCGAATGTCAAAACAGCTCTTTCTGCCCTTGTGAGATTATTCTGTTCTGATGCGTATGGTCCAGCGACGAAACAAGGCCCTAGAAACCAAACCGTCGAAGAGGAGGGGGGGGGGGCGATGTCACGATGTGGAGACTGCGACGGAGAAGCAGTTTTCGTCGAAAAGAAGAATTGAGTTTGCCATTATGTCAATGGCGCCCCTAGTGGTGGCCGTCTCGAGCGAAAGATTGATGCGAAAAATAAATGGCATCGTCTGGCGCCTGAACTATTGGAACTGAAGCAAAATTTTCACAGTCCGGACGCTTTCAACCTTGACGGAATTAGGCTCACCTTGTGTGAGGAATTGATGGACAATGCGGAAGATTCACATTGGTCGCCGGTTAGCCCTTGTGGCACAGAAAATTGGGTCCGCTCGATGGTCAAGACGTTGAGATGCGAATCCATTGCAAGCTAACATGCGGAGGTGGCTGCACGACAGGTGGAAGAGAGTGTATGGACGTATGTATGAATGTATTTTATTGTATGTACGTTACGGCCGTGTATGTATGTATGTACGTGCGTACGTCTGTACGGAGGGTGTATATGCGACCCCTTGTGCCAAGGACTTTTATGCCCTGTCATGAATGGTAACTCTAGATTCTCGCAGGCTGGATAGCGGACGAGCGACGCCCTTGTCGTGATTTGTTTTCCGCCGCTGCTCACTCCACTCTGCAGAGCTGCCCTGTTCATACCTGGCCCTGCTATCACAGCATTTGTCGGGCCCTTACGGAGGACTCCGTAGGTTGGACGTGATTCGGTTGATTGCAACCCGGAGAGAAGAGCATAACCATCGTGTTGCTCCGTAACTAGCCAACTAGTATTAAACCGGAAACCTCGCTAACTAGCCGGCAGCGGAGGTAATTATAGGTGTGATGGCGAAACAACGCGATCGGAAACGCACATGCCCTCCAGGATTCCTTTGATTTTCGTTTCCGAGGATCCTTGAAAGTTTGCTTGTGACACTCCGAAGTGAGACATGACCTTGTAGAGGAAGCTTTTGGGCCAAGGATACTAAACGACTAGCTCGTCACCATTATCAACCCATTCAAGGACAGGGTACGGAGTACCAACCATCGTAAGGGGTTGCAGGAGAGCACTTCGCAAAGTGGGCGGAAGAGTGCCTATTGCTCTTCAAGTGTTTGTGTTCTGTGCATCTGGATTGGGCTGTCACTTCACAATGAACTTATGGCTTGTTCTAAATCTAAATTTTGACGGTGAGCATTCCCGCAAACCAGTTTTTGTAAATATAAAATATGTACGGAGTACAGTGACTACCCTCCCCATATCTCCTCTGCTACCGCGATACGAGCTGGCTTGGGGTCCATCCAAACAAAAAAGTTGTAGAAACGACGGTAACATGCCTGGTTCATTAGTCAACAGAAGCCCAAAGCCTGAAATGTCACTCTCCTGTTTCTTGGCTCCACGTTGAAGCATGTGCTACTTGGGCCCAACACTTGGAGTTAATCATCTCCGGAATCTGAATCGTTTTCCCACCTGGCTTGATACGCGTGCGATAATTCATGCAGGCCGTTTATCAAATCTTCCCGCTCCTCAAGAGCAACCCGCCGCCCGATAGTCTGTTGCAGATTTTTGAGATCCCTGCCAATGTCACTGGTTGCGGATAATGCAGCATCGACCCTAAGTGTAGATCCTGCCGGGCCTTGCTCATGAATCAAATCGGATGGAAAGGAGTCGAGAATTGGGAATTCCAGCGTGGATCTAAAGTTGCTACAGAGTAGGTTGTTTAGCCTCGATTGAAAGAAATATACGGGTCCCCCCCCCCCAAAAAAAAAAAAAAAAAAAAAGAGAGTGAGCTTCGGGTGGGCCAAAGAGTGAAATGTGTGGCTTCGTTACCTTAAGGTACTGGGAACATCCCCAGTCATTAATGAAAGACGGTGAGAAGTAAGACCTTGACCAACTTCTGCCCGCTCCGGTCGCTCGCTATTACATTTCGAATCGCGGACAACTTGTACTCGACTGAAAATATGCGTATTATTTGTCCTGGTAGCGGAGCCGATCGGAGAGAAACCTAAATCAAATCGTTGTTCGGACTGCTCTATTTCGTCATGATCCACCTCGTCTGTGTCCATCTGTGTTGAATCATTCGGACTCAGGTGACTGGCAAATGGCAACTCCGAATTCTCGGATCTTATGGTGGCCCGCAAGGCGAATATGCGTTGTGGACCTGCATTGTCAAGAAACCAGGGTTCAATCCCTTCATACCAGCGGAGGCGGCCTGGCAGTGTGACACTCTCAACGGCCACTGACGTGAGAGCGGAGATATACCATTCCGATGCTATGTTCAAGTTCACATAATGTGGAAGCTTTGAAGGAGGCATCGAGATCGGAACGTATGCAGTGGATTGGCGGGATATCTCACTGATAGATTTGGCGGAATTTTTGGCTCTAAGAAACTGCTTTTCCTACGGGGATGCGGATGCGTTAGTCCAGCTTACGACACCGTGGAACTGGATTGAGCGTACCCGTTCGGTTTTCAGCCCGCTTTCTAGAGCAAATGTCCAAATACTTTTCTTGCCAAATTCATCTCTCAAACGGTCAATATACCTTGCTGCAAAGCCGCCCCAGGCGTCATCTGTACCAGTGAACAGCTGGATTCCACGCAGTTGATCACATTCCTCGGCGAACGGTCTAAAGTCACGGTCTAGGAGGTCGTGCTCCCGGTCTAGGCTATTGAAAAAGGCTTCGCCAACCGTCCAGTCCTCAAACGGCATCAGTTGGGAGTTCATTTCATACTCATTTAGCTGAACAATGGATTTCGGATGATAAAAGAGTCGATTGAAGTCTGACCAATACCGGACTGTCTCCGGGGTGAGTCTAGGGAGAGGAAGGCCTAGCTCAAGGGCTTTCTGGTATTCACTCTGTGGAATATTTGGCTGCCGTTGGATGACTTCGTTCCCATCCCTGAGTCAAAACGCTACTTAATTTTGGGTCGCAATGAATAGCTAAGGAACAGATGTGTGCATATAAGCATACCATAAGCCTTTTGGCATTCCAACGTTCTCTTCAACTTCGTAGAGAGCATTGTACTGCCGAAGGGAGCCAAATCCGCCCTTCAGGTCATAAATGATAGTGCGCGGGGTAAACGTTTCTGACCCATCAGCCCCTATTCCAGGTCGGAAACTGATGTCGTGGTCAACAGGTGATGCCTCATTCTCAGAATACGTAAAGTATGATTCCTTGCCAATTATTAGCCTGGGATGTTCCAGATTAACATGGCGGCCGTACCTGAACGTTCCAAAAGTGGGTGGCTAGGTAGTTACTGCGCTGGCCCAGCTGCAAGGTGATGATCTCACGCATCTTCGGTCAAAAGGCCCTTCGGGCAATCAGAATATACGAAAGCACAATCACTCCGTACAAGCACAAAGTTTCCCAAAATTTATACCAATCTGCACAGAGTTTAGAGTTGTTCCCCCACCCCGGGCGCGGAGCAGAGATTTGACGATTTGTTATGGTCTCTAACAGTACGAGTATCTTCTCCTTCCCGTATCACAAAAGAATTTCCAGGCTCCAGCCCCAGACAAACCAAGTAGATATCGACGTCTTTACTCTCATTTCATTGTGCTGCCGGGTGTCTGTCCTTGCACACAACCCCGTCGTTCACCCCTCGTCGTCTCTTCGAACGCGGCAAAATTGATAATTACGTCAGAATCACGTGACTAATAATATTACATAAGACATTCTGGTTGCTACGGGCAACGCGGGCAACGCGGGCACCACTGAGACCTGGGAAGATCGATAAACACGGAGAGTGCTAACCAAGTCTGGCGCCGCCAACAAGGATCTCGAAGTTCGCGATGATTATCCTCTGACCCGCGTCCACCTCAGCGATCTTCTCTTATCGTTAATGTGGCGGATCTGAGTCCTGCGTCCTCTTCTTCCTTCACACCCGAAGGCTTTCTCCAGCCCATGAATATGGTGGAATCGACCACTCCCGTTAAAATGCCCCAACAGACCGGTTCTCCCTTGTTCCCCATCACTCCAGATCGCATGAATCAGCAAAAGATGAACATCTCGCCAACAAAGTCATTGGACGCTATGCATTCCCCGACCAGGTCTGGACGCGGGGCCTCAGATGTCCAAGCAAAAGTCGCGTTTCTCAATCGACTGTCTAGTGCCACTACGCCCGAGAGACCTGTTTCTCACGTCTCGACAACCACTGCCGCACTACAGAGAGCAATCCTTGGTCGAGAAGAAGCTGAGTCTGCGTTGCAGACTGCCCTTGCGCAGCTTTCTGAGGCCAATGCGCGGGAGCGGAGGGTTAGTGAACGATTGGAGTCGTTGGTAGAGGAGCTTCACTCGCTCAAAGAGAGACAAGTACATGAACGAACTGTGTTCGAAAAGGAAGTTAGGAAGGCAAGAAAGGAAGCGTTTCGTGCTGGATCCGCGTTGGTTAAGGCGCAGGAGGAATTGAAGTTCTCTAGGGGGGAGATAAAAAGTTTGAAGGAAGAGGTAAAACTGGAGAGAGACGCAAAAGAAAGGGCGAAGCAGGAAGCGTTTGAGCGTGCGTATGCATTGGCAGGCTTGACCGAAGAACTCGAAACTTTGAAAGGAAAACTCCGAGCTTCGGAAACCGAGAATAACTTTGAAAGTCTGGAAGCACAGGTGGAGGAAATTCGGGGACAGACTCCCGCCAAAAATTTGGCCGCACCTGAGGCTGTTCTCATGTCCACGTCGCCAGGATCTAGAGGGATAAAAAGGGGCCAACCAGACTCTACTGACAATCGATCCCCCAGTCGCAAACGGAGCCTAAATACTCGGGATCGCCTAAGCTCCAAACTCGGATCTCCTGTCAAATTTTCACTTGATTCCACAACATCAGTGGGCGAAGACTCCATGGAAGTTGGGCTTGATGAAGATGATTCTTGTCTTATTGATAAACTTAACGACGATCTCCAGTGGGAGAAGCGGATGCGACAGAAAGCGGAGGACATGGTACATTTTCTAAAGATGGAATGCCAATTCAAGCGCTGCTCCTGCAGGCTTGCAGAGAACCGAGGAACCCGATATGTACATGATCCATCTTGGGATACACTTTGCCAGGGAACAGAGAAGGAGCCTGAGCTAAAAGAAGCTCGCACAAAGCCTCAGGACATTCCAGCTTTACAGGGACAACCATCCCCTTCCATTCCCACACCCCCATGTGAAGCCCATGAAGAGCCTGAGCAACAACCAGATGAACCCTTGGTTACGTTTTGTTCGGATACTGGTACCTTTCAAGTCATTCCGTCACCCAACCGGAATACCGATGTGAATGATGGCTCAATGAATGCGAGCCAAACCTCCTTTGGACCGTCTTCCCCTTCCCCTACATTTGCACCCCAGAATATGGATATTATGGGTCAAACAGAGGAAGCCCAGGATCTTGAGCTGGCTTCTCAATCCCCTGACACAGAAATATCGATCGAAATAGATCAGTACAGACCCTCCTCCAATTCTCCTCTTGAAACCGTCCCTGCGAACCGCACCGGCAGCCACTCCCTTGGCCCCAAACTTCCATTCAAAACTCACCCATATCAACCCAGCCACCTTGAATACCAAACCATCACAACAACCAGGACTATCCCCCTCTACGCAGAGACGCAAGCAGCCCGCAGCGAAGCAGCATTTTGCCCTATCCCCGCTACTCCCATCAACCGAGAAGAAGCGCTAGCGCAAATACGTGCCCGGCGCGACCGCACGCAAGGTGCACTCAAAAGATCTGCCAGCGCCAACGACGCTAATACAAAATTAGGGATGATGGGCAATACGATTACCCCAATGACGGGGACAAAAAGAATCCCAAGGGTGGAAAATTCTGGGGCTCTAGAGGGTCATTCGATGTATTTAGGCTCGGGGATCAGGGGAAGAAGAGATATTAGTGCGCCAATCGCGAGTGTCAGAAGAAACTTTAGGTGATTTATGTCCATGTTTCGGTGTCTTCACTCACCCGTCATCGAGTTTGTGATTGGCTATGGTGAACGCATGTCAGCGATATTCTCGCTTTCTACTCGATTTAAAATGTTTAAAGCCTGGAGTCCAGGCGGGTTATGGTACATTTCATTTTATTTCTTTCGTCTTGTTTAGTCCTCATCCCACTCTATTGACAATTTCCTCTCACACTATCACTTTATTTCCTTTTTGCGCTATCCCGTCAGAGTGCGTCTTTCGCAATTGACTGTGTTCCATAACAAAACATAGCATGCTGCTGTTTCTCATTTCCGCTCTTTGAATATGATTTTCTGGGGGATTTATCTGATCCTATTGCATTATTTACCTTTCTTATACCCTCTGTTTAATTTCATCCATAAACAGCGATGCGTCTTTACTTCATTCGGGGCAGATTAGGCTCTTGGGGACTTCCATAGGCGTTAGTAAAAGTAGATTTAACTGGAAATTAATAAGATAATTGGGGTTTATTCGTCTCGAACGTATTGGCTCCAAATCAAAACAATACGTAGATGTCCGACCCGTCTCATCAGCGCTACTATATTCGAGATATTAGCATCCATGAGAGCTTCCCGCCATAAACCTAGATATATCCCATTAACCCCCGCGCGCCAGCATACAACTACATATAATATGTACCATATTTCAAAGGATGCGCACCCCGCAACACTTAATTCTCCCTCCCTGAACTTGTGCTTTTCGGTCCCACCATACCTGAACCAGCTCCTCGACGAATCTCCTATCTGCTTCGCTCCATGGGTCGAGACCCATTTGCGCCATGTCTGTAGTAGTTATGGGTGTGAATTCGTCTTCGTCATCGCCTAGCTTATCTCGTCCAGATGTGCGGTTGTTTAAGAGCGGCTGAGAGTCTTCTTGGTTGGCATGTATTATTAACGGCTCCTCTGGCTCGTCTCGGTATTCTTCTTCATCTCCGGATGGAATAGGCGAGCCAACTTCATCAAGCCTGCTGCTTTCTCCAGCGTTCTCACTGCGCTCCTCATCTTGACGGCTGACGATGTCGAAGAGGACGGTGAAAATTTGGGTGGTGAGACGTCGGAAATATGTTATTAGGGCTATTTCTTGCGTTCGGTCGTCGCGTTCTTGGTAGGAGATGCTACCGCGGCGGGTCCCCGGCGCGTAGATGCTGTCATCGTCTGGTAGCAGTAATTTAGCATCCTGCTCCTTCTCCTCGTCGGACTGGCCCGCTCCCTTTTCTCCAGCAGAGGCCCACCATATGAAGGATGTGTAGGCTAAAAGAGGCCATGAGAGTGGTTCAACAAGTGAATTCGTCGAGAATGTTGAGGAGTTGTCAAATTCTTCCTCCTCGTCTTCGTTTGCAGCATCGTCGCGGGGAAGGACATTTAGACCCTCCCTGAGAGTTAGATACCGCCGTACATCTCGCTGAGTAGCCTTCAAACGGATTTGTTTTGAGTCCTTGGGTGTGAGTGGATGTAATGGGGAAAGCATGAGTTTCGGGTATACTTTTTCGGGAGCATCTTTGGAATATGGTGGTGGCAGGTCGATTAGAACATCGTAGAGCTCTGGTTTGAGGCCCAACACACGATCGCTTGTACATGCGATCCAACAATTTTCTCCTTTTTTCTGTGGAGATGTTTTGCGTGACAGCGAGGTGAGGTATGGTAGGTCGTGAACACCAACGTTAAACAGTGCTCGGGGCCTGAAGGCGGGGAGGTCGGTGGGTGGAAGGAAAGGTGAGAGCGTCTGAGGAAGCGAAGAGAGAAGAGCTAGGTCGTATACTTGATTCTTGTTAACCTAAAAGTTCGTGCAGCGAATGTTGAAAGCGAGCGCCTACCGAAATTACAGGAGGTTTCAACAGGTGCGTCTCCAAGGAAAAGTATCCGCTTTCGTAACAGGGCCGCTCGATACAATGGGAATATCAAAGGGCCAAGCGTATCTTTAAAATCGGGAAGGCAAAGTGCAGGATGATAAGGGGCAAGAAGCTGCTTCGAAGTTAGCAGCGCTGTGGCGTCACTGAGCGTACGGCCTCGGTGAAAGGCGCCCTGGGGCGTAGACTGCTTCGGTTTCAAGCCTGAAATGGAAGCCAATGGGGAATCGGGAGGAGATTCATTGTGGTAGTTAGGAAGTTGAAAGGCTTCCCAGTAATCGGCCAGAGGTTTGGTATCGCCGTAATCATTAGCAAGCTTCCTACCCAGAGGTCAGCTAGAGCTATCAGGTACATCGCTTCAAACCCTACCGAGCCAGCTCTTTTAAGCTTGCAGCGTGTCTCCATGCCTTTCCTAGTCTTCCCTGACTCAGTGGAACCAAAACGCCGACGGCCAGCATCAGAGCGTTCCTCTCACTCTCGTCGGCGGGTTGGTTGACGAAGGCGCTAAGACCGGCATAGTCGTCTTGGACGAAGTATCTGTTGCGTTAGAGGGGCAGTGAGCAATATCGTTCCGGGAAATGATTGTTGCTTGGAAGGATCCTACGTACACAAGGTCCTCCTTCACGTTGTGTAGACCAGACGGCAGTGATTTGAACTCGACGACATCGTGCAGTACGACTGTGAAACTGGCAATCAGCGAAGATCAGGCGCTGCGGTACCTGCGAACACAAACCATCGGGCAGGCTCTCTTTCCACACGATTGTATATCTATACAGAATGAGGGCAGTCAGCATGGGAGCGGACGTCGAAAGTACCAAGAGACCTTGCTAAGCGGCTAAATTGTAAGCACGTACCCGGCTTTAATGTCGAAATGGATCAGGAACAATGCTGCAATTCCAGGGGGCGCAGTCCGGACGCCCATGCCGCCTCTCAAGACGGCCGAACTTCTCCTGTCTGATGCCATAACTCGTGATGGTTGAAGTGGAGGCGCCGGCGTCCCGTGAAGCGGTCTTGAGATGCCCGTCAAAGGTCCTTTTGTTTGGTTACGTTCGTTAGTTAACTGGTAAATTGGTGAGTGAGTTAGCTAGCGGGATCCCCAGCTCCCTCCCACCCCACTCTTAACCTTGGTGGACGGCTGAAGGTAACTTGAGGGTGATTCTCTCAGCGATAATGATGCCGCGTTGACTCCGAAGAGAGATCAACTGCCCAAACTGGCTGGATGCCTCTACGCAATACTCAGCGCTGCAATGAGAGGGAATTACGGGGGTGCTGGTCCTGCGAAGAAGCTTTCAACCAGCAATACAGCGCACATCCACAGCAAACGATAGAGCGCCTGAAAAAAGCCTTGGTATTTTAGATCTCACAATCGCCTCAAAAGCAGAATTTGAACCACGAAGCCTTTGACCTCAAAATCGGCTGGACCATTCAACGAGCAATTTCAACTTTTTGTAAGACCCACGATTCCGTTCTCTGCCAGCCGAGCGAGAACGCGGACAGCCCAGCCTTGACAGTCCTCTTTCACCTTCTTCCGACTCGGCGCTTGGGGAGGGGCCTCTTGTTCCGCTATCTGCTTCACAGTTGTAGCTTGCTCGTTGGTGAGCCATAACCGTTGTTCGACTTCAAATTCAGCCATACTGTTCTCGACTACCACCCGCTCCATCTCGGATTACTGTACTCCACACAATGTTGTCGGCCAGAGCTGTGCAGCTCTACCCACAGTCTTATTTCTTCCACCCTTGCATCCCGATGAGATAAGAGACTTTTTTGCAGACCTGGAACTTCCAATGGGGGCCAGACAGAATCCGTTGCGTTGAAGCCGGGTGCGCGACTTGACTTTCGTTGGGCGTAGGAAGCCTACCATTTGGACAAGCTTCTTACCTTGAGCTACAATATAACGAGAATAAGAGAGCCTTGCTGTCGAGCGTCTTTTATGAGCCTGGGGTAGTTTGCAGCGTTGTAAGCCCATTGGCTACAGCCTACCTTTTGCTGTTATTGATGCCGTGCAAGACAACCACCTTCTTGCCAACGTCTTGATGAGTCGGGTTCGTCACCTTTCTTTTCTATGGCTCGGTGGCATCGTTATGGACATTCAAAAGGATGTCATGCGGGATGGTCGATTTGGACTACTATCTACTGAGCTTCATCCTGCGATGTGGTCCGGGGCTGTGCAATCATTCCTTCAGGAGCCTATCCGTCAGGACCCAACAGTGGACAGCGCCATTCTGCGCTCTGATGAATGTCGGCTTCTTTATCTCACTCAGGAGGAACATCACACTCGTTGGCCTTTTGGTGCCACAGTCATTGCAGACACCGAAATTGGCGTTCGCGTACACGCAAAGTGTACTGGGCATGGTGTATAATAAGCGGGTTGGAAGTAGGCCCGTCGAAAATGGTAGGGTGTCGCACCAAATATGCCATCCCGCTCTTATACCGGCTTTCCTGCCTGGGACAGCAAGTGATGTCCAATGTCACCGTCATTTATGAAGATCTTGACCTCGAGGAGGAGTTGGCATCAGAAATTTAGACAAAAAGCATTTCCGGCTGGCTGCGGGCTCAGGGATATTCTCCGCAGGAAAGAGAAATACACAAGCATGAATGAAATTGACATTGATGGTTCCGATGATGGAGTATTGTCGGACAAACGTTCCGCAGGGAACCACCCAGATTCAAGAGCCGGCGTAGAAGTCCGGATAGACCATAATGCTTAAATCGATATTTCTTTGAGTAGCCTATGCCACACTATTAGTATTTATATCTCTTGTGGCCTGATTTAGCTTCATGGGGTTGCAACTGTACGCGCCCAAGCCCCGGCTTTACCACCTGCAGCGCACGGTCATACCGCTGCTGCCGTCTATCTTTAGGGTGAATGATGCTCCAGTTTAATTTTGGTGATGGCATCAAGTATTGATACGTCCTCAGTAGCTTGAAGGATGTTGTCTGCTTTGATATCTGCCCAACATTGGTTAATATATGGGTTCGCTTGAAAAATCAGCAGGTTACACAATGACGATGCTAGACCTTGGATTCTTGAGAAGGCCATCGTCTGTAGATAGGGATAATAGCCAGGCGAGTGTTGCTGACTCTGCCGACGGTACACTCAATACATCCTTTCCCCAACGTCTATGACGGCCGAGAAAGCAGCAGAATACGTGTGTGGAGGAACCCCGTAGACAGAACCAACTTGATTTGAAGTAGTTTGCTGTCCCAATAACCCTTTCAAAGCGAGCAGATGGCGGATAGTCCAAGGAAAGCATAGGTAGCCGCCTGCCCCCATTATGGGGCTACCTTGACTGCGGGATTCCTGTGGAATTCCTGTTGAGTCCTCCGCAAGTCGGTCCCTCGTAAGGGAGAATTCCGCATCCCACTTTAGCTTAAGCAAGGCGAACCACGACCGTAGAAAGGTGAAAAGGCCCGAAATTCGTTGCTCGTCCCCGGCGGCACTTCGCTAGAATTAAGGTGTCCATTGACTCCCTGGAATCCGCTCCATCGAGGCGATAAGAGGACCGTTGTTTGAAGGTGGTCTCGGTAGGCCTGCAACCTTGGACCTCCGGCTACTACGAGTCAGTGCATTCTCCTGTGGCTGCGGGCTGTTCCCTTGCACGGAGTGCAATGTAGTCGTTAGTCCATGCAGCCAGCCTGCTGGTATTTTCCGTGGGGATTCGGGCCTCGCGGCCTCCGCAAGGCCATTGTGGATTCTGGAAGTGGATGCGGCAGGGGATTTTGTTTGGATTTTGGTACTCCCGGATTTTTATGCACACTGGAACTCTGCGGCTTCAGGCCACCGATTCTCGATTCGTCCATTGCATTTCTCTGACTCTAGCTATTTCCACAGAACTTGGCAATGATGGCCACGCACCGCACCGGCGCTCCCGACACGTACGATTCGCTGCCGCCAGCTCTGGCTTGGCGCCAATTTTGTTCCTGAACTAAGAAGTCATTTGGCAAGCAAACGAATAACTAGGCGATTGTATAAATTTAATCGCAATCATCGCAACCCCCAGAAACCTCTGTCCCCAATCCCCGCCAGGATCGAGGTATGTTAAATTCTCTTTTCCTGGCACTGAAGAAGCGTTAAGGATCACTGACATGTTATATTTCTAGCCAACTCGCGCGCCCTTGATCAGACCGCAGCTTTCCCGCACGAGCAACAGAATATCTCTCAATGGCCAATCTAACCACACCATCGCATCCTTACTACCCCATCGAGGCTCAGCTCGTTGGATATCTGGCAAATGAATGGTCCGTGCCGGTCTTGGTCGGAGGATTTGCGGTATCATGGGGGTTGATCTTGCTGGTGACGCTCGGGATTGTCTCGTATGTGCGTCCGAGCTTGCCAAAGGCAGATAAGCTCGCAGTGCTGTGGTTTGTTCTCAGTACGTTTTGTGGCGCAAAAATCAAAAAGGCAACGGATGGAGATATGCTGATATTCTTGACTAGGTGGAAGCATCCATCTTTTCTTCGAAGGATATTTCGTTCTCAACCACACTCGCATGGCCCCTGCGCAAGATCTCTTCGGCCAGCTGTGGAAGGAATACTCTCTTTCTGATTCTCGGTATTTGACTTCTGATCCGTTCGTGCTCTGCATGGAGACTATCACTGCCGTAAGTTTCACTGCTTTTCCAATACGGGCACAGCGACCCATTCTGACCGGCGTGTGAGCAGGTGTTATGGGGACCGTTGTGCTTCATCCTCGCCTACTTGATCACCACGGAATCCTCCCTTCGTCATCCGTTGCAATTGATCGTCTCCGTCGGCCAAATCTACGGTGATATCTTGTACTACGCCACCAGCATGTTTGACCATTACCATAATGGATTGAGCTACTGCCGTCCTGAGGCCTATTATTTCTGGTGCTACTACTTTTTCATGAACTTCATCTGGATCGTGATCCCATCTCGTAAGTTATATTTCCTGTCCAGGATGATTGAACGGCAAGAACTAACAAAATTCTAGATTACGTCAAGTCGAGCATCTGCGTTATGTCGAGAGCGGTCAAACAAATGCAAGAGACGGTCAAGGCCCGCAAGTTAAACTAGCGGTGGCGAATAGAATTGGAGTTTGCGGATCAGCATTGCCTTGTCATAGATATCTCTCCGTTTGTAGAGCTGTTTCTTTAATCCAATTACCCGCTTTTTAATTGATAATTCGCACTCCAGGGGCATGGGGAAAAGTTCAATCAAGGCCGAATCGGAACCGCTTTAGGTTTAGACGACGAGTACACTTCTAGATTTTTATGGCTGATAGTCTATTTAATGTCTTTCTTTCCTTGATTCTCTCCCGCAATAGATTGGCAATGAATGCATTGACTGCTACGGAGTAGACAGCTTCATTCTGCAGCCACATTTGTGAAACAGACAAACGCGCCAAGCCCCGTTTTAACCGTTTGAAAACAGTCAGCTTGGAATACGACATCATCAGCAATTTACTTGTAAATCTGGATAACTTCTTGTCTGTAACCAATGACTCCTTGTCATTGACTGCATGTCTTGTCCCGGGGTGTATGTGTGTTGAGTGAGACTGTGTTTGACCGACACCAGCAAACCGATCCTCGCGCAACGGTGCATGTGCTGATTTGTTTGTTAGGCGCTCGAACCCCCATCGCACTGACGTCGACCATGCAGCAAGCCCAGATATAAATCTGACAGTTCACTATCTCCACATTTTCTTCCTTCTTCCTGATGCCTTATCTGGTTCTCTGCATCTAACCTAAGCTTTTGAGCTTTACTGTGAAAATCTCAGCCTTAGACAATGTGTATTGTGCTGTATCTTCCATAGTTGATGGTATGTAAACAAACAAATCCCGCTTGAACCAACCAGAACACCAATATTATCACTTCGCAACCAACACCAATAACAATAAAAAAAGCGAAGCTGTGCGGGCTGACTCTTATCTTGCTAATGCTATAGCTCAATTTAGATGCCCTCACCCGGTATTCCGCATCGGCCTTCCAATCGAGGAAGTGCAAAGAACCCCGCTTCGAAGCCCAAACGCTTGGACTTGGGCGATCCCTTAGGGCCTTATGACACCAACACGGTCAGGGAAAAGGTTCGAAAATGGCAGCAGCAAGGCGGTGGTGTTGTGATTGCTCCCGATGTTGGGGCAAGCGACGACGGCGACGGCGACGGCGAAGGGGACAGGAGCAGTAAGGAGAGCGGACTCGCGGCCAGACAGAAACGAAAGGACAGATCCGGTCAGGAAGGCGCTGGGAAACAGAGGATGCGTGAGCCCGAGGAGGGCGAGAAACAGAAGATAGCAAATCGTACGATCGGTACTGCACCGAAGAAACGGGTGGTGAGTGACGGACATTGGAGAAAAGATAGGATCCCGGCAGATTCGCCTTCACCTACGAAAAGGACATCGCGAAAACACCCCGACGCGTGCAATAGATATGAAGAAACCAAGGAGAAGTTTGAAAAAAGAACGGAAAAATATGGCAATCCAACATCTGGGGATGGAATAAAAGTCTACGCTGGACCTTTGAGAGAGCCGAAGTCGCCGGGCGCAAGGCGCTCTGATGGCTCAGAACGAAGTAACTCTTCGACAGACCACAAGAACAAGTACCATGGCCGCGATACGAAGAAGTCGCCCTCGAGGCACAGATCTACGAGAAGAGAAGTGAAGGCAAAATACATAGTTAACGATTTCCCATACAAAAGCGATCATTCGAAACCGAACGAGTCAAGTGAGGCTGCGAGCTTATCTGGTAAGGAAAACCGAGCTGCAACACCTAAAACTAAGACCCCTCCTCGATATATGAAATCCACAAAAGGCGGGTTCATCAACCAAGTCGTCGGCGAGCCAAAAAAGAAATTCTCTAAGAAGGATCTACCTCCCGTCCAGCAATCCCATGGATCCAAGGTGGAAGCATGGCTTTCGAGAACTAGTGATCCCTTCGTCAGCGACCATGAACCATACGTGGAGATACCAGCTCCTTTGAAGTCTTCACCCCGAAGAAGCGATTCCGGCAATGAAAAGGACAGTGATCCCAATCGGCACTCGAGGTCAGAAGGCCATCGCAGCTCTACGAAACGCAAGTCTAGAACTTTGCGTAGACCCCAAGAACGCTTCAGCGGCACCGACGAAGATGACCACCAGAAGGAGCCAAGCTCTACACGGAACGATCGTACAGAATCGTCTCCACCTAATTTGAAGAGATCAAAAGCTAGCAGACGACCAGAATCCATGGAAAACCGTCGAATGTCAATGCTGCACGAATCTATCGAGGAAGCTATTCAAGCGTCCGCCGTCTTCGACCGTCCTGTCTCTTCGGATGGCTCGGAAGGGTCATCGGCAGAACGACCTCCTCCTCTAACCTTACGAAGGCTATTCCCCGGTACCGGTATGCACAGATTATCTACAATTGTCTCAGTGGACACTCTAGGTACGGCAACAGAGCCAAGTGGGGAGCCTACAAAGAATATGAACAAACTGCCGGCAGCCCTAGAACATGACGATGTATCCGAATCTGAAACTAGAGACCAATTCGACCCCAACTCCATTCCTGGCCCTGGTGCTAGATCTTTGAAACGCAAACTTACCACTCATTCCGATCTAATGTCTGTGTTGTCCCTTCCGGCGGGTGGCAGTCGCAGTATCAGGTCTGCGAGGAGCATTCGTACAAATAGAAGTCGCCTTGCCACTGCTACTGTGGGAGATATCATGCGAGAACTTGCGTCAGATGAAGGGAAGTACATGCGAGAGCTCAGGACTCTCGTAGGTGGCGTCATTCCCGTGCTATTGACATCTGTCCTATCGAAGGCCGATTCCGCAGTTGCTGCTGGCTTATTCCGTCCAAGTGCCAAACCTACTGATGAGGATAGCTTCACGAGGCCCATCGTGAATATGGGAGTCTCACTCGAAAAATTGAAGTCAATCCATAAACGGATCCCCCTAGAGGATCCTGAAGCTCTTTTGGCCTGGGCTCAAGGAGCACAGAAGGTCTATGCTGATTACCTATCGGCATGGCGGCTTGGCTTTCAAGATGTCGTGGTTAATCTCGCTCCTCCAGATCCGGATGAGCTTTCCAAGGGCCCGAACTCGGATGCTCAAAGCCTTTACGCTGGCATGTCACAAGACGAAAACGGAGACGTAATTGACGGTGATGGGGAGCGAGTTGATGTCGCTTATTTGCTTAAGAGGCCCCTTGTTAGATTAAAGTATCTTGCAAAGACGTTTAAAGGACTGAATTACATACAGTCCTCTCCCAAGACCAAGGAGATCCAGGACAAGTATCAATCACTTGTCACTGATGCCCGACGCAGGGCGAATGAAGAACGAGCAAGACTTGAAGACGAAGCCGCGAATGCTATTGATACTAGCCGAGCTCGTGATATTCACACTTTAGCAGTCTTGAAGAATGTCGAGGCGAAATCAAGTCGGAGAGTCCGTGCCCGTGACTTTTTTGACCTTTCATTCCTCCATACGACTGGACAGCAAATTGATTGCCGGACTGAGCTATTGCTGCGAGATAATGCAACGGAAGATGGCCCTGGCGGAGATTTGTTCATATGTGAGGTCGATAGTGCCGGGCGTTGGCTCCTATTTCCGCCAATCGACCACGGTCGAGTTTCGGCCAGGAACGGGGATAGCAAAGGCGAAATTGTCATAATGGTTCGGGGAGTACCCGAAGAGGGGGGCAATTGGTACGAACTTTTGGCTTTGAAAACAGAAGACGAACAAATTGGTTTCGAATGGGTCCAAATGCTCGGCCTCAGCCCAGTCCCACCGAAGATAAATCGATCAATGAGTTTCGTTAATCGAGCCAAGCAGAAGAAAGTACATCCACAAATTGATCTTAAACGCTCTGAATCGGTTGTGTCGACGAGGAGCATTATCCCAAGTCCGACTGATATTGGAGTCCCCATCGGTGAAAACGCTCTGAGATTCAAGTCCCAAATTGAAGACGATCGGGCTGCAAACGCTGCTCTCCAGGTCTCTCGAGATTCGACGTCTCCGGAGTCATCGCGCAATGCTTCAACTGTGCAAAAAACAGCAGGGTATGATCCTCGGACCCCTCCAGCCCTGGACACAGTAGTACGTACCCCTCGATGCCTTAATGAGGCTATGGAAATGGCTGGAGGCGCTTCACCAACGACGTTGAAGAGATCAAAAGCGAAGAGACGGTCCAAATATGGCCCGCTTTCCCCAAGTAGCCCGATATCCTCCGAGGATGCGCGAACTCCTGAACAGGATATCAAACCGGCAATCGCTCCCCCTGAAGCAGAACCACAAGCGAGGAAGCGTAATTCTGAATTGCTGGCACGATCTGTCTCACCCGAATTGAAAGATTTCAGAGCGATGAGACGTACCGAAAAGGGGCAGAGACCTATTGCGGAGGTCACAAGGCTGGGTAGACGGTCTGTGTCTCCAGTGCCGTCGCTGGACCTACCGTCTATACCTAGGCTCAGAAAGCGCACGCCAATAGAAACTCCACCATCGCCCCCTGTCCATGCTGCTGATAGCAGCCCGGTTTCTTCTAGGCCTAAGACTCCGAAGAAGCGCGACGAGAGTGCCGAAGAACCGTTCCTCCGAAGTGAGTCGAACGATCACCCTATTTATACTGAAGATGTTCCTGTACCCCCACCGCATAGGTCTCCTAGCCCTTCACGCTCGAAGCAATCTTCGCTTTCAGCAGCAACTCCTACCTTTTCACCCTGGGCCCGTCATAGGCGGACTTCATCTCCCTTAAAACATGAATACGAACCGTCTACAGCTACGGAATCCACCGAGTCAACAACTTCAACTGTTGAACGCCATACGATTGATTCTTCCTCGGAGACGTCGGATGAAGAATTGGAAGGCAACGACATCGTAACACCATTGCCACCGATTAACGCACAGCGCGTTAATAAAGTCTCACCTCCTCCCTCTGCACCAACTCTGCCTGAAGAGAGCTTATCTCCGTCTAATTCCCCGTCGCAAGCGCCCTACAAGACTGTTCCATCCCAGCCTTCAAAGGCGTCTAAGACGATTGCATCTATATACTATTGGCATGATAAGGGTTCATGGGAAGCACTGCACACTGACGAGTGCAGCATTGTGGTAACTCCAGGTCTTATAGAAGCATACGAAATGGGCCCTGCTCACTCACAGCCCATACCCGAATCGAGCGAGGATTCCCCCGAGTCAGATAAGGGCGTTCCGCAAGGAAAGCCGCTTATCGCCTTGGAATTGACGCCTCTTGTACCAATACGACGAGGAACAGCACTGGATATCAGTATTCGCTCACCCCCGACTTCAAAATCTAAACTGAGATTCTCGGGAAATAATATCATGTTCCGCTCGCGGAGCCCAGATGAATGCGACCAACTTTACAATCTTATCAACCAGTCCCGTATTAATAATCCAACATATATTGCTTTACAGAACGCTCGTGGCCCTTATTCAAATCAGCAAGCACCACTCTCGCGTTATAACTCCACGAGGTCTTCTAAGGGAGGCGGTTGGTTTAGCTGGTACGGCGGTTCTTCAAAAAGTAGCTATCGCGCTACCAGTGCACCCGCTCCTTCTGTTGCTGGTGTTACTGAAAGCAGTGTTGGGACAATGGCCAGCGCATTTTCCGCACTCAAGAGATTCGGCGCGGGCAGCAAGATGTTCAGCATCGCCAAATCGACTCTGACTTCCCGTACAGGCAGCCGTGGTGGAAGCCTCTATTCTACATCTACCCGGTCTGGGTCTAATTCTTTCCCTGCAGGGCCACCCAACGGTAAAGGACAAGAACAGTCTAAGCTTGCAGCGGGTGGAATTGGTCTTACAAATGCAAAAATCAGACTTTACTGCCGCGAGTCGGCGTCGAAATGGCGCGACATGGGTGCTGCAAGATTGACCATCCTTCCTGCCTCGCCAGCTGCGTCGCCACCCGGAACATCTTATAAGAGTGCTCGGGATTCCTCTGGTGCTCTTGAGAATGAAACTGGCGCAGACGGGGCGACAGCAACATCTCCTCCAGCTTCTGCTGCTCTACATACCGCTACCCTACCGTCTCGTCAGCATGAGAAGCGTATACTTATCCACGGGAAAGCTTACGGGCAGGTGCTTCTCGATGTGTGTCTAGGAGAGAGTTGCTTTGAGCGGGTGGCTAGAACTGGCATTGCTGTGTCTGTATGGGAAGACTTTCAGGGTGTTGCGAAAGAAGGAGGAGTTGTGGGAGGTAGCTTTAAGATTTATATGATTCAGATGAAGAGCGAGGCGGAGACTGCGTATACGTTCGGACTGGTGGGTAAATTGAGGTATTAAATTGCTCCTGCTTAGTTACATGGCTGGATTTTCATTTCTAGCTCTTCCTGCTTCTTTTTCCCCCCTCTTTTCCTTTTTTTTTTTTTTTTTAAAAAAAAAAAAGGGTTGCAGCCAGTTGCTTTTGACTTTTATTCATGCCTAATGATCCCATGACCTGTTAACGCGTTATATATCCCTTTGATTTGCTTTATTGGCATTGATACCCTTGTCCTACACGATGGTCACAATATCAAGTATAGACGTTGGCATTCTATGTATCCATGTACATTGACGAACCCGCGTTTCGTACTAGGAATGAGCTGAATTTTCATTCCACCATAGCTCGGGAGGGATCGAACCAAACGAAGTGTAGATACGGTGTAACTATAGATTGTTTTTATCGATGCACATAGGGCCATTGCATCTAGTCTAATGTCGTATAGGGTATCTATAAGCATATCTGACCCAATTATAAACCATATCTTGTACTATTTTCTCATTAAATCCCCATTTTGTCTGTATTTGTCGATAACCCTGCGAAGCCATCCCGTTTAAACAAGTATCGGACCCCGTTGCCTTCTTCTCCGAGTAACGATAAAAGAACATCGTCGCCAATCTGCTCTTCTAGTGATTTTCTATGTTTGGTGACGAGAAGTGGAGTGCTAATGTGAGAATACTGCATGAGAGAGCGCATTTTCCTTCTTCTCTTGTTGGCAGCATTTTTTCTTTCGCCGGTTGATGGATGGCTGAGAAGTTTAGACGCCTTGATTAGCGAAGGCGGATCTGGGATTTCATCTGAACCGTCACTCTCCGTGAGGCTCTCGGAGTCAGACAGGTTGTCCCCATTATCGCCAACATCCGCTATAATTGAAACATCTCTTCCTCTCCCCTCGCACTCGCAGCCTAAAAGGTCATGTGTTTGACACTCGGCATCCTCATCGAGTCTAAACAAATCTCTCAATTCTTCCCTAGAAAAATGCGCTACGCTGTTTTTCTGATCCATCACGCTATCTGCTAGACCAAGTTTCGTAACTTGTCTTTGCCAGATCTTCTCCTCGAGTCCGCCTCTAAGTAACATTCGGTAGATGTGACAGTGTCTCTTTTGCCCGTCACGATGGATACGCGCCATGGCCTGGATGTCCGTCGCGGGATTCCAGTCCACATCAAAGAGCACCAGGCGGCTGGCGCCGGTGAGATTGAGCCCGATCCCCCCAGCTTTTGCAGAAAGGAGAAATGCGAAGCAGGATTTGGATGACGAGCGGTTAAAATCGTCAACAAGGAATTGACGTTTGCTGGCTGGGGTAGAACCATCGAGGCGTAGATATGGGAGGGATAGAGACGACAAAAGAGCCGCGAGAAGGTTGAGAGTTGATGTGTAGTTTGACACTAGCACAATCTTCTCCGACGTTGTGCTGTGCAGGTTGTGGAGCAGCTGGTCCAGAACTCTAATTTTGCCGCTCGATGCGGGTGAAAAATGTCGAAGCAGATTAGGTGGGAGGGTCGATATGAGAGAGCTGATTGTACAATTCGGGTTCTCATCCTTTAAGACTTTTAGAGTGAGCAAAGAAGGACTATTGCAGAGCTTCTTTAGAATCGTAATAAGCTGCAAAGCACTCTCCGAGTTTCCGAGTGCTGACTGGAATATCGGAGAGGCGATCACATGGCGGTATATATTCGCTTGGGCAGGAGTCGGATTGCAAAACAGGATATATTCAGTTTTGGGTGGGAGATGCTTAGAAAGGATATCTGCGGTCCGGCGCAAGATAAACTTGGACGTTAGACCTGCTAACTCCTCGCTTCTAGCCTCACCCTTTTCGATGTCCTTCTTGGACGCGCCTGGCTGCCTGGACTTCACAATAGGGCCTTCAAATTCTTTCATAAACATTTTGAAAGTGCCCAACAGACCAGGGTTGACAAAATCCACCATAGCGAAGAACTCACTCAAGTCGTTTTGAATCGGCGTTCCCGAAAGAATGATACGTCGAGCAGTATTAAGGGATTGAATCGCCTGGGCACTTTTATTCTGAACGGTCTTCAATCTGTGCCCTTCATCTGCGATGACGATATCAATCCCACGACCTTTGGCCAATTCCTCTTGCACAGTTCGTAATCTTTCATACCCGATGATCATAACATTATAACTCATTCCCATCGTAAAATCCGTAAGCCTCATGTGTTTTCCATCCGCAACAAACACGCCAAGTCGATCATTTCCTAACCATTTTCTGAATTCTTTTTGCCAATTCTTAATCAGCGTCACCGGGCATACGATGAGAGCCTTTTTAACCACTGGGGATGCCCCGTATATTGGATTTTGCTTCATTAGAGTCCACAGCAAAGCTATTGTCTGTAATGTTTTCCCAAGTCCCATTTCATCCGCAAGGATGGCCCCTTCACCGTTGAAAGGGCGCATTCCCATAACGCATTCGTAAAGAAACTTGACACCCTCGCGCTGATGTTCGCGAAGATGTTTTCCCAGGAGAGGGTCAACGACGACATCAACGATCTGCTTATCCTTTGGAACTGATTCTGGGCGTTTCATCACGATTGCTCCCGGCTGGTTTGGGTCATGTCGTGGAGTGACTTCTTTGTTCGGTTTCGACGGCAGTACAGAGTCTTCTTTCAAGGGGTTTTTGAAACGACTATTCGTTGCAATACTTTTTGGTGCTGCAACATTAAGCACCTTTTTTACAGCTTCTTCGGCCTCACGTACTTCTACCCTCCTTCCAATCACTGCCGGCTTAGTAGCATCTGGTTTTCGTACGGAACCAATGCGAGAGACACTAATCGGTGTCATTCGCGGTAGCTCTGGCTTCTTCAATAATACATCAGGCGACTCCCTATTTACGCCGAGGAATGAACGACCGGCGAGATATTCTTCCTTGGAAAGTATTGAGTCGACCTCAACATCCTTCCCGCCAATGGACAGCGCTGAGCCAGGTTTTAGGGGAGAATTGAACATGATCCGGCCCATGTCCTTTCCAGAAACATCTTGGAGATAGGCATAGCCACCTCGAAGGGACAAGATCCCGTCACCATCCCATGTCCTATGCTTTTTGGCCGTAAATTTTCGCCTAGAGAGCAAGCGTGGTAAGACCACGCATTTGTCAGCAACGGTCGATGCACGCGTACACATAGATATAATAGAAAATCGGAGCCTCATTCACCAAAGAACATTGTAGTAGCCCTCTACGCCGCCGTCGCCGCTTGCCGTGTCATTCCGCCCAGTCTTATCGAGAAGCTTGGACGAGTTATTCGCCAAGATCGACGGTTTCCGATAGAGAGCCTGGCCACTTTTCACAACATGTACTGTCCCATTAGGCTTCACTCCTTCTTCAGTCGCTACATCGCTGGCCTGGTCGCCGATACGACGCCGTTTAGCGGAGGGCTGGGAAACCGATTCAGAGGTATCCTGCTGCGTTTGGGGAGCGGAGGGCGGCCTTCGGATGAGCGGAGGCTTAAAGGGCTTGAATGGCATCTTCACCGGGCATCATACTCCCGCTATCATCCCAGACGCGCCTTAACAACTGAAGGATGGAGGTTTGATACCACAGGGAGTTGGATCGGAACACGTGAGGTCGCGTCTGAGCCCGGTTCTTTTAATTGAAAACGCGGGGTCACATGATTAGTTAGTTAAATTGCTTTAACTAGTTAGTGAAGTCAAATTCAGATAAAGACAGCCAACATAAGCTCGGCTGCTTCCATGCGCAACATACTATTTTAATTTGTCTAACAAGATGTATAGGATTCAACTATTATTCAAAATATCCTCCAAAGATAGAAACACAGCTCCTAAAGACTTCTGCTTGGAGAAAAAAAGAGGAGAAAAAACAATAGCAAAGTCGTCACGCTAAAAAAAAAAAAAAAAAAAAAAAACACCAAACTTGAAGACACCCAAGTCAATGCACCCATCATTTTATCATAAAGTCGTCTAAAGCTCTTCGCTTTATTCGTAGAGGTCTTTATCCCCCATGTCGTCTTCCAGTTCTGCAATAGCTTCATCTTCATCAATCATTTCCTCGTCCTCGTCTTCGCTGCCAACGTGGTTCGGGAGCACCGTGATATGGCCTCCCTGCATCGCCACACGCGCGACTTCATCATCTTTGATAGCTCCTCTGAGTATCAACACCGCGAGTCGGTTCAAAATCTCTTTCTCAATGAGCCTGGACAGTGGGCGGGCACCGTACGCCGGAGAATAGCCAGCCTTTCCAAGATAGTCTTTGACCTCATCTGTACAAGAGATTTTGACGTTTCGATCGTTCTGCTCGAGCCTGCGCTGAATCTCGCCCAGTCTAATGTCCACAATTCTTCTAATTTCACGCTTGGATAGTCTATTGAAAATGATAATGCTGGAAATTCTGTTGAGGAATTCGGGTAAAAAGTAGTTGCGCAGAGCGCCCATGACAAGCTCTTTAGTGGTTGGATCGATGGCTCCATCGGCAGTGTTAGGTCGAGAAAGGTATTCAGCACCCAAATTGGACGTCATGACGACAATGCAATTGCTGGCGTCCACGATTCTTCCCTGGCCATCGGTGATACGTCCATCGTCCATCAACTGCAAGAGCACGGTAAGGACCTCTTTTGCAGCTTTCTCGACTTCGTCAAAAAGGAGAATAGAGAATGGACGACGTCTGAGAGCTTCAGTGAGTTGGCCACCAGCGTCATGGCCCACGTATCCAGGGGGAGCCCCGATCATACGGCTGAGAGAATGACGCTCTTGATACTCCGACATATCGAATCGAATCATGGCCTTGGGGTCATCAAAGAGGAATTCAGCCAAGGCCTTCGTCAAAAGAGTTTTACCTGTTCCCGAGGGACCGCAGAACAGGAAGCTGGGGGGTTGATTTGGATTCGCGAGGCCCGAACGCTGCAGCCGAATCGCATTGCTGACCGATTGAACAGCTTCTTTTTGTCCAATAACGATCTTGCCTAGATGGGACTCCATATGGAGAAGCCGGTCCTTTTCCGATGTTTTCAACCTGGTAACCGGGATACCCGTCCATCGAGCAACAATCTCGTTTATCTGCTCCGGGCCAACTGCGTCGGCGAGGAGAGTCTCGCCCTCCGCCCCAGCCTGAGCAACCGCTTCGGCGTCTTGGCGGGCTCGAGCTGCTTCCAGTCGTTCGATGCGCTTTTCAACATCTGGAATGGCGTAATAAACCAAGTCTGAAGCCGTTTGCATGTCGCCGGATCGTGTGGCCTCTTCTGCTTTAACCTTGAGCTGATCGAGCTTCATTTTTGCGTCCTGAATATCGCGGCTACGTTGCTTCTCACGCTCATATTTTTCACGGAGCGGCCGTAATTCTTCGTTGACGTTGGCTGCCTCTTGCTTGGCGACCTCCAATCGTGTTTTCGAGGCGGCATCCTTTTCCCGTTCCAAAGCGTGGATTTCAATTTGCAACTGGCGCAGTCGCCTTTCCATATTGTCAATAGCTTCAGGCTGTGATTCTCGAGCAACGCGAACTGCGGCGGCTGCTTCGTCGATGAGATCGACGGCGGAGTCTGGAAGTCGCCTGGCAGTGAGGTAACGGGCAGCCAATGTCGCAGCAGAGACTATTGCTGCATCGAGGATGTTGACACCGTGGTGGACCTCGTATCTCTCCTTTAAGCCTCGAAGAATGGAGATGGTTTCGCTGACCGAGGGCTCTTTAACGAGAACCTGTTGGAAACGCCGCTCGAAAGCTTGGTCCTTTTCAATATACTTTCTGTATTCTCCAAGGGTGGTCGCGCCGATGCAATGTAGCTGCCCACGTGCAAGCATTGGTTTGAGGAGGTTAGCAGCGTCCATACCACCTCCTCCGCTGTTACCGGCTCCCATGAGAAGGTGCATTTCATCGACGAAGAGAACGATCGTCTCCTTTGACTCTTCAATTTCCTTCAGGACACCTTTCATGCGCTCTTCGAACTCGCCACGATACTTGGTGCCAGCGACGAGCGCACCCACATCCAGAGAAAGGAGCTTGCAATGAGCGAGGTTTGCAGGAACATCAGCGTTAACGATTCGTCGGGCCAAACCTTCGACGATTGTGGTTTTACCTACACCAGGTTCACCGATGAGGACCGGGTTGTTTTTGGTTCGTCGACTCAATATTCTGATGACCCGTCTGATCTCTTCTTCTCGGCCGATGACGGGATCTATCTTCCCTTCTCTCGCCAGGGCTGTCATGTCGATGGTGAATTTCTTGAGGAATTCGCTGTCCACCTCGGAATCCGCAGTTTTGGAGTCCACTCTCTTTGTCCCACGAATCTGCTGGACGGCGGAGTCGATCATCTTCACGTCGGGAACGTTCGAATCAGCCAAGGCCCGCTTGACGGTAGAGTCCCCGGCCAAAGCGATAATAAGGTGGTCGATGGCAACATAGCTATCCTTCTGTGTTTTGGCGAGTTCTTTGGCGGAGCGTATGACCTTGGCTAGGGCGGGAGAGATGGCCAATTGCGCGGGAGGGGGGTCCTGACTGGGTAAGCGGACCAGGGCCCTTTGCAGGGAGCGATCGAGCTGCTGTGTATCGCCATGGGCTCTTTCGACGACCTGTTTGAAGAGGGGGATGGGCGCTGATTTCCCTCCATCTTCAGTCTCGGCGAGGATGGGATTCAGGAGGGCAACAGCCAGGTGTATGGGTGCGATCTCGGGGTGTGCAAACTGGTCAGCAAGCTCTCCAGCCTGCTGGATGGCCTCGTTGGCCCTGTCTGTGAATTGAGAAGTGTTCATTGTTGGGAATATCGGAGAGGGCCTAAGGGGTTCAAGCTAAGCTAGAAAAGAAACTCCTCTAAAGAAAGCGTTCTTAAAGGCCGTTCTCTTTCAAAAAAAAAAAAAAGAAAAGAAAAGAAAAGAAAAGAAAAAGAAAAAGTACATAACATGCAGTTATGAAACTCGTGTGATTTAGATGTACAAGGAGAAAAAGAAGAGAGAGAGAGAAGGGAGAGACAACCAAGGGACGAACCGCAACAAAGGCCTGATATAGCTCTGATCCGAGCGTGGGGTTTCCCTGGCCTGCTGTGCTCGCCGCTTCACGCCAGTTCGAGGCGTTTCGGGAAAATCGCGGCGGCTTCCAGAATCAACGACGTAATCCCACGTGATACTGTGCTTTTGATTGGGCCACTGGCGGGCGGTCTCCACCAATCATACCACGTGGATCCCGCAACGGGCAGGAACTTCCTGCCAATTTTATAACGTGCTTCTTTTTTGCCCCTTCGCGCGCCTGCCCAATTTTGGTTTGGGCTGCTGCTCTTGCCCTGCAAAGGGGGAAGGGGAAAAAAAAATAAAAATAAAAATAAAAAGAAAAATAAATAAACAAATAAAAATAAAATATCTATACACACAAAGAAGCGAGGCTCTGTTTGTCCAATTGCTCCTTCCCGGCTCGGGCAGACGATGAAACTCTTTCTGTAGCGGGAAAGAAGGGGGGGGGGTTTGAATCTCAGAAAATGCGAAAGAGCGTACAGGAAAGTGCAGCAGCGACGCGCCTTTCCCGGAACGCCAGCCGCCGACAGCCTGCAGCTGTGGCACAGTCATTCAAGGGCATAAAACTATTACCGCTAAGCAACCAAGGCTCATGCCGTGAAGTGACAAAAATGTAGGAGACCAGCCTCACTGGCGATTTGGCGCCTTGAAAGACATCCACCTCGAGCCTCATGATCTCGAATGTCAGGGCCGAGCTGCGGAGAATTATATCAGTCACCGTTTTGCAAACGCATCCCGGCACTTGTCCAGTTGAATGTTTTCCAACACCCAATTGCAAGCCAGTACTCTGTTGCGGCCAGGTCCTCCCAGAGTATGCATTATCAGAGAGAGAGATGTGGAGTTAAATGTTCACACACGACTGTCCGCCGTCTGCTGGTCTCGTTCAGACCGGTGTATGCGCTGAGATACGTTCATTCCATGCATCTGTCGTTTCAACCGGGCCTCTTTCAAACGAGATCATACCTCCCATTCGCCTTATTGCCTGCAGAGTACCTGGTTCCAAAGTCCATCAGCCCTGTTTTAACGCAGGGTACGTAGGGTACCCTGCCTAAGGGCGGAATCGCCCGACATTTCAAGGGTTCTCCTGGGAGTCTCGAAACATGGGATTTCCCCGGCCCAGTTGAACCCCGATGCCGAATGGCTGTTGCAGACAGTCGCAGTCGTTGAACGCTATAACTGAAGACGACCTGTCCAACTTGGTGAGGACGAATGGAAACTCACATACAGTATGCATAGGTTTTCCGGCGGTCGTATGTATTATCCACCCTTGTAGCACGGGCGTATCCGCCAACTAGTAGGGACTAATATGCAGTCTTGGACACCCATCTGTCCTACCATAGTCCGGGCTTGTCTTCTCTCTTTAAGCGCGTTGCTAATATCCCGTTGAGGTATCGCCTTTGGTGGGTATGTATGTATGTACGAGGAAAGACTTTATCATGATGCCTCAGTCTATCTACAGCTGCCAGAAGGAGGCCTAATAGACGAGCCATGATTTCGGGCCCCTTTTTCAGCGGTTTACGGGCAATTAGCCAGAGTGGTTTGGTTCGGGCAAGGGTTTGCAAGTCCAATTCATTGACATCTCTTCAGACCCCAATTTGAATGACCCAAGGAAGATGGAAATTTTTTTGCCCCGTGATGTGCTCGGCATCGGGTGCAAAGATTCCCATTAAATCTGGCGAAGAGGCCTATCGAGCCATGTCGAGTAGGGGTGAAGTGGATGTGACTAGATACATACGTAGCCGTTTCTCTGAGAACCTGAACTATTGGATAAAGTGATCATTGGTGAATGTATTTTGATCTCACAAACGGTAGTGGAATCCCTCGCTCTCTTTATCATCCTCTGTGACTTGGTTGTTCCACTGGGAGCCAGCCTGTAGCGCGACAACCAACACACGGCTTGGTGACTCCAGGAGATAGTGTCGAGGCAACAGCGTAAAGTTCGCTCAACTGTGGATAATTGTAGGACGTGCCCTAGCTGCGTCTACAGTGGAGTGCATACGTCGAGACGCGGAACGCTACGACTTCAAGAATGTGATAACTCCCTAGCTTTTTCGCCTCACGGCCGAGGTGATGCGTACTCCGTACTTGCATACGAAGAATAACCTTGGGCGGGTGGGAAAAAAAAAGGGCTCATGATTTAAGTTACCACGGCTGGGTCAAATCTTCGCCCTGTGGGAGAGAAGGTTCCAACACCTTCCGAAGCCGCCGGAGACTACTCCCTATTAGCTGTTGGGTTTTGGCGTTGACAGGTGATCTGTCGCACGAAAGCAGCATTGACTCGCAGCTCGTTGACAAATAGCCGGCGAAGGAGATCCCGTTGCTCGGGACGGATCAGGTTTCCTTTTCCCGAACACCTGCAGACACACCTTTTCGCCTGGGACTGTCAGCGTTGGTGCGGAGGCTGCTGAGGCTGCTGAGCAGGGCATCCGTTCCGAGGCTGGCCAGTTTTGGAGGGTGAAGAACAGGGACGGTCCCCATTTAAGGCCTGCTGCGACTGGGCGCGGTGGGAACTGGGCTTGCCCGCCATAAAGTCAAAGTTGTGGGCGACCAGCAGGGATCCAAGTGGCCGTGGAACCTCCCAAAGGAACACGCTCCACACTGATAGGGCGAAGATGCTCAGGGCAGAGGTACAGGACGGATTCTATCCGTGGAGACGCTGGCTTTTCGTTCTCCCGCCGAGGAGGAAAATATCGACGTCATCTGCTGAGATTTCACTCTCCCCGCTCCGTGGAAAAGGGCCAGGCTGAATATCAGGTCGGCCTCTTAAATATATATCTATGCTCGCACTGAAGCCTCGAGTCTCGACATTCGACCCTCAGAGTTTTGGGTCTTGTCGTCATTTACCTTCACCTGCAGCTGGATTTGACAGTCTCTGCTGAATCTCACCACCTGGGGGGACTGCGACTCCTAAGCAGTGACTACCTGCATAACAACATACCTCAGCTTCTTCACAGGCCCTGCTTCCAACCTCAAAAAGAACAGCTACATTTATAGAAGCTCAGCTCTCTACAAACCATACCTTCTTGTCAACATAGATTTCCCCCTCTATTCTTTTTGATATCGAATATTTTTAAAATCTATATATCACAATATACACAACAGCAACAATGGCTAAAAAACCGATCTTCGTGGCTACGCACCCCCGAGCCTGCTCCACGGCATTCGAAAGGGTGAGCCGGAGACCCCTCCATCGAATGACTCTGGCATATCGTTACATCTAGGACAAGGATTGACTCCACGTTAGGTTTTCATGACCCGCCGTGATACGCTGAGGTGCGTGCACGAGCCTTTTGGCGATGCATTCTATTATGGCCCAGAAAGGCTAGGCAGAAGATATGAGGATGACGAGGAGGCTAGAATTGCTACTGGGTTTAGCAATTCCACCTATAAGACAATATTTGAGCGTTTAGATAGAGAAGCATCTGAGGTCTGACCCATTTCCCTGTCATTGAGAAATTGCGGTTCGCCTTTGCTTCTTTTCCAACCCCCTTCTTCTACTCGTACTGTTCGAGGCCTTGCTGTCCCGTGCATTTGTTTCTTTGGCACCAGTGACACCATTTTCGAAATGAACCTTTCGTTTCGGGCGATCAAGTCGAAGATGAGCGTATACGGTTGACCCTGTCGTTCCGAAGACCACCCTTCTTACCACGTCGTTCCCCTAGTTTAACCCATGAACCATTGTGTTCCGCATTTTAATGCCGTTGAGGTGCAGTATACTTACCGTGAAGCAGGGTCCTCGTCCTTTCATCAAGGACATGGTTTACTATCTTTTCCCGGAAGATGGCAAACCTGCCAGCATCGCTCCATCCTTGCAGCAGGTCAAACGGGGCATTGGAACCGAGGGTGCCGACGGCGTCAACGGCGCCCACTCAAGCAATGGCGTCAGTTCTAACGGGGTCGCCCATGAGCCTGGCAACCCAACTGTTGTTCCCAAGGAGCTTCTTTCAAAGTTCCATTTTGCATTCTTGATCCGCGATCCACACTACAGCATCCCGTCATACTACAGATGCACCATCCCGCCTTTGGATAAAGTCACTGGTTTCTACGAATTCTACGAATCCGAAGCTGGATATGAAGAGGTTCGCAGGTTCTTCGATTATCTTCGAGGTGTCCAAATGATTGGGCCCCACCTCGCCAGTGGTAAGAATGCCGCAAACGGCTCCGCCGTGATGGACGGCAATCACGGTGCTAGCGGTTCAAATGCCCACGAAGGAGTTGAAATCTGTGTTGTTGATGCGGATGACCTCCTCGATAACCCAGCCGGTGTCATCGAGAGATTCTGCATCAGCGTTGGAGAAGAATTCACGCCTGATATGCTCAACTGGGAGAGCAAGGAGGACCAAGCCACTGCTAAAGAAGCGTTTGAGAAGTGGCCCGGGTTCCACGAGGATGCCATGCATTCTACGTCCTTGAAGCCTAGACTCCATGTAAGTGAGGCCCTTGTCTATCGTGGGTAAAGGATTCTAACGTTTCTCGAATAAGAAGAAGAAGCTAAAAACCGAAGAGGAGTTCGACTGTGAATGGCGCGAGAAGTATGGTGAGAAGGGAGCGAAGATTATCAGATCGGCCGTTAATCGCTCGATGTCGGATTACTTGTACATGAAGCAGTTTGCTATGAAGGTTTGAGGCCTCATAGGGCTGTTTTGGGTTTGAATCAGATTCCGGGTTTTGCTTCTATTTTTTCGGGCTTCGATCGTCGCTAACGAACTTGGGTGGGTTGGGAACAAGGACTGGATATGACGTTGAATTTGATATACGGATTTCACAGAACAAACAAGTAATACATGTCACACCTATAGGTTGGCCAAAGGGTCTCGCTCCTTTTGAACTTGGGAATTATACACAGTCTTATGCAACGCTCCTTACATTGTGCATTGTTAGAAATCTTGACTTCGCAATGCGTCTGATGCCTTTCTACCATGTGGCCAATTCCCTTCCACGCATGCAAACGCCGGGCCTTCGTGGCGGCATACTGTAAGCCTATATTTGTCTCACAGGCCTCAACGTCCAACTCCAGCCAACGTTTTATCTTTTTATTAAGTCTCCAAGTTAATACTCCTGCCAAACCGCGCGTACAGAGCGACTTTCAACTGCTGCAACTCATCTCGTAATTCACCCAGCTGTCCTTCTATCTTTGAAACTTCCTCGTCGATCTGTTCGGAGGAGGCTGTGAGTAAAGCCTGAGCTTCTGGGAGGGGCAGGGAGATGAAAGAGTCTCCGATTTTGTAGCTGGGCAAAGAATGTTAGGTTGCGGAGTTCTTCAAATGGGTGGTGGATGAAGGAGCTATCCTTACGGGACCGGTTCGTCTTCGTCGGCGAGATCGAGTTCGGCGGATATTTCTTCAAGGTCTTCCTTGTCTTTCTGGAGTTTACGGGTAGTGTTATTAAGGGTGTCTTTGGCAATGGGAGTGCCAACGGTGAAGGGTTTTGCACCTGTTTTGTTTTGAGTTGCTCCTCTAATGCCGTCTCTCGTTGGTGTAGTCTGCTAAAACGATTTATTTTCTCTTGGTCTTCGCGCCGGACTTCGGTCTCTTCGCCGTGGCTGGCTTCCTCGTCCTCTTTCGAGAGCTGCGGAGTGAGACGGTCAGCGGAACGAGGGGTTGGATGAGGGGGGTATACGGGTACTTGTAGAGGACGAACTGACCATGCGCCTTGAGAGCATCATTGTGTCTGTGTGAGGGGATATAACGTCTACCTATCTTTTACTCAGTGCTAAGCATTCAGACGCCGTGAGGATTTGCCATTTGGAGCTCTGTTATAGGCTATCGGAAGGCAGCTCGCCCGAGCTAGAAGGACGCCGCGCTGGGAATACATACAAGCGAGTTTAACTACTGTGTCTGGGTTTGCCTGTCTTTGCCCGTCCGTTAATCCACCAGCCCGGTTGATTAATTAGTTGTGACCAAGAGGCCGAGCTCTCACACGTTTTCTGTTCTTTTCCTTCCTTTTTTTTTTTTTCCTCCCGCCCTTCTCAGCCAAAACTGCTCGTCCGCCTGGGGATGACGGGAGTGATCACCGCATCGCCCTAGTGGCTTGGCATCGAAGTGACGACGGCTGGTAGCCATCATCATCGCGTGTCCAGCATTCCCAGGCACGGCGGATCTCAATTCAAGCACTTCTCGCAGTTGGTGATTTTGTCTTGGTGTCCGGATCGTCCCAATTTTTTTTTCCGTTCTCTCTCTTCATAGCCTGGGGAAGCCTTTCCCTGTCGCGACAGCCTAGCTGTCCCTCACCACTCACTGCTGGAAGTGGCCGGGGATAACCCGTTCAGACCCAACCACATTCAACCACTCCCACAGCCATCATGAAAGCGCCTTTAGAACTCCCGATCGTCTCTCTTCTCGCTCTTTTCCCCGTATTGCCATTGGCACAGCTAGATTGTACCAAAATCGTCGTCGATGGTAAAACGTGGGACGTGAGTAAACTAGGTGGACCGCATTCGGTTTACAACGTTGTCGATCATCCTCCCTCTGTTATCAACACCACATACACCTTAGACCTATGCAAGCCTCTGCCCAAGAGTAGCCAATGCCCGAGCGGAACATATGGTGCAGTTCGCCCTCCTTCATAACTCTACCAGGTAGACTGACTAACAATACCCACTTCTTTTACTATGTAGTGTGCGGTATCGAGCGAACAAAGCCCAAAGAAGGCGATGAGATCATATCGGGGACCATCCCCATAGCAGGGAACTACGCCCACAGTTCTGGCCGATCACTCGATCCCAAAATAACCCGTTTGAAGACCAGCGACTCCCAACAAGAAGGTCTTCGGATCGAACTGCATGGCGGTAAATACCTAAAGCGCGATCAACAAGCCGTGATAGAATTGATCTGCGATAAAGAGCGCAGCGGTCTAGATGACGAGGATAAGCAACAAAGACGCAAGCTAGTAGATGAAAAGCCCGACGGTACAGGCCAGGAGGTTTCCGAAGGCGACGACAAGGGCAACCTTGAAAAACAGAAAAGCCTTCAGTTTAAGAGTTATGGAGAAGTTGACAAGATCGATGTATTGAGATTAAATTGGCGAACAAAATATGCCTGTGAAGGCTTTCCAGAAGGAGAAGATGGCGAGAAGTCAAACCATTGGGGATTTTTCACCTGGCTTATCATCCTGTAAGTTAACTTTTCTTGAGGATATGCTGTGTTTTACTGGGTATTATGCTGATGTCGAATAACCCAATCCAGTCTTTTCCTCTGCGTTGCTGCATATCTCATTTTTGGCTCTTGGCTCAATTACAATCGCTACGGCGCGCGAGGCTGGGACCTGCTGCCCCATGGTGACACCATCCGCGATATCCCTTACCTTATGAAGGATTGGGGTAGAAGGGTAATAAATACCCTCCAAGGTCCCGGATCAAGAGGTGGCTATAGTGCAGTTTGAAAACTGCTCGTATGCTCTTTTTATGTGAGATGATGCTTTTGGAGGTTTTTGGTGCACCCTTTTTATTTTACCCTACCCACATAGAAGGGCCCTGGCATACACACTTTGTTGTCGCTTGAATTTAATGTCCTGGCCGGTTGTGCCATTATGTATACCATGCACCCGACCTGGCCCATTTATGTGTCCGTTTTATAGCATAGGACGATCGAGCTTGGATGAAGGCTCTTCACGGTCAATGAGGTCTGGAATACCATAATGTATTTCTCACTGGCGTCATGATTTTCTAGGTTCTCTAATTCTGGTATCTGGTTTAGTTCATTTTTACTTTATTTAGGTATTGTAGGTCCTATATATAGGTATTATGGCTCAGGGTTATTGTATACGAACGTTTACACTCGAGCAGACGAGAGTGCTGAGCCACGCAGCAGAAGGATGTGATTTCAATATAGGGAATTAATGTTCCGTTGCAATTCTTTCTATTATTGCATGTTTGCCAAAGCTAAGTCCATGAAGGATCTCACTTCGTCGTATAGATAAATAGGTAATTATGCATACTGCATTGAGAGGGTATCAGAATGGTTTAAAAAATAGATCATTATGGGATTAAATGTGGCTGCGATGCGTATCCCGAATTGGATATCCACGGAGTAGTTGTTCCAGATATTCCATCCCCGTCCGGTGCACCATTTGCCGTCCGGACCTTGCTCATCTGCAAACTTGGGAACGCATGCATATGTGCCGTACATATTTTGCCGAGTCTCAGAGGTTAGATGGGTCACGGTTTATATCGTCACAGCGCCACGTGCCTCTTATTGGCACGGTTAAAAGTAAGCCTTGCCTCGGGTTGCATTCTCTGTCATGCCGGGGAATGGAGGGGTTCTGGCTTTGGTTATCGGTCCACCATCGAGGTTCGAGGATGCGCTATTACTTTATCTCAGTGTGGGTAGGCTGAAAACTCGTATATCAACGCTCGATCTAAACGTGATGAGATATAGGGAGAAAAGAATATTGAAAGGTCATATAATACTCGCGATCGTCATTTTTGAATTACTGGTGTGGCTTGTTTGTGATCCGCTCAAGCTCTCCACAGGACGATCCAGCTTCGGTTCAATAAAGAAAGATCTTTTAGTTTCCGTTGCAGAAACCTGCCGCTGCCGCTGCTGCTTCGACAGAAGCATTTGAGTCGTTTGTTCAAGCCACTCCCAACCCTCCCAGTCCTGATCACATTCATCTTTGCGCGAAGGCTCACTTCTTGGTGGGTCTACGAATCGACCCCGTACTGGCGATGCAGTCGACGACGGAGAAGAAGTGGGCGGCGGAGTAGCTGTGAGCGGTGATTGATTCTCGCTATTCTGCCATACCCAACTGCCATCGATCCGGGCTTGGAGGTCAGCAGAAACGTATGCTAGGATTTCTTCATCGCGCTCCAAATGCATGATTTCCCCATGCTGCTGCTTTTCTAGCAGGCATTTCAGAAAGAATGAGATGTAGCGCCCAGCCGCGTTGTTCACGGTTCGTACGTCGCCAATCGCAGCGCTGGCTTGGATGCATACCAATGCAGCAGAGAATTCGGCTTTGAATAGGAGGAGAAGGATACAGCGCCATATGTGCGTACAAAGAACCGTATTTGCCGCGGCCGCAAGTAAATAGCGCCACTCTCCAGTCCCAGGTCCACTAGAATCCAAAGAGCCTGGAGAACGCATGCAACGTGTTAATATGCGAGTGGTATCATGGGCAACAGCTAGACATTGTTCAAGGGCAGTGCGTCTCATTTCGGGAGAACAAGCAGGCGATACGTTGTGGCGATGGAGGACTAGTCTGGTGTTCTGAAGGCATATAATCGGGGGCAGTGACTGTGGATCGAGGTACTGGTTCGAGTTAACCGAATATTCCGGAGGGAAAGACCCCAGACACATCCTAAAGTGGCACTCAAATTTCTCCAAAGTCTCCGGAGAGATCACCTGGGACTTTAGTGCTTTTGCGAGTTGAGATGCAGAACGTAGAACATGAATGGTGGCAAGAAGGGGAGTAGTCCTGGGTTCTGGCGGAGCTGGAGCCCCTTCTGAGATAAGATGTTCCTCGATAGCAGATGGTAACTCGGTGTCACAATCTTCGTCATGGATCATGAGCGGCCGGCCCAGCTCCAAAACAAGAGTCCTATCAAGCTGCACATCAGTATCAGAGTAAGGCTCTAAAATGAGATAGAACCCCCAAACCTTTCCCAGGCATACAAGGACCACCAAATTCGCCTTCTCATCTCAGCATCGAGAGGCGCCCAGCTTCCTGACTCGATATGCAACCCGAGGTCTTGCGCTATTCTCACCGCGCAGCCTAACCAAACCCAGCTGGCCGATTTTAGATTATTTTCGTACAAGAATAGACTGATTAGCATTGCTGCTCGGGCTGGATCTACGGAGAACGAGTCCTGCCACAGGTCGGTTAAGCTAAAGCTGGTCTGAATATATTCTTTGCCTTTCACGATTAATGCCGGATCTAGGGAATGTAAAGAACCGCAAGCCAAGACTGCGAAAAAGACAGACGCCCAGCCGCGTGGAACACCACGAAGGGAGCCAGCGCGATATATTCTGTCGTAGTCGTCCAACAAGGCTGGCCAGTGAAGGATTGGGAAGATTGAGTGTATGGAGGAGAAGTAGTGCCTTAAGAGGACGTCGGCCACATTCTTCGGCGGTAGAGATGGGAAATCGGACGTTAACGGAGATTGATATCGAGTATATGACGGGGTGAGGGGGAAGTTGATCAGTCCCTGGCCGTACTGTCGCATTTTCGAGCATACACCCGCAAAGTTGTACTTCGCGCTTGGAGTGTTGATGCGGTGTGGTCGACAACCAATCTCGGGAATTTTTGGGGTTCCATCGCTCATATCGTAATCATGATCATCAGGCTTTGGCAATCCCATGCGAAGTTGATGTAATTGCTGCTTTGCCTGCGCTAGCTGCCGTTCAAGGTCCTGGACCTGTCTTCAGATACGTTAACCCACTTTTGAATGGAGGGCGGAGGTCTAGAAGACTAACTTTATAGAAGACATGCGCCTATTGGTTTCCTTGGTGAACAGACACCTCACGTTGCGGTTCGAGCATTCCGTACAGCTTGAGGATTCGGAGGCGTCGCACTATGCATGGCGCAGATATAACCTTCGTTAAACAAAGCCGGTGATCTGCTCAGCTTCACTATTCCATACCTTGACTTTTCGCTCGCGACACGCATCGCAGCTGGGGTCTTTCCTTCGCTGTCTATATGCTCGTTTGTGAGGCTGTTGGGCCGCGGGAACCACATGGCCAACGGATATATTTGTGGCTTCCACGACTGGATCTTGTGGGTGACGTGCACCAATTAGCAATGGAGGCGGAGGCGGTTGGCCAGGTCCGCTGGAAGGCCGGGAATACGGTTGTGCGTTCGGATAGGATGAGCTGAGCGCTGGAGGAGTCCCCGGGGACGCAGAATTATAAAGAAGGTGGGAGATCTTGAGTCCATTACCAGGCCGATCTGGGGAGAGAGGGCTGTGCTTAAGCGAAGATTCACGGGCTGCAGCACCCGGTTGACCGTCGGAAGTCAAGGAGGGCGAGCTGTATAGGATTGGCTGCTTTGCCTGAGTCGGCTGCGATGGGAGGTATGAGCCGTGCATTTTGTCCAGTTATTTCCCTCCCTTCGCGCTGCTCACAAGAGAAATGGTCCTAAATCTCGTCGCGACGCGACTTAATCATCGGAACGGCACAGATTTTTGGCTGAATATTCGCCGGAACTGAAACCATGTGCCCATGAGACCGAGGGAAGGGTTGGCCTTTGCCCTACAAGGAGCGGCGAGGGTAGAGCAGGTTGAAAGAAAATAAATTGCAAACGTAACTCTACGAAGGCTGTTTCGGTTACATATGTACTCCGGAGTTACAGTAATAATAGAAGGCTCAATTTTAGTTCGCGGAGGCTTCGCGATTCTCAGGGATTAGAGAGTTTAGTCAGATCGAACCGAAAGTAAATTCGCGGGAGCCCTTGGTCGTCTTATCGGGTGGATTCCCGCAGGACTTGCGCACAGCTCTGGAGCCGGCGCATCCTACCGAAATCATAATCAAACTTCGAGGAGAGTTTCAGGATTAACCTGGTTGCCGAGGTTTCGCTAAATTTTGACAGGTTGTAACGGCAGGATTCCACGGATTGTGTGGGCCCAATAAGATGACGCTGTTTGCTTTCTTGGGGTCGATAGGCGACGATCAGGCTTCTGCAGCTAGAAAATAGCGAAGGCGGAAGAAGGGCCCAAACGCGTGCCACACGCAAATGTTCCGAATATAGCCAGCCTGGGGTTGAGCCGGATGCAAGGTTCCAGTCGGTTGCTCAGACACCGGGACGAGGCTTCTACACGAGCGTATCATCCATAATCTCACGGCTCGAGGGCCGATGGCCTTTGATATTTCTGCTATTTCTGCTGACCAATTTCTCGATAATTCGAGGTAGGCTCCGTACATGCTGCGATATGAGCTGATTTCGTGAATATTTTCTTCAGGGTCTTTTGACTGGGAACCCAGATGCCATGATGTCCCTCGTATTCTATGATCAAGCAAGAAGCTTAGAAGGATTTTCACCTCCCCAGTGAAAACAACCTGCTCCGCTGCCGTAACATCTCACTATTCTCGACTCTGTTCATGTTCAAGCTCAGTTACCAAACCAATTTCCCTTGTGAGAACAAGGTGCTTTGAACGAATGGACTGTCAGGACCCCGTACATGGTAGTTAGCTGACCCGTAGACTGGGTTGCATGCGCGTCCTAGTATGGATGGGCGTGCATGCATGGGGACGACCGGATACAGATGTACGTATGTGTTATGGAGAAACACAGACAGTCTGTTTCACCTCGAAAGTTTGCCAGACCATGTTTACCGCCTGAGAAGGGCCCCCCCCGATCGTCGCTGGCCCGGAAAAGTCTGAGAATTTAAGATTTGGCCGCGGGATCTCCATGATTGGAAGAACTAAAATTCGAGCCTGGGCTTTGCGGTCTTATGTTCAGAATAAGCATATTGAAAGCCGGATGCCACGCTTTGTGATCCACCGACACGGGACAATGGCATGGTTTCGACTCCATGTGGCTGAGCTTGTGATACATGGACTATCACTGCAGGTGCAGGTGAAATGGGATGGTCGCTGGTCTGCAGGCAGTGAGTTATAACAGGGCTGCCCGACTGAGCGATGCCGGGACGGAGAGCGCCCAGGTCCAGGAAAGGTCTCACAGCAGATAAGGATGTGAACCGGCACGAGCAATCTTTGAGAAGCCTCGCCAGTCGGTTGGTTAACTCGCCTTGGACTCATGCGTCATACACAGCAACGCAAGGCCACACACTGCCTTCGAGCAGCGTCGGCGCGCCAGAGTCGTCTTCTGCTGTTTCCTGTCACATGGCGTTCACTCGAGCCAGAACTGAGCGAACGAACACCTTCGTCTGCTTCATCTTTCCCACTCGCTCGCTGGTCTAGCGTCTCAGCAAAGCTCACCTCACGTTGATCTGAGAATATTTTTTTTTTTTTTTTTTTTTTTTTTTTCAAACCACGCTTAATCGAGGCGCTTCGGTCGCCTCCATTGGGAACGGAATGGCGCTTCCGTACCCCGCATCTGGGATAGCTCCTCCACATGGGCCATCGCCAACTCTCCGCCTTGTGCTCCATCGAGGGATGCGACCACATCCTCCGGGCGCTCCGGGAACGTAACTTGAGAGCTCTGTGCGTTGAGCTGATGGAGATGTGCATCTTCAACTTGCTTGCTTCGGGAATTAATAATGAGTGACGCTGCATGAGCTAACGCATCAGCTCAGGCTTTCCGGCCGCCTGGGGCGTTTCGTGTGGCCAACGGATGGCTTCGTTCAAGTTACTTGTGTACATGGCAGCATCCGCAGCACTCGTGCCACTTTTTACTTATGGTGATCGGCTGGCCAACTGTCCCAGCCACTCAGAGTAGCTCGAACTCATCTCAGGACGACGATGTGCCGGCAACAGCGATCCGCGGAGCAACCGCACCACCTTTTCCCTTCCTTTTGATTAATTAGTCTTCATTTGCCCCTCAGCGCCTTCGTTGCCAGTTTTGCACTCCTTTAGTGGTTCCCGAGAGAGAGTGATAACTGGCCCAAAAAAAAAGCCCTGTAATAATTGATTCGCGGATCTCGACATCCCGGCAAATTAACAGATGACATATTCGAGACTCTATGTCTCCCCCAAACCCCCTTGCAATTGGTGACTTCGTCTTCAGACGGGAAGCGGTTTGCGAAGCATTCCGCGGCGACAGGCTGGGCAGAACAGGGGTAGAGTTACTCCGGATGCCATAATATCGCTGGAGTGAAGAAGCGATAATATATTATTAACGCTTCTTGCTCCGCATCCTGGGACGGAATCCTTTCGGTTGGGCAATCCGAAAAGCTAGAACCATGCGCCAGAGTCCAGAACAAAATGCTGAAAACCCAGGCAAGTTACACAGTCAGCAAGGAGGAATGCATGACTTTCTCCCATGTATCTTCCGGCAAACCACTTCATTTGATAGATTATTATTTTTATTCAGTCGCAGAGAAGCCGGACGATCGATTGCCATTCCTGAACACCAAGCCATGGGACGTCTTACGTACGACTGTGTATTAGTCTCCCTGCCGAGACGGAACACACGCATTTCGGTCTCACATAACCCTAAATGAGATCAGCACATGGTTATCGTGGCACGACTTCACATCTCGAGCCCTACAATTCCGGTTCGCCCGTTTGGCGATAACCGACACCCAATCAACCCCCCGGTAAATCGGCCAAGCACTCTTCTCGCTCCCAGGGGCCCGTGCACATGGTTACGATGACCCACATTCTTGCGTTGTGAGCCGTCTCAACGGCCATTGGACGGCCAAGCAACTGTGATCCTCACCCTTGGAGATATAAATAATCATAAATCAAATGTGTGCACCCTCAGTGGGTATGAAATAACCCATGAACTTCCGTGTTGCAGAGGACGTGTGGGGACGCTCCCAGCGAGAAGCGGGCAGCGGTAATGTGCCGCAATACGGAGAGTGGAGGGATCCATAGCCAGTCGCCTCCCAACATATTTTTTTGTTGTCCAACATAACCCTTCTCTTTTTTGTTTTTCTTTTTCTTGTTGCGGGGCATTGGGAAACCCGTCTGGGCGGAGTTCACCGTCCATGTTCCGGCGACCTGGATCCCATATTTTTGAGGAATGAAGAAGCTTTTATTCGGAAGACCCTGAACCGCAACAGCTCATCGATGTCATGATTGGAAGAACGTGAGATTGCGGCTTCTCCTCACAGGCCCACTTAACCCGCCCACCTATTCGGTTCCTCGCTTCGGCGCACAGAGCTTCCATCTTCCCGCAGATGCGGGCTTCCTTACTGTGTTTTTTGCATATATGTGCCTGAATGCGGTCGGGTTTCAGACGGAAAACAAAAAGAGAGCGCCAGGGCTATATCACGACCGGGATCACTGCAACCCCCTTTCCCCCTTTCTCTCGACTTCTTATTCCAAACATTTCGTATCTTGTACCTTAACACGAAGTTGGTTCGAATTGAGACACGAGAAGAATTGTCAGCGAATATGGTGTCTGGCGTCACAGTAGACCTCCTTATTTGAGCAATATTCGTCCGAGATAGAGAAGTGGAGTCTCCACATGTATGTATATACCTCGGGTTAGTGTGCCTTCTTTTGGGCCAGTCAAGTTTGCGTTTGTCTCCGCAGAGAGAGGGGAACCGGCAAACGCCTCCATTTACTCAGCGAGATCCGCATGCGGCTCCAGATCCCATGTGATGTCGGCGCTGAGAGGTTGAAACATTGACAGGTATCATGCCACCGAACGTGTAGGGCCCCCTTCGCTATGATAAGCCAGTAGCATCATGGCTTATAGAACCCAAATTGATCCATCAAGACCACTATCAGTTCCAGACAATAAGCGGGACTAACGAGCAAAGGAACCTCCCAAACCAAAGTAACTAAAGCGAGAGAACTCCATAACACCCTTGTATGCACTTCAAAACCCCGCTCCCCTGAAAGTACCCGTCTGATGCATGCGGATAAAGTGAAAATCCAAGACAAATCTAGAATCAGGATTGCGCTTCTTTCTTCTCTTTGACTTCTTCCCACTTGGCAAGGATCGTGTTAATAATTTGCGCCAGGCCTGCGGTCTCCTCCTCCGCCACCTGGCCAGAAAGGTCGATACTACACCCCACGTAGACAGGCATATTCATCCTGCGGGCCAATGCCTGGGCCGTGCGCCTGGCGTAGTCGATGGTGTTTGGGGTAGTATACATCGAAGTGGCCAACGTATCACCATGATGCAGGCGCTATTAAAAAGCGAAATGCGGGGATGAAGTTAGCAGATTGTGGTTCAGTGCTCCTTGCCCTGCCGCCGGAATATTCAATGGAGTTATAAAATTTCGAAGGAATGTCCGACAAAACAGGACTTGTGCTATCGACCGGGCAGATGGGAAAGGAATGAAAAGGCATAGATGAGAAACTACTGAACAACAACAACACCGGGAAAATTGCGTAGTGGATATAAAAGCCGGGGGTGTACATCGTGTTATACCATGGATAACAATATCCACCCCATCTTTTGAACATGAAAAATGAAACATTTTAATTCCGGGGGAACTTGATGGAGACCTACATTGGGCATCGCATAGACAAAACTCCCCATTGGCCTCGTAACGCCTTTTGATTCACCGGTTGAAGTAGTTGTAAGAAACACCATGGTTGTCGTTGCGAGGAAAGTGAGATGGATATGAAGTGTTGTATAGAGAGCTCTGCGAAGCGGGAAGGAGACCTCGATAGGTGAGACGGATGGTGATTTTGCGTCTTGCGTCATGGCTATTGGAACTGTGGTTTATTGTTTCTGATGGGAGCTTGAATTATATCCCGCAAAAGATTAATGTCGCGATGCTCTCCGTCAAAAGAGATGTTGTGGCAAAGCGGAACAAGTCTTAGTAATAGATACATGGGACTGAAATCCCAATACAAATTCACCGCTCGGCGTCTCAGCGGCGGCTCGGGCGTCTGCACGCCGAAATCTGCCCCTGGAGTTGCCGGGACGCTAGCCCAAGGCCATCCCCGCGATTAGTGGTGAAATTTATTTTGTGTACGCGGATTTCACCCAAACTTACTAGCGTGCACCGCCCGCCAGCCAACCAGACGCTGGCATTTTGCCCGCGTCCCAACCGCATTCAGCCCACTTCGACCTTCTTCGATGGTCCGGTTGCAATGGACGCTCGATGCCAGATACCCCGGTGAAGGGATATAGCAATAAGCTCCTGGATATACATACATGTAGAGCTATTTTCCCCCGGGGGCTCAGCGAAGAAAGGGAAACTGGTTCCGTCAAAGTGTCATCACTGTCGTTCACTCGCCGCTCGCGACCTCAAATGTCAACGGAAGAAAGACAGGACATGGAGGATGGGGAGCAAGACGAATGGGGAGGCGAATACGATCCGCTGTCAGACCCCCAAGAGCGCAGGGTTCTCTTTGCAGCGTTGGATTCTTTCAGGTATGAACCGAACATCGAGCTTGGGTGCCGAGCACAAGTCGCACGCAGGAATTCAAGAACGAAGAAAACCTCTAGCAGCTATGCATAGATACACGTTGCCTTACTTGTACCTTGCTCAAACATCATCTTTTAGCATCAATATTCCCAGCCGAAACCATGCAGCCCGTCCTGTGTAGCGGAACTGGAGTTGCTACCTTCCAATTTACCACAGTTGCGCTAACATGCTAATACCAGTCAATACCGCCGTTTTCTGCACCGAAACATAACCCACCGCCGTCGCCAATCATTCTACTCCCTGCCATCTTTCCACTGGGCAAAGCTCTCCAATCCCCCATTTTCCATGCTGGACACATTCAACAAGATCGACGACGCCATCGACACCAACGCTGACATCGCAGAGGCCATTCTCGCCACTGGCCTGCCGTCCTTCGGCCTTGCACCAGAACCAGCGGAGCACGATCCCAGGAATTGGCGCAACAGGGCCACCCCGGAAGATATTAACAAGGCGAACTCGACCATTCGCCAGTTCTTCCGCGACTGGAGCGCCGAGGGACAGCATGAGCGAGATATTTCATACGGACCAGTGCTACAGGCTTTGCGCGATGAATTCGGCGAGCGGCCCGCGCCGGGGACGAGGGTGCTAGTTCCTGGTGCCGGGCTGGGAAGGCTGGTCTTTGATTTAAGCATGGCGGGATATTCCGCTGAAGGAAACGAGTTCTCGTATCATCAACTGATAGCGAGCAGTTGGGTACTGAACCACACCCGGAAACCGGAGGAATTTGCGCTTTATCCGTTTGCGATGGGATTCTCCAACTTGAAATCTAGAAGTCAGCAGCTCAAGAAAGTGATGATTCCCGACGTTCATCCTGGCTCTGCTGTGACGGCGCAAGGCTTGCTTCCGGAAAACGAGCGCACGATGGGCTCGATGAGCATGACGGCAGCAGATTTTCTTATTCAGTACGCTGAGCCAGAGTGCACAAATGCGTTTAATGCGGTGGCAACGGTTTTCTTCATCGACACCGCACCGAATCTTATCCGATATATCGAAACCATTCACAATTGCTTGAAGCCAGGTGGGCTCTGGATTAATGTTGGCCCGTTACTGTGGCACTATGAAGACAGGCATAATGGTAGCCAGAGCAAGAGTGGGGGTGCCGAGACGGATGATGTTGAGAAGTTGGGCATCGTGGAGCCCGGCACTGTTGAATTCACGGAGGAAGAGATCTTCCAATTGGTTGAGTCTATGGGCTTCGACATTCGAAAACATGACAAGGAAGTGCGGGAGTGTGGATATATTCAAGACCCGGAGAGCATGTTGCAAAATACGTATAGACCGTCCTATTGGGTGGCGGCTAAAAAATAGGTTGTTTATGAGTTTCATTTCGAACGTTGGGTATACATTTTGGGACACTGCCTAATCCTTGACGCTTCGTTGGCCACAGAATCATTCGTGGGTCTTTGGATGGGGGTTTGAGCTTTATTTTATCATTAAGAAACAATCTTGTGGTAAAGGATGACGAAAAAAAAAAAAAAAAAACAGCCATTGAATGTACTTCTCGGGCTGGTGAATTGGATTTGCTTTTCATCCAACGGGCAACCATGATCAGGAAACATAGAGCACGAGCGGCAGCTCAAGGTGGTCGAACTGAACTGATCAAGGAGTCGGAGACCAATCAGCCAATTGTCATAGGTTTCCATCTTTCACAACCGCAAGCCTGCATAAAACTGAAACGTCAGGCTTAGAAAATCTATAAGATGTCGATCCGCTGACGAACAGTCTAGGACATTCCTCGTCTGCCCCCGCAAGCTTGATGGGCTTGATAATGAAACAGTGTCGGAATCGCCGAGGTGCTCTAACCTGAAGATACCCCACAAGAACATGGGAGTGTCCAACGTAAGGGGGAAAAAAATAATCTACATGGGGATGGTGCCCTGCTTTATGTTAAATCTTTAGAAATGATTGGGGCTCCCCTTGGCGAGTTCGTCAGGTTTTCAGACACTGGGGATCTGCCAAGATGGGATGTGGTATCAACATGATGATGAACCGGCGGTACGGCAGCATAGTGGCACCCGACTGGGGGCAAGTGGATGACACTTTGCGCTCCAGACCCAGCAAATCTGTGAGAGAGTTGCGTGTTTAAGGCTGGACCTGGGTAGTTAACATGGGGCCGCTGCGCAGGTGTGGTGTTAAAAGAGCCAGGGACGCCTCTGGAAAACTCGTAACCCTGCTCAATGCCTGCTCTCAATCCACTGCCTGGGACTCTTGAACCCAACACAAAAAGCAGGATCGCGGCTTCGAATGGGATACAAGGATGTGAGGGCTGATCCAAATCTAAAGTTCGGAAATCAAGCACGACATCATCTGTGTTCAGAGTGTCATCAAGGAGCACCTGCCTTTGATTTCTCCGCAGCTGGCCGACGGTATGCCGCGCGCGCATCTGGAACGTCTTGTTGGCGCCCAAAGGCGTGTTCAATCATGCCTAACGGTCCCGACGGGGGTATCAGGATAAGTGTCCTCGGACGAAAACTTCCGTCCGGGTGTGGCCGAGGGTTAAAAGAAAAAAGCCTGATGCGATATCGCTCTCGAACGTCCAAGCCAAAATACATCGACCGGCCAACCGTGCGTTCACGAAGGATATGATCCGTGACTAGTTCGTTTTGACCGTCTAGAAGGAGACATTCGAGGCCATCAATGGGATTTCCTTCGTTTCATGTCGACACAAAGCTCAGCAGTGCATCGGCACTTGAAGAATCAACAGCTGCTGCTGCATTGTCAGCATCAGACGAAATTCTCATTAGTTAACAAGTCAACTAAAACGAACGGGCGTTACATTACAAACCCCGCTGCGAGTCAGGTGATTTTAAGCGCCAAGGACTGCTGCATACGGTACCGTTACTAGCTCCGGAGCATTTCGTTGGCCGCCGTGCTCCATCGCCCAGAGGTTGGTTTGGTTGGGGCGACGAGCTTGACCCAGCCCTGGATGGGTCCCTGGGGACGGTGCTGGGGAGGCATTGTCCCTGTTGCGGAACCTGCCAAGGGTCTGCATCGTTCTTTGCTGCGGTTCGCAGGAGATGGCAGAGCGCTGATGGATATGGTCACGACAGAGTTGGAACTCTTCTCTCGAATGTCCTGCACTTCCGTCGCTACGTGATAGTGTCTACCTCAGCTATAGAGCACATGTTGCCTGACCAGTCGCTGACTCGTCCCAAATGCGGCTCTTTGTTCACACCATGAGAAACATCCAGCCCTGCATATTACCCCGTACATCATGATCCAGTCCGCAGCTTGAAGGACGGGGCACATTCTCGGAAGGCAGTGAAACATGAACAAGCACGGGGTTACAGATTCTTTGACAAAGAAAAAGAACGATTCCCCTGAATGACGAAGGGCTCATCGCCTCCAAGCTCCTGGCAGCGCCGTTGTTGTTTTTTCCTTTTTGGTGGGTGGAACTATTCCTCCGCCGAAAGCCACCGCTTTTTCAGGACTCAGCCTCATGGAGCTGTAACCGTATTACTGTATTCTGGGACTTCGATTACGGCGATGGGCGTATCAATTGGCTGGTATTTGGGCCTGATTGAGACCAAGGCTAGCTTGCTATAGTTAGTGTCATCCATCAGTTCGCTATTCTGGCGAATCGAAGCGGAGATAGATTTCAGACCGCGGACAGGCGTGACAGTACGGCGTCTTGATGTTACATCCGATGGACACGGTATCGCCATTCAGGCCATATTAATAGTAACCTCCATCTTTGTCATGAACCACAAACCACCATCCAACCCCCTCCCTTCGCAGCCCCCAGTCAGTCTTTCCCCTCCATCCGTTCGTATTCAACTGCGAGCCTCACTTCGCAAATCCTCTCTCGTGCTCTCGCTTTTTGCCTCTCTCTTCTTTCATCTCTGCTCTTCCCTTGCTCCCCCTTCCCCTCCCCTCCCCTCTCCTCTTCTTCTCTCCTGTCGCTCTAATACTCCCTTCAGTCTTGCGGGTTTCTTGCCTGCAGTCATCACATCCTTTTATGGACTCGATGAGCTCTCGGTTCAAATCTTTTGTGTTTGTATCAAAGCGCAAGGCAACAACGTCCGCTGCATCTATCGCCTCAAACAACGCCTCCACCTCTCCCCAGTCAGGTCCCAATTCGTCTTCAGCGAGCCTCCCCATGAACAACCCAAACCACCTGGGCCGCCCACCGAGCTACTCTTACACCGCTGGTGGGCGACCGGCAAGCCCGTTGCCACCAGGACAGCATCAGCAGCTGGCCCATCATCCTCCTCCTCTCAATACTGGCGTCGGGTATTCCCATCACGGACATATGGCCGGTGCCGCTCCGCCTCCCCCCGGCTACGGCTACCCTCACCCGCAGCATACCAGCATTCCTCCTTCCATATCACAGTATCCACCTGGCCGACCTCACACTGAGCTGGAAGGTGGTGGCAGGAGCAAGGCCCAGCTCATCGTCGGTATTGATTTCGGAACTACGTTCTCCGGTGTCGCTTACGCGTTTGCAACAAATACTGAAGCGAGAGAAGACATAATAACCGAATGGCCTGGTGCCGGAATCCATATAAAACAAAAGGTATGTCTACAGCGCCCCAGAAACGGAATCATGTTGATTGTCAAACTCACTGTGACTTTTCTTGCAGATTCCCACTGTTTTATACTACGACCAGTATCAAAAGGTAGTGGGATGGGGTCCGGATATCGCCGACGCGCTTGCTCCCACTGGTTATCCAAAGCAAGGCGTCCAAAAGGTTGAATGGTTTAAGCTGCAGTTAATGATCTCAGGGAACACATACATCGATCCCATTAATTTACCCCCTTTGCCTCCAGGAAAGTCAGAGATCGATGTTGCAGCCGACTATCTGTTCAAACTCCGCGGAGCAATGAGAAATCAATTACTCAAGACTCTTGGCGAGGTGTTCACACGAGAGGAGCGAAACATTCGTTATTTCTTAACTGTGCCGGCCATCTGGAATGATGCCGGAAAGGCCGCTACTCGTGCAGCTGCTATCCAAGCTGGGTTTTTGCGTGACGAGAACGACAACCGGCTCACTCTTATTACCGAACCTGAAGCAGCAGCTATGTTTTGTGCAAAGAGCGGCCTCCTTAGTCTGAAGATGCATGATGCCATTCTGATCGTGGATTGCGGCGGTGGCACCGTCGATCTTATCGCGTATGAAGTTGAAGAAGAACACCCCTTCTCTGTGTGTGAATGCACCGCTGGTTCTGGAGATTCTTGTGGATCCACCGCACTCAACAGAAATTTTAGCAACATTCTAAGAGCAAAGATTCGCAAAATGAAGTTGCCGGATGGCGCGAGGACGGCTGGAAAGGTCTATGCCAAATGTATCATGGATTTCGAAAACAGAATCAAGGCAGACTTCCGGAACAATGGCCAGAAATGGGCTGTCGATGTCGGAATTGAAGCGGACTTCCCAGACGCTGGCATCGAAGATGGGTATATGACTTTCACCAATGAAGAAATTCTTCAATGCTTTGAGCCCGTTGTGAATAGGATCTTGGAGCTTGTGCGAAACCAGATCATCGCCATTCAAGCCCAGAATCGACCTCTCCAGGTAAGTTGCTTTGGTCCAAACCTCACACTCGACACCTGCTGAATTTCACTCCAGAATATCCTTGTCGTTGGTGGCTTCGGTGCATCCGAATACCTCTTCCAGCAGATCAAGTTACATGTTCCCCCACAATATCAAACCAAAGTCGTCCGACCAATGGACTCTGTTGCTGCTATAGTCAAGGGTGCTGTCACGGCTGGTATCACCGAACGCGTCGTTACCTCTCGCGTGGCCCGTCGCCACTATTTAATGGCAACGTTGCAACCATTCAAAGAAGGTCACCACCCTGAACAATATCGTGTTCCGAGCTTGGATGGTAAGGACAGATGCAAGTATACTCGGCAGATTTTTGTCCAAAAAGGCGAAAGAGTCAAGATTGGAGAACCGGTTAAAGTCAGCTTCTTCCGTCAAGTTGCTCCTGGTGCAACTCTGATGTACGAGGATATCCTGTACGCTTGTGATGAGGATGTGTGCCCGGAATACACTAAGGATCCACGTAAGTTTTCCTGTGATGCGTTGAATCTACCACGTTCGGGTTCTGATTATCTTTGCAGGTATCAAGGAAGTCGTCACTCTTACATCAGATCTTTCTCGGAAGAACCTCGAGAAAGATTTTGAACGCATGGATACTCCTCAAGGCACGTTTTATCGAGTTTACTTTGACATTTATCTTACCCTCGACGGAAGCGAATTTAATGCGGAGCTCGTCTGCCAAGGAGAGGTCATGGGCCGATGCTCTGCCCGATTCCGGTAAACGGGTTCTTTGCAGCATTTTTCGTTTCGATTTCGCATATAATCAGCGATCCGAAACGGAATGCCCCGCATATCTCTCAATCATGGAAATATGGAAAAGCTGGAGTTCAGGATGGTACAAATTCGATGATAGATCTCCTTACATTTTCTCGCCATTCAGGTTGTTGAGGTGTGTTTTCCCCAACACTCAACTTTAAACCCAACCTACAAACATTGTCAATGGTTACCTGTTTCTTTTCGTCCCATCTCGAGCAATGATGTTATGGCAATGTGATACCCCCTCCCCCCCTTTTTTTTCATATTTATTCACTTCTATGCCCCTTGGTACCATTTTTGCTGCCATTTATTCTCATTCCTACCGGTATACAATTTGAAACTTCTCTTCCCCTCACCTTGGATACTTCAATGCCAGGATAGATTTGGTATTGACAACCAGGTTCTATCTTAAATATGTGCACAATTCTGCTAAGTCGGTCCTGTCCGCTGCTACATGATAGCTGGGTGGCCTTTAGCTCTTTTGAACAGAAACATCATGAGAAGCAAGGATGAAACCTTTTTTTTTTTTTTTTTTCTTTTCTTTTTTTGAGATTTTAGCAAATGGCCATCTTCTCCCTTATCTTCTTTCCCTTGCAGAGTTTGGGTTCTGTAAGGCAACTGCCCTTTAATAGGCCCAAGCAATTCTTCTTGAAGGAAATTATCCACGGTGCGTCGTGTGGATTCATTTCAGCCTACGTTCAGAGTGCCTTGATATCACCGTGTCTACTGAGTATGCTGTCGTTTCTCCCTATGAGCTTTGATATCTACTGCCCGACTTGGTAATATATGTTTCTAGCGAGAAAGTAGTCATCACACAGAGTAAATTGGAATTTATAGATAACTATATGCACCGATAGAAAAGCTTAGCTAACCGACTCTTGAGTACGGAGTAGTTACGGGGTCCCACTTCCCGAGAGCTTATGCTTGAGCCCCACACACTGTTCCATATCGTCTTCATCGCGCTTCAGCGAGGGAAGCGCTCATCCGCTCGTTATCCTAATATAGACCTTTAGGGCGTAATACCACAGAAATGCTTTTACGGGAGGAAACCCAACTAGCTCTCTAATTATACACCAAGGTCAAGCAAGCTCAGCAAGCACATGCAGATCCAGCATCTGGCGCCGATTCCCTAGGCAGCGCCGTAGCAACAGCATTCGCCTTCACCATGACCTCATCCCATTCTTTCTCCGCCTCGCTGAGCCAAGTAATCGCCCCTCCAGCACCTAGCTCAAGCTGCTTTCCGTACTTTACAATCGTACGGATAACCACCGACTGATCGACGGTGCCGCTGGCGCATACATAGCCCAGACTGCCGGAGTATATGCCGCGCTCGCGGTGCTCTTCCAGGCCGTCGAGGATTTGCACGGCTCTGAGTTTGGGAGCGCCCGTCATGGATCCTGGTGGGAAGCATCGCTCGAGAACCTGGACGCCGCCGACGTTGGGGGCGATGTGGGATTGAATGGTTGTGACGAGCTACGGAAATGTGGTCAGCTAGGAGGAAAAAAAGAAAGGCCAGATTCTTTTCGGGGCATTGGTGTATTATGTCGGATATACCTGATGTACTGTTTCGTAGCTTTCAACGTGGAGTAGTTTCGGGACCTTGATTGATTTTGATGGAGAAATGTTGTGGAGGTCGGCGCGGATAAGATCGACAATCTAACCATGATGATTACATTCGAATTAGTGGGCATGCTTTTTCGACAATCGGACGGGAGAGGGCTTCTTTTACCATTAAGTTCTCGGCGAGCTCCTTGACATCCGTCGCTAACTGACTTTTTCTCCGCTCGTCTTCTTCTTTGTCTGGGCTGACGGCAAGGGTTCCCTTTATTGGTTTCATTTCAGCCACGCCATCAGCATCTATGGATATAAACCTCTCGGGCGACGAAGAGAGTATGGTGGTCTCGTTGACACGGAAGTCTATATACGCTGAGTAAGGGGCGGGGTTACGTTCTCGAAGGGAGAGATATAATGCGTATGGGTCTACATCCGGACACGATGCCTTGAATTTTGTCGTGATTGTCACCTCATACGCCTCGCCCTCCTTAATGGCATTCTGTGCGGCCCGGATCTTCTGGCTGTACGATGCTTCGTCGTCCAGGGCCGTAAACCTTGGTAATGGGCTTGGTGTGCTAAGCCGATGCGAGTCATCCGGGCCAAATACCCTCTTAATCCGTGTCAGCAGGGAGTCAAATTCAGCCTCCGTTTGGCCAACCGGTGAAGATGCATTTATAAAGTCCCCGATTGGATCCTCATGGCCGCGACGAATTAAGCTAAATAACTTCCATTCTCCGGTGTAATTGTCCAGGCGAAGCACATTGGTGGCTAGCATGTGCTGGCTATCCGGGAGTGTGTCCATCTCCTGGCCTGGTTTATCAGGTGAGTAAGTGTAACCTGACAGAGCTTCGCGCTTCAATTCATAGCCAAAGTAGCCTATTAACCCCACCTGGAACAGTGGTTGGCCGACCTCCGCTTCTTGGTCAAGGAGCTTTGGGTCAAGGACGTCGACATTTCTTTGAATAATCGTTGAATGGAAGTGATCTAGCCATGCCCAATAGGAGGTTTGAAGCTGCTCAGACTTCAGTCGTTTTCCTCGCTGGTATATAGATAGGATCTTAGATCGGGAAGAATAGCTGAGATTCAACGATGCAGCGGCCAGGTAGGAATTCCTTGAATGTACGTCACGGACCTGATTTGAATGAGTTACCACCTACTCCATCGTCGAAACATGGATGCAGTCTGGCACTTACCCTTGCACTATCAAGCCATGCCTCACCGTCTGCAGAAGTGTTGCGAATGGCTGCATCAAATACCACCTGTGCTGCAGGTCCCCTTCCAAGGGCCACCGACTTGACGTAATAATGCCGTGAATCTGCACGATGATCTCGACGAGCCGGAGGGATTTCTCCCAGGATAATCTCCCTGGCTTCCCTGACGATGGCACCTTTGTTGAGAATGGAATCGGGCAGAGAGGCATTTTCGGCAATACATCTCTGGGCCCAGCCACTTCCAGTCCAAAACTGAAGAACAATATTTCGGAAGTTATTGATTATCTGCTGGCCATGCGTCGAACACACACTCTCAGGATGCCATTGGGTTCCAAATATCGGACGATTGCGATGCTGAACGCCCATGACAACCCTTGTTGACGGATCCTCAGGGTCGAATGTCCATGCTGTAAGCTCCAGCTCGTCTGGGAGGTCTTCGGCCGCATTTTAACATTAGCTAGAAAATATAAATGTCGTGGAAGGGTTTAGCCAACCTTTGGAGTCCAAGACCAAACTATTATACCTAACCCCTTTGAATTCCTGGGGAAGACTTTTAAATATACCAACATCTGTATGGCCAATTCTGCATACTTGGCCATGCTTGATATTAGGGGTGTGGATGATTTTGGCACCGAATGTAGTGCCAATCCCCTGGTGTCCTAGACATATTCCCAAAATCGGGATGTTTGATTCTTTAATCAACTTGGAGTTAAATCCAAAATCAGATTCTTTGGTTGGAGTTCCAGGTCCTGGAGATAGGATAATCGCATCCAATGAAGGTAAAATTGTGTCCTTAAATGTATCCCTGCCAATCGTCTGTCAACACCAACCTGACCATGTGGCGGCAAGGGAATACCGGGTATTGGGTATCACCAACCATGAGAACTGATCAAAACGAACCACAGCTACACTCCATTCTGGATATGGCACATCTCCAGCTCCTCGCGAGGTGTTTTGGAGCAATTGAAGGAGATTGTTTGTATATGAATCGTAATGATCAATGATAACAGCTCGCAAAGTCCCCGAGCGACCCATTGCAATCGCCTTCTCGTTTTTTCTTGAAGAGTATCAGGCTTGAAACCGCTGATTCGCGGCTAGACCATTCAAGTGCTTATTTTCTCTTCAATGAGCATGGCAATTACCAATGATTAAGGCTCTCGAGACAGCGGAAAAGCAGAGCCAAGGGAGCACAAGCCAATAGTGCCGCGTCCAGACCAATATTCAAAAGACTACGGTTTGGACCTCGATATCATGCAGCCTGAGATAACTCGATCTCGCTAGGCGGACTTGGTTATCATCGGCGCTACCAGCGTGCTTTGTGGAGAATGGCGAGGACTAGTTATGAATCACTGGCCCGCCTAGTCTGCTTCAGAAACTGACGGCCGGTCAGCTACTAAGCTTCGAGATCGAACTATAGAGTAATATCAAGGAACTTTTTTCGATCATAAAATAAAGTATCTTTCCCTGGTGTTTGTGCTCCAGCGCCAGAAAAGTGGTAACTAATTCACTAATTGTGGTCCTGAAAATTAGGGGGCGAAGCGCAGGAAAGAAACCCGGGAATCATAGAACAGTGGGCACGGTCAAGCGGCACTCCAGAAACACAGCCTCTGTTCGTCACTGATATCGAATGCAGGTCATATCCTACCATCACATCCACAGCACAGAGATGGGATGAAAGATTTTTAGTGTCACGTGCAATACTTGACAGGTTTCGTGTCTTGGAATATTTAAGACTTCCCGCTAAAACTCTATTGCAGGTCAACAAAAGTCCGCTTCATCTGCATTTTCAGGAGCCTTAATAACATGTTGGGCATGATATACAACTTCATATATGATGTCTGAGTTTGTCTCCTATTCACTAAAGGGGCCAGCTCTTGTTTTTCTATTTAGTCAGTTAGCACAAAGCGTTGTTAATGTTCAGAGACAACAATCATCACTGATGGTTCTCCTGGAGAGTCTGCGTGGTGTTGGATCCAGGATGCATGCAACTATCAACTCTCAGCTTATCCAGGCGGTCATCTCCTTGACCTTAGTTTCGGATGGCATCAGTTCTGGCGGAAATGGCTGAACTCTTGTCCCATGGACTCTAGCTTGCTCCAATAACAGCTGGAAAATGGCTGTCCACCCGGAAAAAGCTACTCCATGCCACCTGCTGGTCCTCACTTAGGGAAGGAAAAAAAAAAAAAAAAAAAAAAAAAAAAAAAAAAAAAGAGGGGAATTTAAAAAAAGCTGAAATGCTGAAAATTTCGAAGGGTGGTCCATGGACCAATACAAGATGCCAAATCCCTCATGGAAAGGTTGTTGAATGTTTTCAAGCATTCAAAAGTTAATGTGTTCTATTCTTTTTCATTCTTCCTCTCCTGTAGCTACAGTCAAAGTGGTGGTATCATCCTAATGTTAACTTGCTACGGAAACCAGCCAGACCCCAGTACTGGGTGAAACCCGAATGAAAATTTGCAATCTGGCTTTACATCTGGATCCGACACTGGCGCGTGATGAAGAATTTTCGGCCCTGGTTTTACACATAAACCTGGGAGCTCGACCTACAGAATGGTTCTCTGTCCACGTATATGCATGATGTCGTGGAACAGGTCGTCAAGCATAGCAGTACTACCACTTTACGCAGCAGTCCGGCCAAAGGGAGACTCGGGCTTATGAGGTGGACCGATCAAAGGCATCCATGCATTCTGGATTCTGGCAATGACCTATGGCATCAGATTCGTTATCTCCAAACTTGAGTTGTAACTCTGTACTGCTCGTCGCTGGAATTGGGACCCATTTCAAGCCCTTAACAGTTCTTTAACAATTCGTCTTACAGAGCATGCGATTTTGGCCTGATGCCCCGTACTTCATACTTATATTCGTATCTATCATGCATAGGCGGATAAATAATAGAACACTGCCAATCAGATCGATGCCTTGCTAGTGCAGGTGCAAACATATGCACGGCAATACCGACTAGCCCTTCAACCGCAAAAGAAAGAAACAGTTAGAATGTTTCCCTTGCAGCGTGTTTAAGGCAGCGAAACACAGTACGGCTCGGGTAGTTGGACACATGCGATGACGGAAAGCAATTTTGCTTCATCTACTTTGTGCCTTGGCGGTTGTAGCGGTCGGCACCTTTCATTTTTCAATAGTTATCCATTATAATTTTATAATCGCGGGTAGGGCGCAAAATGGTTAATGGGATCAATATCCACCCGCCGCCGTCGTGTGCACACTCAGCGGTTTCTTTCGCAATCGACTGATGCTAGGGTGCTGGTCTTATCTTAAATTAGTAAGTTCATACCTAGGTGGCCATACCCCCTTGGCCTGTACGTAGATTTAAGGCCCAAATCATGACTTGAGGCCGTCATACTTTCCAGGGCCACCAATTTGATGCACCTGTTGCTCTGGCTCAGAGGTAGCCGGGAGCCATCTGTCAAGATTCGAGGGGAAGAAATAAAGGAGCTGGGTTGGCGCTGTTCAGATGCGAGAACGCATAATGCATTTATGCAATCGTTCAACGGCTTGTGGGTACATGATCGCTGTCGCACAGCTACCATCGTGTTTAGCGTCGAGTCAATTGCGACATCCATAGGGACTACTGTATGACTCGACGTTCCAGGTCGTCAGGGTGGAGTCGCGCCCTTAAATGTTTCAGGGATGCTTGGAAGGATGCTTCTGGGGGATCTGCGGGGGTCATGGAACACGTACGGAGTACTCCTATGAACAAAGAACCCCCATCGTTCCAGAAACCGCGATTCGTCATATTGCTTCCAGCTTAAAAACGATTCCGGCGCCGAATGGTCCGTAATGGCGCGAACAATCCGACGGGTTTCTTATATTATTGTATTTTATTTTCTGGCGGCAAGGGCGTTTTAGATTCGAACGAGGCTTGAGCACCCAGGTCTGAATAAAAGGCCGACCGACCTGTGTCAATTATTATCCTTCGGCTGTATCGGGAAAACAAATTTATCTTAGCTCATTCGCAGTGGCGTCAAGATCGGTCTCGAGAATCTGTCTTTGGAACCCGGTTCTGCGAATTCATTCGTCAATCAAGTTAGAAGATTTTAATAGCGCGAGAAAAGTGTCAACTAAATTGCACTGCGCAAACTGTACGATGTAAGGTAACGAGGGCGCACAAACTCCGCAATCCTATCATTGCTTTCGACCTTCGATCGAGATCCGCTTTTTGGGGGGTGGGGGGAACCCCGGCAATTAAGACAAATCTCGACCACATTCCTGTTTCTCCTTCCGCGCACGGACGTCAAAGCGAGAACAACCCAATGTGTAGCATATGAATGTCGACCAAAACATGCAGATTTGTCTGGATATTCCTTGAATCTTGCCAGCAGCGGCATACGAGGCATTCCTCAACGTACGTTAGCGAGCTAGACGTGGCGACCCAGTTATTCCATGTAGTCCGGCAGTTAGTATACACATTGTTGCAGCCAACCACGGTGGAGGTGATGCCTACAAGCTGGCGTAGAATAAAGGATGAATATTGGCTGCGGAGTCACTCCGTCTAGCACTCGCATTCACTGGACCAAGTGTGCGGACTCTGACTATTGTATGCATGCATTTTGTATGCCCATTCATATATAATACAAACCCACACATCTCGAGAATATGTGATTTTTCACGAAAGATATATCCGAAACCTCTTTTGTGATAATTCTGCAGTGCACAAACGTCCTACTCCTTGGATATCAGTGTCCATTCTCGCAAATATGTATGGAGTTCAATACTCATCAGAAAGACTGATAGCGCTCTTCTGGAGAAATATTGCTGTCCTTGCCACTGCTCTCTTATTCAGATGGCTATGGCGCTGGAGGGAAGGACCCAAATCCGGCGGGCTTTCACGGCCCACGGCGTTCGATCTGGAGAAGATAGCACCATACCCAAGCGAACAAATCAAAGGATTCGAGAAACACCGGATTAGGATGGCCCTGAAGAAGATGGATCGAATAAACTGGTTGACTGTTGACAGGAACTATTGTTCTTTGTATGAAATTCGCAATACCCTGTTCAACACGCAGAAAGAAAAGATGGTCCAGTGCTTGCCGGAGGCGCGAGAGGCATGTCAGGAAGCATTGCGAGAAGTTGTCACATTCCTCTGCAAGAGATATCCAGCGATGTTCGAAACATACGCATCTAGCTCTGGGCAGAGAGTTAGAAACAACAAGACTGGGGAAGAGTTCAGCCTTAATGGCTGGGACGACTCCCTCTCACCCCTTGAGATCGCTGCCAGGTTATCTATGGATGATATGAATATTATTTTGAAGAACAAAGAGGGAATGCACTACATGTGAGTGCTAAATGGACATGATAGAGTCATAACTGCAAATTGACAGATGCTAGGGCGGCAACTGCCAGCTGCTTCCAAATTGGCTGGCGCGCAGATGAACGGATTGGGGAAACCATTGCTCGTATGCACGCCCCTGTGCCGCAGTGGGAAAAAGAAATCGGATATGCTGTTAATAAGTACGCCCATCCACCGATAAATGGCTTTTAAGCACCGTACTAACTGTCTGATGTAGGTTCATGACACGATTGGCACCGGAAATGCCAATGGAAAGGGCAAGCTACTTCATCCAAGTCAGCCGTCCCGGGCAGCAGCTCCCCGAGATTCTATTTCAACCTGATGGCGTGGTACACACGGACCTGGAACCGCAGGCAGAGCATCTTATTATTCGAAAAGAAAGGCAGTCATTCACACAACTTCCAAAATCCGGAGCCGTTCTCTTTAACGTTAAAACGTCCCTAACATATCTGCCAGATCTCCCGCTCGAAGAATTGCGGAACATGGTTAAGGAAATAAACAGCTGGCCTGAGGACATGGCAAAATATAAAGGAAGAGAACACTGGGGTCTTGTAGTGCATGAGCACTGCAAGAAGCGGGAGCGAGATGAGGTGCGTTAGGTGGAAAAGATCAGCACCTTTTCCTTAAGCACCCGGGGTAATTGCGCTATAGGATAATAGAAAAATGGGAGGCACCATCTTATTCGATGCATTGGCCGAAGGGAGTACATAGCTGCATTCATTGATATCCGACTTGTTTTGATTCATTGATGCTGTGTGATGTACGATGGGGTGGGCATTGTGAGTGTAACTGAATTTAATCGCTACAGGGTGCTGACAAAGCAGAATCCCCGCGCAGGAACAGCAGACAAAGCTCTCCTTCACAGCATTCAAATTGGATTTTGTAGTTATTATCTATCAGTAGATTCATGAAGGACTACTCAGATTTACTCACATTGCAATTGAAAGGGCCTTTGGCTCCAGAGTTGAAAGTATAAGTGGATCAAACGTGAGAAATTAATTCTATCGGCAGAGATAAGCCCAAGCCCACTCATCGAAGGGGCATGTATGTCTAATACATCCAAACGAATATCCAAAGGTTCTTCTCCTATCTGGAGGCTCAAGGTATATAGTGTCTATAATATAAACAAGTGAAATCATATAACGCATAAGTATCTTGATACTTGCGAAGGCATGACTACAACAGCCTCATAGCTTGCTGCTACTGGCCCGCTTATCCTGCTTGAGGCGAACAACACCCTACCAGAGGGATCATTAGCATCTGTAAAGAGAGCGCTAGTATTATAATGTTTGGTTATCATACCTCTTGCACGCATGTAGCAATCAAGGTCCCGTCACGGGCCCACATTTTCTGCATCACAAGTCCTCTGCCCTCACCAGCCCAAGGGCTGGTCATCTCTGTGAAGATCCAATCATCGGCCCGGAAACGACGGCGATCGTGGAAATAGATGGTATGATCCAGACTGACCATCATGCCAATTTCTCTTTTTGGGACCATGAGAGCTTGTGAGTCACCGGCGGCTGTGTCTTTCGACGCAAGCTCACGGGCTTCTTGGTCGGCGAGATCCTTAAGATACTTGGTAATGCTTTGTTCATCAAGGTCTGACGGGTTTTTCAAAGCGGATAGTGTATTCTTCAACGCTTGTGGCGATGAGAATCTGGGAATGCTCTGAACCCGCGCTACCGTACCAATGAAATAGCTGTCTGACATGTATGCCAACGCAGACAAATGTGCTGGAAGTCCGCCTTCCTCGGAGATCTTACCTCGCGCCCGGACCCACTGCAGGACAGCCTTTTCCTCAGGTCGGGACGGTACTACCCGATGATATGTTAATGAATACATACAGAGGCAGTTGTAGGGGTGTGTAACGTCAATAGTACTTACAATTACCAACATCAATGCGTCTTGATTCAAATGGGCCTCTTCCGGGAGTTTCATCATTCTGATCCGGAAATTTATAACCCTTTGGTATAGGGGTCTCGTGCTTAACGAGATGCTCTCCGCCGCTGCCCTCGCGGTCGAAGCTTAGAGTAGTGGTGAAAATCGGCCGACCCTGCTGCCTGGCCTGCACCGTGCGCGTTGCGAAGCTCTTCCCATCGCGAACCCGCTCCACGTGGTATAAGATCGGAAGCGACGAGTCTCCGGATAGGACGAAATAGCAATGCATGCTATGGGGTAGAAAATCGGGTGGGACAGTGAGCTGTGCAGCTGCGAGGCATTGTGCTATGGCAGAACCGCCGTATATTCCGCGCGCTCCCGGCGGGTGCCAGAGCGGACGGGTGTTGGTGAAGACATCCTGTATTTTCGGCCATTAGCACTTCGGCAGATTGGGCAACAGAAAAGTCACGCATAGAATCAGCGGTAGACGGATCGTCATTACGACTTACTGGGCCAATGTCAGTAACAGGAGTGAGGTCTAGGATGCTTTCAATCGCAGATTTTGAAGGATCTCGCGGAGGCGGCTCAAACAAAGTGACTCCCATCTCGAGGTCGACTGATCAACCAAGCTGCCAAATCGTCGGGTTGGAGGACGTGTCCTTTCGCAGGTTCTAGTTAATATCAAGATCTTGTCGAGAAGAATAATTAGAGAAGACTTTCGGCGATCGGCCCAAGAAATAAAGCGTCATCTTGTGAAATCGGACGCACTGCGTCTCTGACCCTGACTGGGGTGCAAAACTGCCGAGGTCCAGCATCGCGGAGGCAAATCCTCAGCCTTGCCGCCCCTGGCCCGCTGATGACTAAGCGGCTCTTGATGGAGGACTCGTAGTTGGTTAGGGAGTAGTTACTGGTTCTTCTCCAGATTTCATCCATCCCCCTACTCCGTACTCACACATATTGTTTCTCTTTTCAGGCTCGCGAACTACCTTGAATTACTGCGGGTAGGCCTATGCCGATCGTAACCTGGGCCAAATACAAATCCAGGCGGCATCTCAACCCGTGAATTATGCTGCAGAATCACAAGGCCACAAAGCCTTGTTGAAACTCCTGCGAGTTACAGCCCTTCACGCAGTTGGAGGGGGCTACAGCAGCATCTTTGGCTGGCTTGGCGTCAAAATGCTTTCCAATTATTCTCCGGAATTTGATGGGCCAGATGAAGTAAACGGAGAGGAGGGGAAGACATCTCTAGCGGTAGCTAGTTAAGCGGCAGAGGCTGCGGACAAGATGCTGCGTGCGCACCTCAGGATTGAGAAATGTTCTTCAAACCCGGAACACATCGCAGTCGGCCTTAAACGAATCCTGGGCAACATCCACTAGGAAAAGGATTTGGCCAGAACGAGGATGAAGGGCCCATCATTGTTGCCGAAGACAAATTCGCCAACCCCCCACAGGGTCTACGATAGACACATTATTCAATTCTCCGAATGGAACAGAGATAAGATGAAGGTATTGATTGTCTCATCTCTGATTTACTGAACTCACTAAAGAAAAAAAACCGCTTTTCAACCACCCATGCTTCAGAACCACTGCCAGCTGGACGACACCAATATCTTGACAGAGAATTCCAAGCCTGATCTTGACTACCAGCACCAATAATGCCTGCAGTCTCTAAGTCTGAAATGAAGGTTCCGTCCGTCAAGGCTTGAAGTGGCGACGACGGGCCCCTGCGACACGCCGGTAAAAATAAATATACTAATGACATGAAGGTGTGAAGACCTTGGAAAACTTGAGGAGCGGAGCCCGTAGGCTCCGAATTGAAATTGATTTTATTCCAGCTTAATCTAGCAAGGACTAGCAACTACTACCACCTGCTACAAAACTCGACCCATATGTACACATATGGCTTCTGGTACAGGAGAAAAGAAAGGGGCTTCCAAATGACATCAGCCGAGTCCAGATGATCATATGTGATGAAAACCTCTGAAGCATCGCGCTTCCTAGTCCGCCAGGAGATATCCGCAGGACGGTGCGTGCTTCATAGGACAGCGTAGAACAAAACGTATGGCACTGGGAGTTTTCCCGGGTGCCGCATATTACTCAGTCTCTGGATGTCAATCCAAGTCGGCCAGTCACTATAATATGTTAGACACAGATCAGGAAAACTCGTAGGAACGCTACCAGCTAAAAGGTTTCTCAAGCTGCTGCTAAATACCGAGTGAGAACCGGTTTCAGGGAAACTCATGAGAATCGGCTCATACAGGCAAGTAAAAGATCGTCTCTTCCTCACGCAGTTGCGGCAGCAGTGATCCCGTTTCCAGAGACCCGCCGTTTAGAAGCGTTCTCAGGTATTTCTTGGCCCTAGGGAGAAGATTCGTATCAGTATATGAAGCTATGCATCCATTGCAACGTAGCTGTTTTCTCATCCGGGGGACCTCTGGGCTGCTCAGCAAGTTAGTGACAGTTTTTAGGCGGACACTCACGTCCACGGCGTCGATGGGTCTTTTCGTTGTAGTTGGCTCGACCTTCTTGATTACTTTCTTCTTCGGACGAACCGGTCGGGTCTCGCCAGGATGAAAGACATCCTCCGGTAAATCGTAGCTGCAATTATTTGATTAGAACTAATTAATATCATACCGATATTATGGTGTGACGACATACTTGCGGACGTGTGTTATTGTTAAGTCGTTGATGCCAGGTTGATATTGTGCCCAAGAAGTGCACATGTTTTTAAACATATGGGTCTCAGAAGAGATATCTAGAGATCGAGAAGCCCCTGCGAGAGTCAGTTGTATCATGGTAATGATTCGGGGTCAAATACCTGGAACGAGCGGTTTTAGTTCGAGTCCGATGTAATATGTGGTGGTGTGGAGAGTGTGATTATTAGATTCTTCGGTTTGCCCCAATCCGGGCATATTTATAGACCCGTTTGCACTTTCAAGAGCTGCTACATGTGCTGGGTCATTTGTTTCGTCAGTAGTTGCTGTTTTCGTTCCTTTGACCTGAAACCGCGTTAAGCCACTCTTCGCCACCTCAATCTCTTTCTCGTCTTTGCATCTATGTACCCGTTCAAACCCTTTGGGAAACGGATGGGCCACCTCGATGGACGCCTTTTTATCCAAAGCAATAACCAAATGTCGAAGTTTCGCTTCCACTAAGCCAGACCAGACCGACTGGGCTTCTTTGCTTGTGCTAGATGCAGTTATGTTGAGATAATATTTGTAATCTTTGGAGAAGAACGTATGTTTGGCAAAGAGGTCACTCCACCTAAGCTGTCCTAGAAAGATTTTCTCAACGATATCACCACCACGCTTCAGCTCTCGAAGGATGACAGCCTTGGTTGATAGAGAGACATTATGTGTTGCACACATAGATGGATAGGCGGGAGTAATTATGGGCATAAGATGGAACCGGTCCCCATGATAGATCTATAGTCAAAAATTAGTAAGTGGGAGGGAACTTAAGAATAGGGCGGGGGATGTTACCTTTGGGTTCCAGACTTTCATATGAAGCGGGCCATCTTCGATGGGCTTCAGTAACACAGGCTGTGGCCAATTCCAATAATTCATGATGCGGAAGAATTTCCCAACGATCACGGAGCCGGTGGCCTGGGGGTAAAGTTGACATACTCGTGCAACTAACATGGCCCATGCAACACCACCTGGGAATCCAACAACGTTCGAATAGATAGCCCGGCCTGCACAGACGTCAGTTATAGGGATATAACCATCTGTCGTATAAAATAGGCTTACTTTGCGCCCAAAGTTTTATAGCTCTCAGAGCAAGTCGAAATGTCTTTTTCTCCGGGACTAGTTCTAGGATTTCGTCCGTCACACGCGTTCCGTTAACGCAACGTATTTCTCGCTCATCTAAACCACGCAAAAGCTCCTTGTTTCGTAAATCAAGATCCGGGGGGATGGAATGGACGATTAAGCGCGCAAATATCAGGTCGATGCTGATGCCGGAAAGCTCAAGTTTGATAATCGGGACATACGCATCCGGGACTGGTGTTAATTTTTCTATGGAATCTTTGGGAGCCAGCCGCTCTAGTGTTGGGGGGAAGTCCAGAAAGAAGTCTTCTATTGCGACATGTTTTGGGCCGACCACCAGCGTATCGATATCAGATCCTATCCCGGGATTTTCGTTAGTTTAACATCACTACTCAGCGTACCGATATAGACGAGACGAAGGCGCACCTGGCCCGTAGACACCTAGCCTATAGCTTCCATATGGGAATATTTTCCCGCCAGAAACATCAATTGCAGCTTGCGATAGCCCCTTTCTCCGCCCGACAGTTTTAACGAACTCGACCGTAACGCGTTGGATAAGGTGAAGCATTTGGTTTCTTTGGAGTCCGGGTTAGCCTCCATCATAGCTTCCAATAGTTGGGGCTACGTACCTTTTCTCAGTCTCCGACGGAGCCTCGAAGTTGTTCTGGCGTTTTAACTCCGCGATTAAATTGTCGTTTTCTGCAAGTTCGGATGGCGTTGGTAGTGCTGTCGAAATTGGTGGAGTGGTTCCCCATTGCTTAACCTGCGAAGTGGCCATCACTTTGGCACAACACGTTGATCTAAGTCAAAATATCTAGAGGAACGGAAAGGGGTAGGGAGTAAGTGCGAAGAAAATGTCCAGGTAGATGGTGAGGTGTTGAGTGAAGTTAGCACTGAGCTGCGACATAAAAATGCAGAAACTGGAATGGGCGAATGAAAGGCAAAAGTATAGTATTACAAGGGAAATACAAAGAACCCTCCGAAACACCAACGCAGATGAAGCTGACGATGTAGGGAGAAGGAAAACTGATGAAGGAGAGCAGAACACTTTCAGGGTGCAAAGTGAGTTTGGTTATCAGCCGCCTGGCGATAAGACGCCGCGCGACGCTTTGGTCACGTGATAAGAAGCGGCGGTCCTACGCGTATCAACATGGACAGAGCATCATAACACCAAAAAAAAAAAAAGAGGAACAATGACCAGTGACATTCATCTTGAAATATTATAATCAATAACTGTGGATAAAATCAAGGTTGAGTAAATATATCTTCAATGCTCTGTGTGATCCGGAGGCTTGATAACTATAGGTTGGCAACGCTCTCGACATCATTCATCCACTTCTCAGGTACAAAACTAATATTTGTATAAATGTCCCTTTGTTGTTGATCTCACCCTGGAAGCGGCAATATCTAGGTTCCGCCAATAGGAACTTCACTGAAGAATTTGGCCATTTTATCGTTCAGCCATTTAACATCATCCTTACTATCTCCAGGACCTCCTGCCCAGTCTATGGAAATGATCAGTCTCGCACTTTATGACCTGGACTTGTGGGCAAAAGGTTACTTACGGCCCCAAATGGACGGGAAGACATCCAGTTTACCAATGCCTGGAAGCATGTTTGCAACTTCATACTCTGAATCTTCTGGCCTGCGGGTTTTTTTTTTTTTTTTTTCATATGTTAGAGATGATTTTGCCCACCCCAGTGGATGGTGTTCGACTCACGGGAAATATAAGTCGGTCTTTCCCGGTAAGACCAAGGCTTTGGCTTTGATTCCCTTGAGGGCCAGCTCAAAATTCCCATTGTATGGAGATTGCTGGGAGATATCCCCGTCTTGCCATGTCTGAAGCATAGCCAGGAGATCATCGGGGTCTACAGGGCGGTATGGTTATTCGATGCTTTGGCAAAGGAACCAGGGGTGGGGATTTCCTCTATTCCACTACCTTTGGGCGCAAAGTGGCCTTCCCAGAAGTTTACCATGAAGTCTTCGAGACTTTTATATCCTAAATCCTTCTCATAGAGTCTTTCGCGATAGAACGCTTGGCTGAAGCCCCTGGGTTCAACAAAGGGTTTAGTAATGTGCCATGAGGTGCCTTGCATGCGAAAGTACGTACCATCCAGCATATACTCTAGCGAAGGCCTTTAACCCTGCTTCCCGCTCATCCGGTGTCCACTGACGGTATGGTCCTCCATCCACCGCGACTCCACCTGCTTCGGACAGCGAAGACTTGAATCTCTTTGCGGAAAGCAGGGCGCTTTTAATCCCTTCAAGGAAGATTTTATTGTGCAAAGAAGTCTTCGCAGAGCCACAAAAAGGAACAATCAAGTCCACAAAATCGGGATATTGAGCGGCCCACTGGAATGACTGGCCGGCACCCATTGACCAGCCTATGACAGCGCGAATATGCTGGATCTTAAAGTGCTTTGTGACAAGCTCATACTGCGCTCTGACATTGTCATAAAAGGAGACGCGTGGAAATGGTCTGATATGGGTATTTGAAGGAGAAGACGACTGGCCATTGCCAAACAGTGCCGGGATGATGATGAAATACTTGTTTGGATTAAGATGTTTGTCGTCTCCGATCAGCCAGAAATTATGAGATATCACTACACATATAGAGAACTTCAGTGGTAGAGCTGCGAATGGTGGACGGGATACTCACGTGCTGAGTACCAAGTTGGAAAGACAATAGCTGGAGAGCTTGGGTGTCCAAAGGTCTTGAACGCAATGTGAGCGTTCGGGATAGTTTCCCCGCTTTGCAAGGACCAGTCTCCCAAGGCGAAAGTTTCGTACTTGTCGTCAAACGCCATGGTGCCTATTGGACTCTGCTTTGCTTTCGAATATAGTGTGCCCGCTGGCAATAGTCACCCTTCTACATTCCGCCCATAGAATACGGAGGGAGTGGTTATGCATATATTTATCTGATCGTGATGGTGGGGAGATGGGATTGATGGTTCAGCTTCCCCGCATCTGGGGGCAACTGTGAATTCAACCCGTTGTGAATCTGCCAATCCAAGAGCTTCCGCTCCCCTCCCCGAAGGTAAGGCCCAGGATGACTTTAATTTTATTTTTACAGACAATCCCAATCGAGAGGACTGGTGTGGAGGTTAATCCCCGTGATACCGTCTACTGCCTTCGTCATGCGTTGGAAGACGGTTCTAGCCACGAAAGTCTGGGATAAGCAGCAAGCCTCGAGGGGCATCGAGTGGTTAGAACGCCATTACTCCGTATCCAGGCAGGGTATATTGCAGGGCCCTTTCGGCTAAGATATGTGCTTGAGAAGACGTGAAGGGAGCGTGTAGTTTAGGTTATACTTCGCCTGGGCAGAACTGAGAACACCGGAATGGGAGAATGATACGCCGAGGCTAGGCTTGGCGGCATCCGCTCAGGCGCCACCCAAACAAGCCGTATGTACGGAGTACGTACTTGCCAACGGTGTTTCTTGGCAAATGGGCCGCGATGGGACATTACTGTAAGGTGTTCGTGAGGAGGCTTACCCCAGCATCGCCTGTACCCATGTGAAAGCCAATGGGATCGCAATATTTGGCCCTCGTCTGAGCATTGTTTCACGGAGGGATTGCCTTAATCCTCAAATCCCCATGTCGCCATTGGCCCGCCGCATAAAACAATCCCTCTGTGGTGCCAGCTACCCTTTGGATTTGGGAAATGCCCCTGCCGCCTCCCCAGAAGTCTGTGCCAGCACCCAGACAGATCAGGTTCGTCTCGTCTGACGGCCTGCCGCAGACGAAGAGGCGCAGAATCAATGCAGCGTTGGTATTCCCTCCTCAACTGATCTGGAGCCGACAGCTGCGGAAGCTAATAAGTGAGTGTGCGACCGTAGATGCCGAACATGTAGACGTCGCAAAATCAGATGCTCTGGCGAACAGCCAGGTATAGTAAACCCGCCCTGGAATGCCTTCGACAAGACACATGTTGGTGCCTATCTGACGCAATTCAGTGTGCAAGACATGCTCCGACCACAAATACACTTGCCTTGGATACGGCGAGCCTGTTACCGTTTCGCAAACTGCCTCGCGCTCATCACCCCCCAATCATGAGCCCTCATGTTGCGCCGAAACTAAAAAAGGTGGTGGCTCACCAGAAGCGACACGGTCGGGCACATCGATGCCAGTCCCAGATCCCAGTCGGGCTCCCCACGATGCACGCAAAGCCAAAGAGGATCCTAGCCATCAGGAGCACGGTGAGCACCAGCCAGAATCTAGCAATAGCCCTGGCAGCAGTGAGTCTCCTGGTTGCCGCATTGCTACCTTAGAGAGCTTGATTGCTGAGAATCTACACCTAAAAGACCATTCTGCCTTGATTTCCAATCGTCGCACCCATGTTCCCTACTTCCGATATTTCGGACCCACGGCAATCGTGCCGGGTTTCAAGCAAATGGTACGTAACTCCCACCCCATCAAAAGGTGAGTAGATCAAGGAGTAAATCGTGTTTGCAGGTGGTGCGTGTGCGGGAAACGAAGAAAAGCAATCCGTCCCTATCAACTGGTAGGCAACATGCTCGATTGTCAAAAATTGTCGCCGATTGCTAACGTAACATTGTTTACTGAAAGACTCTGCATCGTCTTCGCGAAGTTCAAATGCTCCGAAAGCTGAGGCCGTTTCATCTACGCGTGGTGCCGCCTCCGCTTCGAATAGTATTCATTTCTATGACCCAGAGGATAATCTACCAAATAGCGAGGTGGTTACACATCTATGCGAAGTTTTCTTCACTCATCTAGGTTGCAATTTTCCGTTCCTGCAACGGAACAGGTTCCTGCAAGATTTGGCAGAGAAGCGACTTGAACCAGTCCTTGTGGATGCGGTCTGCGCACTCGCAGCACGATTTTCTTTGCACCCGCTTGTAACCACGGGATCAGCCACTGAAACAAACCATCCTCATCATGGCGATGTTTTCGCCCATCGTGCCATGTGTGCCGTGGTTGACGCTTTGTCCTGCCCGACCGTGGCAGGAGTGCAAGCATGTCTTATGCTTGCGTATGAGCAATTTGGATCCAACCATGACAGTGGTCTCTGGATGTACTTGGGGATATCCATTAGGATGGCACAGGATCTGGGAATGCAGAAACTGGAAGGCATGAAGTATAGATATGGTCGCGTCGGTTTGACTCCGAAAAGCGTCAAATCTGGACAAGCCGGTCGGATTGACGAACGGCAGACTGATTATGACAGCGCAGCGAGTGACTCGAAAGAAGATGGCAATAAGAAAGATTTAGATCTCGGACGAGTAAGGGAACGCGAGAGAGTAGACACGTTCTGGAGCCTCTTTCTGGTGGACAGGGTCATCTCATCAGGCACGGGCCGACCCGTTACCCTTCGTGACGATGATATCGAAATTTTCTTTCCATTGCAGTCCGAGTCCTTGTTGCCAAACGGTTGGCCAGCTCCTTTCCCTGCATTGATTAGAATCATACATCTATATGGCAGAGTGACCGATCTGCTGAATGCCATCAAGGAAGTTAACCACGTTACTCCTGAGACCCTAAAGCAACTAGCCGGCATGGAGAGCGATTTAACCGGTTGGTCAGCCTGGCATTGATACTAGACGGTGAAAGCTGACCGCTTCACAGGTATCTATCAGAGATTATCCCCCAAGCTCCATTTCAACGCCGTGAACTTTCAGAATTACGTCAAAGCAGGCGAAGGAACAAACTTTATCCTCTTACACTTTGTATGTTTTCTCATTTGCATCCCTGTTCATCTTACTGACTATCATCTAGTGGTTTCATGCCTTGATTGTCCTCGTTCATCAGCCTACCCTATTACATTCTTTTAGTGGGCGAATTCAACAATTATTTCCCAACAGCCGCGAACTCTCCATGTCTTCGGCTAAGACCATAGCAGATATTCTTGCTTTCACCGAATTAATAGATGCAAAAAGTTTCATTGGAACTCCGTTCACAAGTCAACCTACATATATAGCTGCATGTGCCTTCTTGATGGAGAGTGCTCTATATTCCATGCCTTCGTCTCGCTCGCAAACCCCTCCGGTAGAGACAGACTCGGAAGATAGACCTGGGAAGGCGGCAACATCGGCGGACGCAGCAGTCACGTCAGAACAAAGTTCCAACACAAAACATAGTCTGCTAGCAGCTGCTGCGAAGGAGCACTATCAACGCTGCTACAAAGCGCTTAAGTCCTTGGAAACGTACTGGGAAGGCACTAAATATATTCTTAATGTCTTAGACCAAAAGTCAAAGGGTATATGGGATCCCCAGCTCTATACCGAGGAAGAAATGGACCACGCCATTGAATTTCCTCCTCTAGGAAACGGGTTTGCATCCCGAGCATGGCAGAGGATGTCGACAAGCAAAGACAACATGGCAGCAGCAACGAAGGATGATAAGCAGCATGACATCAAACCTGATAATCAACCTGCCAATAATGATGGTGCGGCAGGCGTAGCCCCATCTCCCAAGACTAATGCAACCCAAGGTAGGTCGGCGTTAGCATATATTTCCTTGGACAACATGTGCCTAACGTATCGTTTTAGCTATCGGCTGGGCTCTTACCGGTGCTACTGGTTCCTCACAACCGAATCTCAGCTTTCTTTATCAGATGCCAGCAACACAACCGAACGAGGCAACGATGTATTCTTTGTCACATTACGGCGGCCAGTATCAGCCCGTGGAAGTTCAAGCAAGCCCTGGAGCTTCCGCCCTCAGTTCATTTCCGCACGCAAAGGCACCATACGAGGCGGGAAATACACTACAGCTACCCTCTCAATTACGCCAAAATCCACTGCCAAACACTTCAGAGTATTCGCGTATAGGCCCTGGGACCATATCTCCGTCCAACCCTTCTTTTCCTCTTTCTAATTCCGATTTCTCAAGCCAGAGCCCCCATGGCTCTCAAGGCTCCTTTCAAAGTGCATTACTAAATACCACCCCGACACCTTATTCATACAACGCAAATACGACAATGAGGGCTAATCATCGCCGGTTAACGAGTAACCCCTTTGGCGATTATACCAATATCGACGCTACTGTCCCAAGCATGACAATTGAAAGTCAAGACATAGATATGAATACGCTCCAAGACCCTGATACCTTCCCATTCCCGCTGGATGGGGAGTTTATGCCTTGGTTGGAATATTTACCGGAGGATATTTTGCAGTACTTTGGAGATCAAGGATATCGTCCGCTGGTATCTCCGACTGAACCACCCGACCAGCAATCGCATGGAGTTTAAGTCAGGCTCGACGATAGTGTGGTTTATTTGGCGACATACGCCTGTGGCTCCTCTAGGAGGAAGATGCCTAGCCTCACTTCCACGTACTCCACATGTTAAGATTATGATTTGATTTTGTTGGTTACCACTATTTCAGCAGGCCTGGTGTTGGGGCATGAAGTGTTTGTTTCGGGCGAAAACCTGGATCTTTTTTTTTTTTTTTTTTTTTTTTGTCTAGCGTTTAAATGAAATGAAGATATAGCATTCCATATATAGCTGATGATTTCACACTGTACATAAAGACCTCTTTTTTTAATTCTTAATTTTTAATTGACCGTTGATATATTTCTCGTCGTTGGCGGCGCCCGTTTGACCGTTAAGCGTCAAAACCCCTGGACGAAGATCCCGGCGTTGTCCCTAGCAACCCGCCTGCGACAACACAGCAAACAACGCAGCGACTCGAGAAGATAACGTAAAGAACATGAATTCCGAATTCCCGAGGACAGCCAGCGGTGTCGATAATTTATTTGTGTTACGGAGTACAAATTTTCGGGAAAGGACTTGAGAGTCTCAAGTTGCTCGAGATTCCTCTCCCTCCCTCCCTCTCTCCCTTCCCCCCCCACGCAACGCTTATCGACCAGCGAAGTGCTAGGTTGCGAACTGCGAAAAGGATATTTCAACGGGGTCTATGACCTCATGGAAAAATCATAACTGACCTTTTGTCTGAAGCTAATTGTAACGGCAACGGATAAATGGAGCGTTTGACGAAGGAGAGTCTCGACGGTTCCATCCACTCCCCTGATCTCGATCGCAATTATTTCTTCTCTGGTGAGACGAATGAGGATGGTTTGATTTACCCGCCCTCGTCGGAAGAAGGGCCTGGAGGCATCCCACCGAAAGATGACTATAACGAAGGACTTGTGAGCGACAATGGTGGAAGGAGGTCGCATCGATCGTCTATATCTTCGATCCCGGGATCGGTGGTGGTGCATCCGCGCACAGACATGCACCATCATGGTGAAAATGATCTTCTTCCCGGTTCTCTAGCCGGAGGCGCATCCGGCTTGAACAAGAAGAACAAACCGCATCCTTTTATCACGCACGTTCGAGACCGAGAATCACCCTTTCGACACCCGAGCTCCGTACGTGCAATGCAGATGGGTGACGAGGATTCCGAGCTAGATGCGCTGTCCCCTTCTTCAATGACGTTGAAGGCGCGCAAGCAACGTGGACCTTTTCGCGGCCAGTCACCTTGTATTTCAGAGATGTCGATGCCAATGCGATCGGGAACAGCGTCGCCTTCGTCGTCGGCGAAGAAATACTACCGCTCGCCGCATACTAGGTCGCCGCAGATGATCGTTCAGGAAGGAGTGAGAAAGGACTACCCTTTGGTACTGTTACATTGTAACTTACTGGCCCCATCTTTGTCGCTGCCGCCCCGGCTAGGAACTCCCAGCCCAGAACTGTTGAGGGAGGTTCTCCCGGATGTATATTGGCGAAGGTGGAAACTTCTTGAGGATAAAGTTGTGGGCTCAGGAGTATTAAGGGATCGTGGGGTGCTTATATCCCACCCACAGGAGGCCTACGACGTTCTCGAGGAAAGACTACTGGAGAGCCTGGAGCTGATCCGGCCAAGACTGGCATACGGCCATTTCTTCGGCTCCGAGGACGGCAAGGGCAGCAGTGGCGACAATGATAGCGATGAGGAGTCGGAATGTGTTATTGATGCCGGAGAAGGCGCCAAATGCCGTGATTGCGGCCACACTGTCCTCAAGAATCCAGAAGGCGGGGAGAGGAAATGGGAAGTTAGAATTTATGCCGCTAATGGATTAATGAGGGCGGGCGCATGGGCAGCGGCCTGGAAGGATATGGAGAAAGTTGACGTGGAGGTTGGATTGTGGTTGCCAGTGGATATCAGGCGAGACCTTGAGCGAAGGATGCTTGAAGAAGAAGCTTTTCGAATGGAAGCTGAACTGCGTTCTATCGAGGAGGAGAAGAGACGAAAGGAGGTTTACGGTGACGCCGGGTGTCCATCCCAAGAAGAGATCGATGGATACATGGATTCTCTCGACGCTGGAATCCCTGGGGAGGATCACCAGCAGCAATCATCCGCCCACGCGCCATATCCCATTCAATCGGATTCAAACGGTGTGGGATTCTTAATCAAAAAGTTCCAAAATATGGAGTTCCACGCTCTTGTCACTCATTACAAGCGGGTATTGTTCCGCGATCCTGTCGTGACGCTCATCGCAGGAGTTCTCCTTGTCCTCGCCGTCACATACGGACCATCCCGGGCTCCAAGCATAGCGCCTGCGAGCAGTGCTCCGTCTTTCTCTCCTAACAATGTAGTGACGGTGACTGCAACACACACACCTGCGGCCTACACTACGACTGTATTTACGTCATCACCAGCGAAGAGCAAGTGGCCACACAGCCCCGTTATCCCAGCCGCAACAGTTGCAGTCAATTGCTCGATACCCACAGGTACTCTTATCGCAGCTGAACCATCGTCGGAACCAAAATCGGTCCTCGACATGAGACCTATGTCGCAGGGAACTAACGGTCAAGAAGGAGATGAGCCATCTCCCAACGCCGAGTCATGCAGCGATGATAAGTTGGATTCGCTCTCCTCTGCTCCTAAAATGGAAGAGCCGGCTTAGGGCTGAGGGCCCTGGGGGAAGAGATTCACCCGCCTAATCCGGTTTGAATGCTGGCTTCGGGGATCCCGGTCCAATGTGGCTGTTATAAGCTCTATGGATTTGATTTGTTGGATTTTCTGGGACGATATCGAAATAATGTAGCGAAATGAATGTAACCTGATGGATTAACGAATGACTGTTATGTTTTGTCTCTTTTTGGTTCGATTTCTAAGGTTGGATAAGCGATATCGTTCAGCTGTGCCTTGCCTATGTAGTCAGTTAAGAATAGTCAATTTCAAGAAACAATATTTCTCTTTACAAGTTACAAGCGGTGCTCCGATAGCCTATTTGGGACATAAGTTGATGGTTCTGGCATGAGGGAGCCCAAGTCTTCAGGTCTTGCTTGGAGAAATACTACGTCTCTTTCAACCATTCTGCTCGGATTATGTTGCTGCTATGTCCCGTGTCTCATCCAGAGACAACGCCTTTCGGAACAATAGAGGTTGCTGTGGAGTTTGATACCTCGTGTGCGCGCTGCACCACATGAAGCACGAGGACGCCAAGAGCTTTAGTGACTGACAGGCGCATGACGCACGGAGGCGGACAGCTTCCACCAGAATTCCACCAATCTCAAGAAATACAATTTGTCAACTGAGCATTGATGGCAATGCAAACTTGCTGTTGAAATCGTATAATCTCCAATGAGGACTCCCCCAGCTCATCAGAGCCAAAGCTCGGATACCCCGGACGCTCAACGCCAGGAGCCTTGGGCTTTGAGTTTTGACATAACCGGCCGTCGGGATCCAAAAATAGGATATGGCGTAATTGTGGGATCAGCAGCTGGAAAGAGTGCGCATTCGTGAGAGTCCTCTTGGCAGTTGGAGCCAAACAAGATCGAAACCTCGTATTCTCGGGGCTTTCTTTCACCGAGAAGAGGTTGCTGGTCAAGCTTTCCCACGCGGAGAGACCGCTAACGGTTTTGGTGCAAAGTGATCGTCTGAAACATACGCATTGGGGGAGCAAGATACCCGAGAGACATCTGAGCTGGCGATGCAAGCGAAACATACGAGCTTGGGTTTGCAGAAGTGCTGAGATGCGCTGGTGCAAGAGACTTTGGAGTTGGAGCGCTATCAGCCTCTTTGCGCTCAGGCTTGTTTGCACTCGGATTCAAAGGATGTCGAGACAGATCTAGCTTTCAGGCTCCGCCTGGATATGGCAAAAATGAGATCAGGAATTCGTCGTATAAATATCCTGCCGAGGGCTCCCCTTTGGAGATCGCAATCAGTCCTCTAGCAACCTAACATTCCAGTCCCCAGATCTCCAGTGATAGCAGTACTTAAGGCATATACATACATACATACATACATATATATATATATATATATATATATATATATACTTTCTCATTCTTCAAACAAGATGAAGATCGCGACCCTCCTTTTGGCAGCGGCTTCCGCTGTCCTGGCCGCCCCGGCAGCTGCCCCAGCTCCTGCCCCAGAAAGCGAGCTTGCAGCCCGACAGACCAACGTCATCTACCCACACGCCACTTTCCGTTACTGGATCAACACCGGCGAGGTGAAAGAAGACCCTCAGGACCAGCTGCTCGTGGTCAAGGACGGCAATCGAAACAACGAGTCAAGCACGATCGTCACGTTCCGCGTCGGCGAAGAGTATGAGGGCCGCACCTGCAAGCTTCTCTTTGACCTTTGGGACCGCGACTGGTCAACCGGAACTCAACAGATGGATGTCTTTTCCGTCATCGACCCTCCCGGGCAATTCACCATTTTGAGCATCCCGAGCGTTCGTCCCGCATCCAGCCGAGATAAGCACAAGGGACGCATCTTGGCTCCCAAGCCCGGCAGTGCGACGTGGCTTCAGGCCTACGACGGATACCCCGAGTTCCCTTGCCCTGTAGGGAAGCTGATGGGTATTGAATTTGTTGGTGTGGGCGACCGTGTGGAAGTCCGTTGGGACATTGGTGTGACGGGACCACGCCTCCAGCCATTGTAATGACATGAAGCGACTTGAGGGAAACGGGGGGATGGAATAGATAGAAGAAGACTGCTTTGCTTCTTTTTTGTGCCTTTTTTTTTTTTTCTGCGAGTGAGAAGGGCAAACAGATGGCAGGCCGTTAAATCTCATAGTATGATCAATATTGTTTATTCTGATTTGATTTTATATTTTATAATGAGGAAATCTGATGAAATTTACCAATGATTGAATTCACCATTAAGACCTATCAAGCTCAAGTAGGATAGCAACGAAAATAATTCACGATAAGCTGGAAGGCGCTGAGGATCCAAGAGTGAGCAACAAATGATCATCCCAGGCGAAATAGCCAGTGAACGTTGAGAGTGAGCTCCAGTCCGGCCTGCATTGAAAGAAAGACCGGTCACAGGCTCTCATGGGCTGTCCCTAGACTCCCTGCCATCGCCATCGTCCACCCAAACGCATACAAGGCGATGTCCACCAGCCAGGCGGAAAGCAAACAAGCACAACAGGACAAACAGGGCAAACAGGCAAACGTGTGGCTGACAGTGCAAACAATGCAAACTCTCACCGATTAGGTAATTGCCACGGTTCCTGGCGGCGCTAGGCCCAAACAGGCAGGTCCGCGGCCGGGAGATGCCCGAAACTCGGCTTAGCATTGGCTGGCGAAAAGTTTTCGGGCAAACCTTCAATTTTTCACTCTTTTTTTTCTCCGAGAATTAGAGGACAAGACAACAACAACAACATCATCATCATCATCATCGCTGCCGCCCAACTCCTTCGCTCCGTCCTCCTGCTTTAACCTCTCCCTCAGGTCCCTCTTTTTCTTTTAGTCCTTCACTCCCCACTCTCTTCGTGGTTTTCGTGTTTTAGACCGTCGCAATGGCTGCTACCGGATCCCCCAAGTTGGACAATGTCGTCCCCATCGCTCCCCCGGCTCCCCAGATGAGCGGACTCCAGCTCTACTCCAGATTCGCCTTCGCTGGTGCCGTCTGCTGTTCGGTTACTCATGGTGCCCTCACTCCTGTTGATGTGTACGTATCCCTGTGTTTTGCTGCTCCCGTTTTGCGCCTTGTCACGCTCTTGGGGAACTCGCTGCTCTTTCGCGCCGAGACTTGCCGTCGCTAACTCAGACGGACGATATGTAGTGTCAAGACAAGAATCCAACTCGACCCAGTCACCTACAACAGAGGCATGATTGCTGGATTCAGACAGGTCGTCCAGAATGAGGGTGCTGCTGCCCTCATGACTGGCTTCGGTCCTACTGCCGCCGGTTACTTCTTACAGGGTGCACTCAAGTTCGGCGGATACGAATTCTTCAAGAAGCAATCTATCGATCTCCTTGGCTACGAGACGGCTCGCGACAACCGCACTGCCGTCTACCTTGCCTCTTCTGCCCTCGCTGAGTTCTTCGCCGATATTGCCCTCTGCCCCCTTGAAGCCACCCGTATCCGTCTCGTCTCTGAGCCAACCTTTGCCTCTGGTCTCCTCGGCGGTTTCAGCAAGATCTTGAAGAACGAGGGTGTTGGCGCTTTCTACTCGGGTTTCGGTCCTATCCTCTTCAAACAGTGAGCCCTATCAGCAACCCACCCCCACACGGTTCAAAGCTGCTAACCTGTATGTAGGGTTCCATACACCATGGCCAAGTTCGTCGTCTTCGAGAAGGTCTCTGAAGCTATCTACGGTCAATTGGGCAAGGACACTCTCTCCGACGGTGCCAAGACTGGTGTTAACCTCACCTCCGGTTTGATCGCCGGTCTCGCTGCCGCCATTGTTTCCCAGCCTGCCGACACTATGCTCAGCAAGATCAACAAGACCAAGGGATTGCCAGGAGAAAGCACTGTCTCCCGCCTTATCAAAATTGGCGGTGAACTTGGCCTCAAGGGTTCTTTCAGCGGTCTTGGTGCTCGTCTCTTCCTTGTTGGCGCTATCACTGCTGGTCAATTCGCTATCTACGGTATGCTTCCCCTTATCGCTGTTGAACTTGAACGCATTCTAATTTACCATCTGTGTTTAGGTGACATTAAGAGAGTCCTCAATGCCACTGGAGGTGTCGAGTTGGCTAAATAAACGGGCTTTCTGATGCCTTTCGCCCAAACCTCCCACCATATCCGACGATACCAACTTTTTTTCCCGAGTTAAATTAGACCACTGTCCCAGCTGCTCCTAGGTTTTTGAACCTGGTTTTCTAGATTTGTTCCCTAAAGAAATCGATGCGCCAGCAGTTGCTTTTTCAAATAGAGCTACTACCCCCCCAAGTGATTGTACCGTTACATGTATGACCACTTTGTACAATTCGGACACCTTTTCTTCGAAAACAGTTTGTGCATCTGAGGGCTGGATTGCATTGCATGTGGGATAGATTCTTGTTTTGGACTCAAAAGATACTTCTTGTGTGCACAAAAGACGCCTTTTTTTTGATAGAGCTTTGATCTACTTTGTTGTTTGGTTCCTTTTTTTTTTTTTTTTTTTAATTATTTTGGAAACGTTCTTTAGCAAATTAATGACTTCGTTTATGTTTCCCTACCTCGACCGCATTCGATTTCAAGTCCGGGAATCTAGGTGCCCGATTTGCCGAAGCGAATGGAAAGAAAATTGTAACATGAGGTGCATATTAACCAATTGGTGCCGTGTTGATATAGAGCGTATGGATAGAGTCAAGACCTGGGCAGCAAATATCACTTTAGGGGCCTCCAAACTCTTTACGGAAAACACATTTCCCGATTTCTAAACAGCTCATTGTTCCATTTCAGTGTCTCTCATTCGAAAATCAGATGTTCACTCGCCCAGTCCCCAATATTCAACGATCTCCAACCTTCTCTCTCCTCTCGCACCTTCGAAATGGAGTAGAATTGTTTCTGAAATCTTCGGATACGCCTTGTGAAATGACGAGATCATTCCCAGTGATACTATAAGTTATATCGTAAATACATGGTGGGTAAGTCGTGTCGCGAAGCCTTCTGGGCAGCGTAAGGCGCACGAGCTTCTCAGAAAAAAATAATGAGAGATGATGCGACAAGCAACTGGCAGGTAATATTGTTTATCACAGATCCTGCCATCAGAGCAAAGAGATTGCACAGAGCTATAGACCTGAATAAGTCCAGAGGAATGCTGGCCTTTCTGCGACAGCGTTGAGAACTTAGTATGCCAACGCCTTGGATTTTGACAAACCCGACAGAACCTGCTTCATCAGAACGCACTTTGTAGAAAGGAATACTCCGTACGGAGTGATGCTGAGGATATCATCTCATACCTCCAGACAGCCGTCTCCGCGATCCAAGTCAACTTGCGTCATTGGAATGTCAAGTGGACCGAAGCCCGGATAGTTGGTAAGTTATTAGCGTTTGGTTGGCGAGCGACCTCCGAGCTAACCAGATGTTTTACCACATCATCATTCTTGCCAGCTGGAGTCAACCTGCAGTGACATGATACGAGCCCAGCGTGATACAAGACATTGTCCAGTCTCATAGCTATCTTGTCTTGGGTTTCATCTCGCCAGACACTTCAGCTATAACCGCTGCAATCTCCCAGCTTACCACTTTTACAGCATATGGAGTTATCGGTATAGAAGTACCCTGACAATGTCCGGTGCCGAAACCAGCACGGCCGACTTGTCTTCGGCGCAGCAGGAAGCTTTGCAGACGTACATCGCAGTGACCGGTCAGGAACCTTCGGACGCCATACCACTTCTCCAACGCTCCGAGTGGAATGTCCAGGTGAGCCTACAGTCTCAAATCAGCCAAAATCCCAGGGCCGTATCAAAAGGGCCTGCCTGGGTCTGACCAGCTTCATAGATTGCTATTACAAAATTCTTCGATGGCGAAGGCCCTGATCTCCTTGCCGAAACTCAAGCTTCGATCCCTCCACCTGCTCCTCGAGTCGCGCAAAACTTGATGAATGACCTCGACGCCTTCCCCCGCCCATCGTCTCTCACATCTCGCGGTCTACAGGCCGCACCAAGAATATCCACACAGCCGAGCGAACCAGCACCTTTCCGGCCCCCTTTCCTCCTGGCGATCCTTTTCTCGCCTTTCAATTTCCTGTATCGAATACTGGCAAGCTCTCTTCGCCTCTTTGGAACCTTTTTCCCCATCTTACCTCGGATGTTAAATAATCTTGCCGCGTCGACGATCCAGGACAAAGGCACCAGTGGGCGGAGATCATTGGGCCCGAAAGACACGGCAGTACGCTTCATTCGCGAGTTTGAGGAGGAATATGGGCCAAATTCCTTACCTTGGTTGGACAGTGGGTACAACATGGCGTTGGAAAAGGCCCACAGGGAGCTGAAGTTCTTGCTCGTTGTCCTGCTATCACCGGAGCATGATGATACGAACGACTGGGTTCGGGACACACTTCTCAGCGAGGAAGTACGGGAATACTTAACCGATTCCACGAATAACATCTTGCTATGGGGTGGTAACGTTCAAGATTCTGAGGCATACCAAGTCGCCAATTCTATACGCTGCACGAAGTTCCCGTTTGCTGCATTGATAGCCCATACTCCAAGCGTCTCGTCCACTGCTATGTCCATTCTGGCCAGGATCCCGGGCTTAACGTCATCCTCGGGTTTTCTTGAAAAGGTTCGAGCAGGTGTAGATCAGGGAAAAGCTGCCCTTGATAGGGTTCGTTCGTCCAGAGCAGAACAACAAGCTACCAGAACACTCCGAGAACAGCAGGACTCTGCGTATGAACGCTCTCTCGCCATTGATCGGGAGCGAGCCCGACAACGTAGGGAGGCAGAAGCTGAGAAAGCGCGATTAGAGAAGGAAGAGGAAGAAAGACAAGCTGCTGCCGAGAAACTCGCTCGCAACCTAGAGCAGTGGAAGAGATGGCGCGCCCAATCGATTCCTGCTGAACCACCGGTGACAGATAAGGAGGCGGTACGGATTAGCCTTCGATTGACCTCCGGAGAGCGAGTGGTTCGCCGGTTTGATGGGCATGCCGATATTGAGGAGCTATACGCATTTGTGGAGTGTTACGACATCCTCAACCCGGAATCCAAGGAATCCGCCTCCTCTGCGGTGGAGGTGACGGAGCCTGAAGGCTTCGAGCATAAATATGGCTTCCGTTTGGTCTCTCCTATGCCTCGTATCGTATACGAACTCGCTGCGGGAGGTTCAATCAAGCAACGAATCGGCAGAGGGGGTAATTTACTGGTGGAAACGATAGACGACGATGACTCTTCCGAGGGCGAAAGGTAAAATTCTTATATACTGGAACCATAGAGCCTCTGCATTGTATAGCCCGTCGCTGGGCTTAGTTCTAATGGAGTTAGGGGGTTAATAGGGGGATACAGCTTGGTCCTCCATTTTTTTATTTCGCTGTCCGGTTTCTGATTATTGCTTTGCTCGAAAGACTGCCATGTTCTGCTTATGGGATTTCCATTCTGACGTGTTATTGTTATAATATGCGTCTAGCGTTCTATCAATGCTCGAGCCATATCCGAAGTTGAGGATTGCGTCTAAGAAGTTATTTCTAGCTCAAGTTGCTTCGTTCACAATACTCTACGCCTTGCCTGATTAAGTATGCCGTCCATCTAGTCATCGAGCGAGAGGCCCGGCAAACCACCCAAGTTTGCTTCACAGAGAACGCTCATCCTTGAACACATCATCAACTAGAAACAGGAACCGGATACGGTCTCATCCCTTCGGTCCCCAATATAACCACAACAGAATCTGCCCCTAAACCAAGCAAACCAGGATCCGAAGCCGCAATCCGCTGAAGCGCCGCTAGTCCCGCCGCGCCGCACGGGCCCAGCCGGATATCCTGAGATGCCAGATACTCCACAGCTCGGTGCGCCTCGAGATCAGACACGGTGGTGCTGGCATCGACTCCGGCGTGGAGATCGGGCCAAGCTGTTAGCGAGACGGTTCCGCAATCGAGCCCATTCATGATGGTCCCTGTGGTCTGGAACGGGGTAAGTTTGCCTGCGACGAGGCTGGCGTGTAGACATGCGGCGGTGTCCGGCTCGACGGTGAGAACAGACACGGGTGGTTCTACTGATTTGCAGTGGGAGACGACAGCGTGGGCGAGTGAGCCCACTCCAACGGGGGTGATGAGGAGTGTAGGTGCCAGAGAGCGGTTCCTGACTTGGGAATCGATTTCGTCGAGCATGGTAGAGTATCCCTCGACGATCCAGCGGGGGATTCTCTCGTAGTTTTCAAACGAAGTGTCTTGAACCAAGATTCCATTGGAACACAACTTGGCCTGCTGGTCTGCCGCGCGAACAGCGGTGTCGTAGTCGCCCTCTATGGCGGTCACGTTGCACCCTTTCTCGCTGGCGATCAAGTCCCTGGTATATTCGTCGAGGCACCCGGGAACGTATATCTCCGCACTGATGCCTAATAGCTTCGCCATTCTCGCCACGGCTCGCCCATGATTGCCGTCCGTTGCCGCGAAGAGCCTGATCCCTTTGGCTTGAGCATCATTGGCAAGATTGTCTAACCGGGCCTCATCTAGTGGGAGGTCTAAATGATCCGTCACAGCTCGAAAGGTTCCCCAGGAGGCGCCCAAGATTTTAAATGAAGGCAGGTCAAATCGGCTGCTTTCATCTTTGATAAACACGGCCTTGATCCCTAGGGACTTGGCGACGTCGGGAAGAGGGATGAGTGGTGAGGGGGAATATGATGGAAGTGACTGGTGGAACTTGTGGATGTGAGATGAGTTCGGGGAGCGGGACGGAGGGATCTTGTAGGTTCTTGCGTGAGGATTCGTATATGTGGGGCTGTTTTCAGCAGACATTTTTGTGATTCCAGGAGAAATACTATCCAGATCTCATTCCTGAGAGGACTGGTTTCCTGTGTTTTGATAGATGAGGTGACAAATCCGCGCCCTTCACATCACCGGGTCCTTGGCGAGTTTGTAAAGCGTTCTACTCCACCAGGAGATTTATCATCAGAGAATAATGGCATGTCTTTCTAAGTGGATTTTGCAAGAGGTTGGCCTAAAGCTGATTCCAGATTTTTTGGTGGGAATCCTTGAATGTGTGGATATGCCGCTTCCTGGCATCAGATAGTTAATTAATGATTTGTCGGTGACTTTACAGGGCCCCAAAAATCGCATGTTGCACACTGAGTTGATTGCCATTGTTTACTCCAAATTCTCTCTGTCACCACTCCTATTTTGTGCTTCAGGAGTACCATCATGATAGCCAATCATAGGCCTATCTCCATCTGTGCGCTGTACAACTCCGGTGCGTTTCTCGAATTGCAATAATCCGGAACAGTGCATAGGCCACCACTAAAGTGGAAACAAATCTACCTGTATCTGTCCTATAAGTGGCCCCTTTTCCTCACATCTACCGTTGGCTCCCAGCTCGCATCGAAATGCGTCCACGAAAAATTGTGCGGATGAGGTAGCAATAAATGTCTCCTAGATCACCAGACTTTTTGCTCATTCCTCTTGCTGTACAAAAGGATTGGCTATCTCTTCACTTCCATCAGCAGGGGAGATTAGGACTAGCAGCGTTCCACGTGCAACAATCAGGCCTAGAGAGCGGGTTGTCTCGTTGCCCTCGTCATCTGGTCTAATTGTTAGCTGTGACTAATAGGTCTCGGGCGGACATCGTAGGCATATGCGATAGGATCCACTTACCACGCATGGTTTCCTTTACTTCGTCGAGGACGAGATTCATGAGTTGGTCGTACCCTTTAAGGGTGCCAGTAACTGTAATCAGATATGCAGGTCAGATTGCTGATGCCCTACAGGCCGAGGCAATAAAAGACTCGGGAGCCCAATCAAGTTGCAATGCTTTGCAGAACCGTTTGGCCGTCTGACATGGTCCCATGTAATTGGTGTATTCAAATATCAAGACCAAGCAACGACGGAACCGGAAGCAGAAAGAAGTCCACTGCGCCACAAAAGCAAGGGATTCGAGGAATTAAAAAAATAAAAATAAAATAAAATATCAACAATAGGATGTGATCCTGAACCCTGCCCTTTCATAGACAATGTTTGATATTCTCCCCAACCAATGAAGAGAGTGGAAATGCATGATGGAACATGGCGGAATCAAAACTGGACGCATATCTGAACAGCAAGAACGACAACTCACCTTCTCTTCCACCGCTGAACTTCACATGGACCTCCTTGTCCATATACTTGGTCAAGTCCAGGATGTTCTCTTTCTTCGGTTTCTCCTGCTGCTGGCCTTGCTGCTGTTGTTGCTGCTGGTAGCCTGCACCGCCACCAGCTGCACCGCCACCTCTTCCACCTCGCCCGCCGCGCCCTCCGCCGCCCCGGCCGCCAGAGCGAGAGAAGCCTCCGCGAAAGGAGCCCCGTTCAGACATTTCGCGTTCCCTGTGTCCAGAATGGGGGCCAAGCGGAATTCTACCGTGTTTCGAATTCTCGGGAGAAATTTGATACTCTGGAAAAGAAATCTGGGCAGCTAGGGGGGAAAGGATGTGTATATGATTGGCTGGGAACGGGATATTGAGGGAGGGGAGGGGAAAAAGGGTATTATGTATGAAAAATTGCTCCCAAATTCGCAAATATTGCCTGAACTGCGTGTAGGTCCAGAGCTGCTAGTGCTGCACTCCTTGCCTTCGATGTGCTTCTCCTCTTTGTGGACAGCTTTTGCGCGGTTTCACAACGGCCTGCTGCTCCGTCGCAAATTTGGGAAGTTGGGCAACCATAGTGACTAAGCCAATCCCAGCTCGAGCCCTGGCCGCTTTTAGTAAACCCAGCGCCCGCAAATACAGCACCGATACAAGACAACTTCGATACATGACGGTATGGTAACGGTATTCTTTGTTTTGACTCCGGCGCCATTGAAGATCTCCCGGTTTCCAGGCTGAAGGGGTGAACTTTGCTCCATAAACCCCCAAAGTTTACCGCTGTCCTCCATCCTCAAGCACGCGCGCAACCTCAACAAGCCTCTTTCTAATGGGTATCTTATTTCATCCTACAAGCTGCTAACAGGTACGCAGTATCTATACAAACAACGCTAGGGCAGCTGCTCCGGCTGTGGCAGTCCCCACGGTCACCAATCCTGCCTGAATAACCGCCTTGTTGTTCAACAGCTTTCCCCATGACCAAACCATATACTTTGTTCCATTCAAGCAATGAAACAAAAACGGCCATGCAATGCTAAACTTGGCTGCCGCTTTGGTAGCAAAAGGCAATGCGCCAAATGCTGCAGCAAGAGAGGCAGATGACAGATCCCAGCCCAGGTACGGGGAGACAACGTATGCCGTGCCGAAGAGGTAGAGCCCCCCGGAAAGCATCATTCCTGTGAGACGTTCAAGGGAAGATACGACGGAGGTTATCTGAAATTTGTAGATACTGAGATGGGGAGAGACGGGACGGTTCAGTCGCTGGGCGGCGAGGATTCTCTGGCCATCTTGAGGTGTTCTCACCTCCGGGTTCCCTTTGGTGGATTCGAATCTGGGCGTGTTAGAATGACGGAAAAAGGAGGACCCCACAAACCCCCCGCCCCCGCCCCCTCCCCCCGACTTACCGGCGCTGATTTGGGACGACAATGGTCCTTGGAATCCTGGCCGCCTGCCCGGCAGCGAGCCGAGAGAATCGCAGAGGCGAAGGTGATACTGATATTGTTAGTCATTGCACGGAGTACCCTTTCCTGGCGCTTCGTAAGTAAATGATTGGACAGTTAGCGTACATATTCGTAAAGTCATAATGTCACTTCGGTCAGCCTTTGACGGAGGAAAAAAAAAAGAAGAAGCGAATGATCTCAACAAGGCAGATCGTAATGAGACCGTCGGATCTCCTGAACTATAACTAACTAGAAGCTAACTATGCTGACTAATACCTAAACTAACTAATACACGTGACACAGATTATTTAGTCCGTTTAGTCCGCGGATGTTCCGGAGCTGTCGATGTACTGCCCGTGCGGAGGGCCTCCGTGCCTTTCACAACAGCAACGGCGTTGGCCCACCCCTGTGGCACTTCTGAGGCCATACTCCGTACATAATCGTAATTCTGACCCCGACTGCTCTCCGTGGCCCCGTTCTGTGGCCCTTGCGCTAAAAGGAGACCCCAAAAGTTACACAATAGGGTCTTTGTAATACATAGTAAGGTACACCATCTACAAGTAATAATCTGATAATTCAAGCGAAGAAGTGTGTTTTGCAGTCTTCATTTTAAATAACAATATGTAATATATACTGGTATTTTTCAGAGGTGTTTATTGTGTAAGGGCCAAAAACACCCGAGTCACGTGGTAAAATTGGTGGCGGACTTCAAATTGCGCAACGTCGTCGTCGTCGTATTGTATTGGTAACGCCCTTCTCCATGTTTCGTACGGGAGGCGCAGTTATTTCGAGAATGAGCCGCCTTTGTCGGGGGGCCTGGATTTAGACGCACCGACCATTCACTGACACGAAGGGCGAGCAACCTTGAAAAAGCTGCCATGAACGGGATTTAATTGGATGGCTGGCCCGCGACGCCGCGGAGCTGGCCAGGCTGAACACGCCACGACATGAGAGTGATTGAGGGCGGCAACGAAGACGAAAGACTCACTCGAGAAGGTGTTTTCAGCCTCTGATCTCGACTAGGTAGTTACCCGCGGCCTAGCCAACCCAATATCAACGTTGTCGGTCGGAAGATTGGACCCTGCTACATGAATCCCCTTCTTCTGCTCGGGTCCAAATGTTCGTCAGACGGGAATTCCCGAGTAAGTCATTACTTGGGTCCCAAGAAAATGCAAGGGCATTCCGGTAACACATTGTCACTGAGAATATGCTCAATTCATCTATCAAAGGCCTAGTCTCGGATGTTTTCCGGTTAATCGAGACTTCTCTTCTCCCGCAACCTAGCTACCTAGCTGATTCAGCTTTCGGGGCTCGTCAACCAGAGATGAGAGTTAATGTTCCATCTTTTGGAGCTGCAAATATAGAACCAGGAGAACTGGTTGATCTGAGAGATCTTTTTGAAACAACACCACTTGTTCCAGGCTCTTCCTACCCTTGACGAAAAGGATTATGGCCACTAAGGCCGATCAAAAAATTTGGTGTATTTCTAAAAAGGAAAAGAAGAAAGAAGGGGGGGGGGGTTGGTTTTGTGCGCTGCGAAACAAAGTGCTTGTCCTCAATACTTTGAAAGTTCACCGGAAATGTTGCCCAATCACTGTGGAGCTAAATGGTTGTGAAGGGGATCAGGAGCAGCCTGAGAGAATGGCAAAGTGGGATGGCATTCAAGGGCGACGGAAAGAACTGCAGATGCGGAGCGAAAGTGAAGTGCGTAGACAAGAGAAGTAGTGACCAGCATATGCGCCGTGAAAAGACACCTTATGAATAAGGGTATCTCTGCGCGCTTTTGCTTGTGGACTTGAAGGGGCGGAGTTAGCTGCGGTGCAGGTATCAGGCCCCTACCCTTCCCAATACATGCCGTCCGACGTAGAGACATTGGGTATCGCCATCACCCGATTACAGTACGAGTATGTGGTGCCGCAGCTCAAGAGGCTAAGCATGGAAAACCCTCGGTAAGCTCGACAAGATGGGTTCGGGAGAAACGAATCCCATCCCGCGAATATACTATATGCAGCTCGTCATTCCGTACTCCATACATGGTTCATTTGAAGCCAAATTATTCTCATCCTCCGATATGGAACTGGGGGACGGACCGTAGTTAGTGAAGACAGTTTGGAACTTTATACCACGGAAGCTCTGTGCGGTGTAGGCTGAAACTTCGACCACACACCTGTTCGGCGGCCGAGGAGGGCTGTGCGCAACTGGTTTACTGCGCGTGCCGTAACTCAGCGAATCGGCCACGTGAGACGCTAGAACCCTTTTGGGGAGCGGAAAGGACCGGGCGGGATTTGCTGGGTCACAGGCTTTCCGCCGAATTGCGAGGGCCACAGCACAGCGCCAAAAGGTCAAAAGAAAGGAAAGGCGAAGTTGCTCGCAAACAAGGCGCAACGCCCCCCCCACCCCGTCGCACGCGGCACGGGAATGTTCTCATGGGAGATATTCCTTAAGATACACTTGCCACTGCACTCATGCCATGAATGGTGTCCGTGGGAAGCAACTACGGAGTAACTACTCTGTACTCCGTGCATACAAGTTAACAAATGACTCCAAGGCGGGCAGGTCAACGCAGCTTGGTAATATTATGTGTGTGAATGCTGACGGGTGCGAGGCTGGGCTTTTTCAACGGTCCTTTCGGCAAAGGGGACCATGATTTCCGATTTCCAGTTGCCGATGTGTCTCTCCACCCCTCTTTCATCGCAAACCCTTGGCAAGTTTGCTTGGGGGATCTTGCGGCATAAATAACCAGGGCGGTGTCGACCTCCGTGTCTCGAGATTCGCTCGAGTCTTTGATACCGAGCACACATTATCCATCTGGCGGTTACCTCTCCCTGGTATGAGACTCGTGCCCAAGTGCGCCTTGAAGAGATATGGGTATTCCTCCGTCCTGCCCCAAAAAAAAAGGGTCCAGCTCGGGGGGGGGACGATCGCACAGTGCTGGGTGGCTGAGGCTGTTCTTGACCGGGGGGGTGCCGGTAACTTTTAGCGGTGTAATGACGCGGTAACAAAACAGGGGAGGAATTGACGGGAGGATTGATTCCGGCGAATCACGCTCCGTTCCTGTTCTCAGAATAGACGTATCGTGTAATTGGCGTCGTGTTTTCCGTTCCGTCTTTTGCAAAGCGGTAACTAGGCCAGTCCAGCCAATGATCGTCCCTCGAAGCGCGGTCAAATGTGGCACAGACATTTCTTTTCCTTTGAAACCGACAGCTCTTTTGGTTTTGCAGCCTTTTCCCCCCCCTGCTAGCACCGGACAGTGGGTTCTGGGACCTCATGCTCCAGTCCACAGCCCAAAAGCTCGGTTTCCTGCCGTACTGCCCGTGTAATGATACCGTAACCGCACCTTCCCTCCCTTACTCCACTCCTCCCCCCTCTCGCTCTTTCCGTTGTCATTTTTTTATTTTATTTTTTTTTCGCTGTCGCTCTCTGCGTGCTTTCCTGAAGCAGGGCCTGGCTTTTGCTTTCCCGCGAACTCTAATTCCGTTTCCCTCCCAGCTCGGTCGCTCCTCCACTCCCACTCCCACTTCCACTCCTCCTCTCCTCCCTCTTCTTCTTCTTCTTCTTCTTCTCCTCCTCCTCCTCCACCACCTCCTCCTCCTTTCCCTCCCTCCACCTCTTCGCTCACAGCCATTTTTCCACCTCCCTTTGCGCATCTTCCTTCCCTCTCTCTCCTCCCTCCGTACAGCGCTCGACTGTCCAACTGTATTCATACTTCCTCTGCTAAATTTAACTTTCCCCGTCGATTCATCCGCCTTGTTTTCACCACTCTCACTGTTCCGTCCCGGCTCCGCCAGCCTAGTAACCCCAACACTCCGTACTCCGATTCAGCTTCAGAGGGCGCGCTGTTGGCCTTGCTGCACCATCCTAACTTCGTTTGGGGGTCAGGTATCTCGGCGCGCGACCGAAGCCTGAGCCGGTCTCGTCTACAACCGTAGCTTTGCAGCGACACACCTTCCCATCGGAAGGGCCGCCACCTCTACCGATGAACATGGCGGACTCCGCGAATAAGCGCCCTCGATCTCCCACCGGTGACTACCCTCCGATAGCTTCCAAGATGCCGAAGACATCGAATCACCTTCAGATCAACTACCTCGCGCGCCAGTACGCGGAAAATCTCCCCCTGGTCTCTGCCGAAGACACCCTTCCGTCCATCCTTCGGCTCATCGGCGAATACGACGGCGTGCTTCAGCGCCACGAGAGCATCGCCGGAAATCTAGGTGCATGTCCTCTCGGCCCCATCCTCGTGAAGCGATTCGAGCGCCTCTTCGACAGCCCCCCTCGTGTGCTGAAATCTAATGGAAAAGAAGGCACTCATGTGACCTGGCTGGATGTCGTCGAGTTCGCGAAGAATAAACCCGAGCAGTTCAATTTGGAAAAGACCAGGAATGGCGTCCGAGTCTGTCAGATCTATATCAAGCAGAGTCGCGTGGAGATCTCCGAAGAAGACTATATTTTGATTGCTTCCGGCATGCCACAAAAGATGATTCCGCCACAGCCCATCAGCGAAGACGAGGAGAAGGAGTTAGGGTCTTTGGAGATCTTGGAAAAGAACTTGTCCCATATCATTCAGTTGGCAGACCAAGGTAAGCGGGGATTCCCTTTTTGATCTGAAAGCTTTCCTTGCGCATCTAACCTTTTACAGTGTCCGCTCGCGCGAGACAGTTGAACCATCGTCTTAAGAATCGGAGAAATGCTATTATTACGCGACGAGAGAACGACGCTGTTTTAGCAACCCAGGGCCAACGCGCGCTCAGTCCCTGGAAAGATTCCAACGGTGCCACAGCTCCCGCGAATGGTCAATCGCGTCCACATTCACCAACCTCGGGTTTTGTGGCTGTAAATTCGCGTCCGGAATCCCACAATGACCATATCGTGTCGGGCAGCCACTTCACGTTTTCACAACCAAATACGGATAATGTAACCATAATCAATGGCACCTCGATCAAAGGAGCCTCACCTAGCACGAGAGCGGAGCTGATGAAGAAGTTCTTTACCACATCAGAGCGCAGACTTTATCCCGACGAAGACCTAGTGAACGCAACTTCCGGTCGCCAAAGCTCAAGATCATCACGGCCTCGTGCATCTGATCCTGGAGAATACATGGGACCATACGCACCGGTAGCCATTCCTAACACTCCATCATCGCTTCTGCCGCAGACGAAGTCCACTAACCACTACGAACGAGACGATGGCGGACCGTACAAAGGCGAAATGGTGAGCAGAATGGAGACACTACAGCGGGGTGAACGTGTGCTTCCACCGTGTGATCGCTGTCGCCGATTGCACATGGACTGCCTAAAGAATTTGACTGCTTGTATGGGATGTACAAAGAAGCACGCCAAGTGCTCCTGGAAAGAGGTTAGATTAGAGGAGCTTCGCGACCTATATCCTCGTAAAAGCCAGGAAATTGCTCAAAGCACCACCTCGGACAGGACTGAGATCGTGGAACGCACGAGTTCGTTTAACCCTGTGAATTCCGAAGGACCAAACCCTACTACCCGACCAGCGTCGGAGCCGCAACAACCCTCGAGGTCCTCGCCTCCCCAAAGATCGCAGAGTGAAAACATGGTTTCAAGTGCCGGTGATGCCAGACGACAGGAGCCTCGGTCGGCTGATGGTCATGGCACCAATGGCAACCGCGTGGAGGCTGAGGACCCGGACGCTCCGGATCCCCTCGCTCAAGCGATCATGGACACAGTAACGCACCACCAGGCCCGTACCGCTGCTGCAGAACGCGAACGAAGAGAAGCTGAAGCCCAGCATGCGATGGCGAAGTAAGGTGGCCCTGTAAATGACGAATGTTGCAACGCTTTTATCCGAGGAGTAGCCCGTTGGGTGCCATGATAGACGGCAAGAGAAATGACGGTTTTATGCCTGTTGATGCCATCACTTCCGATTCCCTTTTTTTTTTTTTTTCTTTTCCCCCTCCCTCCCACACCTTTTTGATGTTTGCCTTCGATGTTCCGAGAAAAATACCTTAATATCGTCGGACTTTTGTGTTTCCTATCTCTATAGCTTTGACAGCGTCTCTTCTCACATGGGTCCTTAGTTGCCCCCTTTTAACTCCCCATTTTCAAAGGTTATTCCCATTTTCAGCGTGATTTGCGATGTATGTATACGGATAATTGCTCGTGGCTCGGTTTTCTTTTTAGCACTTCGAGTTCTTCAGCCCGCGAAATGTTAACAGCTCAGCTCTGGAGTGAAATCTTCAATCGAACTTGCATATACATATTCCGTACGGAGTACGGAGTACATGAACATTGTATGCGCTTCCATGTCTTGTTTCACTGCAAGAAGAATCAAGTCGCCTTCTGAACTGCCAAAGGGTCCTCTAAACATAAAGCAAATGGCCAGTCGATCGAGAGTGATTAAAATCAATGCAGACCAGCATCAGACGACCCAGACTGGGCGGACGCCGCGGATATGACTTCTTCCTGCGAAGCCGGGCTGCGGTCGAGACACTAGCCGCGACGCCCGTTGGCTGTCTAAAACTCCGCATCGAGAGCGGAATCGCGGAGACTGATCTGACTAAGCTGACGAATATGGATCGGGACTAGCGCGGAACGAAGCGGCCGGACGGGGAGGTCCGGCTGACATAAGCGCCGCGAAAAGTGCCGAGAGGGAGAGCCGCAGCGGCGGGCGGCGGGCAGAAGAAGCAAACACGCGCGACGGCGACAGCGGGGACCAGCGATGACAGACGTGTTTGTCATCCGCGGAAGGGCGGCCGTCATCGTGAGTTTCTCGGCGCTCGAGCAGCCGCTTTGGGGGTCTCCGATTCGTCCAACTACCTGAGTTTTCGCCCGATGGCGCACCGTGATATCAGACCCATCCGGAGGACGATGAGGTGTGCGACTGGCGACAGGGTGGGTGGAGGCGGGCTAAATATCTTTCCACCCCGCTCTCCAGGTTCTCCGGGATTTGCAAGACCTTTAAATTGTTGAAATTGGCTGGGAGTGCCCGCATTGCTGTCATTCAATTTCTTCTTCCTCTTGCCTCTCTCTCTCTCTCACTCTCTCTCTGTGTTAGTTTTCTGCGAGTCGCGCTATATGCAATCGACAAGACTGTTTGCATACATATACACAGCTATCCTTGATACAAACTCGAAAGAGACACACTTGCAGCCATGGATCCCTCAAAGGTCACCATCGCTCCGTTGAAGGATCTCACCATTGAGAACATCACTGATAACACCATCCTGATCAATTCGCAATGTCCCGATGCTCGTATGAAGTACGTCATGGAAAGACTAGTCACGCATTTACACGACTTCGCCCGTGAGACAAGACTCAGCACCCAGGAGTGGATGGCCGGGTTGTTGTTCTTGACGGAGGTTGGCAAGATTTGCTCTGACGTCCGACAGGTTTGTTTTCCTCTCTTCCTCTCATCTTGGACATGAGCGCCTTTTTTTTTTTTTTTTTTTTTAATCGTGACCCTCCCAACTAACTAGGAATAGGAATTCATCCTTCTCTCCGACGTTCTTGGCCTCTCCCTCCTCATCGACGCAATTGATCACCCCAAACCAGCCGGTTCCACTGAAGGAACCGTGCTCGGCCCCTTCCACACCCACGACGCCGAACACCTCGACTCCGGCTCCAAACTCTCACACGATCCCGAAGGCGACCCGCTCGTTGTCGTCTGCAACGTCAAGGACACCAATGGCAAGCCTGTCGAGGGTGTCAAGGTTGACATCTGGGAGACTGATTCCACAGGCCACTACGACGTGCAGCATGCCAACCGCACCCAGCCCGATGGACGAGGAGTCTTGCATAGCGATGCACAGGGTAACTTCTGGTTCAAGGCCATCAAGCCCGTTCCATATCCCATCCCTCACGACGGTCCCGTGGGCAAACTGTTGATGATGTTGAAACGCCACCCATATCGTCCTGCTCATATGCACTTCATGTTCGAAAAGCCAGGATATGACCATCTGATCTCGTACGCTCCTCCTCTGCCCCATTCAATCCTCCTTACGGGAGGAAAAAAAAAAAAAGCGCAAAAAAAGGCTTGATGCTAACTTGTTTTCTAGCTCCCTCTTCCTCCGTGGTGACCCCTTCGAAAGCTCTGATGCCGTCTTTGGCGTTAAGTCCTCCCTTGTCGTCGACACCACCACCATCACCGACCCCGCAATGGCTGCTAAGTATGGTGTCCCAGTCGGCACCTCTTTGCTCGTCCACAACTTCGTCCTTGTATCCGATAAGGAGACAAAGGACCTGAGAGATAGAAATTCCACGGAGGCATTGGCCAAGCTGGGCCGCAAAGTGAAGATCGTGAACGGATTGCCAGTTCCTGATTTGGATTAAACAGGAAAATCCTTTTACAATCTTCGGGATATTATTCTTGCTTTGTTTTTTTATATTTACCTCGGGAGAAAATGGCCGTTTTCTCCTTGATGGTATGTCTGGATGATGCTACGTGAAAATGCTTTTGATATACCGGTCTGGTAGCTCTGAGATTATACCTCCCAACTCAGCTTTTTTTTAAATTTCTCCTTTTTCCTTGATATAACCACCATTCTCGATTTTGCACCACAGGAGATGGCTGGGTAATTCAAGGGAGCATTCCTGCCATAAACCATCCGGGAGTTGTGACCAGACATGACCAGCGTGACCTACTAGGCTATATTAATTGGCCAATCTCGACCGAGCACGGATCGAAGGGTGCAGCACGGCCACTTGGTTCATACAAACAAAAAGGTAATAATATTGGAACCACCTGAGGGGATATCCATCACATACGCAAATACACGTCAGACCAGAGAAATAAAAATTCACCCATCATTAATCATAATATGGACAAAAGAAAAGTGGTAACACAACATATATGCATCATTATCTCCCGATCAACTCCTCACTCTCATCCACAATTACCTTACTTTTCCCCTTTCCGGTATCAACTTTCTTCTTTTCCTCTCTCAAGGCCCTCACACTGTCCTCGTCCTCAACCCAGCCGCCACCAACATCCTCACTTGTCTCCAACACCTCCACACCAACCCTCAAGTTCAATCCCGCACTCAACGCTCTCTGAACCTTGACCTCTCTCTTTTCAGCCACAAGCCCTCTCAACACCCTGACTAGGAACCCGGAAAGGATATCCACGCTCCAGCTATCAGGGACAAGGGAGAGAACCTCTCCAACGTCGTACAGAGGTGCAAAGCGGGTGAGCAGATCGGAGGTACGTTCAATGCGATCTGATGGGTCTGTGATCTGAAGGAATTCCTTCAGGAGATGGTAGAAAAGGTCTTTTCGGTGTGGTGGGACCGTGGTACCAGACATGGTGGAAGATGTTGGGTAGGACGATGCAAATCCTCCAAAGAGGCAATATCGGATAGCAGTGTCGTAGTCTCCAAGTCCATGGGTGAGTAAATGAAGAGCTTCGTGGTGGCGGCCTTGGCGACTCCCTAGGATGATGCTTTCGGAGACGAGTTCGTTCTGAAATGGTTCGATGCGGGCTAGGACAGTGGGGATTGAGTATGCAAGGTCGTGGGGACGGGGAGTTGATGTAAACTGGCTTCTGGACTCGCCGCCAAGAAGCTGGAGGAGTCGAAGGCGTGACTGCCACCAATGCTCGGGTGGCGCGTTTTCTGATATGAATCCTAGATATGATGGTTTGGGGGGCCGAAGGGCCCTGTATGTAGAGTATGACTCGGCCAGGGATGCCCGTGCTTGTACAGACGTTTCAAGGACTGTCAGGACCGTGTCGAGATAGTATCCGATGAGATCATCGACATATTGAGAATACTAGACATATAAGCCTCTGCGCGAGAAATTAAAGAACACGGCACACGTACATTCTTCACAAATACCAGGTGCTCCAAATATACTTGCACAGCACCTGGCGCTTTTGCTTTCAACATGAATACCACTTGCCCTGGGTCAAGTTTGACCCTGCTGGTATCGTCCGCAAAGACTTTTATTCCCAAAGAAGGGTTCCGGGCAGCAAGCCAGCAGCCGTATTCCTCGACGACTTGATTGTCTCTAATTTTCACAAGGTACTTTCGCACCTGCATTTCCGCTGCTGGGACAGTTAACTCCCCTCCGACATCCATTTCGCCCTCAATTATCCTCTTCCACGTCATAAGCACATGTTTGGACATTTTCCGGCTCTGATATAATCGGCTAAGCACGAATAGTCTTCGGTATCTCTCTAGGAGTTCAATCGCGCGATTAAAGTCTCCTTTCCAGTTATCGACCAATTTGTTTAGTTCTGTGCGCACGAAAGAGGAAGTGGGGATGTCAGTTGAAAGAAACTCGCCACCATCGATCTCTAGCAATAGGTGTAATAATGCCGCATCCACGCTGTCGAAGACATAACTTTCATCGGTGACACTTCCATAGCCTCGTTTCTTCTGCCATGAGAGCAAATATCGTACTAGCATTTCGAATAGATGTACATTCATGCTAGAAGAGACGTGATTTGTCAAGTCGTCACCCGAAGGATTGACCAACGGTTCGACGACCATCGCGAGGCCACGATTAATCCAGATTCCCTGAGGACCCTGAAGTACTTCCTCTCTCAGCAACGGGATCACGAGTAAGACGATTCGAGGATCTAAACCGCCATGGACAAGTGCAGTCTCCGTTAACTTTATCATATCCCCCATTTGCGCATCTTTGTCAGCAGAAATGAGTTTTGCAAAAAGAACCAGGCTCGCCTTCTGCTTGACATAGTTTAAACCAAGGAATTCATTTTCCGTCTTCGGCACAAGAGTATCAATTTCATCCAGCAGTTTTATTATCGCTTTCAAGTCTCCTTTCTGATGATCACTGCTTGTCTCTGGCTGGGCAAGTCGCAGAGAATTTTCTAGTTGAAGCGCTAAGGGGTTTCGAACTACACGCCATATGCAGCTGCCACCCCAGAGGAGGATATCGCTGTGGACATAGCCGAGATTGACGGCAATTTTGGCCTCTTCTTGATTTCTTTGCGCCTCCCATCCTTGCCGAAAATCAAGACCGGATGATTGCTCTATTTCCTGTGATTCAAACAACTCCTTTTCTTTTTGTAATTGTTGGATGGACGCTTCAGTCCTCGGGTCAGCACTCTCGAGTGGAGTGCGAGGAGGCGAGCGCAAAAATGACGATTTTAATCGCACCATCTGCATTATTTCTCCGACTTCGCAAAAACTCAATTGGTTTGAGCTGACTGTTTTGCGGATTCCAACACGGAGAGACAGGAAGCTGTCCAACGGGATCGATAACGACGACTTATGTCTGTCATCCCCCCCTGGATCAACATCCCACCTCTGCGCCTCGATATGTTTTGAGACCTCTCCATCATTTTCAACGCTAACCACAGCAAGGACGTATCCCTCTTCGGTATCGTTGTTGGCAATAGACTCGGTATTTTCATTATGATTATCAAGCACAATACACTCCGGGTACCTTTGGAATTCTATTGTGCCCCTTGTTCCTTCACCATCAAGGTTCACAAACATACCCACCCCGACACCGGACGCTTCGGTGCCAGTAATAAACAAGAACTCCGTAGGGGTTGGAGATAAAACATGAGGTTTGAACATGGAACTTTCCGAGGTTGATGGTGACGGTGGTGGTAGTGGTAGTGGCTTTTGGGTCGCAGGTTGTACTCCGGAGCCATTGCGGGAAGACTCAGAAGGCTGACGTGTATGGTTAGAATGCGAACTTTCTGGAGAATATATCCTTGAAACTCCATTGCTTGGTTCGGGAGTCCTCGACAGAGAACGCTCCAGGATCGCGGCTTGGGCACGGCGGACACGATCGTCTGTACCACCAATAAGAGTGTTGAGACTTGAGCTCCTGGCATGTATTCGGCTCTCATTTGGTAACATATATCCATTAGAGGGTGCCAAAGAAACGGGCGTCGGCGTTCCGTCCCTATGGGGGATATCCTCCACCCGATAGTCAGCCGGTTCCTCCGAGGAACATATCGTGGAAAGAGGTATCTTTTGGCGCCTCTCCACGTCAAGGAGGGAATAAGAATGGCCGTCTGCGACACATGCAATATTATCTCGACGGGCACCAGCAAGACAACCGGGAAACTCTATGCTCCTCACTCGTCGCGGCTCATCTCCCATCCTGACCAGCATTAGGTTATTCTGCCTCGCTATCATAATGACAGGATCTCCCGCTTCTTCCTCGTTGGCTGATTCATTAAGGTCGAGTGCTCCGATCCATGTGCAATTCCCCACCCTCGCAGTTCCGTAAGCCGGACTGAGCTCAGGAAGAGAGTAGAATGTGACGACTCCATTGCACAAAATGCACACTTTATTTGCGCGCGGGACGACTATAATCTGCTGAACGTCCGTAGGCGTATGCGAATTTGAACTGGTTGTAGTTGCAGCAATTGGTAATCTGGATGCTAGTATGAACGTTGGCTCAGCCGTCCCACTGTCTGCGGCGTCGGCCGGAAGGGAAACGAAGTGTAGAACTTCTCCCAGAGAGGTGCCAACGTAAAGATTACCATCTGCATAAAGGCAAAATTAGCAAATACTCCCGCTCAAACTGAAGATAGGACATACTCCAGTACTCTACACATGTGATGTGAGCGCCCTCATCGCCTTGCTCTGTCGATACCGGGACGTTATCGACAAGCTGTCTGAGAACATAGGGGCCAGTCTCAGGCGGACTCAGCCGCCGACGTTTTCTGGGCCCATTAATGTCGCCATCTGCGCCCATGATCACCTTTCCCCTTGTCACCGTTGAACTGTTCCATGCGGAGTTGGTTGGTAGTCTTCCCGGTCGCAGCAGTTAACGCCGCAGGCAGGGCAGTTCACTGCAGCTAACCACGGAGGAACGTTAACCCGGATGATACGTACGACTCCACGCGAGGAGGTTGTCACCCTTCGAACAGGCCACTCAACTCTGAGTCCTCGAGATTCCCTAGAATTATACATCAATGACGACAGCTAGGAAGCCCTGACAGCTGTCTTTGCTGAGTGTTATCCTCACGGGAAGATGGACACCCTGGCCGCGTCAGAAAGCGCTGGTGACAAGCCCAATGTGGACGTTCAACATGCGGAGAAACCGCAGGAAGAGACCAAATTCCAAAGAGCAATATCGGCCTGGAGAAGTATGTGTCTGTCCCAGACTATTGTAGAATGCTCCTTATCCTCCCGAATACTAACGGAATAAGGTATCGATTTGGCAAATCTCGTCTCCAAGCTCGATACGACGGCGTCGGATATTGTCGCACATCAACGAGATTCCCTCGTACAGCGCAAAGATTTGGCACAGAAGACAAAGGATTTTAGGAGGCTAGACGATGCATCTAAACTTGCCGAATATAAGGGCTTGTTGAAGTGTACATATTTAAACCTATCCTTCTTCAACGGTAATCGTTGCTAACTCCCTGGCGTAGCCTACCAGGCATTCATCGATCTATTGACAACTCACGGGAAAGCCTCGTCTTCCGCATTCTTACAACTCTACTCAGCGTTTTCGGAGGCCCCCGACCCATATCCTTTACTTGAAGCGTCGATCGACTCCCTCGTATTGTCCGAGGATACCGTCCCGAAATTAACAGCGGAAAAGGAGACCCTCCAAAAGAGTGTCAGTCACCTTACCCTCCAGCTAGAGGAGTCGGAGAAGAAATTAGAAGAAGAAAGGTCTCTCCGTAGGAAATTGGAGCAGGAGCAAGAAAAGAAGATCCAGGAAGTCGAAGCATCCTGGACCGCTGTACTTTCGGAAAAGACGAGTAACTGGGAAGCGAAGGAGAAGAGCTACGAAGAGAAGGCAGAAAACCACGAACGTTTGTTGAAGGAGATCAAAGCCAGCTATGAAGTTTCGCAAAGACTGGACAGTCAAGACGATGGAGATACCCAGCGCAGTGCAGCGACGGCTGCTGAACTTGAAATTGTGGCAGCAGATCTGGAAAAGACAAGCCTTAGACTAGCAGAAGTTGAAGCCCGAAATGAGCAGTTGAGATTGGACCTCGCACAAGCCGTTTCTCATCCTCATTCGGAGCCAAAACATCGACCAGTAGAGGAAGAGCCAGAATACTTGCGTTTGCAGTCTGAGAATTCGTCGTTGCTGCGGAAGCTGGAGTCTGCTCGATTTGACAAGGATGTAGAGAAGAATGCTTCAGAAGCAAAATTGCGTCAAGTTGAAAGACAGAACGCTAGAGTGACAACGGAACGAGATGAGTTGCGTACTAAGCTGGAAAAGGTCGCTGATTACGATGATATCCGTCGAGAACTTGAAATTATCAAAGTGGGTGCTCTGTTGCCTGTCTTGCATTTCTCCTCTAACTTTGGCCATTGTAGTCTATCGAATTTTCGACGGGCAACGATGATACGGCTGATTTAAATGATGGTGCAATTGAAGATGCAACTGTCAGTACAAATTCGAAGGAAAACAATTTGGAACAGCTCCTGCTAGCCAGAAATAAGAAGCTATCAAATGAACTCACTCTACTGAGAGTATCACATCGTGACCTCGAAAGCCAGTTGGAGTCACTGAGGGAGGAATTGTCAAAAACTAACGCGGACCTGGAGCGGTCCCGTAACTTGACGGCTAACCTTGAAAATGACCTTCTTCAAGTACAAAAGGAGACGACTCAATCTTCGGCAATGTCTATTGCTGGCACATACACTTCTCGATACCCATACTCAGCAAGAAGGGGCAGGGCATCTCCCACTTCGTCAATTATATCTGGATTTGATCATGGCGTGGCACCCACGAACTCCCTGGAGGCCATTCGCGCTGGTGAAGCTATGGGAGGTGGTTCCGGAATCCTACCAATGGTGCAAGCACAGCGCGATCGATTTAAGCAGAAGAACGCCGAGCTGGAAGACGAACTTTCCAAGACGTATGCCACCGTGAAGACATTACGCCAAGAAATAGCTTCTCTACAGAAGGACAACCTGAACCTCTATGAAAAGACACGCTACATTTCCACCTATAACCGCGGCGGTCAAGTGGCCACTTCGTCGTCTTCAAGCGCGTTCGCGAGCCAACCCCACCAAACTTCTGCTCATGTTGCATCCGACGGTCCATTCGGCATGTACCTTGACAAATACCACTCTGCCTATGAAGCGCAGATCTCGCCCTTTGCAGCATTCCGAGGGCGTGAATCAACCCGGGCGTACAAACGCATGAGCCTCCCGGAGCGTATAATATTCTCCATCACGCGAATGGTTCTTGCGAACAGAACAAGTAGGAACATGTTCGCAGCGTATTGCCTTGCTTTACACGTTTTAGTGTTTGTGATGTTATACATGATCAGCACTCTCGAAGTTGGAAAACAAAGTGCAACTCTCGGGTCCATGGCAGGCGTAGCGGCCGCCCAAGGAGGTTCTGGTGCGGGAGCATCGCCTGAGGGTTGGCAGCAAGAGGCACCCAAGATAGATTAGAGTGGTTATTTTGTGAATCGTTCGTTTGAGCCCTTTTTGATTTCCTTTTATCATCCAAGATGTATTGTTTTATGCTCATGTATGTATACTTATAACAAACCTATTACGGAGTACTATGTTTTCTTATACAATCCTTACCAGCCCAAGCCTAACAACATTCGAAGTATTCCTTTGGAAGAAATTCGCGCGAACTGTCCAGGTGTATTTCAAAATGGACGTGGGCTTTTTTGGGCTTTTTGGACCTATTTTTCGTGGACCCTCGAAGCTCGAGGCGGGTAAATGGTCATTAAGCATGGAAACTAATGAACAGATATGCATTTGAAGAAAAGAGGAAGCTGACCCATGGACCATCAGATTTATGAAGACCTAAGACGCGCCGCATTACAAACAGTCATGTATTGAGATATCAGGATAAAATAGGAAACGAAGCGAGAAACGCCCACAGCTCATTTCGCGCCTTTACTTCATTTCCCTTTTAGTCCATCTCAACGGGAGTCGTATTTGTTTGTTTTGTGTTTAAAAAGATTTGAAATTTGATTTATGCTGCGGTAATAGCCTGACGCACACGAGATCCCCGCTGTCTGGATGTGAGTCTGGATCCTTCCCGTTCAACAACAGTTGGGGCCTTCTGGACAACTTCTTCTCCTTCGGTCAAGATCATCTCAATGTGGCAGGGGCTGGACATGTAGGGGTTAATCTAGATGACAAGAATCTATTAGCGGTGCCCGATGCGATTGACTGTAACCTCAAGTTATCGAAATATAAAAGGGCAACATACACGGCCGTGGGCACGGTAGGTACGTCTCCGCTGCTTGGGAGCCTGGTTGACCTGGATGTGCTTAACGATGAGGTTGCCGGTATCCAGACCCTTGGTATCGGCATTGGCCTCAGCGTTCTTGAGGAGACCGAGGAGAAACTGGGCGGACTTGACGGGCCAGCGAGCCTTGGAAACACCGAATTGCTTGCCTATAGCGTAGAGAAGGCAACGTGTTAGCTTTCGCGTTTTGCGACTGTGACAACCCCAGATTCAATTTATCCAATTTTCCCTGGCTCCCAACATTCCCCGCAGCCATCGCAGAATCGAAAACGAGTACGACATTAATTTTATTTTATTTTTTTTTTTAAATTGATTTCCCGGCTCTTTTGATCCTTCAGCCCTTCAACCGTGACGCTTGGTCTGTGATACACAATCCGTTCTCCTCGTTGAAGGTTTCCCAGCGATCTTCACACGATCAAACACAAGAAACACCAAAGGTGAACTCACCCTGAGCGCATCGTCCAGTGCTACCGGCGTATCTTCTCATGGGAACAGCCTCCTTGTGTCCAATGACATTCTCCAAAAAGGCAACCGCCCGCTGCAACTTCAATCCATTGATCGCCTGAGCCGTCTCGCGGGTGTTCTTGAAGCTAACGCGCAAGTAGGATCCTCGAGATCGTGCGCTCTTCGCACTCGGGATCGATTGGGCGGCGTAACGGACCTAAAGAGCAGAAAGAAGACGTAAATGTTAGCTCGCTTCGGGGGTTTCGGGGGGCCAAACGGAGGCCGATTTCCAAGGGAAAACCGTCTATCAGGCGATGTCGTCGAGGCGGGTTGAGCACTCACCATCTTGAGCGGGTTGTCGTGTATATGAGATGGTCCCTGATGCTCGGTTGATTGATCTCCAAGTCAGTCGAGGTGTGCCCTTTTTCGCTGTGGTGAGGAGCTTGTGGGTAAGCGAGTCGGGCGGCGAGGTGAGGAAGCCCTAACGCTAGTCCCGTCTGGGTTTGGTGCCGCCCCTACGCAAACCTTACCTGGCTTGCCCTAAATCGACCTCACCACCTCAAAACGCCAGCGACGGGCGATTCGACGGCGACGACTCCCGCTTGAATTTGAAAAGACTCTTGTCCTGTCCTGGGAGCAGGATGCGCTGGCTCCGATCCACTTACGCCGAAGAACACGCAGACGTCCGGAACCCGAACATTCACTCCCAGCGAACGATGACGCCAAGCTTGCGGCCAATCCGTGAAGCCGCTGCAGCTGGACTGAGAACCCGCCACGACGAAACGACAAGCACTTGATTCTGTCAAGAGACGCGGTTGATATTCACTGGCAAATCTACCTATGTAACCACATATATATACCCTATATGGAATACACATTTAAAGCCATAAACCCTGACTCCGCTTACCACCGTCCCATGACCTTTCTCACCCTATATATGAACTCCATTCCATCCATTCAGATGCCCATTTCGCTCCACATGCCCATTCTCATGTCCATTAACTTGATGCAAAGCATCTCGTTGCTCTGGCACCAACGTGACCAATGTGCCCTTTTCAAGACAGGATCTTAGATTCTCGAGAACGAGGAGTTCCATTTCCCTTTGGGTTTCGAGAGTGGTGGTCCCGATGTGCGGAAGTAACATGACCCTTGGGTTGTTGAGCAAACCTGGTTCAACAGAAGGCTCATTCTCAAAAACATCTAGGCCGGCGGAGAAAACCTAGCGCAAAGATCAGCAACCACAAAGTTTTGCCTCCCATATGGGCGAGAGGCTTTTACCTTTCCGGAATTCAAAGCGTCAACAAGAGCCTTTTCGTTAATCAGAGCCCCTCTGGCTGTGTTGATAATCACTACACCATCTTTCATTTTCTCGAACTCAGGACCAGAAATGATATGCCGCGTGGAGGCGTTCAGTGATAGATTGAGACTCAAAACATCTGATTTGCAGAGCAAATCATCGAAAGAGACATATGTTGCATCTCCTTCTAATTCCCGTGGGAGTCGGCGGCGGTTATGGTATATGATATTCATTCCGAATACTCTGGCTCTGCGGGCTACTTCCTGGAAAATTGCGTTAGCTTTCGCAAATTTCACCGGCCTTCATGTGGCAGCCTACCCTGCCAATACCCCCCATCCCTAAAATACCAAGAGTTCTCCCTCTCGGATCGTGCCCAAGCGTTGTTTTTCCAAACCATTGGCCTACACCATAGTGAGCATGAAGCTTAACATCTCTAGGAGACAGAGCTTGACCATTTCTAATTGAAGATATCGAAATATACGCTTGCCTAAGTGCGCCGATCATCAAAAACATAGTAATGTCCGCAGTGGCATTGTTGACAGCAATCGGTGTGCTCGACACCAAAATTTCTAGCCAAGAGGGGTTGGGTGAGCAACGACATTTTTGAAACTCATTGTACCGGGTGAGATGGCACAGCACAACATCGGAGGTCCAAAACAAACCTTTTTCTGTACAAGCGTCGACGTCAATGTTATCGTATCCAGCGCCATTATGACAGATAAACTTCAAAGAGTTTGGGAGGACAGAGAGCATTTCTTCATCAAAGGGCCCGGTTACCTGTAACCATGCTTAACGTTAACCACAGAGCGTAGCGACTGAGGTCATCTCGGGCCACTTGGGATTGTATGGGTTCTGCGAATCATTTGGAACCATCTTCGTGGACGACCTACTTTAGTGGAAACATTCGATCGATAAATGGCCACAACGTCGTCGTATGCGCCATTTTTACAGTTTCTCATGAACTCTTCCCGTGTCCCAGAGGGATATTCCTGCCAGCAAGGTCAGCTTTTCTCCTTCTAACGATCCCATCGGCTGTTCATGAATGTGACGCAAGGAGAAAGAGCGCAAGTACTATCCAAGGCCAGTGACTGGGTCGAAGGTTGGGTGCCCATCTGCCGATCTCTAAAGGCCATTGCAGGATCCAATCAAGGACTGGTCCCGATTCCAACACGGATAGCCACTTTTCGGGGAGGATTCACGAGAAATGTCACCCTTTCCTCGGATTCCGAGTTCTGTATCACAGCTGGAACTGGAACGTGTGGTCCAAAGAACGCGCGAATGTGTCTGTACCACAGAGAGCTGCGTATAGCGCGAGCAGAAAAACAAGCGGGGTTTCGACGAAGGGCATTAGGAGGGTCATATCGGTCATCATCCCCCGACGTACCTTCAATGTCACAAGAGAGGAGAGTAATTCCCATTCCTTCCTGCAATGGGTAATGTCCCCGATCAGCAGCGCAGCACGGGAATGCATGGCAAGCATGATAATAGCAAAAGGCGAGTGTTGAACTGAGGCTAGCTAAAACAGCAGCCTTTTATTTTTCCTTTTTTTTGCCCCCTCTTCACTGAAAAGCGCTGACGCCACCCAAGAGACTGACCGGCAGACAAAGCCAGATAAAATCCTCGGTGAGCTTTTGATAAAGAAGCTCCAACCAGTAACAGAAAGCAGAAATGGACTTGCTCCAAGAAATAAGTCTTGAAGACGGCGAAGCAGCAAAGATTAATATATATATATATATATCGCTTTCAACGGCAGAACCCTAGCCAAATCAGGTCGGCAATGTGAGTCGCTTCAAAGGGTCGCCCAGTTTGTATTTAAAAAGAAATATTAAAACCCAAAATGAGAAAGGGAAAAATATTAAAAAATTAATTAAAAAATAAAAATAAAAAAAAAGTGAAGAGGGTCAACAAAATAATGCCTGGCCGTGCACGGAGCTTCTTATTTTTGTAACCAGAAAGTCACAACGCAATTGATCAACAGTCGCTTTCCTCCTTTGCCTCTCAGCCTTTCCGTAAATGCAGTAGGGCAGCCAGCAATCCGTGCGCTAGCTCATGACACTATTTGACGGCGTCCTGAGCTGGCCTCGAGAGACCGTACAAAGGGGAGCGAGGAGGGTCCGGCTGCTCATAAGACGCTTCAAGGCAGAGACTGACAACGCAGAAGAATAAATACGGCGACAAAGTAGGCGTGGCAGGGCTCGACAAAGAAGAAAAAGAGACGAAACCAAAAAAGAAAAGAAAAGAAAAAAAAGAATGAAGCACCTGCAAGTCTCCAAGAAACGGGATGGTTGGCCTGATAGCTAAATTGGGATGGGATTGAAGGGGATCCCCCAATCTCTTCTTTCATTCTGGCTGCTCCCAGAGAAGCCCCCCCCGCGAGAGAGTGGAGTGGGAGAGTCTATTATTTCTCCCTCCGTTCTGGCTCGCCCGTGTTTCCCCCGATTCTCGAACCCTGGGTTACTGCTTGATTGCGTTGCCACCTGATGATGTTCTCCCCAAGCTTTGGGCGGCAATTGAAAAAGCTTTCGGGGATGATCATTGGGGATTTGGGGAACTCTATATGGAGTCCGCACTCCAGACTTCACGCAAAGTATGGAGTACAAGAAACATTGTTTCCCCCCCCCCCCCCCCGTAAGGAATCATGGGCTGTTGGGGGAGAGCCGAGCCGAGCGAGCTGAGATCCTTGGACCTCACACATTAATGGCCAGTCGCTAAGCAGCCTGACCATCCCTCGCCGATGGAGCCTGTTTTAGCGTCGGAAAATGGTGCTGACGGGGGAGGAAGACTGTCAGCGGTTGACAAAAAAAAAGCCCCCGAAAGTTTATTGCTTGAACTCAAATGTCGCCAAAAATGCCGAAGTGTCTTTGATTATTCCGTGGGAGCCGAGCTGAAGGTCTGCTGGCCGCATTGGGAGCAGCAATATCGCCGCGCACGGGAGCTCATTGTCACTTTTGACCCTATGGTCCCGGATCGGGATGCGCGCGTTGTCGCATGGAGTGAGATACAGACTCTCGTGCAATGTGAGCAAATAATGCCGTCGAGCTGGCTGTCCTCAGGCCTCTGGCCTAAGTACGGCCTGATCTGCCTGACAAAAAAAAAAAACCTCCAGAAAACAAAACAAAAAAAAAAAAAAGAAAAAAGGAAATATAAGGAAGAAAAGTCCATCGCCTATTAGCATCTGCCTCTGCACGACAGTATAATGATCATGACTGGATCATCGAGGCCGTCAAGGGCGCTTGTGCTCCACGGGCCCGAGGATTTACGCCTTGTATGTAGCACACCAGCGCACGTCCAGCAGCCGGGAGACATCTCAGCTAACGATAGAGACAAACCAGGAAACGCGGGAGACACCTTACCCCGCCGCAGGAGAGGTCCAGATAGCCATCCGTGCCACCGGCCTCTGCGGCTCGGACCTCCACTACTTCTACCAGGGCCGCAACGGAGACTTCGTCGTGCGGGCTCCGCTATGCCTTGGTCATGAATCAGCCGGCACGGTCACCGCGCTAGGCGCAGATGTGACAACGCTGCAAGCAGGCGACCGCGTTGCTCTCGAGGTCGGCATCCCTTGTCGCAAATGCACGCTGTGTCTCCAGGACAGATACAACCTTTGCAGCTCGATGCGATTCAGGAGCTCTGCAGCCGTATTCCCGCATCTGGACGGCACGTTGATGGACATCACCAACCATCCGGCGATCCTTTGCCATAAACTGCCGCCCACGATCTCCGACGTCCAGGCTGCCCTCATCGAGCCCCTCGCGGTCTGCATCCACGCGGTGAACCGCTCAAAGCTGGACATTTCCGCCATCGCCCAGATCCCCCAGCGGGACGTGACGGCTCTAATATTTGGCGCCGGCGCAATAGGGCTCCTCCTCGCCTGCGTCCTCGCCGCAACCCAGCCCTTCACCGCCATCGTCGTCGCAGACATCGACACAAAGAGGCTCCAGATCGCCTCCACCCTGCCATACACCAACATCACCCCGCATCATCTCCTCGCCAAACAGGCGTCCTCCTCCTGCACCCCGGAAGCGGACGACGACTACGCAAAATCCATCGCCGCACAGCTCGCCGCCAAATTCACCCTCCCGCACGGCTTCACCCGCGTCTACGACTGCACGGGCTCTCCGTCGTGCATCCGCGCCGCCATCCACGCGTCATCTCCCGGCGGCGCCGTGGTCCTCGTGGGCATGGGCGGTCCGCGCCTCCCCACACTCCCGCTCTCCTTCGCTGCGCTGCGGGAGATCGATTTGATTGGCGTGCTGCGGTACGACGGCAGGTGTTATCCCGAAGCGGTGCGGCTGATGGCGTCTGGGAAATTGGACGGTGTGACGGAGAGGATAGTCACGCATACGGTCGAGTTTGGGAATGAGGGCGGGCAGAAGGCGTTTCGGTTGGCGGGGAATGGGGTGGATGACGAGGGAAATACGGTTGTCAAAGTCGTTGTTATGGGGGAAAAGGGGTGATGAGGATTTCCCACGGTGTCGAAAACTGAAGAGAGAAATGCCTGTGGTGTCTCTCAAGGCTGATACAAATTAAAGAGTTGAAACGAGAATAAACGGTATCCATTATCATTAATTAATATATATCATATCATATCATATATCATATATTCTAATGCACTCTATAGTTAAGATCGCCTGCCACCTGCTGCCTGCCCTACACCACACCCAGATGCGTAGTTAAAATGCTAAAACGTGGTCTTGTTGTTTTTTTTTTTTTTTTTTAAAACAAAATTAACTGAAAGGCAAATCATTCAATTGCCGAAATCTCTCCAAACCGAAATCACTCCGTGCCATTCTCAAAACCCCTTCAACCCCCCAGACAACATAATACTCTGGCCGGTCATATATCCCGTCGTAACACACATCTCCACGGCGTTTGCAACCTCTTCTACCGTGCCCAGCCTCCCCAGAGGTATTCCGGCCGCAACTTCGGGGATCACATGGGCCCCGGGTATCATCCCCGTCTCACCGATCATCGCGGGTGCAACGTCGTTCACGGAGATATTAAATTCAGCAAGACGTGTCGCGAGATTTTTCATCATTCCCGTCATGCCCCCTTTAGATGCCGCGTAGTCTGAGCGGAAACAAAGAAAGAGAAAGAAAAAAACATCAGAACTTGCAAACCAGAACAGCTATTGCCAGCAAGGATGTGGGAGGAATAAATACAAAAAAAAAAAAAGAAAAAGAAAGAAAGAAAACCTACGAGCTCCATTTATCCCTCCGCCATACGCCGCGATCGAAGATATAAAGACAATCCTCCCCCACCGCTGAGCCTTCATGCGTTCCACCACGCCCTTGACGAGCAGAAACGAAGCTCTAAGGTTCACGTTGATCGTATAATCGAACTCTTCCAGCGAGATGTCCCAGATCTGCGGTATCCGCTTTCCGTATCCCGCGTTCGAGACTAAGATGTCTGGCGTTTGCCCGTGTTCCTTGACAAGCTCCTCGAAAAGCCGATCGATCTGCCCAGCGTCCGCGACGTCCACCTGGTGGATCGATACGCGCTGCTGTGGACCCGTAACTCGCGTTGCGACGTCATCGAACACGGCGTTCATCCCATCGGCGTTCTTGGAGTAAGTCAGGGCGAGATGGACGCCTCGAGAAGCAAGGCTGCGCGCGCAGGCTGCACCGATGCTACATCCGTACCGAAGAGCGAACGTCAATGGTCCGAACGTTTCTGGCGTGGCGCCATATCGATGGGTTTGGAACAAGACTCACTGACCCCGACGACGCTCCGGTTATCAGGGCAAGACGCCCAGCAATCTCGTTCGTTCTAGCCATCGTTGAACTCAGGAACTCCAGGGAGCTAAAAGCGTAGACAAGGCAGTCGAGAGTGAGGATGGGCGGTCGTTCTCCTACAGCAGGCGTGGAGAGAAACATGTGGCGGGGGGGCCGGCAAGGCTTTCCCCCGCCAAAGGCCGCCAGTGCAGCCGGGTAAAGAGCTTTCCCGCATTCCGGCGGTGGGGGAGAAAGCTAGCGCCGGCGCCGTCAGGCTAGAGCTACAAAAACGGTGGGGGGAAATGATGAGGACTTTGCGTGTTCGATTTGATGGCTGGCCATTGCTTAATATAGTTTTTGGCTTCGTTGTTTCATGACAAATAGCACCCGGTCGTTGGGGGAAACGCTCAGAACAATAGGTTTCCATTCGGGTCTACTGACCAGATAGGACACGGAGTTCCGTTGGTATACGCAGCGTGCGGGTCGTGTACGTACGCAGAGAGATCGATGATATTACCGCCGGCAATAGGATTTCCCAACACAAAGTCCCCGACAGCTTCCAGGTCTAGCCACGAGAAGTCGTTTGTAGGGCTGACCTGCGTTGCCGTCGTCTCAGTGGAACCATTCGTCGAGGCTCGGATCGACATGTCGGTGTTGCGCCTAGGGCCGAGATCTGGTGTACTCAAAGACTGTTTAAACCATAGGCGTTCTAGAAGAAGCGCGTACCGGGTGCCGGTCTTGTCGGGGCCGGCGCTGGCTCGTCGTAATCGGTTCATTGTTTCTCTGATCATTTCTCGTATCTCAAATTGTTCTCCCCGACTGATCACCCCAAACGAATGCGCCTATGGACGGCCGTGTCAGTAAAGCACTGGCCATACAGAGCTAAAGGGCCTTACCTTGTATAAGAAGACTGCCGCATACGTGCCATATCTGCGCGTTGTGTTATCAGCAAGTCACCGTCCTTTTTGAACGTTGGAGTGGATGGCACTTACAGATAATATCTTAGCGGAAGGTAACGCAGGTGTCTCTCGGGGTTGACGGAAGTATTCAGGATCCTCAGATACTCCTTTGCCGATCGCACTGAGGAGTATATGAATCTAGAATCCTGCATGGATGCTACGTCACTGAAGGTGGCACGCAGATATTCTCTCTGCATTCGAGCAGTGCATTTTGGCTTGGATGAGAGGGTCTGTGAGATAGCTGCCTGGAAAGCAAAGGCGTTTGTGTACAGACTGAGATAGACGCTCTGCATCTGCAGGGTGACTTTGATCTCAGGAGAACCTGTAGAATTTCCAAGTGTGAGCACGTGTAACTGTCTCTCAAAGGTGGGTGCAAGACAGTTAGAGAGGGAGGGGGGAAAGAGACTGACAGCTGATGTTACCCCATCGATCGTGCCAACGATCTATAGCTATGCGGAAGTCATCCACGTATTTTACATAATCGCCCATAAGCATCATCTGGCTGCTAGTCCGCATGCCGGAGTAGAGAACATCGTGTACATTGCCGTACAACTGCGTGAGGTCGAGAGTGGCTTGAAAAATCTTCGAATAGTCTTCGTCTCCGGCGGTAAGGGGCTGCAGCGAGGGGAAATCGTCGCTCACAAGCCCCGTCATCGGGCCAGGGCCACGGGACCAGAAGGCTCGTCCGATTCGAACGGATATCAGCCGATCGGATACATAGCAGCTTGCCCACGCGAGCCTCCTGCGGTGAATAGCCTGTAGATCCCCGCCGCTATCGGTCCGGAACGAGGTCCTTTCGAGGCCCAGGAAGTATCCCGACCGCAAGGCCAGTCCCACATGCATCCAAGCCGCACGGTTCTCTTCACCTCGTCCGATCGTCTTGATCCGCGGCTGGAGTCCAGGGGGCTCCCACTCCGCAATAAGGAGCAAGGCCTCGACGGCTTCCACCTCGCACGGCGCGCCGGCCGCGACACCGGATATCAGTTCGTGCATGTAGCCAGAGCATACTTCGTGTATATGAGGCTCCTGGATTCTATTCTTGGAGGCAATCGTGAGTATGGCGGTGAGAAGGTGCCTTTCTTCTTTGGCGAAGTGGCCCAAGTTTTTACGACCAAAGAATTTCCGGGGCACCAGGGGTAGATAAGGGTGGAAGTTTTCAGCGTAGTGGACGACCAGGTCCCAGACCTGATCGCCGGTCATGGAGCCATTTTTAACGAGGCGATAGGATTCAATGCTGGGCGGGGAGTCCTGGGCATGTGCCATGCCGTTGTCGGGGCCGTTACCCTGTATAGATCTACGAGATTCGGAGTTGTAAGGGCTGGTAGATTTGTAGAAGCTTCCGTCGTCGTCCTGAGCTACGTTGGTGAGACACTGCCAGGCATCCGAAGGATTTTGGAGAACGCCGTGACTGAATGAACTCTCGGCGATAGGAACTAGGTCGTCGTCGTCGTCGTCGTCGTCGTCTTTCATATGAATGGAATCGACAGTGGGTGACTCGGAGGTCATGGAAGGGTGTAATGGGTACTGCGGAGGGAATGGATGGGGCCCGGCGGTGATGGGGATTGCCGCAGCATTGAGGTGTAAGGATTTAGTGCGAGAGACGGCAACGGCATGAGGAGCATTAGAAGTAGTGGTAAAGGGAGCAGCGGCGGCGGTGGTATTAGTGGTGGTGGAGGAGGTCGAGGTAGTGGCAGTAGTGGCAGTAGTGGCAGTAGGAGCAGTAGCAGTGGCGGCAGCGGCAGCAGCAGCGGAGTCCACCTTGACCTCGAGGGGCTTTTTGCGGATGCGGCGGCCGCCTCGATTGGAGCTCCCCAGGACACAGTCGCGACTGTCGCGGATACACCGTTGGCAAGGCGGGCTGCCGGGATTGCCGCTGCTATCCCTGTTATCAATTGCCGTCAGAGCTAGATCCAACGGACCAAAAGCAAGTAGCCAATACGGCGCTAAGGTTGGGGGGCTGCACAATACAACGACGCAAAGACCGACAGGGCGAAGAGACAATTAAGTAGTAAGTAGAAGTAGAAGAAGCAGACGTAGTAGAATTAATAGTATTAGTAGTAGTAGAAGAAGAAGAAGAAGAAGAAGAAAAAGTAGAAGTAGAAGTAGTAGTCGTAGGAGGAGGAGGAGTAGTAGAATAAAGAAGAAGTAGAAGAAGTAGAAGAAGTAGAAGAAGTAGAAGAAGTAGAAGAAGTAGAAGAAGTAGAAGAAGTAGAAGAAGTAGAAGAAGTAGAAGAAGTAGAAGAAGTAGAAGAAGTAGAAGAAGTAGAAGAAGTAGAAGAAGTAGAAGAAGTAGAAGAAGTAGAAGAGAGACAAAGGACGAAAGAACAGGGCCAAGCGGCTGTTCAAACTTACAAGTCGCATCGAGACTTGCGCTGGCGGCAATGGAGACAGGCTCTCGAGACTCGCTTCATGGTATGCTGTGTGTTACTCTTGCGTTTCGGTTCCCCGACGAGAGTTTTCAAGAGTCCGCCATTTCGCTCCGCTGAGGCCATGGTTGTTGGACGGACGGACGGACGACGGGTTGGTGGTTGTGGTGGTGGTGGTGATAGTTTAGCGGTGGCAGGTTAAGCGGGAAGTGGTATAACGAACTATTCAATGAGATGCCGGGGAAAATATGTTCAGGAAGAATAACTATCTTTTGAGAGAATATTCCTGACAAGAAGCTGCTAGTACCCATCCAGCGGAGCAGGACACGGCTCATCGACGAGTGCGAGCTCCCGCATTCTCCTCCCCGTCGCTCTTCGCCCTGGTTGCACTGGGAGCTATTAATGGCAGAAGAAGCGAGAGCAGGGAGATCAGCATTGGCAGAAGAGCAGCCGTGCAGGGGTGGTGGTGGAGGGAGGCAGCAGCAGCAGCAGCAGTACCAGTACCAGCACGAGCACGAGCACGAGCACCGGCAGTCAAAACTCCCAGCTCGTGAGTTGGTTGACCAGTGCGAGGTGCAGCGTCAGGTCGTGCCACCACCACCAACGGAGAAGATGGAATCTCGGGAGGCGGCAGACAAGACCACCCAACGGCATGCGTAGGAGGAAGAGAGAAAAAAGTAAAAAAGTTCAAACGCTATGATAGTCGCGAGCAAGATCTTAAAAAGAAAAAAAAAGAAAACAAAAAAGAAAGAAGAAGAAGAAGAAGAATGATGGGTGGGATGGAGAGAGAGAGAGATTGATATGAGAGAGAGTCTTGATGCTTGCTGCTGCTGCTGCATGTCATGAAGACGACGAGGTGATTTTCCCCCACAATTTTAGCTCCGGCAGGTCGACTTGCGCTGTTGGGTTTGTTTCGCCTCTCGAGTTTCCGCAGTAGTTAATTTAGTTTTAGTTAACTAGTTTAGGCCGTTGATTGACGAGACGACGACACAGCTCGCTGGGAACAGACAAGTCGGTTCGTCTCTCAAACGCTGCCGCACCGCTCAGAAACGGCCGCCCGCAGGCTCAATACGACACGGGGATCTCTGCTCGGGGATACGCCTCTCTCTCTCTCTCTCTCTGTGTGCGTGTGTCTCTCTCTCCCCCCTTTCGCTGCCATCCACAAAACCCTGAACACCTCGCAGGCCAGGGTGGATTTCAATTCGGCCAGAGGCGACCTGAACCTCCCGCGCCTCCTGTGCGACCCCCGCGGCTCTCCCGTTTGTCGAATCGCGAGCGTGTGACTCGCCGTGCTCATCCGGACAATCCTTTGATTCGACATGCAGCGTTAAGAGAATCAGTTTGACTTGTCTGCCCAGGCTATCATGATCGGCTGTGTCTTTTAATTTTTTTTTTTTTTTTTTCCTTTTTTCCTTTTTTCCTTTTTTCCTTTTTTATTTTTTTTACCAGACTTTTTTACCTTGACAGGACCAAATTTTGTGGCCCGAGCTAGTTCACTACAGACAAACGTTTTGACAGATCGATCGCTTTTGGTCCCATTCTCATTCTCTCTGTCTCTCTCTCTCTCATTATTTTCTTTTTTTTTCTTTCTTTTTATTTATTTTTTTTTTTTAAGATCTTGCCTGTTGAGTGTTTGGTTCATTAATTCATCTATCGACGCTCTTTCAACGCCATCTACCACTCTGCTTTGGTGGTGGGTCTTGTCTGCGGCATTCCGTCAAGCGCGAAAAGAAAAGTAAAAACTCTCAAACAAGCCTGCTCTGCGACATCTACAGAGCAAACAGAGAGAAGGGAAAGTTTAAAAAAAAAAAAAAAAAGGACTGCAGAATGAAGGATGTATGCATGCACTCTGTACATGATGTATGATGTCGTGTGTTTACAACTACCTTGCGGCGTGCGAAACACTCCGTCCTGTCCGAACATCCGGCGCATCCTGCGTGCGGTTGCTCGGCTGGGCGAGACGAACGTGGAGGCTGCTGGGCCTTTCTTTACTGTCTTGGCGGTGGTTGGAGGCCAGGGTGGTGGTAAGGTCTGGCAAACAAGCAGGAGAAAGAAAAAAGGAAAAAAAAAGAAAAAGAAAAAGAAAAGAAAAGAAAAGAAAAAAACGTCTGTGGTCCAGTTCTCAGCCCGAGTCCCAATCCCCGCGCCCATTGGCTACATCCCTCCATCACCGAGCTGTGCCGTCCGTTTTCTCCCGTCCTGCTCGACGGACGAGCAGCAATCAAACTGCTCCTTGTTGTTGTTGCGGTTCGGGACGGACGGCGGGAAACCAAGTGTTGGAGAACGCCTACAGTGGACGACGCAAACACCGCGGAATCCGTGGCTTGCGAGATCGCTCTCCTCATCTGGAAATGATGAGACGAGATAGACGGCCGGCTCTCTCGTAGGGCGGGCAGATCAGAATACTCCATCTGAACTCTAGACACGCTCAGGTCCCCCTTCAGACTTTAGGTCAGAAAAAAACGGTGGACCGGCGAATTGGAAGGCCTGTCACATTCCATCCCCGGACCGTTTGCTGCGGCTCGGCTCGACATCTTGCGTTCTGGCGTGCGTAGGGCCACATTAATACCTATTGAAAGAGCCACCACCCCCAAAAATTTTTCCCTGATGGCTATGCTCAGCGTCTTGAAACTTCTTTCCCTCTCCCCCCTGGCTAACAATCTCATCCATAGTCAATTATTAGCGATTGAGGATGATCTGCTGTTGAGGTTGAGCTGCATCACACGACCATATGCCTTTTTTTTTTTTTTTTTTCTTCCCCTTTTCTTGGGTATCGGTCTTGCAAATCCTTCAGCAGATGCATCATCCACGCTCTCCTCGAGACCCCCAGCGTGTCAACGGAGAGTCTGTTGACTCCTCTGATGCGAACACCTCGATAAACCCGTCACTTTCCAAAAGTAAGGTAAATGGACTACTCTTTTCCCCTTTCCACCCGAAACATGGTATACCGACAAAGGAACCAAACAAGATAATAAATCTTGTTAGTTAATCAGATCTAGACTCTGCGCTGGTTGAATTCCAACCCCACCCCACCCAACTCGTCGGGGTAATTCCGAGAAGATCATATATATCACGACTTCGTACATGAACCATAAGGTTTTCCCCAATCCAGAGCAGTCGATGAGCTAAAAAAGGCCAGAATTCTCCACCGACATTTGTGGGCAGGCTCTTTTGCGTATTGAAGCCGATGCTCTGGGTCAATAACCGACGCTAAAAACAGAAGCACATGTCGTTGGGATGGAGAAACCTTGTCGCTGCTCCTTGCTTGATTGTCCTCCTCGTAGTCATTTATGTATGTAGATATATATATATATATATATATATATATGTGCAGTTGGATGTCTTGTCAAAAGGGGCTGAGCCTCTCACTCCAAGCTTGTAGAGGAAATTTCCGGGCGGGCGAAGCGAGATTAAATGATACAGTTGTATCCTGGGTTTCGACATGAACTGCTCTTTTGCTCATTTGACGAGCATGAAAGCTCGCCGCGAACTGTAGTATTGCATATATGATTTGTTTTCCTTGTGCGATGGGGGGAGAAATGGCAATGGATGAATTGTCGTCGTCGTGGTGTGTGTTTGTCTGGAAAGGTTACTCTTGGATGACCGGGCTGTGAGACATCTTCTCCCTGCTTGGACCAGTGAAGGGCATCCCGCGGACGAACGGCCCCCCGCCGAAAGCTGCTGGGAAGAACCTTGCATTGTCCTCGCTGTGTCCAACGCACGGGAGAACCTTGTGGTGTTCAACGCACGTACCGGGACCCCGAGAGATCTTCGAGAGGAACAAAAAGCCGTTTCCGCAGAAAAAGGGAAGAGAGCTTGAGGACTGCGAAAAGCCTAATTTTTCTTTGTTAAACGTAGGTTCCGTTTATCCCCAAAATCCCCGGTGCACCCAGCGTATGAATCAAAAAAAAGGTGTTTGTAATCGATTTTCCGCCCTACACTACGAAACCCAACCCGGTCTCGGGATCAGATCATGACGTCCTCGCCGGTGCTATCTCTCTTTTCCCTGCAGGGCAAAACAGCCCTTGTGACAGGCGGCACCCGCGGAATTGGGCAGGCGATGGCCCAAGCGTTAGCTGAAGCGGGAGCCGATATCATCCTTGTCCAAGTCAGTATGTCGTTAGCATCGCTTTTGTTTCTTCTTTTGTGTGTGTGTGTGTGTATCTATCTACTACTTTATAACAGTTGTTCCTTGGATTTGTTATTCTTTCTTGGATTGGGGCTTTTCTGATGGATGTCAGAGGGATGAAAGCAACACAACGACTCGCGATGCGATAGTACAGAAGACCGGAAGAAAGGTCACCATCCATGTTGCCGAGCTGTCCGATCGAGAGGCGGTGGCCCAAGTGATACCATCGATTGTGAAATGCGGTCAACATGTGGACATTCTGCTGAACTGTGCGGGAATCCAGCGAAGGCACCCAGCTGAGAAGTTCCCGGATGCGGATTGGGATGAGGTATCTATACTCTTCCCCTCCCTTTTTATTTTTATTTTTATTTATTTTTATTTATTTATTTATTTATTCCTTTTTTTGCTGTCTGAAGGAGTTCCGGTCCACCCCAACACGTACAAGACTTACTGATGCTGGATCTGTGAAACGAACCAAAAAAAAACAGGTTCTCCAGGTAAACCTGACCTCGGTGTTCACCCTTTGCCGGGAGTTTGGGGCATATCTCTTATCTCGTGATGCATCGACGTTCCAGTCCGATCGACGAGGGGCCATCATCAACGTCGCATCCCTGCTCTCATTCCAAGGGGGAATCACAGTCACCGCGTATGCCGCGTCCAAGGGCGGAGTGGCGCAGTTGACCAAAGCGCTCTCAAACGAGTGGGCATCTCGGGGGATCTCGGTCAACGCAATCGCACCGGGATACGTCGACACGGAGATGAACACGGCTCTTATCAACGATGCGGCGCGCAACGATGGGATTATGGCCCGTATACCGGCCGGGAGGTGGGGTAAACCTGAGGATTTCAAGGGCGTGGTCGTGTTTCTTGCCAGCGAAGCCAGTGCGTATGTCTCCGGGGAGATTATCTGTGTCGACGGCGGATGGATGGGCCGGTGATCATCCCCGGCCTGTCTGTGATTGTCAGGCAATGAGGAGGGTTCAGTGAAGGAGGACACCTGGAGGAAATTGTCTTTCGCTCGGCTTGACTGCCGGTTGTTAACTACGTGGACCAGTGGGATATCGTTTTCAGGAAGAGATTGTAGTGTTCGGTTTCAACTCATGTGTGAAACTACTGTCGATTGGCAGCATTCTGCGGAGGAGCAGTTGTAACTTAAGTGATGTCACAAAGTCCTTTTTCAAGTCTAATCGCCAGTCGGGAATTTCTCGCGTCATTCAATCTTTTTTTTGATGCCCTGTTCCGGGCGCCTGGGCGGTGGGGATACGCGGAGCAAGGGACATCGGGGGCCATCCGTTCTGCTTGAGCAAAAGAGTTAGTTAGAGCTGTGGCAACTTGAAACCGACATCCTTCCGGGAATAATCTTCTCTCAATTGTCAGAGATTCAGAAGTGCGGTGACCTTCATCTTGCTATCTGTCGATCCGACTTTTGTCTTTTGACAACCGTCAGCACTGCCGCCCACCAGCCGAAAGCAGAAACATGTCGAGAGAACGCTTCAGATTCTTCAGGCTGCGAAAGAGTTTTCGATCGCACAGTGGCCAATCAATTAGTTCTCGACCCTTGCGCCCTGACAGTGGCCAAACTCACGCACGGCCAATGAGCAAGCGGGTGCGCCTGGCCCGCTGTTTCAAGTCCGGCTCTCGTTTCCTTGGCCCGCATGTTTCGGCGGAGCAGAGGGTGATGGCGAGAGTGCCGGTCGTCACGGCTTTGAGCTCGATGGGCCGGTCTGCGATGTCAGATTGGCGGAGTTTAATATGCGCCAGTCCACTTGGTGCGCTTTCTCGAACCGCCCGGTCAGTCTTTTCCTCTGGCTGTCCGGTCGTGGAGGCCCATGTCGCCATGTCACCGCTTCCAAGAGTCAAGACTCAAAAGGGCCACATGCTTCGGATGATTAGGGTTACCAATGCCAGGGCAGGAGGCTGGGGGGCGAAAGCTCCCCTCTGAGTTTTTTTCTCCCTCTGTCCTTTGATCCTGAACTTTGCCCGAGTTCTGGATAATATGCCGAGTTGCTTACCTCCCGGTTTTGCCTCCTGGTGGACACCTGCAAGCGGATCGTGCCCTGATCTGCCTACCATATCTGACTTTTTTTTTTTTTTTTGGCTTTTCGGAATCAGCGTTCCATCCTTTGTTAAATACGGAGTCATATCGTTCCTCCGCCCCGGATAGGGGGACTAAAATTTTAGCGGAGGGGAAACGGTTCGCTTGGTTGTGTCGACTCCTATCATCTCTCTTGCAAGGCCGCTCTTCAGCTTCTGCTGTCACCTTTGGATTTTGTTTCTCTCTTTATCTCTATACAGTTCTTGAGAATATACGGAGTATATCCTTTGGCTCTGGTCCACAGAGTCTGTCGTGTCCGCGTGGATTTCCTGTCAATCATTTCACCAATTGCAGCGCCGGCGCCGGTATCAATAGAGGTCAATCATTCAATCAATCAAGAAAACGATGCCAAAAAGAGGATTTTAACCTGATATCTGTTCTTTTCTTCATGACTCTGCTCTTGTAGCCAGGCTCAGCTTTTACTTCCTGACGTTGACATCCTTTATACTTGTGCTGGCCACCCTTTTGTCTCTCACTATTATGCATCGACAAGGTGAGTACGGGGTACACCAGGCTGATATTCACCCTCCAGGCTTTCGATTTTGTTGCTAACGTGAACTGGATTGCCCAGCCATCTGATCGCGCGTCTTTCATTCTGACATTGTGTGGCGAGCCTGAGATTGCTGTGGCTTTTTGCTCCTGATATCGACCATCTTGCAGGAATCTTCCCGTGACTACGCCCATTTTCACACACACACACACACACACTCTCTCTCTCTCTCTGTCTTGACATACACCCATTCAAAAGAATATCGTGAAAGTTAGCCCGGTCTTCACCCTGCAAACACTCCCTGTTTACTCGTTCTTCTTTGTCATTCACTTCTCCATCCTTTGACCATTCTACGCCCGCCTTTCCCCAGTCCTTTCCTTACCACTAAAAGCTACACGCTCCTTCAGCATCTCTCTCTGCTGCGACAATTGTGTGAACTCTTACACTCTCTTTGCCTCAGCTTGTCTGTTTGTTTGTCCACGTTCGCTTCGGCTACTTCGAAGACCCGGCGGGATTCTTCGCGACTCCTCCATTTGCAATGGATTCAGCGCCCCATGGCACCAACACGACATATATCTCCGATTACACAAGAGGGTTAACGGGCGTAAACGTTCGTTTCGACCACCTTCTTACCCAGATACTATGCGTCTCTATTGGAGGTGTTGCAGTGCTCGTCCTCTTCGCGAGGATAGCGCAGCTGGGTCACTCATACCTCCGCCGAGTTCTCTCCTCCGTCACTCCCCCGAGACAACAAAGATTCTGGGGAATAGAAGAATCACAGATATGGCCAAATATCAAGAAGCACATCTTATATGCTCCGTTGGGGAGGAAGAGACATAACCGAGAGTTCCAGCTATCCACGGCGGTCAACGTCGGGACGCTCCCTTCGCGGTTCCATACGATATTGCTCACTCTCTACATCGGAAGTCAGCTGGCCTACTGCATTATTCTTGACTACAGTGTGAACAAAAAAGCTGCGCTGGTTGCAGAAGTCAGAGGCAGAACCGGTAACCTAGCTGTGCTTAATATGATACCCTTGATCATCTTGTCAGGCAGAAATAACCCCTTGATTCCTCTTCTTCGCGTCAGTTTCGATACGTACAATCTTCTTCATCGATGGATCGGCCGCGTCGTTGCTTTGGAGGCTATCGCTCACACGCTTGCCTGGGCCATCAATGCGGTCGATGCAACTGGCTGGGACAGCATGTGGAGAGGTCTCAGGGAAGATTCATTCTATACGTGGGGCTTGGTGTCTACCGTGGCGCTCGCGTTTCTCTTCGTTCACTCGCCTTCTCCGCTGCGACATGCTTTCTACGAGACGTTTCTCCATCTTCATCAAGTCGGAGCCCTGGTGGCAATGCTTGGGCTCTATCTCCACCTGGATCTCGACAAGCTTCCCCAAGTACCTTGGATGCGCTTCATCATTGGTGTTTGGATACTTGACCGATGCGCCAGATTTATCCGCCTCATCTATCTCAACGTGTCGCGCCGCCGTGGTTTGACTAGAGTCGTCGCCAAAGCATTGCCGGGAGAAGCAACCCGAGTCACTTTCTTCCTGCCTAACAATGCCCGTATCGAACCCGGTAGCCACGTCTATGCCTACCTCCCGCGCATTTCTTACTGGATGTCTCACCCTTTTTCCGTGGCCTGGGTTGAGAAAGACGAGCGCTCCGATTCCGATTCCGACTCCGCCCTTTCTGAGAAAACATTAGCAAGCTCCTCAGCTGCTGACTTCAAATCCAGCCAGATCAAAGAATTTGACGAAGAGCTCAACGGCTCCAAATTTCGACCTACACGCGTCACTCTGATCATGGCCGCTCGCACCGGTATGACGCGCAAGCTTTATAACGCAGCACTCGCCTCGCCCAATCTCACCCTCGAAACCAGCGGCTTCATCGAAGGACCTTACAATTCTCGCCCTTCCTCCTCCTTTGGCAGCTACGGCACTGTCGTCCTATTCTCCGGCGGCGCCGGAATAACCCACCACCTCCTACAGGTCAAGCACCTGCTGGAAGCCGCCGAGGCAGGCACCGTGGCCACCCGAAAGATATACCTGGTGTGGGGCGTTCGCACGACGGAACATCTCTCCTGGGTCCGCGGGTTCATGGACTCGATCCTCCACCAGCCAAACAGAAGAGACATTCTGATCACGAAATTATTCATCAGCAAGCCCAAGAGCACCCGCGAAATTACTAGCCCCAGCACGACGTTGCAGATGTTTCCCGGTCGGTGCCGGCCCAATATCGTGCTTGATGAGGCTATGGAGTCGAGGGTTGGCGCCACTGTGGTGTCTGTCTGCGGACCAGGCTCGTTTGCGGATGAGGTGCGTGCCTCTGTGAGAGGGAGGATCGGAAAGGGTGTAGTGATTGACTTTGTTGAGGAGTCGTTTACCTGGTGATGTTTACCTTTCTCCTTATTCCCCTTTTTTATTTTTATTTTTATTTTTTTTTTTATTTTTCTGCCATGTGTTCTCCCACTTTTTCTTCGCACAAGTGCATATATGGGCGTGGATTATTTTATTTTATTTTTTTCCCCTCCGGCCGCAAGTGGCGTTGTCTGGACATGCCTGCCATTCACCTTGATCCTATCACATTTGTTACTCCCTCATCTCCGGCGGGCCAGTACATACTTTTTAATCCTTTCTATCCGGTCAGAGATACGGAAGGTGTTTAGCACATACATACCAAGTCCCAACATTTTAAGGGCAGAGATGTATTCAATAGATACAAGTGCATCAATACGTTTTACACACCATTCATTCTCAGAGTCTTAAAAAAGGAGCGGATTTAGTTTGCTATGTTCGTAACCTATCACTGATGTAGCAGGATTCGTAGGCAAAAAGGCATCACTATTCAAAGGAAATCTAACAAAGAGCTGTTGAGTGACTGAATGGGGTAAAAAAAAAGTAATCGACGATGAGAACAAAGGCAAGCATTTAGAACGGATTCATAGCTGTTTAAAAACGTGAGCATTGGACCTTGGAGAAACAAAAATGTACATACATGCATATCGGCGCATGCATAATCTTATCAGAAATCAACTCTTGATATCATAAAGGGCTGAAACAGGGCATTACCCACGTCAGTTAGACAATCACTGGTATAAGAACTAAGGCTGCAAAACAAAGACAAAAAGAAAAAGGGCAATAATGTATCAAAACACAAATACAAAAGCATATTCATCAACTGAATCACATCCTGGAGAGATTCCCCGCTGTGCTGCTATGATGCGCTGGCGGTAAACTAAAATCGCTATCAAACAAAGCGTCATGTCCGCCGGGATAATACGTGCTGCTCATTCCCGGAGCGGCTCCGGTGGTCGTTGTCGTCGTCCTCGCCACGCCAATCGGCTCCGCAGCCGAGAAATCCCGATCCTGCATGGCGGGATGGAGCTGTCCATCGCGTCTAAAATCGTCAATGTCGCTGTGATGATTACTATTATTATTATCCTTATTATCGTAGAGATCGTGCGACTTGTCGTCAGCCGTGCTGAATTTGTCTGCGAACGGGTTTTCGACCTGGAATTCGCCGGGTCTGTACTGGTAGCTTTGTTGTTCGGGTGCATCTGAGATGTGCGAATGGGGCATCACGCTTGGTGGAGGCGCGGGATCCAGTGGGGACAAGTCGTCGCCTGGGGGCAGATAGGTCGTGGCCGCTTGCGTATTAGCAGTAGCTGTTTCCTGCCGAGCCGGATCGCGGTGGAATTTCTTCAGCGCCTTTCGGGGACTAAGGAGGATCGGAACGTGGGGTTTAGATGGACGGACGACGGTAGGTTCGCCCAGCGGCGAGACCGGTCTGTAATTCGACTGGGGCGCTTGGTCAAGCTGTGTCGTCTCCGGCTGCGTTGCTTTGAGATGTTTTCTCGCGTTTAGTTGTGCCCGCTGGTATTTCGACAGGGAGACGGAGAGTTTGTCGTTTGTCTCGATGAGTGTCATCATGGTCTCTTCGTCAGGCGAAGGATCCGTCGCCTCCATGTACGCCTGCATCGATCGAGACGCCCTTTGGCATCGATTGGCAAATTCCTTGAGCATGTCATTTTGGTAGAATTCGGATGGCGGTGTAGACTGCACCATCTGCAAGAGTAGCTTTGCAGATGTGGCCGCCTCCGAGACCCGCCCTGCGAGCTCTTCTGGCGTGGGCAGCTTCTTTTCTCTGCGATCGCTGGAGAAGAAATCCTGGCGGTATCCGGGATACATGCCTTGGTTGGGTCTTTGGAGCTGAAGGCGGACAGACCCGATGTTAGAACCAAAATCCCCCCCAGCTCGGACAGAGCACAAACGATCTCACTAACCGGATGAATACCAAACTGCTTCACGAATTTGTCCTTTTCCTTACTCCACATGCTGTTCAACTCCGTAAGATTGGTATCGCTCGCCTTCGTGGTTGCCAGGAACTCCAGGGTCTCCCTCAGAATCTGCTGCACGCTGACATCCTGCCCGTCTCTCAGCAGGATCTTCAGCGACGAAACGAAGCGGGAATCGATGTTGCGCGTGAAGGTAGGTCCGGGATTATCGGCCAATATTCGAATTAGCATGATCGCATTGTACTGGCGCTGTTCGTGCGGCGAGTTCGGTTTTGACAAGTACTTGTGGAGCCGGTTCGCAGCGGCTTTGGCGGCGGAGGGGCTCGATTCGGCCGCTTCGACGATGGTGGGAAGATGGAGGTATTCATCGCCCTGGGTGCACGGGGGAAATTCAGGTTAGAACCGGTGCACGCGAGTATTAGAGAGAATATCTTCGTGGGCGCCTACAGCATTGTGCATAGTGCCAGAGTCGCAGAAGGCCGTCTTTCGCCGGCAGTCAGTCAGCCTGGGTTCACGAGCGGGCGCTTACACCAACGGTGGACAAACTCACGAGTGCTTTTATGATCGTATCCTCGAGGGAGTCTTGAGAATGTGATGCGCCATTAGACCTATGGAACGTGGTACCTGATCCAGGTTAGTATGAGCAAGAAATAAATGCCTGGCAAACATTCATGATGGACTTTTGGCGTGGAGACAGATGAATAGCGATAACTCACTTGTCCGCTTAATGGTCCCAACCAGGCGCTTCATTCTCGCTTTGTGCTTGACGGTTCGCAATAATTCGGGGGAGGGGAGGTTTGTATGGTAATTGATGCCGCCAGACGAAGAGTGCACAGCGTTTGAAAAAAAAAAAAAAAAAAAAAAAAGAAAAGAAAAACCAGACAATCGATCAGCAAAGAAATGAGCGAAAGTGAGAGCAGCGACAAAAGCGAGCTCGCCGAACGAGAGGCAGCGAGGATAACTAACTAGTTAACTAACTATGTGACTTGGGGACGAGTTGGTTCGTTGCAAGCCAAGGAGTGATTGACACCCAGCCGGCCCCCAAGTCGAACTGCTTCTCCCATGCAGCCAACCGATGGTTAACTATCATGTACGCGCTGACCACGCCGGCATTCCCCAGCGTGAACCAGCTTTTGGTGAAGCTTACTCCGGCGTCACTCTTTTTTCCCGCTCCTTTTCGTTAACTAGTTAGGTCTAACATTGACGTATTTCCCTGATCCCAATGGCCACCGGGCAGAGGACGCGTGGCCGCTCTCGTCACGGCACCCGCGGCCAAAGAGTGGCCAGATAAATCAATTCAACGGCGCGGTCGACGCGCATTCTCCTGGAGTCTGGTGCGCGACTTGAATACATAACTAACTACCTTAACTAGTTAACTAATTATTAGCACGATGTGGTCTCAGCCACTGTTGCACCGCTGGGATTCCAACGGTTCGAGTACGGAGTACCTCACCACATAACTACATAGGAGAGTTACATAGTTATGTACAAGAGTACGTGCGATGGAAACAAGCGGGGATTTGGGCCAGATAACCCTGTGGGGAATAATAACCATGGATCTTAAGCTCCAGATTCCAAACTGAGTGGCGGTTTTCACGAACCCCATTCTCCGTGGTTTGCAACCCATAAATTTGTCTGTAGGTTAGGAAATCGAGTATTGGCATCACTTTCGCGGCCCGTTCCAGAGATCCGAGCCCAAATCCATAGACGAGAAGATTTTGTTTTCAGAGACTAGCAGGGGAAAAAGGGGCCTACTTGCAAACGGGGGCAAGGAATTCAGACCCATGGACCTGGCAAATCAATAGACGCCGAGTAAAACTTATCAAGCCTCAGCATCTTTCTCTTCAGGACGAGCTACCCTCCCGGTAAATCTCCCTGTTCCGCCAGGCTTCCATCCATCCTCTTCAACAAGCCGCCGGAGTCCGTCGCCTGCAGGCCAGCCAAACATGAAATTATATCCCATCGCCAGCGTATACTCTTCACGCTCGTCAATCGACTGGATAATGCTTCCAAGAAGGTTATCTCCGTCGTACACCTGCTTGGTAAAAGGTGCATACACGGGCGCGTTGGACACGTCAACATCGCGCACGGCCTCCCGAAGCCACTTCTCCGTCTCCGAGCGTCTCAGATCGTTGCTCTTTTCATCCACGACGAGATTGGTCTGGTTGTAAAACGGGCCCAGCAAAACATATCCACAAGAAACAAAATCCATCCGACGAAGGTTGTCAAGAGGCTTGCGTTTTGGCAGCTTTAGATCCGAAAACTGCGAGGATGCGGGCAGGTTTGGGTCGGTAAGCGGGAGGTACGGCCCGAACTGTGCCAGAATCGAGATCCAGATGCCAGACGGGACCCGACGGTTATACTTCCTCCACGCTGGGTACGTTCCATGGCCGCACCGAATCAACGCGTGATCCTTGCGGCCAGGAGTCGAAGCCAAAGAGCACGAATCAAAAACTAAGTTCTCCAAACGGCTCCTCTTCGAATGGGTCAAGAATTGAATCAACGCGGAGGGTGCAAACCAACAGTTCTCGAATGTGAGTGATTTTACGTGTTTAAACCAGATGACCGAGTTTCTTGCTTTCCCCATGGCCGAAGTCGCTGGTTCCCGCATGATTGGAGCCGGGAGAATGTTTCGGTTGCGGACGAGGGCGCCGTGAGCATGCTCGCCTCCTCCGATATAACCCAACGTCAAGGACTCGATATTCGACAGTGGCAATATCTGTTCCTGAAGTATCTGGTAGAACTCAGAACGAGCCTCACTTGGTAGTATTTGCTGTAGACTCGTTCGATCCTCATCGAACTTCCTCCAGTCTGCATAGACAAGGATGCTGAGTGACTTCAAGCCACGGAAGCAGGCAAAAAACTCCAAGTTGTTCAAATTGTGTAATAACCCGGAGGAGATGCCAGAGAACGTAAGTGTATGCACATTCTGGAAGACCTGGCCGTTATCAATGACCGCCAGGAAGAATGAAGAGAAGAATCTTTGGATCACCGATGAGGTTTCAGCTAGGAGCTCGATTTGCGATTGATGACGACATGTTTCACAAAATCGTGAGCCATCAGTGCCATACCATGTAGTTACTGCAGAGTACATTAGACAGATCCAAAGATTCGTAAACATTTATAATGGAAAACGTTTCTCAGTATTCTAAATTTTGGTGTGCAAATGAAAGTTAGACATATTACTTACCTGCTCTCTCACCACAGGCTGCGGACAACACATATGGACCAGGAGCAACCCTTGTACCAGACCGGACAATATCATTTGGCAACAAATACTGGTGGGGAGACAGATGCAAATGCCTTTTTCGAAAGACCACTGGAGGCTGTAGAAATATGGGCTGGAAACGATTGAATACGGGAGGTGACACCCAACCCAGTCCGGTGTTGAAACTAAGTGCCAATTCCTTCATCGCTGTTAAGTGGGAAAAGGCCTTTACCATCCGCCAGCGCCGACATACGAGCAGCTCCGTGTCTCTGAGCCGTTGATAAAACACCCGGTCGCGATCTAGTCGGTCATGTTCACCCGAACCGAAGAGCTTTGGGCAGATAGGATTGGCGGGAAGGGGAGGCAGCAATAAAGTGGCTATCGTGGCAACGACGATTTATGAACACCGCTAATAAGCCCTAAAATCAACGAAAAGCAGGGGGAAATATCTCATACCTTCATCAATGTCCAGAGTAATCCCAAACTTTGTGATATTAGCCCCAACTCTTTCAAAAACGCCCACATCGTCCTCTTTCTGTGTGTTTGCCACATAGAAGTCGGGCGATAATGAAACCGACACCTTGTAGAAGAAGAGATAATCAAGCTTCAATGCAAACTCGCGATTCACTAGCCGAAGCCGAGCGAGATCAGCCTTGGTCAAGTATTGACTGATCAGAAAGAACACGTCGGTTGGGACGCGACTCGGTGGCCAGGATTTATCGGGTTTGAAGTTAACTGTAAGATGAGGACCATAAATGCGGCGTGTAGACAGGAAGGAATCCCTTCGAACAAGATATGGAAGCATGGTGGTGTCATCCAAATCAGCAGGCATTTTGAAGAAAGGGAAAAAAAAAAAAAAAAAAAAAAAAAAAAAAAAAAGAGGAAGACGAAAAGCTGAGCTTGTCTGATTTTTGCAATGATTTTGTCGGGTGGTCAAGAATGTTTAACAGATGCGATGAATGAGAAGGCAGAGCAGGAGTTTAAGGCATGTCAGGACAGACTCAGCACGTAGGTGCTGGGAGAAGATAGACCGTGAGCTGAGCTCCTGTTTGAGTGAAGGCTCCTTTTCCAAAATGCTGAAAGGATGGAGGTGAATGACACTGCTTGAGCAAAAAAGAAAGCAAGTTTTAAATCCATGGAGGCAATATTTATAGGGGAGGTCACGAATACTTTCGATACGGCACTTGATGTAATCGGAGCAACACATTCAGCTCAGTGCCGTATGGACGTTTCGTGATAACAAACGCAAAGAGGACTGTTGCCGTGAGGAACACCTTTGCATAGGCAAATTCCAGGCATTTTCAGGACCCCTTCCCGGCCCTTTTCCCCAATTCAAGGCAAAGTGGATGTTTGAATGCCCTGCACACTGGGGGGAATTTATAGTTGGGGCTGTTTAGAATGAAGCTGCCGGCACCTGCCCAGGATGAAGGTGGTGATGTGAATATCCCACTGAGCATGAACAGGCATCCTTCCTCTAAGATATTATCCTTTTAGAACAAAGATAGGGTGCCAGGACATGCAAGCTAGAAGGCGTAATGGTACAAAAGAAAAAGGCCCTTTTAGCCATAAAGAGAGGAGGAAGCACACACAGCGTAACAGAGCTCTCTGGATGTCCAGGATGGCTTTCACCAAGACCAGCATCCGAGGCCGCAGACATCAGGTCTTGCTCTGCTCTGTCGCACACTCCACAGACTGTCTGGCGCCGGCGATGAAGTGCAGCGAGCAGACGATGTCGTCGTCCGCTCCCGCCAGGAGACCTGGTCACGTGAACTATACCGTTGCGCCAAGGGGCTCGACCGCGCTCTAGTCCCGATCTGGCTAGAGATATCGCCGATGCCAAGCCAGATTATCTTATCAAGATCTGTTCCGCGCCAATCAGCGGCAAGGGCGCTGCCGTCGCCGCCGCCGAGATCAGCGGGCGCAGCAGCAAATCCCATCAGTCCGATGCGCTAGCCCGACACTCGCCAGTTCACACCAAAACACGCCGTCTCTTCGTACTCGCACACTGGTCAATGGCGGACGACAGACGTCCTTCGCACGCGCATGTGGTGCCTCCGTACCACCTCCACCCTCGCACCGACATGGCCGCACCTCCCTCGCCTCCACGCCACCTGTCCGATTCGCTCCCACCACATCCTCCTCCTCCTCCTCCACCGCTCGGTACAAGCACCGGCATTGAAGCGATTCCCTACTCCTATCCAGCCATGATGAACAACTCGTCCGACGAAGAAGGCCGCCCTCCCCGCTACACACGAGAAAATGACCCTTTCCAACTCTCTTCCAAGCTCAAGAGCGACGCCGAGATCGACTCTATCCCGGCAAACACGGCTCGACGACGCAAGTTTCCAAAGCCAAATGGCACCAAATCCTCTGCAAAACAGCTCCAGGGATTTTACAGGTCCCAGAACGCTAATATCGAGCGACTGCTAAAACCGGTCGATGAGCACGTTCGACTCGCCCGCGAACTCAACACGCAGAACCAATTGCGTTACAGGATCGCCGTTTACGGCAGCTTCGCCGCAAATGTGGTGTTGTCCATCCTCCAGCTGTACGGCGCCATCGCGTCTGGGTCCCTGTCGCTCTTCACAACCATGGCAGACTCGGTGTTCGATCCACTCTCCAACCTGACCTTGCTCCTGTGCCACAAAGCCGTAAAGCGGGTCGACGCACGCAAGTTCCCGGCCGGAAAGGCCCGTATTGAGACCGCCGGAAACATATGCTTCTGCTTTCTGATGATGGCCGTGTCGCTCATCCTGATCGCCTTCTCGATTCGAGACTTGGTTGACGGAAGCGAGGAGGAGACTTTACGATTCAGTCTCCCGCCCGTCATCGCAGTCAGCATCGCTTTTGCCACGAAATTCCTCCTATTCCTGTACTGCTGGGCGCTTAGAAACCAGTACTCCCAAGTCAGAATTTTATGGGAAGATCACCGAAATGACCTGTTAATCAACGGCTTTGGTATCCTGACTTCCGTCGGAGGAAGTAAGCTGCGATGGTGGATCGACCCCATGGGCGCCTTGATCCTCTCGGTCCTGATCTCCGCCCTGTGGTCGAAAACCGCATACTCCGAATTTCAACTGATCATCGGCGTTACGGCAGATACCGAAATGCAACAACTAATCACTTATATCTGTAAGCACCCGATCAACTGGCCTCGATTCGCCTTTTGATTTTGCTGAGCTAACTTTGCCCGTTCTAAAAAGCAATGACCCACTCACCTCTGATTAATGCCATCGACACCGTTCGTGCCTATACCTCCGGACCCCGTCTTCTCGTGGAAGTCGACATCGTGATGGACCCGGAGGCATCCCTCCGAGCAACGCATGACGTAGCGGAAGAACTCCAGTTCAAACTCGAGAGTCTCCCGGACGTGGAGCGCGCACATGTTCACGTCGATTATGAGACGACCCACAAACCGGAGCATTTCTTGAAGAAGGAGCTGTAAAGCGCAGATTATATATCCCTAACACTGTGCGGAGTCGTGAATGGGGTCGGGCGGGGTGTTTGTATGGGGCAAAGTCACGACGAGTTGGCGAATTATATAACAAAGTCCAAATTAGTTACCTATATTCCTTTTTTTCTCTTTTTTCCCCTTTTGGCCCCAGCCCGGATCACAGTGGAGGTCGTCATTGCATGTGCAAAGAAACGGAGTACGGAGTTCTGGATTGCTTTACAGAAAAATGTACAGGACAACAGCATGCTACTTGTATAGGATATACCCGATTCGCTTGCTAAGAAAACTCCGGATTATCATGTCTCTTCCAGCTTTTGATAAGACCCTGCTACATATTGCCAGCTGCTGAGCTTTCTGCCAAGCGGAGCAAAGGGCTAGTTGGGCCGGTTTTCTTCTTCAGCGACTGCTCCAGAACGAAGCCATTCCGCTCAAGCAAAGCCGACATCCTGATTTTCCGGCATCACTCCACTCCCAAAGACCAAATCCTTCTTACTCTCCCTATCCCAAATCACCACCCCATCACTCTTCCTCCTGAAGTACAGGATCCTATGCTGTGGAATAAATTCCTCGTCGGTCTGCTCCGTCTTCCAATTATCTAGCGGAATCTCCAGACTTCCTAGGAACCGGTCATCATACCCCACCACAAAATCACCCGAATCGATGTTCGGATCCCAGCGAAGACGGCTGAGGATGTCTGCTGCTGGCCGCAGTTTTGCACCTGGAACGCCCGTGGCTGCTGCTTTTGACGAGCCGGACTTGCGAGCCGCTCGCTCTGCGGCGACGGCAGCAGCTACTTCATCGGCCTGGATGTCAATATTTTCCTCTTCTTCGTCTTCCGAGTCGGATAGCTCTTCGGTGGGAATACATTCTCCCCAGTCTCGCCCATCGAGCTTAAGAGCGTCAAGCTCAGACTGTTTGACGTGGGTGACATCTAGCCAAGCCGTCGTAGGGTCGAAATATTTTGTTTCCTCTTGGATTTGGGTTTTGAATTTCTCTAAAACCCTCGTCATCAGGTCCAGGCTTTGTTTCCGCTCTTCCTTGGTCATAGCTTCAGTTCTTTCGGTCTCTCTTTTCGTAAGGCCGATCAAATAGCACCCTTGGTATTCTGAATCATCGCTCATGGCATCCTTTGAAGAAAATCTCGCGGGCCATATTCTCGCATAAATGCTTGGTAGCTTCCGATCAATATCTAATCGCGGAGATTAGCGAAAGTGCCCATAGGTATATCATAGATCTACTCACCATTTAAAAGGCGGACACATCTTGATTCAAGCCAACCCAAAAGCATCTTCCCTTTAGCCAGAGAGATCCCCCAGTATTGGACATGAATCTTAATATAGCTGCTATAGGCCGTTAAAAACTCCTCTGAAGGCTCCAATGTTGACACCGTGCTGTTAAGAAGTTTCGACCAAGTCATGTCTGGATCTGACATTAATTGCGCCATTCGTCGTAGCTCCTCGACTATTGTCCTAGCAGAACCTGCAGTTGCCCTCGCTACGTTGATGAGCGGAACATTGATTGTGAGAATAACCATCGGCTCGTTGGCATACCGACGATAGCGTGGCGTACTTTCAAAAAAGAAAGGGTCGAACACGGTTTCATGCTCCCAATCAAAGTCCGCGTAATATTGAAAGAACCTGTAAATCATATCCGTCGAGGTTACTCTTACTTCACCACAGAACAGTTTGAAAACTCTAGAAAGCATCATAGTAATATGAATTCCGCCAAGGTAGCCAAATCTGGAAAGGTAGACACCACGATGTTTTGCCCATGCTGTTATGAAACGATGAGCTTTTCGGAATGCTGCCAGGTCTGGAATGCTGCGCCGAATATAATCGAGATCTCTGAATGCTTGAAGTTTCGTCAACGCCTGATATGATAAGTCAAATATCGGATCGTCTGGTGGCGATAGCGATATTCTCTGCCATCTGCAGACAGGGATTAGTCTATGATCAAGAAGAAGAAAGGCCCGGATAGTGCACAGGGAAAGCCTACCCTTCAACAACCCTGGCGGCAGGGCAGTAATGCAGATCACACTTGATCCCGTTCACCTCAAGCTCTATCATAGTTCCTGTGGCGGCTTTCACTTTTCGCAAGATCCTGATACCTGAATCAGCGGCCCTTCGTAGTCGCTGCTCCGCAATAGCAAAGAAGATTTTAGAGCTAATCGGTCCAATAGATAGGCAATCGACGTCGGAGGATGGGCTCCAGACACCCAGGCCATAGGAACCGACGGGGACGAGGACCATGGCAATGTCTGGCTCATTGTCACTATGACCATTCTCCTCGACTCGAGCCGCGGAGCCATGGATTATGACATTCCGAAGAAGATCCAGAACGGCGGTTCTTTTGCTAATGTCTTCCTTCGTCGGCACCATCGAGTGTTCCCGCAGGCACAAGTCTAAGTCATGTTTATCAGAAAGATTAGCCGGCGTCGCTAGCGAACTTGGGATCAATATATCAGCGGTAGTATCGGCTATTTGTGATTCAGCGAGCACTTTGAACGTAGCTCTGACTCCCCAGTGATCACTACCGAATCTGGTTTCAGCAGTTTCGTCCTCAATGCTGCAATGGTAAGGGATATCCATATCTTCGTCAGGAAAACCGAACATATTAAACTCAGTAACCCTAAGATTCCCATGTCTGTCCGTAAGGATCCTATCGTAGCGCTGTGGACGACCCTCGAAACCTGCTGAAGCGGCAGCAAGTGGATTCTGTTTTGGGTCAAACGTTGCCCCTTCCTCACCCTCAGATATATCTTCGATGGGTCTTTGGATCCGGACTTTTGCAGACAGAAGATCCTTGGCTCCAGCACGAGCAATGACCCATGCGTCCTGGAATCGATATTCAGAGAGTAGTGATTCCAGGCGTGGCAGAACTTTTGCCTTTTCGGGTGAGAGCAGTCTTTCATCTATTGCCTTTTGGATTGTGATAGCGGATGTCGGGATGTTAATGTCTCCGGCAATTAAGCAAGGATTTTTTGGGTAGTTCTGGTCCAGAAATTTATAGAGGCTCCGTATCTGAGATTCTTTAGAAGAGACTCTAGAGTCAGCCAGGCCAGATGTCAGATGAACCGCAGCGATGATGAGAGGTAAGAATTCCGAATTTTCGCTTCGTTTCCCAACATCATTCACTTTAAGAACGATAGCACTTTTGTAACGTTCTCCGAAAGTGACATTTTCCCAGGTGAATTTGAAGCGGCTCAGAACTACGACATTCCGCTGCAAAGGCAAGGGTCCACATCCTTCCTGGTGCGGTGGCCCATGTGTAGCAAACGTATAGTGGTTTCGAATCTCATCTAGAGTGAGCAAATGAGACAGGAAATCATCACAGACTTCTTGCAGGACTAGAACATCTGCCAGAGCTGATTGCGAAAGGATGTTGCGAATCAAGGCAGGGTACCTTTCCCTGGGAGGCGGATAGGGGAGTTCAACGAGAACGTTATAGCTCGAAATCGCGACGATATCTGGATTCGGCTCTCTGGTGGCATCTTCATCAACGGCTTTGGCACAGGGTCTCCAAAAGTGACTGTCCAGTGGAAACTGGTACGTTGTCATTTCCTCACCAACGAGGGCTTCAGGGCCGCTCAATTTTCCAAAAACCGTTTCCGAATTATACCACGATTCTTCGTCACATGGATTACCGATATCGTTAATCATAACACGCCCAGATAGGTCAATCGTACCCCAAACCCGCATCCTGGTGAATTTGGAGCCTTTACATCTCGCATTTTCACGAATGAGAACAACCAGCCGTTCAACTTTCCATTCGATCGCTGAAAGTAGCTGTGCTTTAGATAGCAGTGAGTCTCGGGAATGGTCGTTATGTGCTTTGGTCTGACCGACGGTAAGATGGGGATTGTATTCCGCGGTATCATCCTGCCCCAACGCTTCAAGAATGACGTTTCGGAGATGCTGCAGAGTTGCTCCATCGCCAAGTGAACGTGGTACCAAATGGACGAGGTTGCCTTTCCCTGGAGCGATATAATCCGCTTTGTCCAAACGTATGCTGATATCAGGAGGACCGGAGTTTTCATTCCAGGCCTTCAACTTCGCTCCAATGAGTGCAGTTGCTTCCAGGAGAGACTCGCCAGCAACAAACGGATAAAGAAGATTGACATGAGGCGGCCATCGCCCATACGTCTGGTCGTAGAAAGACCGGAGACGGTCAATTTCGCCACATAGACCCTCAGGAGGGACAATGCATAAAGCGGTTTGCTTGAAACGGAGGGATAGACTTTTAGAAGATGAAAGCTGATCGGAAGAAGACGCCATATTTCACGACGCCCGTGACTTTAGACAGAACAATGGGATTCCAAAGAGAATAAACTAGAAGGGGTATATATAAACTAGAAATGAAGAAGAAGAAGAAGAAGAAGAAGAAGGAAAGCAACTCTCAACTAACGCCTCTACTGGCGGAGGAAATGGCTACGGGATGGCTCTGGGGGGGAGGTCGGGGGATGGTGGTGGTCTCCATGCAATTTGCAGGAATACTTGGGCGTTATATATTTAGTCGATAAATGCGTTCAAAAAAGCGATGGAACTATGTTCCAACCGTGTTCAGGATCATCGACCTCGTCATCGGCTGGCGTACAGCCACTACTCCATGCAGTGACGCATTCTCTGTAGATGTAAAGGACCTCTGACAGCGAAGTCGCCAGAGAAATTCACAGCAAGCACCAATTGAGCCTTTCTTTAAGGATGAGTCAAGCCCTTTGGACGAATTGCTACGTTAGCGCGGCTTGTTACGACCTGGAGTGGTCTGCGATGTTCAGCGTCCCCGGTTTGCATGAGGATGGAAGGACCTTCTGCCTGGTAGAACACACACAACAGGCGAATCAGAGAGACACCGGGGTGGACAGCGTAATTTTTGGGGTTCAAAGGGGATTTCGATGTGAGTCAGATCTTGAGCTGTCCGCAGCCAACAAAAGTTGCGAATCGACGCTGCGCCAGAGAGTCCGCCGTGAGTCATCGCCACGCCCAAGCGCGGAAATTCACCTTTTCCGACTGGAGCAACTGGAACCTGAGCTAACATGGAAAGGTTCTGCACTACGAAGTTATAGTTGGCCGTCAACACTCTCTCTGCAGGCCCTTGCTTGAGACACCGCCACCTGTGAGGAGTGCATTAAGATTGTATTTATCAGGCTTCAGCCCTCCGCCAACAGGGTGCTGATGTGTGGCTGGGTCAGTTGGAAGGAATTCAACTAACAAGCATGGCAGGATGAGATGAGCTGCTCAACAGGAAGAAAGCGAAGACAGGAGGCGCAGGAAAGAGGATGAAGCTAGCTATGCGGCCGAAAGTACACAAATTTATCTATTTATTTTCTCCCCTTCACGCAAGTCCCTGATGCCAAATCCCGCAATGACCTAGCTTGTTACTTCTCATCAATCTGTGCCCGATACACATAAGTGTCAATATCGATCTCAGCACCCCCGTACGCTCCGAACTTCGGGTCAGAACGTCCAGGGAAGGTGATCGCTGGGTACTTGATCTTCTGGCTCTTGCCGAGCTTCTGAGCCTTGCCGTTCCAGGAGAACTGAACCCAGCCAGGAGACCCGGTGCGCATGACGATATCGGCGCGGTATTTTGTGTTGGTTTTGGCAGTAGTCTCCCAGAGAACCTCGCGCGGGACGCCCCACGCGGGTTGGTATTGAAGCTGGAGTTTATCTTTGGAGATCTTCAAGGCGAGCGGGACGTTCGCGCCGCCGTCCGTTGGGTTATTTGTCAAATATTCCTTCCTAGAGAGGGGAGAGAGAGAAAAAAAAACGTAAAGATCTGTCAGCTTTGCTTCTGGTTAGGTAGAGGTTGGAGATTTATCACTGACATCTGCCAAACCATGAGACTCTGCTGCACTTGTCCTAGCGAGAATTCGTATCGAATGGTATATGTCTTGTTTTTCTTCGTTACTTTATTGAGCGCATGGTATTCGGCTCGGATATTCCCCTTTTTGCGATGGAAGTGGGCGCAGGCGACGCCCTTGGGATCCTTTCCTTTCTTGATGTACAAGTCCGGTCGGTGTTCAAGCACCCTCTCTCCGCGCTTGGCCTCCAGGTTAAGATAGCCCATCACGCTGGGATCATCGCCTCGTGCAGCTTGATAATCCACAACCAGCTTACTGAGAGCCGGAGAGATGGCTAGGAAGAGGAGCGGGAGTATGCGCATTGTGAACAATGGATGCTATAAACGGAGGATTATGACTTGAGGAGATTGTTTGGGACACAAAAAGGGATGGGGAACTTCGAAGCTCTCATCTAAGGCTGATCTGCAGGTCGACGAGAATTCCGCCATCTTATATACTTTCACACGCGGAACACGAGCGGCCTGGATTTTGATTATCATGTGGTCGTGAAATCCTGCGACCCCATTTAGGATAGTAGCGTAACGTTGCAGGAGACAGTTGTTTTGGGTTCGCTCCGCAACTTAACCAGTAGTATGATCAGAGCAGCCAAATTTCCGGCGGGGGAAACGGAATTTGAGTTAATTAAACAGGCGGGAAGGCAATCCTTCGCTGAGCTTATCATCAAACGATTTTCCAGGGTCTCACCAAGCAGATGGTAAAAGAAGGTTGGTTGCCAGAAAGCTATGATCCGCCCGGCTGTTCGTTTCAACAACCATGTACTTGGCCCAGACCCTGGTGGACGAGTTGACTAGACTAGAAACGGAGTGCTTGAGCGACATTGCCAGTGGACCCTCTGGTCGAAGTCTTCAACTTTCTCCCATGAGGCCCGCAAACGAAGAAGCTAGCGGAAGGGCATCGCCGGATTGATTTCTTCGAGTCTTCTCATTGCGAACGAGCTCCCAAACAGCAGGCCAAGCGCCCTGTAACTAGTTAGTCTTACATTATGGCCATAGTCCACTTGCAAAAAAAAGGCCCCAAGTGTGCTTTATGTGCCATTGGATATCCCCAACCCCGCCTCGCGATGGTGATGATTGCCCCTGGTGATGCTCCAATCTCAGAGCTAGCAACCGTGTTTTCGGCCAGCTGAAAAACTAAATCACCTCCAGTCGCTATATATCCACTACACAAAACGTTTTGAACAGTGGAATTGGGTGAGGAACTAGCAGGCGTTTGTCGGGGGCCAAAGGATTGCGCCGCGGAAATTCGCTTGGAGAGCCGAGCAGCAACCCGACAAGGGGAGGATAGGGCGGAGAGCATCAAGCTGCGTCCAATCTTTCGCAGCGACTGTAACTAGCACGCAGATAGTTCGTAGCTGTACCCTTTGTTCTCTGGGACAGGAGAAGTCCATTTGTCCCAACAGAGACGAGCTAGTTAAACAGGAATACCTGGTTTAGGATCGGGGGAGCCCCGTTGTGAGCTTCCGTGCTCGATATTTCGATTCCATCCGACAGACACCCTTGTCCCGGCTTGCCCCTCGCGAAGCAACGGTGCATACGCCCGTACCACTGCGCAATGACTGTCGAGAAGATCCCCAGTTCCTTGCTGCATGGTTCTATAAATACTCACTTCTTCTGCGCGTAACACTCAGCTCGAAGTAACCCTGCCTACCAACTAAGCAAGCCTCAAGACTCGACTAGCAGGTAATATGTAAAGCACTTGATGACTCCCGGCTCTATCTACAGACACATATATCCACACCAGTTCCTCGCATCACACCTGAGTAAATGGGGCCTACCACCAGTTACTCTACAGCGCGATGCCTAGTCAACGCAGAACGGAGGAGCTGCGAAAATTGCGTCAACTGCTTTGATTACGCGACTCTAACACCTCCCCCCTCTAGCGAACTAATTGGCTATAGAAAAAAAATGATGAATTGAAGAAACAACTGCAAGTCTCGAAGGCACCAACAAGCAACAAAGCAAAACCACCGAAACGTACACAGACAGCAATCATGGACCAAACGGGAAACAGAGCTCAAGGCAGATGAAAATGGTGGATTTTGCAGAAGGAGAGGGGAAAAAATGGGGTGGGGGGAAATAATATCGTTATTCGTGAGAAAATTCTGTGAAATTTTGTTGTTGATGTTAGTTGTTTTTCGTCTTTTTCGCCATTTCTCTTCGAAGTCGTGTTTGTGTGTGCGCTCTCACCCCGGCTAAGGCCAAATTATTATTCGATTAAGTGCGGTGAGTCGAGAATCCCGCTGCTCGGAAGAAAAGAAAAAGAAAAAAAAAAAAAAAAAAAAAAAAAAGAAAAGAAAAAGGAGGAAAAGGGCAAAATGGTACAAATGCCAATGGCGATCATGAAGCGAAGCTCAATCGGGTCTATGTGGTGAATCTCCATGAATGAGAATGCCAAAGCAACATTAATCGAGCGCGAACAAAAGGGAAAAAAAAAAAAAAAAAAAAAAAAAAAAATTTCAAGATGATAACAGGCCATGCAATGCTGAAACGGATGGAAGGGGGAAGAAAAGAAGAAAGGAAAAGAAGTTGTTGGAGCAGAGACTTCTCAAGACTCAAGTTACCGCTCAATTGGTTTGGATTCCTTTTTTTTTTTTTTTTGGTTGATTGAAGATGGTCGCTTATTTTTTGGCTTTCCTGGACGTCTCTCCCAGAATCTGATCGAAGCTCAAGTTTGGGTTGTGGCTCACGGGCCGAGACGGGGGATCGACAGGCACCACGCCGGCGGGGAGCGGCAACGCTTCTAGGCCCATGTGGATGGAGGATCTGTTTCCGGCTCTCGTGAACCCTGGATTTGGCAGCGGAAGCGAAAACATGGGCGGTGTGACGGTTCCTGGAGTGATGAGCGGAGTGGGCTGCTTGTCGGAAACCGACTCGGGAGCGGATAAGGCAGGGGGACCAGCGGTGGGGTGTTGGTAAGGGGATACCGGAGTAATTGGACTCGCTGGTGCACGTTCGGGCATCACCGTTGTGAGCAGCTCTTGCTGATCTGCCCATTTGGTCGCGACTTGCCAGCAATGGCTGCGTCTGTAAACGCCTTCGACGCCGTTTGCGACGACGTCTGAGGGGAGGTTGACGAGACCCGAACCGCCAGCAACGCCAAACCAGCTGCGGGCTGTTTTGGCATCATCCCTGCACCATGGGGGGTGGCCACGAGGCGGAACACATAGGAAATATTCAACTCCTTCGCAGAATCGGATGTTTTGAGCGTCGACAACGAGCATGGGGAGAGACTGGAGCACCGCATACATGAACAGCCATTGGCCACAGCGATTGTCCGATAGCTCGTCCGTACTCTTGCCGCTGCCAGCTCGGCGCTCAAACTGCGTGAAGCTCTCCAAGAAAGGCGTTGGTTTCATGCTCTTGCGATTATACGAGCCAAGCAGAATCTCATTAACCTCGCCACTAGCAAGCTTCTTAGCTCTCTCTTTCGGCTCCTTCTTTGGATCAAGTCGCCGCTTGATAGTCCGAATGGTGGGCTGGAGTGGAATGTCGAACGGGATCGGTGGTGCCACGGGAGGGGTGCTTCTGTCAAACTCGCTCATAACCAGCCTCAACGCTCGGGCGGTGGATTGCTGGACATCGGCGCTATCGGCTTCAACGTCTGTGACAGTCATGTCGAGCGATCGCGTCGTTAATGATGTTCTATCAACCAGAATGTCATAGAGATCCGCAAAGTCCTGGTATAGCTCCCGCAGAACCAATCGGTTGAGACCACTTGCTTCAAATTGGTTCTTCTTTGAGTTTGCCTTCGGCGGCCAGGACCCAAATCTCGTTCGATAATACGACATGACGTGTTTCCTGAATGCAAGGCACGCATTCTTCCAGTTTTTGAATCGGATGACCTTTGCTTCGTTCATGACAGTGGAATTTGCAAACCCGGAGAATAACTGAGGGAAATCAAAATCATCTAGTTTCTCCCGGACAACTTTCAAGCGGTTTTGGAGATCAAGATAACCTCTCTCTAGTCGCTTCTGACTGGCGCCTGAGATGAGGTCGAATTTCAAGGTTTCGGCCAGTTTAATTTCGTCGAAGTTGCCAACTCCGTGAATGAACCCTTCGTGATAAAGTGGCTGGAAACGCATCTTTTCTGCGATTACGATGGCCTGGATGGTTCTCTCGGGACTCTTTCTGACGTCAAACAAGCACAACTCCTCGCAGTAGCTAGCGAAGCTTGAGTGCGCCGTTTCTCCGAATGTTGAGCCGTCCAAATTAGAGAACGCAAATCTATCGAGAAGGCCCGCCACTTCCATAAAAATCGAAAAGATTGTCGGGCACCGTGGCGTCGCGATCAGAGACTGTCCAACGAGAAATGCAAAGGTATTTCGGAACAGGACCAGCATATCCACATCGTCGTCGTGCAAGATCGGGCGGTTGTTTGATACATCACTGTTCAGAGGAACAGGCAGATAAAGGTGGAGTTCCTGGGTGCTCTCCTCGAGGAGATAATCCCTTGATCTTCTCCCGTCCGAGTCACCTTCTTGGGATACGTCGAGGGGGCCTAGTTGGGGTGAAACGGGGGGCGACACCGGAACGGAGAGACGTAGCTTGGGAGGACACTCTGGGACAGACATGGTACGAGAAGCAGGATCTGAACCACGTGCCATCACTGTCAACGCTGGCGAGGCGGAGAATAGGGACGAATGGATCTTGAATGACGGTGGGCGATTGGTGTTTTTAGGAAACAGGTATACGTAAGTGTCACCTTGCTCGTCCCAGAGCTCTGGAATCTAAACGACGAAAAAAAAAAAAAAAGGTCAGAAAAAACAAAACAAAGCAAGGCATAACGGTCGAGCAGGGGGATCAAAAGTTAGACTTACCCTTTCACCGGCTACCAGCTTGTCTACGTCATAAGGCATCTCATGATGGGTTCCTGCAATCCACGCTCTCATCATGGGCCTGCTGTCGGTAACCACCTCTGAGCCTCTTCCCGATCGACCGGGAACCCAACTCCTCCCTTTTGATGGTCTGGACTCAGTGTTGAGGTTTGACGGGCGTGTTCCGGTTCCAGACCTAGGACGACCAAGCCCTGGGATACTCCCACCCCAGCTCTGACGACGTCTGTGGTTCTCGTTGGAGGACGATTCCGCGGCTACATCCGAGTTGACGACGGCCAGGGAGGGCGGAGGCATCAGTAGGGAGTCCCTGTGAGGGTCTGCGACTGGGAGAGGAGCAGAGACATTTCTTGGCGCGGGTATAACGGTCTGGCTGTCTTGAAAGTTCTGTACAGAGGCAGCGTGTCGAATAGTGCGCTGGGACGATGCTGAGGCATGGTCGACCGATTTTGCAGACTGAGAGGAGAGCGAGCCGCTGGCGGCGTGTGTTCGTGCTTGGTGTTTGTCTTGCTTAGGCTCCTTTGACGATCCGAGGGAAAAGAGCGACGAGAGCCGTTTGGCCGATTTTCCGGGTGCACCCAGCATCATGACCAAAGTTGCTCTCTCTCTAACTCTTTGGGGTTTCTAGAAAAGTAGAAAGATAGAGTGGTTGGCTGTCAGAAAGTGTGACATGCGGAAAGAGAGAAGATCGCTGCCTGTGCTGCGTGCTTCCTTTTTGCCTTCGTCTGGTGAACTATGCAAGTTGGGAGTACGGAGTACGTAAATGTTTGAGATTTCGGAAAAGGGGTTTTTCTTTTTTTTTTTTTTTTTTCTTTTTGGGAGATGATTGAGTTCGCGGGCAGCCTGTTCCTTGGAAGCCAGCAGCCTGAAAGAGAGCCCCCGCCAACCCTGAACTGCCAACGAGGCGGCCTTATCCGTCAATCGAAAAACGTGCTCGGCTGCGGCTCAATTTCGTTGTCGGTGGGCGACCCGGCGAATTGGATACCCACGCTCTCGAAACTCAGCAAATCCTCCTCCACACCCTGGTCCTGGCTCGTATCTCCAAGCCTCCCCAAACGGCCCGTCTGCTCGTGTCCTGCCCGTGTGAAACGACGCTATTGAATACTTGCTTTGCTTCAGAATGTGGCTATGAGGAAAAAAAGGAACGAAAGCACAAAAGACAAGCTGCTTCTTGCGGTGGATCTCAAACCGCAGAAGCCCACGCTAGTTGGGTCAAAGTGGGACGGCAAAGGGAAGATCGGCAACCGAGACAAAATAAAAAAATTAATTCCAAAAAATAAAAGCGAAGAAACAACTGTTTGTTGTGGACCATATTTTACGGCCCTAGTTATGATTCGATGACAAATGCGGCGTAACGACAAGACGTGACGGCACGACAGCCAGCCGTGAGAGACTGCGATGGCGTGAGGGCGACAGGTTTCCACGCCTGGACTGTGATGATGATGATGATGCGGGAGCAGTTATTTTACATCTGTAGGAGTGCCTTTCATTACGGGGTCAGGAGCCTGGAACATGAGAATGCGTGAACCAGCACGCCACAGGGTTAATAAAATATTAATACTTGAAGCAACTGCACATCCAACTGTGGAAGGGTTCTTTTCCTTCGCGCTGAGATCCTGGAACCAACAGGCCAGATAGTGAATAATATAACCACCAGGAGCATTTTACGGAACATTTTTCTATTTACTCTTCCCTCCCGAGCATTGCTTCCACTGTTGGGCAATGATGCTCAATTCTTAAGGCTGATCGGTGCTATATTTAGAAGGGTTGCCCCCTAATTCGACAGGGATCGGAATGCCAACAGGACTTCGCACCCAATTCCGTGCTCCCTACGGAGTACACCCTCTAAATAGCGTCGAGAGAAGAGCGACGGAAACAAAGGTCATAACAGAGAAAAGGAGATGCTTCAGGTGCCCTTAGGCCGACTTTTTTTTATCCCTGCGACTTATGCCTCTGAGCTGTCAATTGCTCGTTGCTGCCGTGGCTGAAGTTGGGCGAAGCAAGTTTAAATAATCAGCTAGCATGGATTGTCCAGGCACTGACCCCTTCTTATCCCTGAAAACATAGGCCGCTTTGCATCATATTCCGTCCACCTCGCGGCTTTCCACGCGGAAAACACACATCTTACTGGTTATCTGGATTTATGCAGTACATAATAACGGATCAAGCGGCTAGACCATATCTAATATGTATTGCATTGTACGGAGTACGGAGTATGCTAAGAGGAGACCGTTTTGGGAGGGGAGTGTGAAATGGGAGCTTCTATGGCGGGTACGGAGTATGGAGGAGGCTCAAAAATATCAACAATAACAATGACATAACAGGCCCTGCTTCGGCGATCGACTTTGTTATTCTTATCCAGATCAACATCGATACCTGAGGTTGAGATGCAGATGATCGTTTTACGTAACCTCCAACAAGAAGCTGATGGCGTTAAGGAGGTCACACTTGCTCAATCAAATATGTTGGGATAATGGAACTCTCTCACCCCCCGGCGGAGGTGATTTGGCCTTTTGGCGTATTCGGTGGTCTACTAAAATAAAGACACCGGGGGGGGAATTTGGTTCTTGCGCACCTAGCACCAATCCCATGGCGGCTTAGGCCAACAGGACCAGCTGGGCCACACGACGCTTTTGGCGCTTTCGCGCGCACTTACCGATGAAGCCCATGCCTCAGCCGACGTGATCAATCACTTCTTCTCCGTCATCAAACCCCGGAAATCCAAAGAACAGGGTACCCGATAAAATCACTCATTTTGAATGCCGCGCAAAGTATTTGAGCAGTGTGCCCTGTTTACCTACTATTTTAGCACAGGCTGTGCCATCACTTCCCATGTACCAGCCATCCTCAGACTTTCATTTTGTTAGGTGAATGCTTGTAATTGACGTAGCTACGGGTGTGACGGGAAACTACCCAGAAGTCCATCTTCCCTTGAGAATGGGTGAATAAGCTCTAATTCTGAACATGTTTTGGTACTCTTGATCTTCTGTAAGAGCTGTTGTTTGAAGTCATGGCAACAGCAAGTACCAGAGTGTACCACCATAACAGACTCTTCATGTTCATGTTGGGGTATTTCTTTGTTGATTTCTTTAAAACATGTTCAGAATTAGAGCTCATTCACCTGTTCTCAAGAGAAGATGGACTTCTGGGTAGTTTCCTGTCACGCCTGTAGCTATGTCAATAATCGGCTTTCTCCGCAGTGCCAGGTTGTGTGAGCACCAGCGGAAGCGCTCCTAATTTCTTTGTTGGCGTTATAGCTCCTTGGCCCGCGAGGGTTGGCGAAGGACGTATGTTCTTTTCGCATGCTGTTGAATCAAAGTGAAATGGGAGGGGACAAGCGTGCCGGGAAGATGACCTCAGTATGGCGTAATTGCTTTGGTTTTATTTTGGGGCTTTTAGCACTCATAAGCGGCTACGGGACAACTGAACAGTGGAGTCACCGTGGGCCCTTGGACCATCTTGGACCGGGTCCTGCGAATTCCCGCCGAAAATCACGCTTCCAGTCCACGCATTCCAAGAGCGTATCGATATCATCCGGCTGCCGGATAATCAGTCGGTCCGATCGGCAACTCCGTGAGGTCAGCGCTTCGTGTTTGCCCTGGTCTGCGGCGGAACGGCCCCCCGCATATCGTAGAATGCCTTCCATCGGTTCCAAGATCCTTCTTTAGAAGCAGGTTGATGTAACCAACAGCGCTAAAAGAAAAGGGGGTTCTTGCACAGCAGCGCGCGCTCATGGCCGACGAACCTAAGCCTCCCATCAACCTTTTTCGTGGTTGGCCCAATCCTTCCCTCCACCCCACCTCCGCCCTCCAAGCCGCTGCCACAACCGTCCTCCTCAACCCAGCCCTCTCCACGCCCGCATTGGGTTATGGCCCTGATGAGGGTGATCCGGGGCTTCGCGCCGAAATCGCCAAGTGGCTAACGGAGTTCTACTCACCGAACGACCCAATCACAGCGGACCGGATCTGCATCTCGGGCGGTGCAAGTCAGAATCTGGCATGCGTGCTGCAGGTGTTTAGCGACGCCGAGTACACGAAGCGCGTGTGGATGGTGGAGCCAACATATTACCTTGCCTGTAGGATTTTCGATGATGCGGGCTTCGCCAATAGGCTGAGGGCTGTGCCGGAAGATCCTGAGGGAATTGACATTGGCTTTTTGGAGAGGGAGTTGGAGAAGTGCGAGGACGGGACGGGACCTTTCGAACCGGTATGGTAAGATCCTGGTCTTGATATGCCTGTGACGAGGGTGGTATTGCGTCTGGTTAACGCTTCGCTCACGTCCTCCATTGGATCCAGAACTCGAAGAGCCCGCGGCCGTGGAGAAAGATATACAAGCATATTGTTTATGCTGTACCAACATTTTCTAATCCATCGGGCCGGATAATGTCAACGCGTCGACGGGAACAGTTAGTGCGCTTGGCTCGGAAATTTGACGCCCTAGTCATCACCGACGATGTATACGACTTCCTGCAGTGGAAATCTGATTCACCGTCTGCAGCAGAACATCCCAGGAAAGCTGTAGCACCTCGATTAGTTGACATCGATCGAGTTCTTGATGGAGGGCCAAAGGATGCATTCGGTAATGTGGTAAGCAACGGTAGCTTCAGCAAGTTAATTGGCGCAGGCTGCCGGGTTGGATGGGCAGAAGGGACAGCGAAGTTTGCGTATGGCGTGTCTCAAACGTGAGTTAACAGAAGCTCGGGGATGATTCATGACTTATATTGAGACATGTGGGAATTTTGGCTGATATATGTGCTTCTGGCGCAGCGGGTCTTCCCGATCAGGTGGAGCGCCATCGCAACTCACGTCGACATACGTTCGGGAACTGCTGTCTGCCAGTTTCTTGCCAGACTATATCGATAACACCCTACGCCCCGTCTATGCCAGAAGGCACTGCATCATGCTCACAGCGATCCGGGATAACCTTACGGAACCGGGAGTCCGGCTGGTCAAAGAATCCAACAAGTTTTCGGGAGGATACTTTGTTTGGCTAGAGCTTCCAGCAGGGATAAAGGCGAGTCACTTGGCTTCAAAGGCCCAGGAAGAAGAGAGCCTCTTGATCGGAGCAGGAACCATGTTTCGGGTGGAAGGTGACACAAGTAATCAAGAGAGTCGTCATAACTTAGAACGATATGTCCGGCTTTGTTTCGCTTATGAAGAGGAGCAAAATCTGACAAAGGGAGTGGAAAGGTTGGCCAGCCTGATCCGGCGATATATGCGTACACTGGAGACGTAACAGCACGGTCATGGGAGATCGTTGGTAGGCAGAAGTGAGAATTCAGAAAATGCGGGACGCTCAAGCTGCCCTAGTATTCCTTGTGTCTACACACGTCCTCCCCGTTCTGGTACGTTGGGAAGACTTTTTGGGCTCTCGCAGGTTCAGCAGGCCGGTATTGCCTTCAAAGTTGCGTGGCACCCCGCGTAGCCAGCACCGTCGCTGCAACCACACCCCCCACGAGCCAGTTGATTAGATCCAGTATGACAAACCTTGGAGCCCATTGGATTGAAAACTAGCAGGGCGTATATTGTGGTGACGTCCTCCTTATCATAATCCCATCGTTAAAGCTCATCTCCACCGGACACGCGAGCCAGAGTCCAGTCTGCCCAAGAAAATGGTTTTCCGTGTGACCCAGGTGGCAGGGTGAAGGTATGCAGATCGCGACATATTTTTCTTTCCAGATATTCTGCTTGGCTCAAGGCGTTGTAAAATGAGAGATGGAGGGGTGAAACGTATCCAGCGTGTCTGAAGAGCGTGGGACAGCCTGCTTCGTGTGTCCAAGGAACCATGGCCAGGTGAGATTCTGGCTGTCGGCTCGGCTGCCCTTCCAGGCAGTACCCTGTGTCGTCTGAAGCTTCAGTTGCCAGGTTTCGGGAGTTCCCCAGCAAAATCGTAAAGTAGACAATTTAAGGCAGAGGCGGCGGGTTCCGGGAATCGGAATTTTCCCGGAATTTGGGGAAAACAGGCGACCCTGATCTTGCCGCTTGATTTGGAATGTCGATGAAGCTGGTTTTCAACAAAAAAAATCTTTGGTTCCGAGCAAAAGCAATTCGAACTATCGCACCGATCGGCAACCCCCAGAAGCATGATGGCCTGGCCGAGTGTTTTGGCGACCCCTGTCACCGCCCGCTTGATTGGCTGGCATCAGCTGCTGGCCGCACGGGAGGCCATCCTCGGCTCCAAGCAGATGCGAGCGGGCAAGGGAGGCTGTGGGGCGACGACTCTGCACTCGGCCTGCCCCCCTGTCGCCCTCGTCGGCACCGCTGTCTTCCTGCCGTAGCGCCAGCCGTCCTGGGGAGGGGATTTCTCCAGGCGTTTCAAGATCACTGAAATTTGAGAAGCCAGGTATGATTACTCTGTACGAAGTACGGAGTGCAAAGGCAAGAATCGGAGGACGGCGGCTGTGATGGGAAACAATATATGTGACGGACTTGGCTTCTCACAGCAGATTGTGATTAACCCCCCCCTTTTCCCCTTTTTCCCGGCGCCGTCGCAAACGATCCTAACTGGGTGGTCAAATGATCCGACATCATCGTTCGGTCGGGCAGGAAACTGATCTGGTCATAAGGCCTGGAGAGTCGGACATGCGTTTTTCCCAACAGGGCCCCGAGAACGCCGTCATGTCGTCTACCAACAGCCCACCGTCCCTGGCATCGCCAGCGGATCCCCAATATAAGACGTAATCTCCGCCGACTGTGTCGCCCAGGTCTGGAAACAATGGAAGTAGTAACTCCGTGTTCATTTTGTCGGTTTTGTTCCCTTGTCCAGGTCCTGGGATTCTGCCCCATTTCGAGGTACTCCCGGTTCGTGATTGCTCTCCTCTTGCGTTTCATGATAAAGAACACACCGGCTTTCCTGGCGCGTGCAGGGGAGCTCGCGGTTTTGAGGCCCGTTACTGGTTAGGGGCCGGTGAACGAGTCCAGAAGGAGATTAGTGAGTGAGCTCTAAATTCTTAGTGGCGTTGAAATTTGATTCTTCACACACCAGTGGAGGTACGATCCGCAATCTAGTGGCTGTCAGGCCGTAGATGACCCCCTGATATAAACCTTCACTGCGCCGGGGACAAAGACGGCCTCCGACCCTATGCACACAGTCTCTTGTTGCAGACGTCAGACAAAGCGAGCGCTCCTCATTGACAGCCTTGCACTCCCATTCACTCCTTTGAATGCCCATTGTCTCCTTGCCAGTGTTGCTGTCACTGTGCAACACTGCTGCCATTCTTTTTTCATTGTCGTGATAGATCCAATGTGAAGAGAATCCCACCTTGGCCTTCACCCTCCTTCACTTTTTATGGGCACAGGTTGTCAAGGAAAAGTCTGACGCGAGATCCCAGCCGTGTCTTGAGAAGTCGACATTCACTCCTTCACGTCATCGTCCTTCCTTCCCACCCCACACTGCCTGAGCTCTCTCTCGCTCTCTCTCTCCCCCCTCTTCTCGCGTGGAATAAAATCCCCAGTCTGCAGCGACCTCATCTTCGGCTCCAGGTGCTGGTCAGCGCGAACCATTTCACTCCCTTTGCAGATCACCAGGCTTAGGGGTTCTATCAAGAATCAATCTGCATCCTCGATTGTCTATTACTCGTTATATATATAATCATGGCTAGAAAATTCGAAACAGCCTTCTTCGCTTTACAGTTTCTCCTTCTGTTCCTCTCTTCAATTCCCTTCTCCAATGCCGCGCCTACGCCTCAACCCCAACCTTCGACCCAAGCGGCCGACTACTGGCTGGCGTCAATAAAGCGACAGGGCAAAGCGGCCTTTAATACTGATGGTAATTATCAAATTTTTCGAAACGTGAAGGAGTTTGGTGCAAAAGGTAACTTGGAACAACTTATCTGTCCCATCGCAAAATATCCCATGATATCTCTATGTTGACGTTTATGCCCCAGGTGATGGCTCAACCGATGACACTGAGGCCATCAACAAGGCCATCTCTACCGGAAACCGATGCGGCTTGGGTTGCGACTCGTCCACTGTCACCCCTGCTCTTGTTTACTTCCCTCCAGGCACATACGTTGTTTCAAAACCCATTATCCAGTACTACTACACCCAGTTGGTTGGCGATGCCGTCAACCTCCCGGTGATCAAGGCGGCGTCGAACTTTGCCGGCATCGCGTTGATCGATGCTGACCCATATACCGACGAAGGCAACAACTGGTACACGAACCAGAACAACTTCTTCCGCCAAATCCGTAACTTTGTTATCGATTTGACCGGTTTGGACAGGGGCACGGGAGCAGGTATTCATTGGCAAGTGGCCCAGGCGACTAGTTTGCAGAACATTCGATTTGAAATGGTTCGCGGAGGTGGTGATGCGAACAAACAAATAGGTATTTTCATGGACAATGGCTCTGGTGGTTTCATGACCGACTTAATCTTCAATGGTGGGAACTACGGCGCTTTCCTGGGCAATCAGCAGTTTACTACCAGGAACCTGACCTTCAATGAATGCAATACCGCGATCTTTATGAACTGGAACTGGGCATGGACCTTCAAGTCCGTCACCATCAACAATTGTGGCGTAGGCCTGAACATGTCCAACGGCATTACCAACCAGACTGTCGGCTCCGTTTTGATTCTGGACAGCAAGGTGAGCAAAACACCCAAGGGCGTCGTCACCGCATTCGACAGTGGTGTACCAGCGACCGGTGGGACGTTAATACTGGATAACGTTGAGTTTTCCGAATCCAGCGTCGCCGTATCTGGGGTGACTGGAGAAACGATCCTCGATGGAAATTCTGTTGTAAAACACTGGGTTCAGGGCCATGCTTACCTTCCTGGGTCCACCTCTGATGCTTCCAAATTGAAGAGGTTTGCTCCCGAGAGCGAACCAGAACCAGCGGATCGCGTGAAGGTCGTTACAGTTTACGACTGTCCCACTCCACTGCCGGCTGCTACTGATTCTGGTCCTGTGGAACTCCCTCCACAAGCTCCATCCACAGCTGCTCCGTCCGACACCGTTGCTCCGCCAGGACAGAGCCCAAGTTCTCCGCGTCAGCCAGAGTCCTCTGAAGTCTCGCCGTCACAGACGACCGTCTCCTCACCGCCAGCCCCCACGCCCTCGCAGTCTGAGACTGAGAGACCTTCCGGAACTTGCGCCAGCACACCAGTTGCGAGGACCCGAGTCCAATCACAGGTGCCAGGGCCCTCCAAGCCCGCTGTTCTCCTGGACGGGTCCGGCAAGGTTTTTGAACGCGCGAAACCACAGTACGAGAACGTTCCGGCATCCTCTTTTATCAGCGTCAAATCAGCAGGTGCCAAAGGTGATGGCAAGACTGATGACACAGAAGCTATCCAAAGAGTTTTGGACAGCGCAAAGCCAGATCAAATTGTTTACTTTGATCACGGTGCCTATCTGATCACTAATACGGTCAAAGTTCCAAAGAACATCAAGATCACCGGTGAGATCTGGCCGTTATTGATGGCCACCGGACCTGCTTTCTCCGATGAAAAGAACCCCATTCCCATGCTTCAGGTCGGCCAGCCAGGCGATAAAGGCGTTGTCGAAATCTCCGACTTGATGCTTGAGACCAAAGGTCCGGCTCCTGGTTGCATTCTGGTTGAATGGAATATCCATGAAGAGACACAAGGATCGGTTGGAATGTGGGATGTCCATCTTAGAGTCGGTGGTTCCGCAGGCACCGAGCTGCAGAGTGACCGCTGCGCCAAGACACCAAATTCCACCACCACGCCTGACCCTGAATGCGTCGGTGCCTTCATGCTGGTCCATCTTACCGAGTCAGCCTCTGCGTACTTTGAGAATACCTGGTTCTGGGTTTCGGACCATGAGCTGGATCGGTCTGACCACGGACAAATCAACATCTATAACGGCAGAGGTGTTCTCATCGAGAGTCAAGGCCCAGTATGGATGTATGGGACGGCTTCTGAGCACAACACCCTTTACAACTACCAGGTTCATAATGCCAAGAATGTCTACATGGCTCTGATCCAGACAGAAACACCGTTAGTTCACCCGTCTCACATTGCCTTAAGCTGCTATTGACATCAAAAACAGATATTTCCAATCCAACCCGGATGCCCTAGTCCCGTTTGCGCCAAATGCGAAATTTAACGACCCAACCTTTGGCGACTGCACAACCGCGGCCTGCAAGAAAGCATGGGGCCTCCGTGTCATTCAGTCAAGCGACGTCTTCCTTTACGGAGGCGGCTTGTACAGTTTCTTCGAGAACTACGGCCAGGAATGTCTCCAAACGGAATCCTGCCAGCTTAACATGATCGAGGTCGAGTGTTCTCAGGTCTACCTGTACGCAATCAGCACAAAAGCGAGTACGAACATGATCACATCTGGCGGCAAGGGTCTGGTGTTGCAGAAGGACAACCGAAACAACTTCTGCTCCACCGTTGCGTTTTTCCACCAGGGACTATAGGTTGGAGAATTATGGGGTATTTCCCCTTGCGGATAATGTGTAGATATTCCTAACCTCCTTCGATGTATGTATGTTTTAAAATATGAGACTCCATGATAACACTTTTAGCCATATTCTGAATAGAGATTCATCCTCAGACTGAAAAAAAAAGGAGAAGAAGAAAATGAAAGAGAAAAAAAAAAAAAGGTCGATATAAGCATAAATGAACCAAGTTGTTACTACTATTTTAACTCCTTGTGTGCCTTTCCTGCGTAAATAAATTGTGAGTACAGGATGGCTACACACATTAGAAGTCTTCAAAAAACATCTCAATAAATAACTACATCACTCCAGGATAATCTTGTATCCCTCGTTGCAAAATACAGCAACGTCAGATCAAGTATCCATATAGTTGTATAGCCAGGCATCTCAACTCAACCTTTGCAAACTTGGCCTAGACAAAGTGGTGATTGTGTCACTTTCCCACCTTTTGAGTTTGAGTGGTGTACCTAGCATGCTTTGGGGCAATTATCTTCTTACAGTCTATGATGGCATGCTATTGTTAGGATATGTAAATTGAGCTGCAGAGATATGCACTGCAGCTCACTTGAAGATAATAATAGACTGATGTCCCTGAAGGATGCTGTCTTTGTGGTATCTGATAGTCCCAGCCCAGAAGGTGTTCTCCTGTGCAGGTCGTGACAGTTGTAGAGATTGCAACTGTGTTGCAGCAAACACCATTTGCTGTTCTTCACTCATCGAATACTTTCAACTCAGAATGGGAGACCTGCATATTTCTCTCTCTCCATCAACTAAAGCATGACCAAACATGTCTGATATTACTGATGCTGCAAGCGCAAGTAACATCTCACCCTTGGGACTCAAGTCTTCCCAAGTCAAGAATAAGGTACAGTAAAGATGCACTCCGTATTTGTTATGAAATACAGTTTTGTCTACATTTCTTCTTGTGGTCTGCTTTCTTGAAGCCTGTCCTGTTCAACTTTTTTTTGCAATTTGCTTGAAAGAATGATTACTCTCAGCTGTGCCACAATGCATACTACCTCAGCTGGGTGGTGTAACTATATGACAAAATATGTTCATTTGAGCAGGTACCTTGATCTAAATTCCCTTCAATTGCTATTCAGAGAATTTCTGACTGATGGATTTTTTGGGGCCAGTACTCCGTACTGCTTCTTTTATTGTGAGGGAGAAGTTTGCTCGCTCGTATTTTTAATAGAGCATGTTTCCTATGTTGCTAGGCATTAAAGCAATTCAAGCAGAGCTGTGCTCTCCTCTGTATCTCAAGAGTTCACCTCATTCTTATCACATCGTTAACTTTTAAGACGCGAGGACATTCCATATGTCGTCCCTCAACACTCCGTCAATGGTACTGTGCCCTTGGCAACATATTTCCGGTAACATGGAAATTTCATTGGTGGGAATTGATCAGGAGTTAACCCTATCGACTACATGCACGAAAAGTAAGTGCGAATTTGCGCAGAGAGCGGTGTAATCGCCTTGGAGGTGACGGGAGAACCCCTGTTGACCTCATGGCAGATATGTTATCTCCGGAGTGCTCGGCCTAGACTCCAGGGATATTCGACGAAATATGCTCGCCCCGACGTCAACCCCATCCCTTTACGGAGTACTCGATACACGGAGGGGCGCCTTTGGTGGGGACGTTGAACGACGGGCCTCGAGTGGCTGAGCGACCAGCCGCCTTGCACGGCCCATCTCGTGAATACGTGGGCGGGAAGCAAGTTGTCTCTCCGAGCGCATTCTTCGAAACACGCTCGTCTGTCACCTACACCCAGCCCAGTCATGAACCGCCAGTGTTTGAGGGTGTCTTCTATGCTGCCTGGGCATCGAAACTAAAGTTCAGAAGTCCTTTTCCCAGTCCTGTGTTTTTTCGACTCACGAATTTTCTTAAAAAAAAAAAGAAAACAAAAACTCGTCGAGCAAATTCACTGGGTGGGCAGGCCGAAGCTCCTGTACAGGAGTCTATAGTTATATAAATTCCTTTCCACGCGCTTTTTAAGAATTTGTGCTATAATGTCCGCCGCTCTAGATACCTCCAGGGGCGCGAAACCCGCCACCAGAAAGCCCAAGGCCACACGCTCCCGTAACGGCTGCTGGACCTGTCGCTCGCGAAAGAAAAAATGCGACGAGACGCACCCGGAGTGCATGCAGTGTCTGAATAAAGGGCTAAAATGTGAAGGCTATGAAGCGCGGTTGAAGTGGGGAAATGGGGTTGCGTCCCGGGGATACTTGAAGGGCATGAATTGTCCGATCATGGTGATGGGTCCTGGTGAGAATGGGAACATGCGCAAGGTGGGTGGCTCGAGTAAAGATTCTCCAGATTCAGAGGCGGGGAGAGTAGCCGCAGCAGCACCAGCAGCAGGAGGAGGAGGAGAAGGAGGAGGAGGAGGAGGAGGAGGAGGAGGAGGAGGAGGTCGTGCTCGTGCTCGTGCTCGTGGTGTGAAGCGACGCACTGAGTCCCAGACCGAGGTGGAGGATTCTTCGGCGGATGGCTCGCCCCAGTCGGCCGCGTCGCTTTCGTCGTCCCTGTCGTCATCGTTGGGGAGCTTTGACCAAGAGTTGTTTCGAGAATGTACGATACCTACCGTTATCGAGAACGTTTGTTGAGAAGTTTTTAATGATGATAAACATTTAGTCAAACAATGGGGATCGCAGTATCTCTCGATGGGATCTGACAATGGCTATTCTCCATTTGGGGAAGTTCTATCATATTGCGAGGAATCCGAATCGCTTATGGCGAACTGTCTGATGTTCCAACTTTCTCTTCATCCGGAATACAACGAAAGACACGAAGCGTATTACGCGGAAGCACTGCGCCTCTTTCGTCAGGATGTCTGTGACCACGCGAGAAGTCTAAAGGACGCGACGTTGATAGCTGGGATTCTGCTAAGCTCTATAGGTGTATGTTTCATCCTTCTGCGTTTTTTCCCCCCCTGGGCCCAAGACATTAACCGGGAGGCCGAACCTAGATGCAAAACTGTAAATCGTGGACTATGCATCTCAATGGACTCTACACGATCCTGCAGCATCGAAAGGTCGCTCAGAATCAGACCCCCATCGCATCTGAACTTATCTCCACGATTGGCTTCCTCGATCTACCATCTCATATCGTTGGTCGCCAAACCCCCACGCTGAACATATGGAGAGATTACTGTCGTGGGAAAACCGGTAGGGAACCCAGCAGCGGCATACCGTATAGCCTACTAGACATCTTCTCCATGATCTCCGAGCCAAACGCAGAGTGGCGATTCTGGACCTGGATCCCGGAGGGCCCTGGAAGGACCACTTTCAGCGATATGGTCTGGGAGATGACGAGGCTCGCGGGAATAATCCGCGCGAGAGGAGATCATCGGCGCGGCGGCATCCCTATTGGCCAACGCGTGAGCGCCAACAATGAAGTTTCCCTGCCGCCGACAGACGCCTTGGTCGAGCGCATCTTGGGCCAGCTCGAGAGCCTGTACGACCATCCCGCGGACGTCACGCCTGCGATGCTCAACCTGCTTCTGTTTCCTGCGTTCACGGTGGGAACTCAGTACAACCTTCTAACCCCGAAACAGAAGATCTTTCTGGAGGATTTCTGGGGAGAGTTTTTCGTCGATGACGGTAGCCCTCATCTCCAGCTGCCGTTGAAGGTGCTGCGTGAGGTTTGGGCGACTGGGAAGACTGCAGATCAGATTGCTCGAGATTGGGATGCGGAAGTAGGGCTGTTCTGAGGCTGGGAGGCACATTTCATGTTTAAGCCTTACCCTGTACAGAGTAATAGTTGGATGATTATTTTGCGATAGGCCGAAGTTGATGGGAGATTGGATGCACCCCCGTCTTTCCAGCGCAACGCAGCCGTCAACGCAAATTCCTTGAAGTGTCCAGGTTGCGATGACGCAACGATATATATGCGGAGAGATGGCCGAGTGGTCTAAGGCGTTCGATTTAAGCTCGAATAACGAAAGTTGCGTGGGTTCGAACCCCACTCTCTCCATTATCCTAATTACTCTGTTTTTTTCCCTCTCTCTCCATGATCTAATTATTCTCTTTTTTTCCCTCTTCTCTCTCTCTGTTTTTTGCTTTCTTTTCTTTTTTCTTTCTCTCTCTTCACAGTTGACAAATTTTTTTTTTTCTGATCTGCTTTTCATCATGCGATAGTATCAGTCAGCTAGCTGCACATGAATCTCAATTTGCTTGTATGGAGTTGTCTGGTGCTCCCATCATCTGTGATCTTCCTCCTCTCGCCAGCCAGAAGTCGCACGAACCCAGACTTCCCGGGAGGATTCCGGTTTCCAACTGGCGCACCACGGAGTCAAGGGGACCCTGCGCGCGACGAAGAGGTACAAGGTTTGTTGGCCCGAACCCCCACAGTTCCAACAGACAGCGTGTGCATACATACCTCCGTACTCAGCCCCCTTGGTCACACTAAACCTGGGAGGAGTCATCTGGGGGGAGGGCTTGCTCAGACTCTGGGGAAGCCGCTTTTACAACCAAAGACAGCAGCGGAGCGAGCCTGAAATTATTCCGTAGCATGTGATGGGTACGGGAGTACGAAAGCATGGTTCACTAGCACGATGGTCGTTCTCCTGGGAACGGGTCTGGCGTCCACCTTAGCGTCTGAGTGAAAATGAGCTTCTTCTTCATAAACTTTCCACATCGAAAGGCCTGTTTGACTTTTGATGTCAGACACTGATGTTCCAGAACGATGACAGGGTTGGCACGCTTGATTCAAGTGACTCAGAGAGAGCAGACAGAGAGATGGAATCGCTTGTTTGTCTTTTTTTTCCCCGCTCTAAACTTAGAATTTCGTCGTCGATTTAGGTATGCACATGGGCGGGATGGCGTAACTCCAACCCACAATTGACTACAGAGGTGTAAACGTCAAGAACTCGGACGCCAGGGTTAATTCTCGGCTCCTATTCCAGATGCCATCCTTGGCCGCGTTAGAAGCAGTCGAGCGATATGCTCTAGATCGGGCTGAAGCTCCGACGCCAAAATGGAACGGCTACATGAAGTCAGGCAGCACAAACGGCATTTTGGCCGTGTCACGACGCACGCTTGTGTTTCTGGTTCCCGTTGCCGCGGTGGGATCATGAGGCTTGTTCGATTCGTGCGATCAAGCTGAGAGTCGCTGAAAAGTTACATTCCCGTACGTGCTGCCTACATAAACTGGTCCTGCGCCGTGGCTAAAGCAGCGAGTGTCTCGCATTCTGCTTTTCTTTGATTCTGCATCTCCGAGGAAAACATTCACTACTTCTCTTCTTTTGACTCCTCTGGAGTGAAACGTGGAGAGGGGGCGCTTTTTCCCACCTTTCCCCCTTTTTTTCTTTTTTTTTTTTTTTTTTTTTTTAACCTATTGGTTGATGGCATGCGTCTTTATTCACTGTTGGAAACAGCTGCTGCGTGGTGCTACCTACATAAAGATAAACTGCGCTTGCCTGCGAAGATCGCCCTTTGACGATCTCCCCCATACCACGGTTGATCATCGGCGGCTAACTAACTAACCTACTGGGCCACAAGCTGTGATCGAGTCTCATATTCGACGTACGTTGAAATATAAGTCGAAAGAGCCTGCCACGGTGCGGTAGAATGGTTTTGTTGTTTCTCTAGGCGCATGATAGCATTGACAGTCCGAGGTTTCGGTTTGCATTGGCTTTTTTTCGTTCTTTGTTTCTCCACACACTGAGACGAACCGCCTGTTTCTTTGTCCGCGCAAACAACTTGAAAAACCGGGAAAGCAAGCCGAGTCCTCGACTCGCAGTCTGTCTTTCTTCCTCAAGGCGGGCTGTCTCGCCTAGAAATCGTCTTCGCAAAAAAAAAAAAAAAAAAAAAAAAAAAAGAAAAAAGAAAAGAAAAAGGACACTCTCATAGCATCTGATATACTTCCAAAAAGGATGCGAAACCTAAAGTTTCTAAGGCTGAAGGAGAAGGTGGTGATCAAAGTGCAGCAAGATATCCAAATAGTAAGCTCTCTCCGCGCCATTGTTCCTCGCGGGAACCCAGGATACTGACCATGCACCCTATCCAGATGTTCGAAGATGGAGATGCAAACGGCGATGGCTTCCCACCATCCCAGTCCACCTCACTTCCGCGTGCGACAGAATCGGATTCGAACATGGAGTCAATTCAAGAACCAAGCACCTCACTATCTCTTTCATTACCCAGCAGCCCGACCCCCAAGACGCTATCAACCCCACCCTCGCAGTTCGTACATTGCGGCTGCAAGCCTTTCGCCGATAGAAGCCCCATTCGCATCTGCCGGCCGTGCTACGACCTATCATCTGACGATGACAGCGCTTTTTCCAACCTCGAAGTCCAACCGGAGCTTGTAACTCCGGGTGTCGTGGCGGTCGTCGCCGTACTACTTTTCCTCGTCGCCGTCGCCCTGGTGGACCTCAGCCACTGGGTTTGGAATAGACTTCACAGACAGCCGATCAGTCTGTCGGAGTGTGAGAAGGGCAATGGCGTCGCAATTGAGGATGATGAAGACCTGGACAAACTCTACGAGGATGATCAGCTTATTCCTTAATCCCATGCGGATACGGAATATGCTTTTGTTCATTACATCGCGATTTTACATTGTACCTGCGCGCGCACGGCAGGTGGATTACTATGCAAGGGCTTGTACGGAGCATGTATATACGATTATTTTGATTATCTGCAGCGGCGGGCGTCGTACCGGATTTTGGTGGCATGGGCGTGAATGGGACGGGAAAGCAATTGTTTGCCTTTTTTTTTCCCCTTCCTTTTTTACTGCTGATTAACTACTCCATACTGTAGTTATTAATTAGGACTGGGCTATTTTGGGCGGCTTTGGATGGGAGTGTGAAACTAGGGACTTCGTGTGTTCCCAAAAATTAAATTAAAAAAATTAAATAAATATCCACAATTTACATAGTCTTATCCTTCGTCCAAAAAAAAAAAAATAATTAAAAATTAAAAATTAAAAAAATAAAAAATAAAAAAATATTAAGAAAAAAAAATTGAAAGATCACAGCAAGCGTCGCATCCGGATCGCCGGCATTTCGCAACCTTGTTCCTGGCGTCGCGACAGTAAAGTTCCTCCTCTCCGCACCAGCCCCTGCTTCGCCTCAAATCAGGGGTTCGTGGGAGCCTTTTGTTTTATGTTGGCCACCCTTCAGACAAGTCTTCCTGAGGAATTGCCATCTTCTGGATTGTGGTTCCTAAACCTTCAGCAGGCTGTCATGGTTGGCGGGTACCTAATTCTGGGCACGTCATTTGATTGCATACAACGCGGTGGCTGTATTCCAGACGTAGTAATTCGTAGCTTTGCGAATTTAGCACCATTAGAGAGAATTTTTCGGAAGTTATGTTCTACTGCAAGATTATCGTGCTCCCGCCAAAAGGACGCGCACTCTTTTCTAACAGTTTATGAGTCTGTGAATCTTAAGGTTCAATGACCGATAAATAGTTCGCTAGCTAACCAACTACGGAGTACTCCGAGAGGATATTTCAATGTACCTCTCTGACCCAGCCAAGGACTCCAGCTCGATCAACTTGTGCCTCATGATTTTCCTCATGGCGTTCCGTGGGATACTCTCGCAAAACACGACGCCACCCGTTGGGGCTTTGTCGTTTGACAACCTCGCCGCAATGAACTCCACCACTTGGCGCGCCGTCAACTCTACCCCGTTTCTTCGCACAACGTACGCTATGCACTCGTTGTCTCCTTCGATGTCTCGCGCCCTTGTGGCAGTCACCGCGGCGTCCGCGATTGACTCGTGCTTTAGCAGCTCTGCCTCGACTTCCGAGGGTACAACTCGCTCCAGTTTGACGGTGAACATTTCATTGAAGCGGCCGGTCAAGGCGAGTTGACCGCTCTGCGGATCTAAATACCCCCGATCTCCCGTTCTGAACCAAGGAGCGCCTCCATCATCGTCGGGGAGGAACACTTCGGCTGTAGCTGTTGGATTGTTACAATATCCGCTGAACATGGATGCGTTGCGGACGCAGATCTCGCCTTCGATGTCGGAGCTGATCGTCTGGAGCGTTTCGTGGTCTATCACGCGCAACTCGACACCAGGTGGGAGAAGGCCCACGTAACCTGGGCCCGGTCTCCAGGGGGCGTCGAGGCTTGCGGAGGTCATGGCGATGATTCCGACCTCAGTCGATCCGTAACCCGATCGCAGCAAGACATGACTTGGTAAGATGGAAGCGAATTGGTCGACTCCCTCTTTTCGAGAAGCTGCTCCACCGACTAGGATGGTGCTGAGGGACTGAAGACTCTCGCGAGAACGGATCCCGGCTTTGATCACGGCCGTTATGCCTTCCATAGTCCGGGGTGGTAACTGAATAACAGAGATGTTACACGACTGGATTCTGTCGATGATGCTTAGTTCGTCATCATAGTTAGAAATGTAGGCAGGCAGCCACCCCGCAAAGGCGCGCTGGCAAATCATTTGGCCGCCCGCGGAGGAAAGACTGATAAATTGCAGCTGCGCGCGGTCGCGCGGCGATGGGACAAAGTCCTGCGCATCTAGTCTTGTCACGAGCGCCGCGTGGGAAATCTCCGCCGCCTTGATGGATCCTGTGGTGCCGCTGGTAAACAACCGCAGCGCCGTCAGTGTTCTAGGATCCTTTCCGTGGTTAGCATTCTGCCAGCGACTCTCATCTGCCTCGAGAAGGCTGCTGAAGCGGGGTTGGCCATTATCATTCTCGTAGGGCTCCAGGCCGGGCGGATCAAAGACAAGGACGCGAGACTTGTCTAAGCCCACATTTGCCGCCGTCGTCAGAGCCGATTCCAAAAACTCTGGGGTGGCGAACAGCCATTTCACATGCGCTACGGCCATGTGCGTGGCCACCTTGTCCTCTTTGTCAGACGGCGGAATACCGACAAACGTCGCACCCGCCGCGATAGCACCGTCCGCGAGCACATAGTAGTATATCTCGTTGCGACTGAGGAGGCCGACACCATCCTGCTCGACGACGCCCAGTGCGCCCAATCCGACAGCGATTCGTTTGACGGCGGATGCGTATTCAGCCCATGAGATGCTTCGATGTGGTCGATCGGCGTCGGACAAGACAGGAGAATGGACGTTTGGGGGAGGACGAGAAAAGATGCGAGAGGTATAGTCCATTCTTCAGGACACAGCAAGTTATTTTGACTATGTAGCTATTCGATCGGATTCTGGTTTCTTGTCAGTCTTCACCATGCACATTCCCTGCCTGTATGACAAATAACTTTTATAAGTGTATAGTTATGAACAACATTATGGTGCCGGTGGAAGTCGCATAGTCAATATTCACGTCTTCTTCTCCCTCCAAAATTGACCCTGACATGTTAGCACTGGTTTCTCCACCGAGATGATTATTGCTTATCCGTCAGCTGCATAGGGCTGCAGTCATCATCGGGGCCGCAGAAAGTCAGCCAACGTAAGCTGGCGATACCGTACATGTACCTGGGCTGCCAGATACTTTAACGGCAAGATTGTACAGTTCTCAGAAATCATAGAAAATAGAATCTTGCATTCCTCATTCAGTATATGAGTATTGTTTGAGTAGTTGTAATGTAAGAGAGAGGTTGGGGGGGTTTTGGCGATGGACTTGAGGGGGTTGGCCAAACCCTAAAATGTACTGGGGAAGATTCCTCCTCCTCAACCACTTGCATCCTGCATCTTCAGTAGCTGGATAGAAGCACATCGCTAGAGAGCTCTATCTTACACTGTACGCTGTACATGACGTGGCTGCATAACCTATATGTCCTTGCGAGGCCGTCATTGTCCTCATACGATAGAGAATCTTACCTCGCGTCTCACACAGTCGGCCAGTTCCAACACATGCTCGCGACTCTCTCTCGAATAGACGTTGAAATACGCCACCCATGAGTTGAGCCCTGTCTTTAAGGGATCCGCCACATGGTCTCCCTTCTTGAGAAAACAGAAGCTTCCCGAAACATGATCGACCAGATCAGGCCGTCGAGCAAAGAGCTCCTCACACACATCGCCAGATTCATACACACCACCTTTCTCCACGGGGATGAAGACCATTTCGCACCAATACTGCGGCCCTTGGGCAAACGCGTGTGAAAGCTGCTTGGCCCGAGGCTTGTCGTCGAGAGCGAACAGCAGGCCGAGGCCGAAATAATCAACACCATAAGTATGTCTGGCCGCTTCGGAAGCTTGGATTCCTGGTGGCCGTGGATTGACTTCGATCAACCAGGCCGCTGGTGCTGGTGTCCCTTTCTCGACATTGTCACGCATTCTCAAGTCCAAAACTTGATTTTTGGTACCGTATTCCATGCTGGAGTTCTCCACGCGCGCCTCGAGGTGAAAGAATCCGTCTAGGAACCCCATCCGAACTAAGCTTTGACGAAGCGAATCTCGCAGCAGGGCCTGCTCGTGCTCAGGCAGCGCAGATGGCAGGACATTGGCAAGCTCGATGAAGTTCTTAACAGTGCCGTGGCTGTTGGCGTCGGCGCCCTTCGGGAAATCGTCCGATACTTCGAAGAATATCACCTCTCCGTCGCAGAGCACCACGTTGGCATCGACTTCGGGTCCCTCGCAGTACTTTTCGATTACAAATTCTTTCCCGTGTCGATCGGTGTCGATGGCCTGTGCACCCGCCTCGAGCTGCGAGAGGTTCTCGACGCGGAAGACACCCTCGGAAAGGAAGCCATTGCATGGCTTGATAATCAACGGGAATTCTAGATGGTGCTCTTGCACAATTTTGACGGCTTGCTCGGCGCTAGATGCTTGATATGCGATGTGACCTTCGGACACACTCGTCTTGAATTTGTCCGTGGCAATGACGTAGGCCGATGGAGGATATGTCGGTAAAGAGAGTTGCACAGCAGCTTCGGCAACGGGAACCTTGTAATGATCGCGAAAGGTCAGAATTCCATCGATGTGGCCTTCATACGAACGTACCGCGTCCGCAATACGATTGGAAAATCCAGCATCAGGTTCGAGCTGAAGTTCGAGAGGAACGAAAGCTTTGCGCCAATGGCGGTATTTCGGACCATTCACCCAGTGCCCGGGATTGTCCAACACGACCATGTCGATTCCCAGAGCTTCGGCCGCCATGTATATGCTCCCTCCCGTTCCTCCGTCGTCAGGACCTCGAAGGCCACCGTCGACGATGGCTAGGGTGGGTCGTCGTTCGGCCGGGGGCTGCGTGGACAACCAAGGGAACGACAAACGATTGCGCAATTCGTGATCCAAAGAAGACAGTAGTGAGTCAAGGGCGACAATTCCATTGCCAATTTTACCATTCGAATTGGCGTGCTGTTTTGTCTTCCTCTTCATCAAGAGAACGCCTCCAATCGATTTCGCAAAAGCACTCGGGAAGACATCGACGTTGATGGGCTTGCCGTCAAAGAACTGCTGTGGTTTGGCAAAGCTGGCGACACTCTTCACCAGAGAGCAGCCGAGGAGACGTAAGGACATGATGTCAGAGCGTACGATATACCCACTAGATCGCGGTACGACGAGCCGGGCGACACTCTCGTGATCATCGTCATGACTGGCAGCTGAGAGGCAGTCGAGGGCAAATTGGAACGCGGCAGTGCAGCCAAGGTCTTCTTCATGGATTTGCTGGTGCTTGTCGGCGGATAGCTCGATAGAAAGGCAAGCGCTTTCCGGTTTCTTCACCCATGAAAAGCCAGTCGACCTCGAGATTTCTCTGAAGAAGACGTCTATGTTTTGCCAGCTGGTGATACCCGACGCGTCGGTAGTGATATCATCTCTCGTGCACCAGCTGCAGCGGAATCGAGCTGTATCGATCCATTGCGTCTTGTAAGCAGCAGTAGGAGGACTCCGTAGTCAATGTAGAAAAGGAGATCTACCTTCGTGGTTGTCTTCACCCCTAACAACGATAACGTTGGACATGTTCCTGCCAGGCGTTTGTGAGCGTGAGCCTGGGATCCTCAGTGGACGATTGAATCACTCACGAAAGTGAGATCGCCGAAAATGATGGTAAGAACAAATGCTACGGCGAGGTATGATACATTGGCACTGATCCAGGGGGTTCGAGTTGAGAACGGACGTTTTGCCGCTTAACTACCGGCGGTGCTGCCGGTGATACCGACATGGACGCTGCCTGCAAATGCTGAGCTAACATCACTTCTTTGGTTGACGAAGAGTTCAACAGGGTGTCAGCTAAGCTTTTGCTTCTTCTGCCCTCTGAAAGCCTCGATGACGACGGTTTACATTTCCACGCGGGTTTTATACTTATTCTTTAAGCTGACCGCTTATGCTTGCTGACATGCATGTGCATGACTGTCGGACGATTCCCTGTCAGCTTGCATTCCCGCACCCCACAAACCGGTAAGGAGTCTGCATGTCAATCATGGCCATCACTTTTTCTCTAATACTGCATGGCGACGGAAATCAAGCCTTAAGAAATTCTTCTATGTCTCCCTTCGATGCTGAAGCAAGCGTACAGCCGACCATACGCCCGTCCGTCGGTACATGAAGCACCGCTTTGCGATCCATAGGGAGAGACAAGATCAAGGCCTCGACCACTTATGACTCTACATTATCAATCTCAATAGCGGCAATGAAAGACACTCATTTTCAAACATCTTTGCGCGAGCGAACCAGCAAATACTGGAGCACCTTTCTCCATGATTTCAAGCCATGCTACTTCCCTTCGTTACTTGAAGGGGATGGACCCAGTACATCTACTACTACCACCCTTCAGCGCGGCGACTTCCAAGAGGCTACTGTCAAGCTCGACAACATTTATCATTCTACTCTTCAGGAGTTTTGTTCTGAACATCAGGTTACACTAGGCAGCTTTTTCCAAACCGCCTGGGCTGTTGTCGTAGCCTGTTATGCTGGCGTTGAAGATATATCGTTTGGTTATTTGGAGGGAGACAATAGTGACGTCGTGATCTGCCGTACAGACATCACTGCTGAACAAATGCTTCACCAGATCATGATAGATATGATGGAACACCTGGAAAACGCCCGAACCCGTCCCATTGGCATTACAGAGGTGCAAAACCTTGTCGGCCTTGAAGGGCAATTACTTTCAGACTCGGCTTTGCAGATTCAACGACGTGGTTCCGAGCAATCGGGAAGTATGTCGCAGGCTGATGGGAACTTCGACATCCAGGCCCATGCATTGATAAATGACGACGATTCTGTTGCAGTGGCAATCCGCACAAAAGCTTCCAAGTTCTCGCGATCCCGAACAGCAGATGTCGCCCACGCCTTCGCTAAAACGTTAGTCGAAATGCTTACCGCGGCAAACCCTCAATCCATCTCAGTCGGCGATTTGGATACTTTCACCCGATGCGACTACGACAAAGTGATGAACTGGAACCCCCCCCTCCCTAGTGCTCTTGATTCTTGCTTTCACCAGCTATTTGAACAAATCGCCCGGAAAACGCCCGATGCTCCCGCCATTTGCTCATGGTGCGGCCATGATTACACCTATCGCGAGCTTGACACAGTCTCGACGAAATTGGCAAATCATCTTAACAATGAGCTAGGTGTAGTGGTGCCAGAAACGCCCGTCCTGATTTGCTTCGACAAGTCCTCGATTGCTATGGTCTCGATGCTGAGCATATTCAAGGCTGGTGGAGCATTTGTCGCCATCGACCCTGCGTATCCCATCAGTCGCATCCAGGCCATCGTCCAAGCGACGAATGCCTCCCTAGTTCTGGTGCAGCCGATACACCGTTATCTCTTCGAAGGCATTTTTATGGAAAAGTCCATTGTCGCGCTAGATTCAGCATACCTTGATGGACTTCCTCTACCCTCTACGATTTCTCCATGTCGCGTGATTCCCTCAAACACTGCGTACATACATTTTACGTCCGGCAGTACCGGTATTCCCAAAGGCATCATGATCGAACATCGCGCCCTCTGCACCGCCGTCTCCGCCCTAGCCTCACCCATGCGCATCACATCCACCTCCCGTGTCCTCCAATTCGCCGCATACATTTTCGACCTCAGTTTCGGCGACATCTTCGTCACGCTCTCTCAAGGAGGTTGCATCTGCGTGCCATCTGAACATGAACGTGTCAATGACCTGGTGGGCGCAATCTTGCGCATGGATGTTAACACGGCGTGCTTGATCCCCAGCGTCGCACGTATTCTTCATCCGGAGCAGGTGCCTGGTCTTCAGACACTTCTATTGGGTGGGGAGGCGCTCTTGCAAGAAAATCTAGAGCGTTGGGCAGACAAGGTTGTGCTGAATGCGATGTACGGTCCTTCTGAGTGCACTGTCTGGTGTACGTCACAAACAGATTTGAGAGTTGATAGCTTGGCGAATAATATTGGGAGGGGTCGCGGAGCGCGGCTATGGGTAACAAGAAGCGTCGACCACAATCGACTGGTTCCGGCTGGATGTATTGGGGAGCTGCTCATCGAAGGCCCCGTGCTCGCAAGAGGATACTTGAACCCCGAGCAGACGAGGCAATCATTTGTCGAGAATCCAAGCTGGGCAGTGTCCTCTTCTTCTGAGCGACGACGATTCTACAAGACGGGAGACCTTGTGAGATTCAATGCCGACGGCACCCTGAGTTTCATAGGTCGTAAGGATACACAGATCAAGTTGCATGGCCGCAGGATTGAAATTGGAGAGATTGAGCATCACTTGGCTTCACATTCTCTCGTCCAGCAATCAATGGTTATGTTCCCCAGCGCGGGTGTGCATGCCAAACGACTTGTGGCGATTGTAGTGGTTGTCAACAGCACTAGTGCCAACACCGTCAACAAAGGAGGCAAAGAAGGAGAAGCATCGATTGTTATGGCTAAAGATCCATGCACCTCAGAGCTGGCCAAGATCAAGGAATTTATATCCTCCAAACTTCCATCGTACATGCTCCCTCAGGCGTGGGTAGTAGTGCAGGACATTCCGACGCTGATATCGGGAAAGATGAACCGCGTTTTAGTGAAAAAGTTTGTTGAGAGTCTAACAATATCAACAACGGGGGAAAGCCAGCCTAAAGAAGGGAAAGGGTTGGGTGAGGCGGCGCAGCAAGATCATCATAGCGAAGAAAAAGAGTATGATCAGAACGACGATGGCGATGCGATTGAGAAGCGTTTGCGAGATATTTGGGGCCAGGTCCTCAATATCGGCGATCACGGCGAAAAGAACATAACGGATGATGTTATTCGACTTGATCAAACGTTCTCTGGCCTGGGTGGAGATTCGTTTTCAGCCATGGATCTAGTCGCACGCTGTCGAGCTGAAGGCCTAGTTCTCACCGTGCAAGATGTCCTCAGCAACAGTAGTGGTATCACTATTCAACAGATGGCGAGGGTGATCAAAAAGCATCGTTCAGCACTAACAAAGAATATATCTATGATGGCAGCATTGAAATTACGTCCCGTTTGGTGGGATGCATAGCTAATAGTGACTAGTTAGAAGGTCTACATTTTATCAAAGCCTGCTCCAGTTTCTTAATCAACATCGTCTCATCTTCCAACCCGACACTGATCCGCACAATATGCTTTGGCATACCCTGCGACTCAGCCCAGTCCAGCTCGAACGCATGTGCGAGCTGAGAATACGGCAGCACAAGGGTGAAATTAGCTCCGAAGCTGGGTCCTTTGCAGAGATCTACAGCGTTGTAGAAGCTTACGGCGACATCCGGGTCTAGGAAAACGACGCTGATTAAAGAGCCATACCCTCCGTCCGGGCTTCGGCGGTATTGCTCGTAGAGGGATGCGCTGGGCACCGTGGTTGGGTAGTTGACGCGGGAAATAAGGGAGGATGGTTGCGATTGGAGGAGATTGACGACGGCGAGAGCGTTGCGGTTGGCTTTTTGGACACGATCAGGGAAGTCGACACAGTTGTGGAGGAGAACTTGGGCATCCAGGGGAAACATGAGATCCTCGTGGGTGCGGGTCAGTGCTGAATGCAGCATGGAATAGAAAGGGGAACTGGCGTTGAGGACGACGCTCCCACCCATGACGTTGCATCCTCCGCTGAACAGCTTGGTGAGGCTGGTGATGATGACATCGGCATAGGGCAACACATCGACGTTGATGAAGGTGCCGATGGTGTCGTCGCAGATGACAGCGAAATGGTACTTATCAGCAAGCCTACGGATACGGCACAGGTCCGGAGTTGCGCAGAGGGGATTGGAGGGGATTTCGCAGAAGAAACTTGCGATGCGGTGGCCGGCTTGGAGGGACGATTCGAGTTGATCAAGCTCTTCGGATGTGCCTTGCGAGTAGAATGTGAACCGCTCGTAGCCACTTGCTTGCACATTTTTGGGCGTTGAGCCATACGGCCAGCCAAATATGACGACCTCAGATGAATGGGAAGTCGTCGGAACAAGTTTTCTTGCAATGTCGCCAATCGCGCACATGCCCTTGGGATAAAGAAAGACATCCTCGTGCGGCCTGACAGCTCCTTGGCCCGGCTGTTGCGACGTCACCCACTTCGCAATAAGTCCCTTTATTTTGTCCTTGGTGTCAGTATCGGAATGTCCCCAGGGTGCTGTGGATAGCACCGTATCGACCTCGTCGCAGGTTGCATGCGTTTGCAACGAGAATGACAACGACGACGAATCATCATTGACGGACAATGGGGCAGACTCCATGAAGCGAAATCTCTCGAAGCAGAAATCGGCATGGCGGCTGGAAATACCGTCTCCCATCCAACCCCAGACCTCGGCGGCCGACTCTGTAAATTGCTCCGGATAGAGTACTGCACTGAATCGAGCCCAGCTGTCATTTTCCTGGGTAGCTGAGGATGACTGGGCCAAACGGAAAGACACCTCCTGGATGGGGAGCTTTTCGGAGCCATCAGGACGGGCCTTTTGGCGAAGATACTGGCTACATCGTCTCATGCCGTCATTGGAGGGAAATATGGCACAACGGTACGTTTCAGGGGCGCCAACCCGGTGAAGAACAGCATCGTTTAACTTCTGAACGCTTGCATGCTGGTAGAATCTGTATCATCAAGATTCTCATTCATCCCCGTCAGAAAGCTAAATATTGAGTTTATTTAGACGATGAGACTGGACATGCCTCGGATAATCAGACTGCAAATTGTCGTGTATGTTTTTGTCGGCCGCCATATAGCGCACGATATTGTCCCATGTTGGAAGAGAGACGCTGACGGCCTAGATAATATAAAGTCAGTCAATTGTATCGACGATCAAACGAGTATCACGTACATGTATATCCCCAGGCGGCAGAGATTCGCCCAACGGGAAAGAGTGCGGTTCTGGCGGAGCAGAAACAGCACCAGTAGTGGTCATTGTAGCAGTTGTTGTCATTTTGCAAAGGAGGTTCCTGGCATGCAAAGAGAGTATCCATTTTTTCCGATAGTGCGGCCATAGTTATGAAGTATAAGGTCGGCAATTGACCCCAGTTTGATCTGTGGATGCCACGATGCTTGACTTCAATGACCAGAAATACGATGTGCTGTCAGCTTGCATGTTTTTGTCCAACTCACACTAACGAATGTGTAAGTTACACTAAAAGTGATCATCCATGTAAGACAAGGGGCTTACTCCATCGCATGTCATACAAGCAGTGGGCCGTCAGGGTTGTGAACAGTCGAAGCTTACACTGGCGCTTCGATACATCGCCACTATCAGCTTCCGGTCAGCATTGTCATGATGGAGTTGATGGCTGTGAAGCTGATGGTGAACATGCAAACCGCACGCGAGCTCAGCAGTGGTGGGGTTGTGGTCGAATACAGGGAGTCGGAAGGATGGGAAGGACGGCATCGTTAACTACGACGGCATGTGCCTGAGCGGACGGCTGCTGCTGGGGAACTTACATTAGCTCAAAACACCTCCTGGGATCAATTGTGACCACGAGAAGAACAGGAAGACAGGCATCGCTGCTCTCTTTCGTCCACAGACCACCGACAGCAAGGCATTCGAGATGACGAAACGATTCGTAGAGAGCAAGGAGGCGGTGACAGCGGAAAAGGATGAGACGACGGGCCGGAAGATGATGTGTATTCAGGACTTCAAAGAAGTTGCAGACCGGAAACTGCCTCGGGTTCACAGGAGTAGGTCTGCCCTGTTGGAGACACTCGCTTGATATCGGTACATGAGTGCAGGTTACTGACTGAGGCATCTATCAGACTACTACAACGACGGCTCAACCGATCAGATTACAGTGAGAGAGAACTCGACCGCCTTCCTGAAATATAGAATCAGACCCCGTGTGCTTGTCGATGTGTCCCAATGCTGCCCTTCTGTTGAATGCCTGGGTCGCAAGGTCGCATTTCCCGTGGGCATTGCACCCACTGTCCAATTCATTGCCCACCCAGACGCCGAGATCGCTACCTCCCGGGCCTGTGCGCGAAAAGGCATCAACATGGCCATCGGCAGCCTTGCCAGCAACACAGTAAAAGATATCTGCGACGCTGGGAAGTCCGTTGACTCGAACATGACCTACGCGATGCAGATGTACCCCTTTAAGAATCGCATCATGGCAGCGAAGCTCATCAAGGAGGCCGAAGCGCAGGGTTGCAAGGCGGTATTCCTGACGGCCGATTCACCCACGCTAGGCGTGCGGTACCGGGAGTGGAAGGACGACTTTCGCATACCCAGTGAACAGGGCTTTCCCAATATCGGCTGGACGGTCGAACGGTTGCGGGCACAGAGCAACGACTCCGTAGGTCAGGACACGCTGGACGACAGCCAAAACTGGGCGCGCGACATTGCCTGGTTCAAGAGCCAGACTAAGATGGAGATATGGATCAAGGGCGTGCTGACGGCCGAGGACACGCAGAAGGCTGTCGAGATGGGTTGTCACGGGATTATCGTTAGCAATCACGGCGGAAGGCAGTTGGATGGTGTGCCAGCTACGATTGACGCTCTACCAGAATGTGTAAAGGCGGCAAATGGGCGGTTGAAAGTGCATATCGATGGTGGTATTCGAACGGGATCGGACATTTTCAAGGCCATAGCCTTAGGGGCAGAATGCTGCTGGTTGGGTCGGCCAGCACTCTGGGCACTGGCAGTAAGTCGTTTGGCCCTCTTCCTCGAATCCCTATGCTGACCGCTATTCCAGTACGATGGCGAAAAGGGCATGGACCTCATGCTGCAGGTGCTTTACGACGATTTTGTACGGTGCATGAAGCTCGCGGGCTGCCAGACGATCAAAGACATTACTAAAGCGAGTCTGGGTGTTGTTAGGCATGATGGACCATTAGCTAGGCTGTGATGTGCGACTCGCGCCCGATCGCAGATGTCTGTGAAATGTACAAATCTATTAAACATTGTTTCTACGAGAAAAGATCACGCTCATTTTGTTAAGTACATAAAAATGCCCTAATGCTTCTCCTCCCCTGCCTGTTGGCGCTTCCATTTTTCTATCGTCTCTTCCTCGGATTTATTAGCCTTTTCGATCGCAGCCCGCGCGCCATCCCACGGTTTCCTTCCCCTGCCAGTGTCAAACAAGCGAAACAGGTGTGGCGACGACGTGCCGTCCATAAGCAACTTGTACAGCTCAGGATCGTTCCACCACAGTTTCCACGACTTTAAACTCCGCCAGTTACCCAGCCGATCATAAATACCGGCACCGGCGACTTTGTCGTGCCAGTGATCCCATTCCAGCCCGGAAATACGCCCTGGGAACATTACATCGCCGTATTTTAGTAGCTCGGCTATATGGCGATAGTGCGCTTGGACGTTTCGCTCCATCTCCGCCTGCGACGGCATTGGATATCCGCCGCTCCAAAGCTGTGCCATCGCGCTGGTCACGACGTCTACAAGTGGGAACGATCCCTGAAGTCGCACAGCGTAGCCCAAAATGGCGAGCGAATGCGGATGTTGGAGCGACAGCCAATTTTGATAGAGTCTTAGCACGGGTCTCTGTTTTCTATATGTCTCGGGGATTAGAGCAAATCCATCTGGGGCCAGGTCGGGGTTTGCAGGGTCGCATTGAGGTGGGAGAAGCGCCGATGCATCAGTCGTCGCCCCAGTTGCGCATACAATCGCGTCGATGTTGTCCAGTACGGTACCATCTACGAGTCTGACAGAGTGCGGACCGATGACTTCGTCAACCGCCTGTACGGATTTCACCTGGCCCGTTTTAAGGAGTGGAACGAGGTTATCGGCATAGACCGGAATGCGAGAATCGATGTGGACGTCCTTTCGGGTGGACCGGTTCAGTATTGGGTGGTGTCTCATCTCCGGATATGACTTCTCTTGAATTGATAGCAGGAATCTCTTCGCCATAATTCGTGCAATGGCGGGGGCCAACGCCTCCATGCGCCCAGTAAATAATTTACTGCGCATAGGTTGGGCTAGCGGCTTGCCTTCTACCACACGTGGAATCTTGACATACACGTCAGCGACGGTTCCTTCTGTCTGTTGGGATGGTAAAAGTTATTGCTGCACTTACAAGGAGGACCTGCCGGCGATGGCTGCAGTATACTTGCTCTGCGCCTTCACGCGCTAGGTGGCGAGCACAATCGGCTCCGGTGAGGGCCAGGCCGATGATCAAGACTCTTTTGCCCCTGTACTTGGACGGCTCCTTCATCCGTAGGCCATGGATGATATCGCCCGCAAATCTCTGCCGACCTTTGATATTGGGCCAGTTCAACTTCAAATGAATTCCCGTAGCGAAAACGAGTCTGTCGAAAACATGTGTCTGAGTTTGGGTGCCGTGTGAATCCGTCGCCCGTACCTCAATGAGCCATTTGTTGTCGGCCTCATCTCTCAGGACCCTGACCACCGTGGTGTTCAGACGGATGTGCCGGTGGAGGTCGAAGTGTTTTGCATATGCCTCGACATATTCGCACATTTGAGCTGCGGTTGGGAACCTATCGGACTCTACACGAGGAAGATCAATGAGATGACCTCCTATGCTCCATATTTGCACGACGTCATAACGTACCCTCGCTCATTGGAAAATCGGTGTATGCAACCTGGGGCCACATGCATTAATCAAGGGGGCGAGGACTTATACAGCAGACTGAGAGGACAAACCGAATATTTGGTAAGGACGGCTCTGGTCTGCGGAAGGACAGATGTTTGATCCGGATCTGTGGTTACATGCCAAAGCCCGCCGATATAGCTTGCACGCTCAAAGACGGTCACATCGAAACCTGTCTCCACGAGGTTCTTCAAAGCGGCCAGGCCAAGGCCTCCGGCGCCAATCACGCAGACCTTTTTGCCTAGTCCTCCAGACATCTTTGAGCAAGGCCGGGAAGCGTTGCAGGTTGTAAGAGGGATGTAATTGGTATAAGGAACAGGGGCTTTATTGTCGACTGAGGACAGCAAGGTCCAGAGAGCGACTGCACATGGATGTAGATGCTCTCAAAAATAAAGTGATCAAGATGGGAAGTCTGCGGCGTTCATGACCATGTTTTGACCCCATCAGTATAGACCGAAGAGTCACTGTACCAACCCTTCCGGGAAATGCTTATACACACGCCACGCGAGTTCAGGTTAGCCGTCAGAGCGGTTGCGCGTATTACTGCGTCGTGGTGATGGCAGCCATAAGCATCTTACGCCCGCAGGAACCTTCTGTCAACAGTTGGTTCCGTGAGCCATTTGCCAGTAAGCAGACTTCGTGATCAAATCCTCCGCCATGGCTCGCAATAATTCCGTTTCCACGTATCCACTCGCCAGCTGATGGAGTTGATCCGCCTCAGCCTTAGCGTTTCTGTCGAGGTAGTGGAATCAAATAGGGTGAGTTTGTGGGTTGGGTTGCCGTTGGCGGGCTTTGCTGGTGCTTCGTCGTCAATTTTCTCGAAGCATTTTTCTGAGCGTCGAGTGTGCGATTGTTTTCTTATTTCTACTTCTCTTCTGCGACTCATTTTAAACTTGCAATTGCTTGTTTTCTTTCTTTCTTTCTTTCTTTTCCTTCCCTCCCCTCTCCTCCCCCTCCTTGCATGATAGTTGGCATTTCTTGATCAACCGCCAGAGGCCCTAATTGATTGAACGTTTGTTTGCTTGCTCAGCCTGCTGTTTCAATAGTTAAATGTACTATACATACATTAGCGAGTGTGACTGTGGTTACCTAAAACAAGAAGTTTTTCTGACATGAAAATGTATGTATTTTGAGGATGACAGTGATGTGTGTAAAAAAAAAGAAATACCAACCCCTGCAGCTTTGACATTACTTTCAATGCTATTTTTATACTCAGTCAGCATGCAGAGTGCAAAATACATGACAAGCACTGATTCGAGAGAAGTAACTCTGAACAGCCCCTTTAGTTTTATGAAATTGTAAATATATATGACCTCACTAGTAAACAGGTCGCAGGCAGGAATTTTGCCATAACTTCTCTTTTCCCTCTGCAATCTGGACTTGCTCCGTATCATTGCAGAAGAGAAGACAGCCCAAATATTCAGGATCCAAAAGTCAAAGCAAAGCCGATCAAAGTCAACAAGGCACCATCCCGGAGGAACTAGCCCTCAGAAGCGATTCGGTTTGGTTTTCACTGTTCATCAATCGCAACTTGAGAGTATGGGGAAAAGCGGTTTGTGCCAGAAGATGTGCGATCTTCGCTTGAGAACCACTGACTGATGGATCTTGGTGGCATGGATGCTGACACCCCGGCGTCCGGTCTCAAACATTACAGGGGCAGAATTGATGACAGCTTCGCGGAGTTCGGAGTTCGGAATGGTTACATGCCAAGTATGTATCTTTGTTTTGGGCGCACCAGCTGCGGCCCAACCGGCCCTAAACCCGGCCCCTGGCCCCATCGCTAAAAGATATGTACGGAGTACGGAGTTTGTACAACATATATATGTAGTTACTCCTTCAGGAGCGCTTAATCCGTAGATAGTTAGCCCTAAAGGCACGTTCTCGAAAGCTGCTTGCAAAGTCGGGTTTGATTGGAACGGCGAGCATGCGATCCAGAAGAGCTAAAAGTCTTGGTAATTCGGGCAAAAGTGCTGGGCAGGACCCTTATTCCACAACCGGCGTGTGGTTTGTCGATGCGGCCGCCCGCGAGATCCACCGTCACCACGGGGCAAAGTTTGCTGACCTCCACTCAATACCGGCCCGCAGTGGTTCTTGTAGCTTGGTCTCGGAGCCCGATTTTAGCGTATGGAGATCGGAATGCGCTGATCATCGCAGCAGCCAAAGGCTTCGCCTATGATCGTTGCTTTCTAAAATTTCTACTTCTAATCTTTCCAACCTCCCCTCCCTCTCGCAGACGAAACGCCTGCTTCTATCGGAGGCCAGCGAACAATGGCTAACGATAATCCCATGGACCCCGTCACGCCGCCTTTGGTGGCAGATGAATCTGCTGCCAAAGCAGATGTTGAAACTCCCGCTGAGAGCTCGAAGCGCAACTCCAGCGATAACAGCGACGAGCAGCAGCTAACTGTCGAGCCACTCCATCTAGACGAGGCCGACACAAACGTCCGCTCGAGACTACGCGTTTTGGCCATTGTCGGCGCACTTTATCTGGTCCTCTTCGTTGCCGCTCTCGATCAAACCATCATCGCGTAAGTAAAATCACGTGGCTCCATTGCAATCTGCTAAAGACACACGCTGATGCTGGGCTCCAGCACATCCATCCCGACAGTCACCGCCGACCTGCACTCCGCTGCAGGCTACACATGGATCGGTGGCGCCTACTTGCTGGCCAATGCTGCTGCAGGGCCCATCTGGACCAAGGGCAGCGACATCTGGGGTCGTAAGCCTGCCCTCTTGGGCTCAGTCCTGATATTTGCCGTCGCAAGCATCATCGCCGCCGTGAGCGCAAACATCCAGACGTTGATTTCTGCGCGAGCACTGCAAGGCGTGGCTGCCGGTGGCCTATTCCAATTGGTCGCTGTCACCATCTCAGATCTCTTCAGTCTGCGGAAGAGAGCGCTATATTTCGGCTGGATGGGTGGTGTGTGGGCTCTCGCTGGATCCGCCGGCCCTTTGATTGGAGGTGCATTCTCCGAGCTTGTTAGTTGGCGGTGGTGCTTCTGGGTCAATCTCCCCGTCTGTGGACTCTCCTTTGCGCTATTGTTGCTTTTCCTCAACGTGCACAATCCACGCACCGGGCTTCGTGAAGGCCTTGTGGCCGTTGACTGGTTCGGAACGGTCTCCATCTTGGGAGTCTCCGTTCTTCTTCTCCTTGGCCTCAACTTCGGCGGAGCGACATTTCCCTGGAACAGTGCCCAAGTTATCTGCTTGATTGTATTTGGAGTGCTGATGATCGGCTTCTTTCTCTTCAGCGAGAAACGTCTGGCCAAATATCCCCTGATGCCACTCACTGTCTTCAAGACGTTGTCCAGCAACGCAACCATTATCGTGGCTATGGGACATAGTATGGTCAACATCGGCATAGAGTATTACCTCCCGCTTTTCTTTCAGAGTGTGAGGCAGGCCTCGCCGCTCCACAGTGGTCTTCTATTACTTCCCATAACGATCACGGCAGCTGCAGCGGACGTTGTGGCCGGCATCTTAATCCATCGGACAGGTCGTTACAGGGAAATCATCTGGTTTGGAGTCACGCTTATGACGCTAGCGACAGGTCTGTACATTGATTTTTGGACTGACACCCCCCTCGCCAGAATCATCGGAATTCAAATTGTCGGCGGCACGGGTACTGCACTTCTGTTCCAAACACCTCTTCTCGCCATCCACAACTCTGTCAGCCAGTCCGAGGTCGCGTCAGCTACAGCGTCTTTGGCATTTATCCGCAGTCTGGCGACATCTGTGTCCGTTGTCGTCGGCGGTGCGGTCTTTCAGAACAGCATGACGACTCGTCACTCCAGTCTTGTTGCCGCGGGTCTTAGCGACTCTGTCCTTGATGCCTTGGCCGGCGATCAAGCAGCGGCAAATGTGGGGATCGTCGCGACTATATCAGACGCCACACAACGTCGAGCCGTGCAAGACGCATTCGCGTGGAGTGTCAGAAATATATTTATCCTGTACACATGTGTAGCAGGTATTACAGTGGTGGCGAGCATTTTCATTAAGCAGAAGCACATGAGCACAGAGCACACAGAGACCAAGACTGGAATAGAAAATTTGGCAAAGAGAGAGAACGATAATAGCTCATGATGCACCGTCTCACATTGAGCTGCTACTAGAGATGTTTAGCAGCAAGGCATCGACCGGCATCCATTATGCCAGGGGTTCCAGGTGGAACTTGGATCTTTGTCTGCTAGTCCCACAAAGCTGACAGGGCTTCAAACTTGTACATACATAGACATGAAAAGATATTTTGCTGCAAAAGCACATGATTGCACACGCAAAAGATTTTATGCTGTTGAGATCAATCTTTCTGTTGTCAGAGCTGGTTGCAAAGAAACAACCGCAAAATGGAGGACTTTGTACTAAACAATAAGAACTTTAGAGCCGCTACCTGCAGTGTTGATGAAAAGATATTACTGTGCGCTGCCTTATTATGCCCTCAAAAGCTGCTTGTGTGGCTGAATGTTGATACTGACGAAAGATTTGTTGTACTCTGTACGGAGTAATCGACATGAGAGTCAAGTTCGTCCAGCGAAAGCCAGATGATGATTAGTTACTAAGGTTTTCGGATTCGGATTAACTAATACTCCGAAGACATGACAGTAGTAAGGTAACTTTCGCATTTGCGACGAGCAACGATGAGCTTGTCCCAGCTCGCTAGCCTCCTGCATGAAGTGCTGTTGATCTTTGCAGGAGCTTCAGGCAGATGGTGACATGACCTAGCTACGCATCCTGTTTCCAAAGGCTTGCGAAGCTGTTACAGATCTCACTTCTCCACAGCCTCGATGGAAGCAAACTAGCCTTTGAATGGGCCCCCGTTTGGGCGTAAGGTTCGAAATTGAACCCCCCCCCCCCCACCCCAAAATCATTCTAACATCGCCATCAGATCAATCTCCTTCTCCTTCCTACGCCGCACTTTGATCGTTGCTCCCCGATTCGACATGTTGGCTCCCGCGGAATGTCGTACATATTCTTGCGAAGTCTCATCCAGACAGAAATCGAATTCCATCAAGAACAACACCAGTGCAAGTTTAAGCTCCGTCACGGCGAGGAAGCGGCCTGTCCATTGTAAGTCAGCACTGAGCGTTCCGCTTGGTTTAGGAAATTTTACTATACCTGGACATGCCCATGAACCGTATCCGAACTGGATCATGTCGGTTGAGAGTCCTGTATATTGGAACCCGTCGTTGTGCTTGCCTCGGAGACGCAAGAAGCGATATGCATCAAAGACATCGGGGTTAGGATATACAGATGGATCCATGTTATTGCCCGCGAAGGTAACGAATGCGCCTTTTGGTAGGACGGTGCCATCGGAGAGAACGGTTCTGCGGGTGACGATGCGCCGTAAAGGAGCTGTGACATCATGTCAGTCTGCTGCCGGATAGAAGTCATGCAAAGCGCTTGACATACCAATATTATTCTGCATCATCACGAGCTCTGGATTAGTCAGGTGTTCGAGGAAGATGTATCTTGTGTCAGACTCACCGGAAGCATCCTTTGCGACTCCTTCAGGAAACTATCCATCAGGTGCAGCTTGGAGAAGACATTTTTGGTCCATCCTCCTTCTTCCTTCAACACCCTTACGATCTCATTCCTCAATGGCTGCACAACATCAGGGTTTTTGCAGATGTCTAGTACAGCGACATTCATTGTCTCTGTTGTATTGTGCACCGCACCAAGCGTCAACAGCATCTGCGAACCGACGCAGTCTATATATTTTCCAAAGCGCTGGCTTGCCTCCAGTAACCAGCCAAGCGTATCGCCCACCTTGAGGGATTTATACTCACCGGCAGCGATCAGCTTTTGGCGTTTCTCAATCATTGGTTTAATCATCATATCAGCGTGGGCACATTGTTTGCGCACCATTTTGCTCTCGGAGAACCAGAAGCGATGCGCCAGCGGCCGCCAGATAGGTGAACAGGCGCGAAGTCTTGCCGATGTCCTGAAGGCATTGAAGGTGTAGGTCCTAACTACATCAAGCCATTCGCGGTCCCGACAGGCGTCTCGGCCGAGGAACAATAATGTGGAGAGGCGGGCGACAATCTCCTCACAGACCGGCTGCATCGATACGGAATGCCACTCATCATCTGCAGCATCTTTCGAAGGCATGGATGCATCAATAACAGCGACTGCTTCAGCGGCTAGCTCCTTCGTCATCGCAAGCATAGCAGCGTTGACCTTTCCACGCACTACATGTCGGATTGGTTCTGGGTAGTTCCTCATCGCCTTGAAGCCGATCATACCAGAGTAAGTCCAGAAATGCTCTGTGGAGAAGGCCTTTTGCGCGTCCAAGCCCTTTTGTGCGTCCAGATCCTTGTTGGCTTTGATTTCCTCGAGGAATCGGTTTGGAACGACAATCTTAGGCCCATTGCCCGTTATGATCTGGAAGAAGCCGTCATTGGTGGCTTCCCGGCCCCGAAATATCGTCTCTAAAGCGTGTTCGGTCCAGCTGGTTGCGGCATCCAGCCCATCGAGTTTGATCACGGGAAAATTGGGCCATGGTTTGGCCGGGGCAATTATAGATTTGTATATTCGAAACAAGACGAAGATCGCACCAAGTAGCGCAAGCCGCACGAGGACACGGCTGTCAGTAATCACGTCCAGGGCTAGCGACATTGTATGGATGGCCTCGCAGAGGGAGAGGAAGTTGCACCTAGGGAGGCCAACTGCACCAAGAACGTCTATAAACAATCTTAACCGATTTATTCAGGTTGGTAGGTGAGAAACTGGCTGAAAATTGGAAAGATTCGTGATGCTCGAACCGGGGGTGGAAACTTTCGTCCTCGGCGATTCGTATTAACGACCATAGCAGACAAATTAGCCGGCACCCTGGTCCACGCCGGACAATGTTCTCCCCGAAACCCTTGTGACTGGCCAAGTGGCGGCATATGCTTGCTGACTCCTTGCAGCGACTTGGATACATTGCTTATTGACATTTCTCCGATAGGGCAAAACAAAGTTCAGACCGCTGACTTGTCATTGGCTCATGAAGGATCCATGCATCCGTGCTGAAAATAGGCTTTCCATAGGAGTAAGCCAACATTACAAGGGCTGACAATATGTAGTTAACGCTGACATTGAGATTTGGCTGAACCGAAGAATATTATCACAGCCTTTCTCTCTCGCACAGCATGTGTGATGAATTGGTGTCATTGTTGCCAACCCACTGTTTTCAGATCCACACTACTCCAGACGCTCACACTCCTGTATAGAGTACAATGACAGCCCTACAACTACCACTTCTAATGTCTTTCCAATGCATTGATCCTTGATTCACTGTTCTCCAGCAACCCCTTCCCCAATGGCCAGAACGATAATTGAAACTATGAACAGCGAAGGGTGCCATAGCCGGGTGCACGGCCGAGTAGACGGCTGTCAGGAAGCAGATGGCATCTCAGTGTTATTTGGACCTCAGGGCACTGTCACATCCGAGTCAATGCTCGAGATGCGCAAGTTCCTGGAAGACAACCCTGCTTTAGATTTCCTTTCGACGACAATCTCAGAACTTCCGGCGCTTTGGCCCGCCGTTCTCGACGTTTGCCCCAGTTTAGACAAGATTCCGGCTAAGAAAAAGTTGGATGAACTCGTCCGTTTCCTAACTGAAGGAGGAGACCCAGCCGCGATATTATCCTCAGAACCGCTACCCTCGAACAACATCATCATAAGCCCACTAACGGTGGTATATCAGATTATCGAATTTTGGAAGCTCAGCCATGGCTACTTCTTTGACAGTAACGACGACAGTGGATGCCAAAATCCGTCAAATATATCAGACGTTCAAGGATTTTGCCTGGGATTCTTGACTGCGATATCCGTTTCTTGTTCGCGAAGCGAAGCGCAATTTCAGTCTCTATCTTCGAAAGCGGTGCGCCTGGCTATGTGTCTTGGAGCCTGGGTCGATTTCGATGCACTCAATCATAACGTGTCTGAATGTGCATCAGCTGTTGCTGTTCGATGGAAATCGGATACGCATTGGAAGCAATTGGAACACACTATGGCGCTGTATCCTAAAGTTAGTACCGCCAATAATTCAAAATACTCAGTTTCGCAGCTCATACAATATATTATAGGCCTACATCTCGTGCCACACTGATGCGAAAACCGTAACAATCACCCTCCCAGAGCGGGACTCGGCTCCGTTCATGTCGGAGCTGGCCCGGCTGAATTTGCCTGCCATGTTGCTTGAACCGCGAGGACGCTGGCATCATCGGGACCATCTTCCCGGACTACGTGACCTTTTATACCTTTGCCAGCGTGACGAACGTTTCCAGTTCCCGGATGCCAATGGATTGAATAGCTCTCTCCTGTCTAACATGAACGGAGAAGCTATCACACAAGGATCGCTCCATAGCATCGCCCTGCAATCAATCCTTACCCAGCAATCTCGATGGGATCTGCTGTTTGACACTTGGTTGCTTAAGGGCCGAAGTTTTGGTCACTTCATGATTGGTGAAAAGGTCTTGGTCCCCCGAATCGCTAACAAGGGATTGTCTAGCACCGCCGCATTATCGTCACCGCCAACAGCAACACCCACCACAGCAGCAACAATGCTGGAGGATCAAGAAGAAGCTAACATTCCCGACTCTGCAATTGCCATCATTGGAATGGCCTGCAGGTACCCTGATGCCGACTCGTTGGAGGAGTTCTGGGACTTGATCAAAGCTGGGACATGCGTGGTCCGGCCGTTTCCTGAGGATCGATTCAAACCGTCTTGTCTCAATCGTGAACCGAAGGGGCCGTTCTGGGGCGGCTACGTTCGGGAGCCAGATGTATTTGACCACCAATTCTTCGGCATTTCGGGTCGTGAAGCCAAGTCCATGGACCCCCAGCAGAGGATGTCTCTGGCAGTTGCTTACGAAGCAATGGAATCCGCAGGATACTGCGGCCTTCGCTCCGGTGAATTCGATCGAGACATAGGATGCTACGTTGGGGTTGCTAACGACGATTATGATTGCAATGTGGCTTCGCACCCTATCAATGCCTTCTCGCTGACGGGTACTTTGAGATCGTTCATTGCTGGTCGAATTAGCCATTTTTTTGGATGGTCTGGGCCGTCGGTCACGCTGGACACGGCATGCTCTGCCTCTGCTGTCGCCATTCATACAGCTTGCAAGGCACTTCAGACCAATGATTGCTCCGTGGCCTTGGCGGGCGGCGCCTGTGCTGTGACCAGTTCGCGTATGACGCAAAACCTGATTGGGGCAGGGTTCTTGAGTCCAACTGGAGCATCCAAAGCATTCGATGTGGATGCGGATGGGTATTGCCGCGCTGAAGGCGCAGGTATGGTGGTATTGAGGCGCCTTCAAGATGCAGTGCAGCACGGGGACTCCATCCTCGGCATCATCACCGGATCCGCCGTGAATCAGGGATCCAACTGTTCTCCTATTATCGTACCTGATTCAGCGTCTCAGGTTGCCCTTTACAAAAAGGCATTAAGAGTGTCCGGGACCCTTCCTGCTGAGGTAACCTACGTAGAAGCTCACGGTACGGGTACTCAAGTCGGCGACCCAAACGAGTTCAGGAGCATCCGGGAGACATTTGGGAGCGTGGACCGACAGGATGACGTCTTTGTTGGTTCCGTCAAAGACAATATTGGTCATACAGAAGCGTCCTCGGGCGTAGCGTCGCTGTTGAAAACCATTTTGATGATGCAGAAGAAGACTATACCCAAGCTAGCCAATTTCAATCGTCTCAATCCTAAGATTGAGCCCTTGGGTAAAGATCATGTCGTGATACCGACGCAATCGCGCGAGTGGAAAGCCACCAAACGGCGCATAGCATTGATCAACAACTATGGTGCGTCAGGGAACAACGCGGCTCTCGTTCTTCAGGAAGCCACTGCGTCGACTTCTCCCGCTGTATCCTCTCCCGCTTGTTCTCATTATCCTATATATATATCCGGGAAGACGGCGGAAGCAGCTCGTTCCTACTGTGAACGTCTGAGAACGTTCCTCTCAACAGGTGACAGACTGAGTCTGTCCGATATCGCTTACAATCTGGCCATCAAACAGAATCGGGACTTCGAACACTTCCTCACACTGACCGCTTCCAGCGTCCGGGATCTTTCTAGCCAACTAGAGAAGATTGCTTCCGGCACCACATCTACCGAAGTAAGATCCAGCCACCAACGTCCTGCCGTTGTGCTCTGCTTTGGTGGCCAGGACGGGAAGCTGGCACATATCTCGAAAGATCTGTACGATAACTGCGTGGTCTTGCAGCGCTACCTCGTAAGTTATGGCTCCTTAACCTAACTAGAATCTTTTTGCTGAGATATGACTTCTACTAGGCTGAATGCGAGTCTGCCTGCGCGCAGGAGCTAGACCTCCCCAGTGTCTTGTTCCCAACCATTTTCAATCCTGGCCCGATCGAGGACTTGGTGATTTTACACTGTACCCTCTTCTCGATCCAATATTCATGCGCTAAATCATGGCTGGATTCTGGCCTGAAGGTCGACAAACTCATCGGGCATAGTTTCGGTCAGCTGACCGCGCTGTGTGTGGCTGGATCGTTGTCCGTTGTTGAAGCAGTTCGACTCGTTGCACAGCGTGCCCGACTGCTGCAGACACACTGCAGCCCTCCCCAGAATGGCTTAATGCTGGCTGTTGAGGGAAAGTTATTGGATGTAGAGCATCTCCTCCGTCTCGCTGAGCAGCAGCAGCCGCGCCTTTCGGCCGATATTGCATGCTACAACGGCCCTCAAAGCTTCGTCATTGCCGGCGATGAGATATCTATTCAGGCAGTCGAGAAAGCAGCATCATTACTATCAGCGACATGCCATTTCCGGATGAAACGTTTGGAAAACAGCCATGCATTCCACTCACGTCTCCTAGATAACATTATTCCTGGTCTCCTTCAAGCAGCTGGAGAACTTAGTTTCCAAGCCCCTGCGATACCGATTGAAGCATGCACCGACAATGATGATGATTGGAGCCAGGCCATCACTGCAGACAAAATCGCCCGACACACTCGTGCACCTGTTCACTTTATGAATGCTGTTAGGAGGATCGAACAGCAAGCACAAAATGGCCCTGTGTTATGGCTCGAAGCAGGATCAGGATCGCCAATCATACCCATGATCAAACGAGCCACTATTAATCACCTCGACCAGCATATCTATATTGCCACACCTCTTCGATCCGATGTGAATTCCCAACTCAACCTCGCAAATGCTACATCTTGCTTATGGTCTAGCGGAGTGAGGGTGCAGTTCTGGCCATTTCACTCCCATCAGCGCTCATCATACAATTGGATTAATCTACCTCCGTACCAGTTTGCGAAAACCCGTCATTGGTTAGATTATAAACCGGCGACGGCCGTGTGGGAGGAGACGTCTATTACGGGCCCTGAAACGACCTTGGATGAGAATACTGAGTTGATTCGACGACTACATCCTACCAATCATAACCTATCTTATCGGGATGGTAGCGGTGAAGAGAACGTTGCTCTATTCGAAATCAATCCCAAGAATGAACTCTACCAGCTAGGTACGCAAGGACACGAAGTCGTTGACCAAAGCCTCTGTCCAGCATCGATGTATACGGAATTCGTCCTAACAGCCTCCCGCTTGTTGACGCATGCTGAGACAGATTTGGTACCGCGCGTATCAAGATTGGCAATGTCTTCGCCTCTCGTACTCAATCCAGTTGGGAGAATATTCTTGAGGCTGCAAGCGGTAGAGAAGTCGCTATCATGGGACTTCTCAATCTACAGCCATGACAGGCAAACTAATCCTCTTGCGGCTGAGGCGGCGATCACAACACACGGCACAGGGTGCGTCACGTTAATTTCCGAAGAGTCCAGCAGCAGTAGTATTTCGGCGTCTTCGACCATCAGTCCGTTCCGCTCACTTCAAAGCCTGATACTTCAACGATGTCACGAAATCCAAAATTCTCCCATGTCAATCGGCTACAAAGGTCCTACAGTCTACAAAGCGTTTCGCCCAGTGGTGACATACGTAGACTACTATCGCGGGATTCAAAGTATCTATAACCTAGGCCAGGAAGCTGTCGCCCACATTACCATGCCGCCAGCACGACCACCCAACATGGGAACGGGCGTCTGCGACCCAGTACTGATCGACAGCTTTACGCAGGTCTCGGGCGTTTTGGCTAACTGCTTTGCGCTAGGCGAAGAGAATCCAGGCGAGATGTGGGTGTGCAATTTCATCGGCGACATTGAGCTGAGCCGAGAATTCATCGAGCATGCGAGAGAAGATAAGCACGCGTGGACAGCATATGGCAAGTATGAGATACCCGCTCCCAAGAGGCTGACGTGCGATATTTTCGTGTTTGAGCCGCTCTCGGGGAACATCGTCTTTACTATAAGGGCAATCGAATTTCAGAAAGTTTCGGTCAAGTCTTTGTCGAAGATTCTTGGGAGGCTCAACAACAATGACAACCGCAAAATGACTCCAGCATCACAAACACGCCCAGTTCAGGATACATGGGCTCCGGTGAATGAAAAGCCACAGGTGCCTGAGATAACGAGGTCGACAGCCACAATAACAAGAGCAGCAGCAAGTCCAACTGGAAATGCGGATAGTTTTGGATCCCTGTCACTACAAAAGGAGCTCGACCTCTCTGCTAGAAGAGTCCCGGCAGATATGCCCATACCTGACATTCAGCCCGTATCGTCATCGGCGTCTTCGTCACTGGAGAAAATCCAGGAAATGCTGCAGGACATACTGGAAATTCCCCTAGAGACCATTTCGCCTAATGCGCTTCTCGAGGATCTCGGGATCGACTCTCTGCTGGCTACGGAGCTTTTCTCCGAGATGAACAAGCGCTTTGCTGTTTCCATCTCACATTCGCAGTTTGCCACCATTTCTGACGTTCAAGGCCTCGCTGGGTTGGTGTCGGTGACGACCACTCCCGAGACGTATAGTCGTCGTTTGGGTCCGGCATCATCGACTTCAGCGTCAAGGCTGCCATCTTCTTCCCCGACTGAGGCGGCCTCAACACGCCCATCCAGCGTCGAACCGTCTTCTTCTCGTTCATCGCCGCCTCCTACTTACCCTTCTCAACTTGAAAGAGAAACAGTCGTTTACGGCGAACGAGATGGGATCCCCCTATCAGCCGATATCTACTATCCCAATGGCAATAATGGACTGGGAAAGCCGCTCCCGATTGGTCAGTCAACACCATTCTTGTTCAATTGTTCTTAATCTGGAGTGGAGAATATAGTCGGTCGCGGACACTGATGCTTGGATCGTCTCTTTAGCTCTCATGATCCATGGTGGAGGCCACGTCATGTATACACGCAAAGACATCCGCGACGACCAGACCAAAATCCTTCTGCGTGCTGGATTCTTGCCTATCAGCATCGATTACAGACTATGTCCCGAAGTTTCGCTCCACGAAGGAGCCATGCAGGACGTTTGCGATGCATTGTATTGGGCACGAAATATACTACCTAATCTCACCCTCCCTGGGCGCCCAGACATCTCTGCCGACGGCGACAGAGTCGTAGCCGTGGGGTGGTCATCCGGGGGACAACTTGCTATGTCACTGGGGTGGATGGCATCATCGTTGGGAATCAGGCCTCCAGAAGCCGTGTTCGCGTTCTACTGTCCGACTGACTACGAAGACCCATTCTGGTCTCGACCTAATCGGCCCTTTAATCAGGAACCTGTCCCTCTTTCTTCTTCTCCTAGGTCGGAAGGCTACGAGCATCTTTACGAAGGACTCTGTGACAAGCCAATCGTAGGATATTCTCCCGGTGCGTCGAAACGCGCGTTGGGAGGTTGGATGTCTCTCGACGACGCCCGCTCGCGCATCATTCTTCATATGAATTGGGAGGGCCAGTCGTTACCCATCCTCATCAACGGGCTGTCCAGAAAGCGTATTCCGACGAAACTTCCATCTCCATCCATCGAGCAGATTCGAAACATCAGTCCTCTGGCACACATCCGAGCTGGTAGGTATAGGACACCAACCTTCTTTATCCACGGAACACGAGACGATCTTGTCCCCTGGCAACAGTCGCAAAGAACATACGAGGCTCTGATCGAAAACGGTGTGCCGGCTCAGTTGGTGATTTTGGAGGATGCTTTGCATTTGTTTGACATGTATCGCGATTTTAAACGGAATGCGCGTGCCATCAAAGCGGTCAATGATGGCTTTGAGTTTCTCCGAGCGTATGTATAGAGGGCTGTAAACGGAGCACGGTGCCGTGTCAATGACGAGGGCCAACAGGAGGAATTGAAGAAGTTACTTTAACAATAACAATTAGATATGCTTCCAAATCTTAATAGAATATAGATAATTCCCTGTAGATAGATCTCGACGTATTGGAATTGAAAAAAATATGAACTCTTGTACACGACATATCATCCTGTGCTGCCCGAGATTGAAATATTGATATCCTTTACGGAGTTCTGGACCTTGATATGCGGTTAGCTCAATCCTCAGATAATGGATATGGATGTACAGCTCTTCATCAAGATATCTAGTTTTGAAGTGGAATTTAACTATGTTTTTATTTTCAATCGTGAACCTTCTTCGCAAATTTATACGCAAGGCTTAAATAACGGCCTCCAATATCTAGAGAAACGACCATGTTATTTCCCTTAATATTACCAAATGCTTCCTCCTCCCAAAAAAAAAGAAATATTTGTGGTAATGGCATAAACGTGCTATTGCGAGAGGAGATTGCCGTTACCGTTGATGCCGTTATGTTTGTTGACGCCTAGGATATGGTCAAAGAGCCTCACCAGATCGGCAACGGCCTGTGCATCAATCTGGTGATGGCATACCACCCTCGGACTGTCTAACACTACGCCGTATTTCTTCCCCAGGTCAATCAGTGTCCGTCTATCGATCCCCAGCGCATCAATGTCCAACCAAACGATATTCGTCTCAACGTCCTTGGTCAATCGTCCCCCTCTCCTAACCCACTCCTCCCCCAGCTTCTCAGCAACGCGGTGCACATCCCTCAGCACCGGCTTCTCAATCTCTGCGCCCATGCCAAAATTCTCAAACAGCGCCTCCCTTGCAGCAGCCGTAATCACACCTCCCTGCCTCATCCCGCCCCCAATACCTTTCCTCGTCCTCCGCATTCGACGTATCAAGCTTGCATCCCCCAGCACCATCGCCCCCATCGGCGCGCCTAGATTCTTGCTGAAATCCACGGACACAACATCAACGAGCGCGCAGTATTCTCTCAGAGAGCCTGCACCCGCAGCCACAGCCTCAAACAAACGTGCTCCGTCGAGGTGTGTCTTGACGTCGTGCCGTTTCGCCCAGTCATGAATGCGCCGGAGTTCATGCAGGGGCAGGATGATGCCGCCGGCGGTGTTCTCCATCGATATGATTCCCGTGGGACATTTATGCACATCGTCATCGTCGATGACAGCATGTTTTTCTAGATCTTCGACGCGAAGATACTTCCCGTTTGAAGGACGCACGGTTTGGATCATCCCACCACTCAGGATTGAAGGTCCACCGCCCTCGAAATTGACGCTATGTGCGGCAGCATCAAGCAGGATACCGCAGGGACGGGAAGAAATGAGCGAGTGCAGGCAGAGTTCGTTGGCCATGGTTCCCGTGACGACAAACATGCCTGCCTCACGGCCGGTTATGGAGGCGACGTGGGCTTCGAAATCGAGCGTCGTGCGGTCTTCGCGGAAGACGTCATCGCCGAGGGATGTTTCGACTATGGCGGCGAGCATGCGCAGGCTAGGCCGGGTGATCACATCGCCTTGACATTCATCATTGATGCCGGAAAAAAAAGATGGAAGGGACAGGATTGGAATCGTTGGACTTACTCCTGAAATCGCTCCTTGCCGCTCCGGATTGGCCCCAGGCAATGGTTCCATCTAAAGAACGAAGAACTTCGATCGTGGATGGATTAACAGTAGCAGTAGCAGCCGCAGTTTGCTGGTGAGACTGAAGATGCATGTTGTTGAATGTCCACTCAGATTCGTCTTGAACTGTGCTCCTTTCCTTTTCCGCCTTCTTTTTTTCCCCCCTGCTTGTGCGGCCTGAATTGATTGGCGTAGTTATACCATAACGGCCTGCCCAAATGTTTTGATCAGATACGTATGTTCGCAGTGTTGGTGCCAGCCGCCCCTTCGGCCTGTGCCGAAGGTATGTATAACGACAACTATGCCATACATGCGATGTGCACAAACTGCGACGAGCAGTCACTCGTCAGAAATCGAAGCTGATGTTGCGCGGTGCTTTGGTCGCGGCTGACTGGTCCAGACGCTATCCGTCAGCGCGGCTGACGCTGACTGGGGTACACTGCTGAGTGTCACCAACACCAACACCAACAGCCAACTGACTTGTCATCATCACCCAATTGAAGTTCGTTGCATATAACGAGAGCCATCAGTTGTCGAAATAACGACCCGTCCAAGAAGAACGGGTATTGGATTCTCAAATCCTGTAGGATCTACTGGAAGGCGTCGTCCTCGTCATTTGCCCTCATTCCTTTCCATTTCCTTAACATGTCGTTGGCCAACCGAGCACAATGATAGTCGAGGCGCTTTCACCAACCATCTGGAGACTGGCTGGAATGGTTGATTTGCGGGGCTTCTTTTGCTTTGCTTATGGGCGCGAAATTTTGTTGTATACGGTGTACTCCGTAGACACCCGCCAGTCAACGAGCGGATATACTCTAGACTACGGAGTACTCTGTACGGAGTATGGAGGGGTCAAATAAAATGTCAACGATCGGCTAAAAATAATCCCCCCGGTACTCCGTACGACGTACGACGTACTTTGAACTCTGGATTTTTCCCAAATCAACCGTTCGCACTAGGCCTGGATTGGCGTCGGAGTCAGGCCGCTTTAATAACTAACCCAGCCGACTCAGCTAGACTTCGAGACGCACAAGGGCAACTGGTGGCGGAGTCGGTTTTAAAACTGCCCAGAAACCAAAGCGGTTTTCAAACACACTCATCCGCGGGTCTCATGGGGGGGAGTAGAAAGTGAGGATCATTGGTGGACAGAACCTTTCGGTTGTCCAGGCCAGGTCCCGCCAGATATTGAGCACAAGCCTGAGCACAGATGTCCTCTGGCAATGGTAGTTGAGTCCATGTTTTGAAGAAAGAGGAGCGGCGAGAATACTCATTCAGATTGTTCGGAAGCATTGCTGGTGTGCATTGAACAGGATTTTCTAGAAATAGTTAGTTGACACTTCCGTAATACTTTTGATATAAAACGAATCTCAGATGGCTGGTGAGCATTGTATTTAAGGTCTATATCCAGAGCGTTGGAATCAACACTTCATTACCTGAGAGAACTGGGATACATTTTCCCTATTATAAGAAGTTTTGATTAGTACTGAGAACATAGGTAGAAGGGCTAGTACAAAGAAGCCAGACTTATAGAGAACGCAAGGAAGTGTCTCTGAGCAGGAAGATTATACCACTTAGATCTGCCACCACGATGATTAGTATGTGCTTGTTTCCCAGCTGACGTTGATAGAGGGACTTAGAGGCGCTAAATTGGTACAAGCGTACAGCTGAGGGGATCTATATGGTTGTGCTGGATAGGCACTCCGTATTCCGCCGGTCTCTTGTCTTGTCTACATTCGATACCCTCTTTTAACAAAATGTGTCTGAGTCCCTTGGCATTCCCACTGTATAACCTTGATTTGGAAGCACTTCCTGGCGCGCCCTGGGGGAGGTGGCAGAGGTGCTCGCCGAAAGGACAAGCTGCCAACTCCCAACTACATGCATAGGCCGCCGCCCAGCAGTCGCGGCGCCCCGTGCTCGGACTCCGACGGTCATTCTGAAGATATGATTGGCCAATTCATCAATTTGCTGGCCTGATCTGTAGATATAAAAGCATTGTTGAAGTCTAAGCCCGATCATAGTCCACGTTCTACGGAGCATGGAACCCTGATCATAAGGCGCGCTTCAAAAGCGCCGTGGACAGAACCCCCTCACAGGTATACCGGCGTTTTAACTGAAGAATCATGGGAAGTCCCTTACACTTAGCCAGAAGGAGTCTCTTTCCCCTATGTTACCATATTGATGTATGTGAAGAAGCACTGCAGCATTTCAGTGCCCGGAGTATTGGGGTATCTGCTCAGATCAAAACCTAAGGAATAAGGCCGCACATCTCTTATCCTACCAGTGCGATTTACGGGGATGTAAACATGTCTGTGGTTTAAGAAGATTGGTGAGGCCGCAAAGGGTGGTTATGGAGAGGTTTCAGCGCCTGCATCAAGCCAAAACTACTGTGAAAGGTAGTAACCAGCTCCCCAATTATGGGCTCCCACGAAGATTCCCTTGCTTCTTAACAGCCTGAAAGAACACCCCATCATTCTGTGCCTCGGCCAAGCCGCAGGAGAATCCCACTCAACAGATGGCGCATAATAACAGCACGGTCATCTTCTGACAGAGAAACCATTATTGCGTCGAGAGAAAGGGAGATCAAGCTTGCAATGGGGCGAGGGGTCAGGAGAGATCTGTAGACTGGATGCGTCTAATCAATGACGCTATCCCTCGGCCAGCAGTCAAGTGACAGGGCAGCAACAGGGCAGGGGCTTCAGCTTTGGCTTTATCTATGCTTTCAGTCATTTGCTATGGTACCCTTGATCTCAGTTAGCAGGGAAGCCTCAAATCGGGTTAGGATTGTGTAACTACGGAGGAAGAGTTGTGAAGGCGTGGACTCTCTTCTTTTTGGGGGGGTGTTTAAACTCCACCCTGATTATAGAGAGGTTTCACTTCCAGGAGAGGCTAACCCATCCCTCACCACCGAACTTGGCAGCCCCAATGAGACTTGAACATCTGGGCGTCAATTATTAAGGGACAACATGGTTTGAGGATTTCAAATGGGATGGGCGTTGGACGAGAGTTAGGCCTTGCACGTCGAGATTGTTTGGTGTGAAGCAGTCGGAGACCATCATCTGGACGGCAGAGAGCTCCAGCCTGTAAGCTCGGTGTTTGGGCATTAATATTCCGGTTCGTCACCACCCAAAAAACCAAGGTTGGCGAGCGAGAACTCCGTCGCAGCAAGTCCGTACAGTAGTTACTCCGCGCTCCGGGCTAAATTTAGGTCGTATAAAGCCGGCCGATGGCAGCCAAGCAGCAAATCACCTGCACCCTTTGTCAGTTGCCGGGGGGGTTGTCGACAGCCAATCGAAGCGGCCTGCTGACTTCACAGCGCAGGCGCTCCCCGACGTGGCACTCCCTGGCTTGGCGCTCACCGCCTCGCCTGCAACGCCCGCCGCTGCCACTCCCAGCATCACAACAACACTTCTTCCGAGCCATCATCGCCCTCCACCCTTCATCTTCCCCAGACCACGCTCAGCAGAGATCCTGAGCATCTCAACTCCAACTCCAACACCAACACTCACATACTGACTCACAGACGTCCGTGACGGATCCTTGAAATCCTGTTCACAGACACTCCCAGCGAGACATGACAACAATGGTACTCACTCCCAGGGACCCCTTCGCCAAGACGTGCGGGAACGGAAATCTGACCTGTTGCTTGTAGGATCTCCGCGTCGGGAACAAGTACCGTATCGGCCGCAAGATTGGCAGCGGCTCGTTCGGAGACATCTACCTGGGTATGCTTTCAGATTGATCCTCTTTCCGTGGCTTCAACACTCTAGTCTGCTCACATCCTCTTTTTATTTTCTTTTTTTTTCCGCCAGGCACCAACATCATCTCCGGCGAAGAGATCGCCATCAAACTCGAGAGCGTCAAGGCCAAGCACCCGCAGCTGGAATATGAGGCCCGTGTCTACAAGTCGATTGCCGGCGGGGTCGGCATCCCCTTCGTTCGATGGTTTGGCACCGAGTGTGACTACAACGCCATGGTGATGGATCTGCTCGGCCCCTCGCTCGAGGATCTCTTCAACTTCTGCAACCGCAAGTTCTCGCTCAAGACCGTGCTGCTGCTTGCCGACCAGCTCATCTCCCGTATCGAGTACATCCACGCAAAGTCCTTTCTCCATGGTAACCACTCCAGGCATCAGATCTTCGAAATGACTATCTGCTAACATGGTTGGCAGTGAGTGTTTTTCTTCCATCGGGACCATTACTGCTATCGACTACCGTGCCCGAATGTTCCCGCTGGGCAACGCTGCTTCAAACGTTGCCTTGTGACATTGCCTCAAGTCTTCTCTCCTCCCTTCTCGTATCAGCCGTTTTTCGGGGTTGTGGCCTGCTAATTCTGGATTTTTCGATAGCGCGACATCAAGCCCGACAACTTCGTTATGGGCATTGGCAAGCGTGGAAACCAGGTCAACGTCATTGACTTCGGTCTGGCCAAGAAATACCGTGACCCGAAGACGCACTTTCACATTCCATACCGTGAAAACAAGAACTTGACTGGCACGGCTCGCTATGCCTCGATCAACACGCATCTGGGTGTCGGTATGTACTGTCCACCTCTCCTGTCCTGAACACTTGGCACGTTTTGCACCTCATCTTTTCAAAAGAAAACAAAACATCAGCAAAATCTCAATCAGCAGGATAGTCACCGAATGACCCGCTAGACTCAGTTGCAATTCACTTGAGTGCCCTTTTCAGGACATGAAGGACTCTTTTCAAGTTGCAATCAGCAAAACAAGTCAGATTTATTCAGCTCTACGATTGGTTACAGACCACGGCTTGTGGAAGTCGTATTCTCCGTCAAAGTGATTGAGATTTTGCTGTTTACGATTAAATTTCCTTTTTTTTTTTTTTCACTCTTTTGATTTTTCTTCCCGCTGCAGAACGTGTCTACTGACTTTTTATGTAGAACAATCGCGTCGCGATGACGTCGAGTCGCTGGGCTACGTTCTCCTTTACTTCTGCCGTGGTTCTCTTCCGTGGCAGGGTCTTAAGGCAGCTACGAAGAAGCAGAAATATGACCGTATCATGGAGAAGAAGATGACCACCCCTACTGAGGTGTTGTGCCGCGGATTCCCGAACGAATTTGCTATCTACTTGAACTACACCCGTAGCCTGCGCTTTGATGACAAACCAGACTATTCCTACCTGCGCAAGATCTTCCGAGACCTCTTCATCCGCGAGGGCTTCCAGTATGACTACGTCTTCGACTGGACCGTCTATAAGTACCAGAAGAATGCCCAGGCCATCGCTCAGGCTCAGGGTCAGAACCATCCCGACGTCAAGCCACAGGAGAAGGTTACTCGAAATCGCCCGAGGCACCAGCCCAGCCAAGGTTATTGAAGTCTAGACACACTGTCCCTTCCAGCTCATCGGTTATCGTCTGCTTGCCAGCTCGTGTTTGGGCCAGGTCTTCGATGAAACCTCTTTGCAGATGGAAGCGTGACAATGTCATAAATTTACTACAGGTGGATAGCGACGGATAAGTCCGTCGGAATCAAGGACATTCAGTGCTGCCGTTGAGCTCTACGACGCTGTGCGGCGATGATTTAGCAAGTCTACAAGGCTCGAGGGGGGGGGGGGGGGTTCTCTTTGCTCCAGATGGTTCTTTGCCACCTCTACCGCCGTTTTTCCATACATCACATGGACTCCCACTAGTTACATTGACAGTGGGTACAGCATGTCGTCCATTGCACTTGGCCAGAGGGGGTAGATTATAGGCATTTCCAGATATTTCCAGATAGTATCAGGTAGAGAAATCAGAGGTCTGTCGCGTGTTTTCTTTTTCTTTTTTTTTTTTTTCTTTCTTTATCTCTTGTTGATGTTACCGATCCGGATTTTCACAGCTCCTTGCTTCGTCGAGGCTCGAGCACTTCCACTTTGTATCCTAAGTTTTTCGATAGCTTTCCACTCGATAGGACATCCACTCCCTTGCCTCTCTCCTCTAGCTATGATCGCACAGACACCCAGATCAAACATCTCCGTCTCATCACAGATGGGATGGCTGACCTTTAACCTGATTCAGTAAGTTTTAATTGCTTCGCAATGGATCACTTTACCAATCTGCTACACACTCATTGTATGCTTGAAGATAGAACATCACTTTTTTTTCCTAGTTAATATGATTGCTATCTAGCTATTTCAGAAGTAGTTGCGAGACCACCCTTTTTTTTTTTTTTTTTTTTTTTTTTTAACCTTCAGAGGTGGTATTCCTGAGGGAGGTGTGGAAGGGTGGGCAACTAGGTGACCCGGGAAGTGGGATCACTGCTATGTTGTGATTCTGATGTCCATCGTTCCTTGGCCATGAGTGGTGAACGGTTGGTTCCTCCGTGAGTGTCACCCATATATATCTGATGTCACTCTCTGCCATTTTATCATAACAACTCTCAACACCCGACTGACATATCAAGCCTTTGCTAGGCCGGGAGCTCCTCCCCATCTTACATCGGCTGCCTGGTGGCTGAATCCCACCAGGGCGGCTTTGAATATGTGAACTGCCGGATATCGATGTGATACCACGCCAACCAATATCCGACGACGGCGGTAACATGGGCGTTGACTTGGAAGATATTGACTTATCCGGGGTGGAGCCAGCCAGGGACGCCATCAAACCTCATTATGGCATTAAAGATGCAGCCTGAGGGGGGAGGGGGGAGGTACAATACGATGCCAACGCGCTGAGAGACATTAGGCATGACAAGACTCTATCGCACAATCAGCGGGGTACAATGTTCAATCGGCTCCTTTCGATTTCGAGGCAAAAAAAGCAAGCTTCTCGATGATCGGCTTTCTTATGATGTTTGCGGGCACCGCACACTCGAGGAGGAACTGCGCTGCCAGCTGTCACCATGCATTCAGAAGGCAGAGATCGCAGTTCCGCGAGATTGGCCCACGGACAGAGAGAAATATGGATGAGCGAAGGGTCGTTGATTTTCGTTCAGGTGTAGGGAGCGTCATCTGATCGGGCCAGACACAGTTGCGTGCATGTTAGCTCCCTTGTGAATCAGCAAGATCACTATATTATCCTGCCTCTGCTCGACGGCGTAATGCAACGCGGTGCGACCATGACTGTCTGTTACCTCGATATCTGCCCCTCCCAGAAGCAGCGTGTTAACCGTGTCCTCGTGTCCGCCACGGATCGCATGGTGAAGAGCCGTCAAGCCCTCACCATCGCGCGTGTCAGGCCGCATGCCTCGACCAAGGAAATATCGAACGAGTGCGCAGGATCCCTTTGCGGCTGCCAGATGTAAACATGTCTGCCCCTGGCTTTCGCTTCTCATTGTTCGTGCTTGATAATGGCTGTTGTGTTCGCATGGTCGTCGAGGTTGGCGCTGGCGGAAGCTAGAGGTGCGCGCCCGACCGCTCAGAGATCGCCGCTCAAGTTCTTCATGATCCACTATGGACATGGATGGAGAGAGCTGTTGTAGGCGACTATCTCTTGTTGGACATCGCGACAGAGGCTCTATCGCTGGACGTGACGACAGTTCGACGATGGATTGCGCATGAGAGCAAGAGTCCATCATCGGTGGTGACGCGGTGGGTAGCGCCAGCCTCTCTCTTCTCGAGTCCAAGTCACGACCGGAATCATTGGGGGTACGACGTTCATGATGCGCCAAGACCGGTTGCAAGGTGATGTTCTTGCTCGCCGTTCCGTTCACCTCCCTTGGTGGTTCATTGTCTGTAGAGGGAGAAGGATAGATTGGTTCTGGGTCCCAGTTGGCCGAGGGTGGTTCCTGGGTTAGGCTATCAAAGACATCCAGGAGCTCGGGCTGCATTTCTCCAATATGACCATCGTTCACCCTGCCGCCTTGTTTCGGCAAGGTAGTGGTGGTAGGTTCGCCCTCCCACAGCTGCCTTTTGAAAGAAAACGATAATGCAGTCTCATCATCGTCATCATGATTCATCCTGCAATCTGTGGGCCAGAGCTGCTGAGGCTCATGATGTTGCTGTGGTTGTTGATGAGAGGATTGTTGCAGCTGGTTCTGTCGGGCGAGCTGTTTTCGTCTCCCTAGAAGAAAGGGAAACAACATGGTCAACATTACGAAATAGCGGCGTGGGTTCATATCAAGACTACTTACGATGATTTCTCTGCGCAATCCGATTCTGCTCGCGGCGCCGCGCAGCCCGATCGAGATCTGGATCGTAAGTATCATTCATAGGAGCAATAACAAAAGAGAATCAAAACTCGAAGATCGTCGAATCCTTGATCATGTTAGCGTGGCGAGAAGTCAAGTTTTATATACACTTTCCTATGATTGGGACCCGGTTGCAACTCACGGCACATAGCGAGAAATGAAGGGTGGTACAGAAAGCTACGAACATTCAGGACGATAACTAACTAGCCCGAGTATGTGCAGGCCAATCGGACAACAAATTGTCCTGATCAAGTTGGCTTGCCGGTTCATCTAAGGTTGTAAGGACCGCCAAATTCCAACTACACAGTAACCAATAGCAGCCTCAGAAGAAATACGTCGACTGTTGGTTCGTACGCCCACTTGGGGCCTAGCCTCTATGAACTTGTGCGCAAATGCGTGGCTAAGCAGTTTGCTCACAGAAGGTCGCGGATGCTCATGAGCTTAAGAGAGGCCGCCAGCCGTGTTTTCGGGCTCCATGTTTGGGCATTGCTTCTCCCTGGATCCAGGAATCTGGGTTCGACCTCTCCAGGAGATGGTCCTGGTGATCAAAATTAGTTGCAAGGTTGTTCATCGTGATTTTAGAATCCGGTGATATTCTCCTGTTCAGTACAGGGTGGCATGTTATGCTGCGATGTCACTCAATTTCTCCATACTTCCTTCGGCCATGCATTAGCCTAATGAGCAAGAACCCCTCTGTCCAGTTAAACCTGCACAGGGCAATATCCCACACGCCAATAGCTTGGGTTGCATGCTATGTTAAGCTTCGCAGGAGTACGAAGGACAGGGCTTCGCCGAAACCAGGTCGCACAATTTTCCAGCGTGGCTTTGCGGGATTGTAAACTCAGTTTTACAGACCCAAATCAGGGTGTCTGCGTTCAACCCTGCAGAATTGTCCTTGTAAGAACAGGGTTGGTCGCTGTTCCCTTGCATGGCGGTCTCTGTACGGAGTACTCGATTGTGTTATATTTTTAACTTTTTGATGTGACCAGCAACGGCATTTTGGAGGTGGACCGGACCCCAAAGAACCAGCCAACCGTGTGTCTGGTTTGTTGATAATGACAAGTTTCAGCTATCCAGAGTTTGGCCTCCAACTTTTCTTTTGGGGCAGATCATCTTTGATCTGCTGGAGAAGTTTTACCCAAAATGACCTAGTTGGTGGGTTGCTGACAGGCACTCTCGTGCAGGGCCCGGGTTGCCCGGCTTCTGGAGCATTCTGGGTCTGCGTTGAAAGTTTTCTGGGCCTATTACGGGACTTGGATGGGAAGTTTCCAACGGTTTTGGTCCCCATCCGGGCGGGCTTGGTCCCGACACCATGCCTAGATGATGGTAAGCGAGCTTGGATAGTTTGGGCCTTGTATTGGGTGGCCATCTTTGTAGATAAGGCTAACGAGTAAGATCACAGTTAGTATTGTTGGAATCGGATGCAAAATCCAACTGAAGTGCCAGTTGAGTCTGTTCTCAGCGCCTGGGAGAGTCGTTCACGGTTGACAACTGCGTATACGGAGTACATTGGGCGAGTCAAGGCAAGGGGATATGAGCCGTAGGATCAACCTTGAGACTTCGGAAATGAATATTGTGACGAGCACTAAGCGGCAACCGGGCGGGTTGTCCGATGATTTACTCTAAACAAGATGTTGAAAATTCATTGAGTGAGAAAATGCTCTTGTTTGAATGGCTGTTCCCACTCTTTTCAGCCTCTCGTGTGTCTCTTTCAATTCCAAGCATATCTTCCAAGTTCTTTTAAGTTCAATGGTAAGGCTGAACTGACAACGGAGAGGGAAGAGGCCCCGCTTTCTCCGGCATCGAATAGCTCAAGCAGTTCGAAAGGAGAATTTTGATTTGCGCCTGCGGCGGTTGGTTCTGCTGCCACCGCTCCATGTGGTCCTGGCGCGCCGCCCTGTTCCGATTCGGGGTCTGATGCCGTCCGTCGCAGTTTGGAGTCGCATGTTTTCGGGATATTTCCTTCTGAAGTCGCGGGTTGCAATCCTATATAATTTTCCCCCCTCCGTCGCGCTTTGTTTTCCTATTCCTCTCCACCTGGCCCCCTTCATCTTCCCCCTGGTTGGTGACCGTCATGATTGAGACGCCCCCATCCCCGCGCTCCCCGCCCGTGTCTTTTTCGTCTGCGTTTGGGGAGACCGCAGGCCGCCGGGCGCTGCCTACCGGCCCACCAGTTGCTCAGCCGGTCAGGAACTGCTTCATCCATTTAACGCTCCTCCTTTTCAGCCGCTTCACTTGATCTTCCTTCCCAATCCCCAGTGAGGCTGCGAGCAGCTTTCGGCGCTTTGGGCCGAGACCTGTGGATATACTCATAGCTCGTCTGATGGTATGGTCTCTGTCTTCCTGCCCTATCGACCAGCCAATGACAAAAATGCCTCGATGGAAATCAGCACATGCATGTGAAATTTGTGTCCGCATTGGCGATGGCGACAGATGTAACAGCACACCGGTGAGTTGATCCTTGTCCATCCCTGGATAACCAACACATGGACCCTGGCTCGACCCTGCAGTGCGGGATGAGGACTGACGCGGTGCTCCGTACAACCAAGCAAGGTGCCTTGTCAGCCATGTGGGAACAGGAGCCGAACCCCATTTTTCACCAGGCATCCTCATTCTGGGGCGTTTCAAGCCAGCATAATTTCAGGGTACAACCCTTCCGGCCTCTCCTTCGTTAATCACATGATGAAGCTGGTAAAGGCACGATGGCCGCCACTCTGCCCTCCTCCCGACTTTGCGTGCCGCTCAATGGAGCTGATGGAGACCAAACGTTTGGCGAGGGCCACACCGAACTCACTAAATTGTAATAGGATTAGCGTGGGCATGATGTTACATACAAATCCTGCTAGCAATGCATGATCCTTGCAGCATTGATTATTCACTGGCAGAACTAAAATTAGTTAACCGCGCTTGAGGAAAAAGATAATCTTCATGACGAAGGTTGTTGGTGGCTGAGTGCCTGATCTGCGGAGTCCGCCAAAATCTGCCGAATGGAATCACAGACTGACCAGAATATCGCAGGCTGAGGGCCTTCTCATCCATCCAGACAACACCAATGCTCTGAGTCTTTGCTGCACAAGCTGAAAAGAAACCATTGGTCTCGTTGTGTGGAGATCCTGTAACCACCTGATTATTTTGATTTCTTGGAGCACCCCATATGCAATTTCTTCAGAGAAATTAATTTAGGATATTTGCTGTTGTTCCATGCAATTTTATATGGAACATGGAAAGTTGTGACATCTGAAAGGTTCGCTGCAATGCAGTCCTGTGGAGCGCCTGAGAAGGAATTTTGCCGATTCCTTCCTGGCTTCGATCTTCATGAATTCATTCCCTATGAATTCTGCTTTCGAAGACTGAAGCTTAGCGAAGTCATTTGTTGCATGATGCTTCACCAAACTTCCCTAGATTTTGTTATTTTTAGACATTGCAGGGGAAATTTGCTTGAACTAGGACTCAAGAGGTTCGTCCAGCTTTTTCAAGTAATCTCTCTAGGCGGAAAAGGTACCGATATATATATTTTCTGGAGAATGAGCCCACCGTGCCGAGCTCGTCTCCCTCGAGTCTTATGCATTGCTAGTTGTAGCTTGGACAGGATATCACAGCGAGTCCTTTACACTAAGTCCTAACGGGAATGTCTAGACTCTAAAATTGCTTGCACATACATGCACATCTTGATAATGAGCTCCCAACAAGCATCCGGAATCACTTTTTGGGTGTATCTTACAGAGGGTACATATGCTCAATAGATATCCACAATAACCATGATTTATAATTTGCGGGGTATAACCATTGGAAGTTATTCCAGCTTAGACAACTGCTTATCTGTATTCCTCCAAAAGTAGTCTTGGCCTCTCATAGAGCTCTCAATCGGTGAACACCTCTGGGGAACTCATGAAACCTCGCGATAGACGGGATATCACCAACCACATACAAAATCTGTGGTATCTAGGACCTGCCTGATCTCTTTTCTTTCCTTGCAAGGTGGCAATAGGATTTTCACGTGGTTTTGCTAGTCTTGATAACGCAATCCGGCGGAATCTCTAGGTAAGTCATATCCCCCTTGGCTGATCGGCGTTGAACGAGTTTAATCGATGCCAGTGATGACCCCATCTAATACGCTCTTTGGTGTAAATAACACAGTTAAGGCATTGGGAAAGATTGCAGTCCGGGGGGCCAGCGTTAGTCGGATAGACAGGCATTGGGATGATGTGCAAAACTGGTTAGGATGGCTCTGGGTAGCAAGCATAAAGTAATAGAACTTTGGCACATGACTATCATCACATGTTCCATGTCGCCTGAGTTTGGGATATGCTGTAGCCTCCTGGCAGGATGACTTAGCTTGCGTGCACCATTGTTGCGAACTGGATTATAGTCAGAATTGAGATATCATTTTGTGTAAGGGACATATACGTGCTTCAAAACACGCAGTGATGGTTGGTTCACCATGGGATATTAAAATTGCTGGTGAGCCCATCAGCCCTTTGATGAGATTACAGTCATAAAGCATAGGCATCCTTCCTTGGTACATATAAACCCCCCCTGTCCTGCAAGGAACATCGCGAATTGCAGCAGCTATTGCAAAGGGCTAACAAGCTTCAAAAGTGCATTGCTCGCTGTGAGTGAAGAGCTGGGAAAAAGCGACTCGTTCAAGAGGCAAAGCACTTCGGTTGAGGCAGCGTGGCAGAGTGAACAGTGAGCCTGAGATGGTTCAGAAGTAACTCCATAGCCTGCCAGTGTTTGCATGCCGTTCCCGCCGGCTCTATCGCTGTCCATTTGTCTTTTTGAGATCAGAACGAGAAATTGTCATCTGCGATGGTCGTCTCAGAGCTGTGATCCGGCCAATCAGAGGGAGCGGTCGAGGGCGAAACACGGTCGTGCCAAACCCCTTTTTCCCGCCAACCGATAGTGCGCTTCACGGCTGCTCCCCAGTCTTCCAGGAACTGAAGCTGCCTTCGTATTCGACCAAAAACTTGCAGGTGCGTTATACCAATCGACAGTGCTGTGAGCAGGGATAAGTTTTCAGTCCTAACCCGGTTTATAGCGTTGACAAAAGTTACATGCACCAGACTTATCGCACCTCCATGCGCAATGATGCAGAGCTTCGGAAGAATCCGAAGCGCTTGCTGCCCTTCCTAAGTAGAGCCTCGATCTACAAGCTCTTCTTGCCGCGCACTGTGCGAATTCTCCGACGCTATAGGCCTCGCCTGGCTCCACGAGTAATACTAATAACCCCGAACCTCATCGTCAAGTATGGCTCGACTGAGGTATATTCCGAAGCATGCGCCATTGACTTCATCTCAAAAAATACAACGATCCCGGTCCCTAAGCTCGTCACAGTTTTCCAAGTACGTGATGGAACCACTTATATCCTGATGACTCGATGTTCCGGCGTCCCCCTCCAGAACGTGATTCGCCAACTATCTCAAGTAGAGAAGCAAAACGCTCTCGCTCAGCTGCGCGGCTACGTCGATCAACTGCGTGCGCTTGAGCCGCCACAGCCTGGAAAAGTTGGCTCCATAGCCTACGGTCCTCTGGAAGACGATCGGATTTGCGACGAGCCCTGCGGCCCTTTTGGAGGCGTCGCCGAACTTCACAAAGCGATGCGACTCAAGGCAGAACTTCCATCAGGTCATGAAGAATGCGACAAGTTGATAACTATGCAAGACAGACGAGATTACGATATCAAGTGTACTCATGGAGACCTTTCTTTACGCCATGTGCACTACCTTGATGGGAAGATAACGGGTATCATTGACTGGGAATCGGCTGGTTGGCTGCCGGATTATTGGGAATATACAATGACTTGGGATGCATTCTGGGACGCGCCGGATTTAAGGGATGATATTGCTACATTCCTGGATCCTTTTCCCGAGGAGCTGAAGATGGAACGAACTCGGATGAGATTATTTCGCGGAAGAGGTTGAAAAGAGGGCGGTTTCAACCCGTTTCTTTTCGGATACCTACTCTGGCCTGATGCCAGGTCGGCAGCATCTGTGGCTGCCTGTGACCACCAGTAGGGTACTGGGGCTAAAAGCGGGACTTTGCGCACCCACCTCTCTTGACTTGACGGACAGATGCGCTCGGCCCCATATCCTTAGTTCCCCGTTAGGAATCAAGAAAAGTGGCTTGGCATCATCTCCTCCCGCATTGATGGCTGAGAATAAGAGTGTTGACCGGTTGCTTCTCTCATTTGGTCTGCTGGCCAATGAGATGAAAGGGCAAGGCAGTCGAAGATAATTGTAAAATTGTGTGTCTACGGTGCAGATATGAATGGAATATATGGGTAGTCAACTCCGTTCTCAGAATACACCCTGACGTAATGGCGCGGTCATGGGATGGAAAGCATTGGTTATCCTTATTTTCTTTTTGCGGTACGAACCTCTGTTATCCGCAACCACACATGTTTGACCATGACCCGGGAGGCGCACCCTCCACGCTCGATGAGTCGTAAACCTGGGGAAATTGACCGTTTAGCTTTCGCTCGGTCTCTGAAACTTGAGGATGACGGGCCAAGGATTTATCTTGGCCCGGCATACCCCGTACATACGGCTTTGTGTCATGTGTGCTTCTGAGTCCGATCGAGCCCTCAGCAGTCGGGCGTTTGAGTTGGGCGAACCATATATTGTCCTAGGGTATGGGTCCTTTTGAACAAGGTCATCTTATAAACATGGTGGGGGTTCCTAAGGCCTGACGGAATGCGAATATAGGTAGGTCCTGACTTCTGGGACGAAAGGCTCGCTGGCTGACTGGAAGGCGATCTTAATATAGAGCGGCGATTTCTGGCTTTTTCGGGCTTAATGTTTTGTCCTTTACTGAATACTCCCTTATTTCGGACTCAATATAATGCCTTCAAACAAGGATCGGCTTTACGTCGCACTTTATGCCCATGAGCGCCCAGACACGTTGGTGACTCCAACCCTGATGAGTCAATTCCACGTTTAACCGCCATCAGGTATCACTGGGCTTTCTTCCTTTCTCCGAAGAATGACCCCGACGGTGATGACCGGACGGTAAGATACCACGTAACGAACACCATCCTTATGCGCGACGGTACCATGCAGCAAACCTGGCGGTACGACCAAAATCAGCTCAGGAAGGTTAAAACGGCCAGGCTTCTTTGTAGGGTTCTTATAGGGAAATCTGAGAAATCACGGCAAGAACTCGAGAACTCCCTCAGAACCGTGCCGGTGGTGCAGGATGTGGGTCCACACATACCATACCCGATAATTTGTGTCTAATTCCCCGTTAGGACCCAAATTGGAGATGCCGAACATGGGCTGCACATGCTATTGCGCAGCTGGCGAGAGACAATGTCCTGAGTAAGGTTGCTAACTGAAGTTGTTAAACACGCGGTTAATATGGAAAAAGGCACAAAGTCGGCTACCGATTGGTCCACGATAGAGGCCGAGTGCAGAGCCTATGTCCGGAAGAAAAGGGAGCAAGGAAGGTTCAGGTCATTGACAGCCACAATCCCGACATATGATCTTATGACGAAAACGGAGATAACCCCTTGAAGGCCGGCGTTGAGGCGAGGCAAAGGGCCGGGATGAAGTGAAGGACGGTATTTTCCGAACGTCTTCCTCGATAATTGGATTTTGATTGCGTGCTGAGTGCTGCGACTTGTTGAAAATATAAATGGGGACTTTGGAATTCTCGGGCGCCGAGCCCCAGTGGTAACTATCATAATGCTCATTGCTTATTTTCAAAGATGACTCAGGGAGTGTCTGCATTGTAAATAACGCACTCCGAGCGCCATCATCCAAGGCCTGGATGCTCGCAGCTCTGAGCTTTCGGTACACATTAGCTCGGTGATCGGCATGTTTCCACTGCGGTTAGCTCGGATCTTCCCTTTCCTTAGGCTGGAGTCTCAAGCTCTCGAGGCTTTTCCCTTCCTGCCGGCAAAATAGCGGTTGAACCCCACGACCTTGAGCTGTCCCCGATTGGCGTCGTCCCAACTTTTTGTGCCGGTGACGTCATCCCGATATCCGGCTGCCTCCCTCCGGATCGACTCCGAAGCAATCTTCCCAAAAATTAACACGGCGGAAACACAACAATGGATGCGGTTCAAAGTGCATTAAGGATTATTGATAGCCTATTAGGGGAGAATGAAGATATCTGCGGACTAGCTAGCAAGAACGGGGGCTGCGGGGTTGCAAATCTGAAGCTCTGACTCGTCAGCTTTGACGATCAGGGCATGGCGAATAAGGCATGTGTTGCCGTTGAAATGACAATCCTCTTAACATGTTGCAGATCCTATATTGCAGTCTAGGCATTCCTGAGTCCCATACCTTTTTATCGCGCTAATCTGCCATCATATAGTTTGTAGTGTTTGCTGTTGGACTGGGCATGGAGCTGGGCTGCTCTCAATTTCCTCGGGCGACACGCCAAACTGTCGGTGCAAAGCTCAGAATTGGATCTACATGGAAAGACCGTTACCTATCCCCTACAAATGTCAAGATTCAACCTATCGGACCTATTTTCAAGCGCCACATTACGTCCAAGGGGTCAACAGCTGACCCCGGTTCTGCCCCCGATCGAGAGCGAGTGGTGATACTCGGTTCAGGATGGGGAGGCTATACGCTCTCGAGGCGACTGTCCCCTTCTAAGTTCTATCCGACCGTCGTTTCCCCTCGCTCGTATTTTGTTTTCACTCCACTTCTGACAGACGCCGCTGCCGGCTCCCTCAACTTTTCTGAGATTGTGGAGCCCGTTCGTGATCGGAAGAGTCAGGTTCATTATATACAGGCTGCTGCTCGGAGTGTGGACTTCAACAAGAAAACTGTTATGGTTGAGGCTTGCGTTGTCAAAAGCGGGGTGACAGAATCGCCACGTGTGGAACGATCCGAAAGGGAGACTGATCAGGGGCCACAGATTGGGAACCTTCGGGGAAAGGAAGCCCTGCGAAAGTGGGAAGCGGGTCAGGTATTCGAGGTACCGTACGATAAACTGGTTATCGCCGTTGGCTGTGTTAGTCGTACGTTCAACACACCAGGAGTGAGACAAAATGCAATGTTCTTCAAGGACATAGGTGACGCTAAACGAGTGAAGAGACGGGTGCGAGAATGCTTCGAGTTAGCTGTCATGCCCACAACGAGTTTCGAGTTGCGAAAGAACCTATTGCACTTTGCAATTGTGGGCGCTGGCCCCACTGGAACCGAATTGGCCGCTGCACTTTGCGATTTTCTACACGACGATATGTTCCAAATTTATCCTAAACTGAAAGATAGCACTCGTATTACCTTGTACGACGTGGCTCCAAAGGTTCTCAGTATGTTTGATAAGACGTTGTCGGATTATGCAATGACCGTCATGAGCAGAGAAGGTGTGGAGGTGAAAACCAATCACCATATCCAAGAGCTTCGATGGGGTGAGCCGCACAAGGATCCTGCCCCTGAGATGGATCCAAAGGGCTGCTTGACACTTAAAACGAAGGAAGGAGGAGAAGAAGGCGTGGGAATGTGTGTTTGGGCCACCGGAAACGAGATGAATAAGTTTGTCAACGATTCTTTGGGCCCACTGGAGCAATTCCCGACATTCTCAGCGCTCTTTCAACCCGGCCATACTTCTTCTAATGATCCAAAGTCGGTTGCTTGGAAAATAAAAAAAGCTCCTAAAACCGGAGCTCTTCTCGTTGATAACCATTTGCGCGTCCAGCTCGAGTCCGAAGACGGTAGAGGGGCTGTGATGCAAGATGTCTTCGCCCTGGGTGACAACTGCATGCTGGAAAGCGATTCTCCTCCTGCAACAGCACAGGCCACTAATCAAGAAGCGTGCTGGCTAGCAAAACGGCTCAATAAAGGAGGTATTGGCCAAGAACCGGGCTTTTCGTTCAAAAACTTTGGCATGATTGCGTATCTCGGGAGCTCGAAGGCTTTAATGCAGATTCCAAGCAGCGAACACCTTCCCAAGGGTATCAAGGGCCGCACAGCGTGGTTAATATGGAAAGGAGCATATTTAACTATGAGTTTGAGTTGGAGAAACAGGTTAAGAATTCTGTATTCCTGGATGTCCAATTGGGCGTTTGGAAGAGATATTTCGAGGTATTAGGTAGGGAAAATTTCCGAGCCTGAGAGAACGCAGACTGGGAAATTTTAATTGCATCGCCATGTTGACTCTGTAGTCAAAATGAAAGGTACGAAGAATTCGAACTCATTGACCAGTAATCGCTATCCTCACACGGACTACGTAGCACAAAGCAGCTGTTCATCGCTGAATGGCAGTTGAAGTAGCAAAGTCTGTTGAGAGTGAGTTGAGTTATAGCCACTGGTTTACCTACCAAAAGCCACTCATTCAAAGTGAAGGGCCTTCGGTTAGACTGGACGCGTGTGGAAGTACGTGGCAATTGGTGTGTGCTGTTGAAAAGCCGAAGCCTTAAAAGTAGGGACCTCGGCGAATCGATCGCCCAGTGCTTTTTCCCCGCAGAGGAGATCCTCGAAGATGGGGAAGCTCCAAAAAGCCCGTTCGGATGATGGAAGCTCCATCTTCGCCATTCATAATCTGTTAATTTTTCGGACATGCATTGTAGCTGTCCCAGTTAGTTCCGTGGTTGACAGTGATACAATAGATATTGCATCCAGCTTGACTAGGTTACAACCGCACGTTGAGCATCACTCCCAATATTTTACCCTTAAACTTATCTAACGAAGTCGGTTCTATCTTCCCACCATGTCCACTGAACCAGCGTTCAAGGAGATCTCGCGCCAGAAGCTAGCCCAGCTCGACTCAAAGATACCCAAAGAATGGCGCCTTCCAGCCAAATGGATCCCTGCTGGGATGCATTCGCCTGAAGAGTCGGTTGCAAACACGAAATATGATGCCATTAATGTCATGGATATCCCGAGACAGTGCGGGCTTTTAAGCACAAAGCAATTGGAAATCACTGAGAAGTGGGATGTCAAAGGGCTATTGGGGGAGATGGGCTCTGGACGACTGACGGTCACGGAGGTGTGCGAGGCCTTTTGTAAGGTAGGTAGAAGACGATGAGCTATATAGACTCTATGCCAGTCGCTGGCATCCATTGGCATTATAATATACCTTCCCGAATTTTGGAACTATACAGATATGGTCTAATGTTCGATGACAGCGTGCGGCCATAGCTCACCAACTCACGCGGTGCCTCACCGAGCCTCTCTTCGACTCTGCCCTGAAACGTGCATCTTTCCTTGACGCTCATCTCAAGCGAACCGGAAAGCCTTATGGCCCTTTGCATGGCCTTGTTGTTTCAGTCAAAGACACATTTGATGTTGAGGGAGTTGACTCCACCACCGGCTTGGCCAGTCTTGCATTCAAGCCTGCTAAGAAGAATGCACCTTTGGTGGACCTTTTATACTCTCTTGGAGCAGTTATCATTACGAAAACCAACATTCCCCAAACTCTTGCGGCTTTGGACAGCGTAAACAATCTTTTTGGCCGAACCCTGAACCCGTTGAATCGCCAACTTACGGCAGGAGGAAGCTCGGGTGGTGAAGGTGCCCTCGTAGCCATGCGAGGCTCTATGATTGGAATGGGCACTGATATTGGCGGCAGTATCCGCATTCCGGCAATGTGTAACGGAATATATGGATTCAAACCTAGCAATGGACGAGTTCCTTTTGGCGGCCAAGAAAGTGCCATGGTGCTAGGCAGAGGGAGGACCTCGATCCAAGCCGTGGCTGGGCCGATTGCACGATCCATGTCCGACATCAACGTTGTGATGAAAGAGATTGTTCCACGATCAGAATTATGGGGTGTAGATTGTATCCCCGGGAAATGGGCGAGTGAAACGCCTGCATTAGGAGAAGGCGAGCCGCGGAAATTCACCATTGGAATTCTGCGTTCTGATGGCCGTATTCCTCCGCTTCCACCAATTGCTAAATTACTTGATGAAGTCGCCCAGAAGCTTGCCGGCGTTCAAGGCGTTGAAGTCGTGGGAATTCCAGTTCCAAAAGCACTTGGTGACTGCCAAAGCCTCGCCAATGCGCTGATGGCGGTTGACGGAGGCGGTTTCATGGTCGACCTTATCGAGAATACAGGCGAGAGTCTCATTCCTTGGCTCCAGGGCAAAACCAAACGAGGAAAACCGAAGACGTTGGCACAGGTATTCGACCTCCAAGCCAAGAGAGAAGAAATCGAGAAAGCCATGATGGAGATGTGGACGAGGGGTGCAGATCAGACAAGAAAGGTCGATGCGATCATCCACCCCGTAGCTCCGCATCCAGTCCCAGAGCTGGACAGATATAACGCTGTCGGTTATACATCGAGCTGGGTTCTGTTGGACTATCCGGCTGGTACAATTCCGGTGCGGAATTTCAACGAAGCAGACCTGGACCTGGGAAAGGAGATGGACTCTAAGATTTTGACAAGTTGGGATAAGAGAAACAGAGAGCTGTGTATGTTCTTGAAGCCTCCTGTATCTCTTAGCTCTTGTCCGTATCCTAACAATCTTTTCAATTCCAGGGAATTCAAATACCGTGAACCGACGCGTCTACCTTAATTCACCACTCAGCATTCAGGTATTGACGCCCAAATTGCATGACTACGACTTATATCATGCCATGGATTTGATTGACAAGGCCCTGAATGGTTCGAAATCTAGCCCGGTAAAGCTGTGAAACCCGGCACCTATGACACCTCGTGACAGCTGAGGTTTATCAAATATTTATATATAACCGTATCTAAGATGCGATTTAATCTTACTAGTATATATACGTCTATACCGATGGGAGGGCAGCGGATAGCCTCGAGATATAGGGTATTCGTCTAATCTACTTCCAAATAGTAATGGGTGTATATACCTAAAGATATCAAGACGGTATTCGTCCTATATTTACATCCGCCCCTTCAAATGCGCGCCACCATCCGTCGTAATACAGGCTCCGTTAATATGGCTGGCTGCTCTGCTCGACAAGAATACCACTAGGCCGGCAATATCCTCAGGCTCGCCCAACTTCTTATTAGGGCTATGCTCTGCCAATTTATCCTTTCCCCCCTGGATCTTCATGAGTTCGTTGGCCATTTTGGACGGATAAAACCCCGGTGCAATTGCATTTGACAGGATGTGCCGCGGTCCCAGGGCGACAGCAAGGTTCTTGGCGAGATGGATGGCGGCGGCCTTGGAAACGGAGTAACTGAAGGTGGCGTTATTCCCCATGCTACCGACCATTATTCCGGCCACGGAGGCTGTAATGATGACACGGGAGGGATCTTCAATAGTGGCACGAGCCTCGAGGAGAGGAGCGAATCTAGGATCCTTGTTAGTTCAACCAAGGAGATAAGGCCGGGGATCAGAGAGGCCTACTTCTGCACACAGTAGAAAACGCTCTTGACGTTCAGATCCATGACCTTCTGGAACGCTGGCTCGGGATGTGTCTCGAACTTCTCTCCCCAAGTGGCTCCGGCGTTGGCAAACAGGATGTCGACATGGTCAGTTGTTTTCTTTACTTCGGCAACTAGTCGCTCGATCTCTGATAACTTGGAGCTGTCTGCAGGGATCGAGATGGCCCGGGCACCCGGACGCTTGTTTGGCAGGGCATTCAAAGCGGCAACAGCTTCTTCGCATGCCTTCGCTTTGCGTGAAGTAATGTAGACTTTGGAGCAGCCCGCTTGGAGGAGACTTAACGCGAATCAGTATGAAAGAGCTACAGACGGGAGGGAAAGAGCTCTGTATGGAGATAGCAACAAACCCGCTCGCAGAGTGTAATCCCAAACCTCGAGAGCCACCGGTGACGACTGCAACCTTGCCCTCAAGGGAAAAGATGCTGTCAAAGTTTCGGAGTTTGACTTCTTGCTGTGCTGCTGCCATTGTGAAACTCAAGGGTAGCTCTATTCGGAACTGTACACTGAGTCTATAAGATCGTTTGAGAAACTGGGAATACAGCAAAAGGATTCGTAAGTCAACGGGGAGGGAGAATGTGATAAAAGTCTGGTGCTCGGGCAAGGCATCGTGGAACAAGCTCGGCCTAGCAGCTCTCAAGAAGAGTCGAGCCATTCGGCTTGCGGGGTCAACCTTGACCCGTTCATTATGCTCTGGAGGCGTTGCCGAATTTACGGCTCGGATATGTCGTAAAACTGTATCTTCCTCGGGATAATATACAGTCAGGATGGGAGGCTTCACGGACAGTCAAACGGGCGCAAACTACATAGTAAAGGCAATCGCCATTTGCACCTATCACGAAGAGCATAGTGAAAGATCAAAGAGCAGTTTGCAGAAGCGCTCCCAGCGTCCTGTCAAGGCTGCTCTGGCGGTTTTCGGTGATGCCGAGGTTCAGCCTCAGGGCCAGCCCGGCGGATTCGCGCCAAGGCCAGTATTAGTCAGTTTTCGGGCCGTGGTTATTCCGCTGAAACCAAACCTTGGAAACCAAACCTCTTAGACCATATTGGGCAAAAAAGGCCAACCGCCTGGGGGGTGTGTTCGGTTATCCATAATACGTCCTCACCTCCAAACTCGGCCTCTCCGGTGTCTTTTTCTGCTTTCAGGCCAAGGATAGTTGGTGTCGGTGGCTATGACAGTCATGCAGTGACGGTTTACGAGACCGTCACCCCTCCGCCTCAGAACGGAGTTCAATTCCTTGCCGCTGCTACTGGCGTCAGTATATCGCCGGACTGCAGTGGCCCGCACCACCCATAATTATCACAGCGACATTGGTTGTATTGTGGACAGCTGTTGATTTGATGAGTTAACAGCCCTGGTTATGAGTCGATGTTGATGTCGATGGGACAGACTCTCAGGGACGAGGGAAGCTGATGTACTTACTAAATAGCCTCCATGCCGAAGACGATATGCCACACTTTCTCCATCACCCAACCTACACCAAAATCATCTGTTGTCTGCGTCTCTGCAACCCATCTCAGCATCCGTTCATAGTCCCTTCTTGGCCTCCTCAGAATTTGTTTCCGACTAACGGCGAACTGTGCACAGCAGACTCCACCAATATGTTTCGGCACATTTTCGCGAGGAACCGCAAACAAGTCCATATAGATCTCCGCCAGATGCGCCCGCACATCGTCTCGACTAATATCGTTCTGTGTGGGATTCAGTGGATTTGCGCTGATTGGGCATCCGGGATTTTCCATGCAGCGCAGATTAACATATCCTTGAGCATCGACAGCCTCATAGCGGAGATGTCGGAGAACGTCTCGGGTTCTGGGTCCAAAGAGGTCATTGTGCCATTGCTCTTGATTGGCGTGAATGAAGATCGAATATGCAGGGAGTTCGTGGTAATAATCAATGATGAAAGATAGGTAAGCGGCTGCCTCGCGGCCTCTAGCCGATCGCGGGATCAATAAGTCACTCTCGGGCGGCGTCTCGGTCGTATAGATAAACGCTGTGTGGTTTCTAGTGATATAAGCTAGGTAAGCAAAAGGAGAGAATGGGGATATTGGCGCTGGAGGCATGAACGTACAATTCTGAGCAGGTATCATGGATCCACCGTATGTCTTCTGCCTTCGTCTTTGCTGCTATCAAAGCCTTGTGGATATTACTCTCTCTATAGCTGGGTGTATCTAGAAAGCCATTTCCAAACAGGGCTGTTAGCTTAGATATCTTAAATCTGCATAACCGCCCCACGGAGAACCACCTTTCATAAATTTCCAGTGGCACAATGTGTATGTGAGGAATAGCATGATGCATGCCACAAGAATGGACCTGATCAGTTTCATCGTGAGTGCATAGAATGTCATTTTCCATTGAAATGCATCTATGTACATCTAAATTGAATCCACTTGCCTCTCTTTCTGTTCGTGTTGAGTATTGCCTGAGTTAGCTAGCTGGAAAGATCTCTGACGTAGTTGAACTTGAGGAACGGCAATGTAGGGTAACCTCGGATGGTTGCAAGTCAGAGTTCACAATTATAATTAACCGGCCGCTTCCAGGCACAAAGAAAACTCAAAAACGGAAGAGAAGCAAGGCTTTTGCTTTCAAGCAATATGGATATGCGAGGGTTGAAGGTATGAAGCCAGGAAGAGAATACAAGCCTGGGTATCCAAAATGCGGCAGCGCCTTGCTACCTACGTGGGCCCGTCGAAACCCCAAACTTCAGACCTCATTCTTTCCTTGCGCCAACTATTTTTCAGCCTTCTAAGGTAGAAATTGTGGCATGATGCATGGAAATGATATACCGATCCCCGTGGTTCCGGTCGCGACTTCAAGGTTAGATATAAGCTTCTTTCAAAGTTGGTTCCTATATTCGGTTCTCCACTCTTGACTGTGGAGCTTCAACTTGGGATCATCGTCAGGGCCTAAATAGCTGCAGGAAACAGGCTCTCATCTTACGGAGTGCTCTTGATATGCTTATCCTTTCTTCTTTAGCTTCTTCCTGGACCACTGGCATCAGCCCCCTCCTATTTCAATTTTTCCTTCTAAAGCTACGTTAAGGCGGATTGATCAATTTCTTCCTTTCCAACGTCAATCCATATGCAGTTTTCCCGTCTTTCAGCAAGCTCGATGGGGTTTCCTCCGAAATCTCTTAATTCTAAGAATCCTGGATGGATAATATTATGTAGTCAAAGATCGGCAACCCCGAAATAAGTGCCGTAGTTCCGGGAATCCTTCCCATGCAGCTCCAGCCCCGGCTGAGTTCGGAGAGATCGCCCGTTAGAACACGGCGAGAGCCATGGTCATATGCCGATTAACGAGATAAATCGGCATTGCGGCTATTTGCTGAAGTGGGATTTTGCCGATTCCCTAGTTTTGAACTGTTGCTGCGGAGTAAACTACATGGTTAGTCCACTTCGCGGACGCCGGCATATGGACTAAGCTCATCTGAGGACCCGTTCCGGGTTCCTGCCCCAAGCACATCTGTGTGGATAAGATAATCAAGAACATCTTAGAGGCGGTGATGCTCCGAGCGCATATGGGACATCCCATAAGTCTACCCTACAAGTCGGGATTGTAGTGGAAATATCAAGAATCCTACGGAGGCTGTTGTTCTTTTGTCTACAATTTCAGAACACAGCGCGGCTTGCCGGCTCAGCCCTCATCACCCGGGGCTAAACTCCGGGCCGAGTTGTTGCGTCACACGACGTTGATTCGTATTTGTCAAGTTTGGTGCGAGCAGTACTTATTGTGCCATATTCATCTCATCTCATATTGAAACCCCGACCGCATGGCATTTTGGTATATATAGGAACCCGGAATTACACAAACAAGGATACAAGGGGAAAAGCATAACGCCAAACTAAGAGTAAAGGAAAGGAAAACCACAAACAAAGGAACAAGATGGCTCCCTCCGTCGTTGAGGCACCTGCAGCATCCCCCGTGCCCCAAAAGCAGGGCCACGCCGATGACGCCAACCCTACTCAGAGCAGTGAGCACGGACAAGTAATCGAGCAAGTTCAGATGAACAACCGGACAGTCGCGGGCAAACAGCTCCGTATCAGAACCTATCCCAAGTTCGACACCCTCGAAGACGAGCGTCTATATCGCAAGCAGCATCTAGCAGCTGCATTTCGAGTATTCGCAGATCGCGGTTTCGACGAGGGTGTGGCAGGGCATATTTCAGTGCGAGATCCAATACTGACGGATCATTTTTGTATGCGATTTGTCTCTTTTCCCCATGGCGTCCTTAGGCAGAGAAGTAAGTCGCATAATAACCGCATCGAGCTGTAGGGTTGAATCCGCTTTCACAGCACTTTTCCCAAATATGCGTCTCTGATCTCATTTTGGTCAACGAAGACGGAGAGGTTGTCATCGGCGATGAGCCCATCAACTCGGCAGCATTCTCTATCCACTCCGAGATCCATAAGGCGCGGCCAAATGTCAATGCTGCCTGTCACGCCCACAGTGTGCATGGAAAGGCATTTTCGGTGTTTGGAAGGGAGTTGGATATGATGACACAAGATGCTCTCCGCTTCTATAAATCCCACGCAGTGTACGACAATTTTGGAGGCGTAGTGCTCGATCGAGAGGAGGGAATTCGTATTGCGAAGGCGTTGGGTGACGGGAAGGCCGTGATTTTGCAGAATCACGGACTGTTGACTGTTGGAGAGAGTGTGGATGAGGCGGCATTTTGGTTCATCAGCTTGGATAAGACTTGCCACGCACAATTGTTGGCAGATGCGGCGGCAAATGGATCTGGGTATAAGAAGATCATGATCAATAAAGAGGAGGCTGAAATTACAGCAAAACAAGTCGGGGGGCCAGAGAAAGGTTGGCTGGCGTTCCAAGGGTACTATGATGAGCAGATCGCAAAAACGAACGGTGCATTCTTGAAGTAAGCACCTTTGTACACCGGTCGTGCGAATGGAAAAACCATCAACCCCTATTGTGCATAAGCATATCATAGTACACAATGACTGATGAATTAAACAATGCTCCTGGCTCCCGTAAGTTGGACCCCAGAAAAAATTAAAATCTGTGGGGTACTGTTGTAAAGAATTCCCACAATGTCTTATTTAGGTTTTGTGCTGTTGACAGTTAAACAGACGCAATTCATATCCCATAAATGGCGGAAAGCCAGATGCCCAAAAATTCATAAACAGGTTAAGAATCCTGTTTCTGCACAAGTTGGTCAATAAGCAGTTATACATCGGATCCACATGCCTCCAGGCTCCGAGCACCGCTGGTAAAATCAATCCTAAATATCTAGAAACTATGAACCGAACAAATACCGGCTGGCCTCTTTATATATTATTATCAATGTTTAAGGGAATCCGCCCCGCAGCAATGAAAAAAAAAATGGAAGTGCTCAAGTTTCACAAGACCCAGCATTAAGCTGTTAGAGGTCGCCCAATTCGGCAATTGGATATTTGGGTTGGCGGGACTGATCCGAGTCGACAGGGCTGTATTTCTTCACGCTGTCGGGAGTAGATGAACGAATGGACGATATGGTATGCCTCTTTAGGTTATAGCTGGTTGTTGGAAGTGGCCGTGCGAGGGGAAATTCGGATGGTTGCTGCGGCATGGCGTTTGATTCTTCATCCCTCTCAACGGTAGGATCAGGAATATCAATCCTGAAGGTGTTTTGAGTCACATCTGGACTGGGTGCTCGATCAGAGTTCTTCGAGAGCAGTTTGAGCAGTTGTCGTCTCTGCAGCTCGGTGTCATCGAGGCGGTGGTCTCTGCGCCGTCGCCGCTTCCTTTTGAGTCCGGACGCTGAGAACTCATCACGCCAATGATAGAGGACGGCTATAGCGCATCCGACTGTGAAAATGGAGCATATAACGATGGCGGCGATGGCCAAAGTGTCGAGGGGTAGACTTCGAAGGACGGTATTCAAGACGAGATTTAACAGACCGGTGATACTTGAGCCGAGGTAAGCCCTGGGAAAAATCAAGTTAAATGTCACTTTCCAGATGAAGCAGCATGGGTAGGGGGTGCATACAAAAAGATAGAATCCACGAGCTCATAGGCCTTTCTCCATCTCACACAATATATTACGCAGTTAATCGATGCGACGACAACCAGCGCCAGAGATACCGCAATCAATGCTTGTCTATTTCCTCCTAAATCCGAATTCTCGTAATCCATAGAAAGAGGGAAAATCAGGAACCTGAAAGGTCGGTAAGCAATGGCCCATCAGAGGTGTCTTGCTGTCCGCAATTACGCCGAATCCTTTGGAACACGTACCCAGCCAAAAGCAGCCACGCTGAACCGCTTGCGAAGAGCTTCCAGTACCATGGCAGCTGGTCACCAAATATTCCCAGGCTGCGTCCAAGTTCTGAATAACGATGGGAGCCCATCTTTGTTCAGCGTCACGGCATTGGCATCTGAACGAAACGAGAGACGATGGGAGCGTCCTGGGTGGATGGAGGTACAGAAGTTGCGAAGCGGGGCTAACGAGCGAATCTTTGAGTAACTGAGGCGGATCAATCAGTGATAAGGGATGCCCATCGTCAGGAGAAAGAGCGGGGGGACGGGAGTTCAACAGGCGAGAGAGGGTGTCTCTTCCATTCCAGCCGTGAGGAAAGGAAAACGTCCCTGGATCTGACGGGCAACGCAAAGGCTTATGACCGCCTTAGTCATGGAAACGGATCGTTGGCAGGCAGCGTCGCTTCTGCTGCAGCCGACAGGGTTCTGCGAGGTTGGCAAGCTAACCGATTAACCAACTAGTGGACTGCCAGCCCGTCAAGGATGCAGCTGAGCCCGTCGGGTGGCGTAGTGCGTCGTCACGACAGGCACAGAAACGGAGCACATACATACATACATACATGCATGCATACTTTTTGTAGGTATGCAGATAATAATAACCGTGTGAACCTGGGCAAATTTGGGGAGGGGGAAAAGAAGAATAGTAGCGCGAGAACGACGAGTCCTTCACCAAAGCGCCATTCAGCGGGACCGGTCTGGAGCCGCTGAATGGCGCTAGTTATTTGAAGGCTACTGTACGGAGTACTCCGCACTGCGATTCAAATAGCGCCTATCTTTGCGATGCCATAGGCCGGGCTGCCAACAGCGGTTTCACACCCGACAGCTGGACGACGAAGCGCCGAGGGACGGTGAGCCCGATCAGCCCGCGAACTTTGCAGCTATCCATGTAGCGTGGCTCGGGATGGACCCTCTTTTCTCCTCTCATCGACATCGTCAGCGTGTTTGAGTTTTCCACACTCACTAACTCGTTAACTCTTCGTAAGGCTGACGAATGGTGAGTTCTGTGAGCGAGAGTCTGTTGGTCACTGGCACAGCGAGGGCTCCACGCACCTGAGCCCCTCGCTGAACCTTTCCCAGCAGTGCCTTTGACTGTCGAAACACCGGGATATACTCCGTACACGCAGTACATTCATACGGTTACATCATTCCACCAAGTTCACACCACTCCAGCCATCGTCGCAAATGATGCTAATAATGAGATACGAGAAAGGACTTCCCCGATTTTGGCGCTGTATTCCACCTGCAGACGTCTAACGATGGCTCGCAGAGAGAGCTCCGTGATTCCGGGGAAAGGCAGTCAATGAAACTGCAGGCGGCCTGCAATATATGTGGTTATGTACATAGCACATGCCGGTCAGCCTTGCATCCCGAGCTCCTCTCTTTATGACGTTTTATTGGTAGGGGTTCCCGCTTTTAAAGTCTAATCGTGAAGCCCTTGACATGAATGCCGCGGATTCTGCACCCTCACACCAACAGCGTCCGCCAGCCCGCTTGAAATCATCGGTTCAGCCCTCGAGGATTTAAAGGCAGTCAATCCTCCCACATCCTCGGGATTGAAGCAGGGATGTGACCAATCTGATAGGCTTCCAGACTGCGATGCTCTCATTAGGCTTTGTCTTGCCATAAAATGCAAGGCAGCTGCCACCACCCGCCAGCCTGGATGGCCTCAATTCCCGTATAGCCGGAGGACCGCGGAACCTGCAGCGGAGGCGTAATTCCGGAGAATTGCGATGCGTGCGGAGCTTCCAGGCTAACTTTATAATTGTGATACACCATCCGACGGGGGTCGTTCTCAGTTTTCTTTCTTCGTTGTGGCCAGCAGAGGGGATTCGGCATGGTTGCGCTCGCTACATATTTTTCAAGCTGCAACTCGACAGATTCCCACATGTGGATGCATTACAGGCCTGTTCTCTCGTTCCCAGCTAAGATTGGATTTTTCGCTGGGTCACCCAGTTTTGGTCGGGTAACGTTATGCACAATATTTCATTGCCCCAAGAGTTCATTCACCTTAATGGAAATCAATACAGGAAATGGGCTTCTATGGAGTGCTTTTCAATATCTAATTGATTAAGACAACCCGGATGGAGAAAAGAACTAATTTTTTTTTTTTTTTTTTTTTTTTTTTTTTTTTTTTTCCATCAAGGGGAACAGTGAAAAGCAGCGACTTAGCTTCTGAGCAAAGCAGTTTGAGCCTGCATCCGTTACACCGTGTTGAAACTTTCGTGCGATATATCCGCACACAGATTAACCTCTGCTCGCATATTGTATCAACAGTCTGAGCTTGACAACTCCATGAGCAAGTTCCTAGTTTTCAGAAACAGTGTTGGACAGCTAGAGTCTAACTTTCAATTACCAAAATGCTGCTCTATATTGTGTTACACAGCCTGAAATTCAGAACTACCCTGTGAGATGTCAGAGGACTTCACCCTGGACACAGGAGTCATCGAGACCTTTGTAGATCGTCATATGGGATACGGGCGATAACGAGGCCCTACGCCTGGAACAGGTGCTCCCCTGCCCTTCCGCTCTCCGCTACCCCTTCTCCAATTACGGCCTCCTCCGGGAGTCCTGGAGACCGCGGGTTGAATATAAAAGGCGCAATGGTGCCGCAATCTGCACCGCATATCTTTGAATGTTCTCGCTGGTTTGCTACAACGCTTCCTTTGGTGTCTTTCTTTAGCTGGCATTATGACGGTAAATGCCGCAGACGTTGAAACAGGATCTCATCCCCAGACTTCCCATGGAAGTGAAATAACCTCAGAAATAGCAGCGCAAGAGTCTTTGCAGACAACTCCTGAAAAATCCAATATTGTTGACTGGGATGGACCAGATGACCCCCAAAATCCCATAAACTGGTCTTCCGTTCGAAGATGGATGACGATTACAATAGTTTCTGTCGTTACCTTTCTCAAGTACGTGAAAAATTTGCCTAGAAGCGGAATTCTCAATAACCCATCTCGGTAGCGCTTTTGGATCAACGGTCTTCGCACCCAGCGTCCCCGAGGTGATGCATGAATTCAACATAGACAGCGGTGCTCTCTCCAGCTTCACTGTCTCTGTTTTTGCCATTGGTTGGGCTGTTGGTCCGCTGGTCTTGCCCCCATTAAGCGAGTTGTATGGGAGGAATCCACTATACCACGCTTCCAACTTATTTCTTACCCTCTCCTCAATGGCTTGCGCTCTCAGTAGCAATTTGACCATGCTAATTGTATTTCGGTTTTTTATGGGACTAGCTGGATGTCCATCGCTTTCTCTGAGCGGTGGAACAATAGCTGATCTGATCCCGTTGGAAAGGCGGGGAGTCGCTTTGAGTGTGTGGGGTATGGGGCCCTTGATGGTGCGTATATTTTACTCTGAGTTATTTGGGTCCTGTCTAATAAAATGAGCGAACTCTATGCTTTTATCTGCTGATCGATACTGTAGGGCCCGGTAGTTGGTGCGAAGTCAACCATGATGTGAAACGCTGTGCTCGTAAGCTGACTCCTTGTTTCAGGGCCAATTGTAGGCGGCTTTATGACTGATAGCACTGGATGGCGTTGGGTATTTTGGATGATGACAATTGCAGTATGTTCTAATAGCCCCCGACGCTGAAACCGTGTGCTGTCATTGATGATGACAAGAGTGGAACACTCACCATTATATCACTATTGCTACTGCGCGAAACCTATGCTCCGGTCATCTTGGGCCGCAAAGCCTCCCAGCTAAGACAAGAAACTGGAAATATGGAGCTGACCACGAAATATGATAAAGGCGAAACCCCTGGGTATCTCTTTAAGATGGCAATGCTCCGCCCTACCAAGCTACTTCTCTTCTCGCCGATTGTCTTTCTCATGGCACTCAAAATTACCATCTCATATGGTTATAGCTACTTTCTTTTCACGACTTTTACCTTCGTCTTTGGAAAGCAATACGGCTTTAAGCCGTCTTCGATCGGTCTGGTATATATAGGCATCGGCATAGGATACGTGGTAACACAAATCATTGCAGCATTATTTTCTGACCGATACATCGCTCGAATGAAAAGGGCCAATGCCAATGGTCCTCCAAAGCCAGAATGGCGTCTTCCGCCGCTCGCGTTGGGTGCCATAGTCTTGCCACTGGGCTACTTATTTTATGGCTGGACCGCGATGTACCGTTTGCATTGGCTCGTTCCAATCTTTGGCACGGCGCTCATCGGGGCCGGAACGTTATGCTACTTTTTTTCGATTATGGCATACCTGATCGATACATACACAATCTACTCCGCAAGTGCCATCTCCGCCAACATCGTTCTTCGATCCATCGTCGCCGCGACGCTACCCCTAGCGGGGACCAGGTTGTATGAAACCTTGGGCATAGGGTGGGGAACGAGTTTGCTAGCGTTCATTGCGTTAGCCCTGGCCCCGATCCCTTTTTTTCTGCTTAAATATGGGGAGAGAATCAGAACCCATCCTCGATTCCAGGTGAAGCTTTGAGTTTTTTTTTTTTGGGGGGGGGGGGGGGGGGGGGGGTAGCCTGTCTAGGGCTGAGTGACACATCACGTTGACGGGATATAGTAAAACCTCACGGTCTACGGAGTCCTCCGTTCTTATATTGTATCTTATGGTGTTGAAATATCCGCCGCGGGAGAGAGGTTACGCGGATCGAGAATTAGCCAGGATTTTCCGCTCCTTATGCTGTGCTTATCTATGCCAATGGAAGCCATGCGGCAACCCAGGTGGCGGGGGGTTCAAAAAAGGGTTTCATCTCACAATGTATGTATGTACTGTACAGGCATACTCCGTACGGAGGACATACATTATATATGTGACTTATGAGACCAATGGAATTTCCCGGTCAACTTCGTCTAGATTTGATATTTCTTTCCAATGACTTCGTAGGCATGAAAAGACACGAGGTTCTCCCAACGGCTCCTTCTGAGGCTGTGTATGCTTTTAACATCAGGATCTAACCCCGCTCCCCCAGCGGGCCGTTTATATTTGATTCCCGATGTATGTAGGGAGTATGTGCACATGGATGTGTGTGCAATGTGTGCTGTGGAATCTTTTCGGCTACTTTTGACGCGTACACACACGAGGACATCATAAGGGAAGATTGCAGTCAAATGGGAAGCAATCGAAGGAAAATAGGAAATTTCATGCCGTCGAATACCCTTCAACAAGAGCGTCGAATGAAGGATCGGGATCCCGGGAGAAAACTTAAGGCAGGGTCCCCCAGCGAGCTTACGCCAAAGTGGCGTGGATTGAAGCGTGAGCGGGATGATTCCGTTGTTTCACAGTTCTCATGCTTGTTGTTCTGGCAGGCCTAACCCAGGTATTCTCGCGCACCTTTCATATGCGTGATTGAAAGCTTGGTGGTGTCCTTGGTCACCTTGGTCCTTATAAGCTCTCAAAACCAACTGCTTGTCGCGCACTGGATCAGATGATGAATGTGGAAGATCAGCAGCCAATTCCCAAGGAACGAGATCGAGCTAAAGCTAATTCAGCAGCTGAAACGTCCGATTGACCACGAAAATCCGATCGCCGTTGTTTTGAGCCAAAGACAAGTGGCTAGATGCGGAGGAGGCATGCTCGTTTTACTATCCTGTGAAGAGAAATAATTCGCCTTTTGGAAACACCTACCAACGGCCTGAAACTCATAATCGACCTACGTATCTTCTCTCTTCACATACTCCCGACTGACGAATACTTCCTATGTCAAGGGGTGAAAAACGAGGGAAAGATGTTTAGACAGCATGACTAAGGAGTCCAAGTTCTAGGGCACTATCCGTTTCTAGTTAGCGCCAACTTGGGGAAGACTCGGCGTCACGTGTTAACTTCAACGTCGCCCTTCACCAAACAAGTCAACGATAAACATCCGTCGCAGCGATCGTCAGAGGTTACTACCCCCTGTAAGGGCGATCTGTTGATTAGGCGAGATTTAAGGATACAGAACACGCGAAGCAAAGAAAGGTACTTTGCATTCTCTCTCCGGGCAGGGAAATAATTAACCCGAAAAGCAATTTTGCTCCGCAGGCTGGGCGCATCACTACTGACAACATATCCAGAGGGCATCAGCACTGTTTCATGTTGAAGTCGAGAGCGATAGGATGACCTGGTGCCATTCGTTTCAAATCATTGGTTTCCCTGAAGACATTCCGTCCTTTACTCAATCATGATCCCAGAAGAACAATGTTTCGCGTGCTCTTCAGCACCTCAATTGAATGTCGATTTCCCCATTGCTTTGATATCCTTGATCGACATTTGGTAGGGCCTAATGGGAAGAGAAGCTTGCATTCGTCACCATCAAGCCTATGGGATCAGGGGTATGAAGCTCGCAATGGGTCTTTCAAGCGCGTTAACAAGACCTAGATTTGGCTTCGACTATTCCATCTTTGATGGATGAGAGGGGTTGAAGCCAACCCCGCAGGCAGAGTCATGGCCTGATCACCTCTTAACCAGCATTCAACCTCATTTATCTTTGAATGCTAGCAAGGACATCCTTGTTTCACTGCCATCTGATTTCCCTCCTCTCAACTCCGAAGCGCTGTCGAAACTCATATAAGGAGCCTTCTTTCTCCCTCCAACTTGAGCCTGCCAGGACGAAACAACCAAGCAAACGATAGTGCATGAGGACGGCCTAAATACATTTGCTTCTCTTTCTTCTTTGCCATTATCCTTTGATCTTTTAGCTGCGGCTCTTTTTCCATCATGCAGTTTCAACTTGTTGTGATGGCCCTGCTGGCTATCGGGGCCATCTCGGCACCTACTTCGCACACTTCTTCAGATTACAGCCTTGTCAGACGAGTCGCTCAGGGTACGCCTCCTCCAGATTGCCCTCCATGTGGCCCTCCCGACGGTCCACCCGATGGACCCCCAGAGTGTCCTCCATGTGGTCCTCCAGATGGGCCTCCTGATGGGCCTCCCGACGGTCCACCCGATGGTCCCCCAGAGTGTCCTCCATGTGGTCCTCCAGATGGGCCTCCAGACGGACCTCCCGATGGTCCCCCAGAATGTCCTCCATGTGGTCCTCCAGATGGGCCTCCAGAATGTCCTCCATGTGGCCCTCCTGATGGTCCTGGTGGCCCAGGCGGTCCTCCCGGTGGTCCTGGCGGTCCCGGTGGTCCTCCCGGTGGTCCTGGTGGTCCTGGTGGCCCAGGCGGTCCTCCCGGCGGTCCCGGCGGTCCAGGTGGTCCTGGTGGTCCTGGTGGTCCTCCCGGCGGTCCCGGTGGCCCAGGCGGTCCTCCCGGTGGTCCTGGTGGTCCTGGTGGTCCTCCCGGCGGTCCTGGCGGTCCCGGTGGTCCTCCCGGTGGTCCTGGTGGCCCAGGCGGTCCTCCCGGCGGTCCTGGCGGTCCCGGTGGTCCTCCCGGTGGTCCTGGTGGTCCTGGTGGTCCTCCCGGCGGTCCCGGCGGTCCCGGTGGTCCTCCCGGTGGTCCTGGTGGCCCAGGCGGTCCTCCCGGTGGTCCTGGTGGTCCTGGTGGTCCTCCCGGCGGTCCCGGCGGTCCAGGTGGTCCCGGCGGTCCAGGTGGTCCTGGTGGTCCTGGTGGTCCTGGTGGTCCCCCCGGCGGTTCCAGTCGCCGTAGGGTCCCCATTGCATTCTAAACGCATACCAGCTTCGAAGCCTTCCAAACTGTGTCGAAAGTGAGTTTTTCCTATCTCTTTCATTTCTGTGATTTGTTCTTACCTCCGTCCACCTAAGAATTAGGAAAACCCGGATAGGGCCAAAGTTATGCTCGAGACTTCGAACCGATTGCTTGAACGGGGCCTTAGCTCGGCTTCAAGGTCATGGAATATCCAGGAAGGCAAAGCAATAACATATATTCTCTTCTGAGTTGTTTTCAATGTGCCATATGCAAGCATGTTTTCTTTTTAGTCTTATTGAATATGACCTTGCTCTTATTGTCTTTTAAGGGTTCACCTGGCTGCATGTTTCTTACATTTTTTTGCCTTGAAACTTTTCTTCGTGTGAATATTGCATTGTGGACATCTGAATGAGTCCATCTACAGTGAAGAATACCCTGACTAATGGATTTCATCCTTTACAACTTTCTTATCATCAAGCACCAGGTCATCACTCCACCCTTTTGGCCTAGCCGAATTTATCCTAACAATATGACCGAATTCTTCGAACATCATGCCGAATTACACACAGCTCCATTTTTCACTGACTGGCGAGCAACTTGGCTCTCTTTCCCTCATCTCGACTGCTTTCATACCTTACTTCGTATTCCCTAGTTTGAATAATACCATTGTCAGTCAAATTTTCCGCGCTGGGGCTCCTCGGTTCATTGTTCCCCCTACTCATTAACCCTGTCTTCCGCCGGTCCTTCGGCTTTCTCGGGTTGTTTATCTTACTATTGTGACCGTATGAAGCATATTTCCCGATCCGCGAGTCGTCGTTTGCAAAGTGAAGGAGATTTTCACAGGGATGTTCCCTTTTGACACCGGTTCTAGGGTTTGAGCTTCCACTGTGGGTGCCGGAAGTATAACTCTCGCCTGCACCACCGGAGACGGAGAGTTCATAGAATTCGGGGACGGCACCGGCCATAAGTCCCGTTCGGAGATCAGCAAGGACGCGTTTGAGGCCAGGAATACTGGCGGTGACGATGGAGAGGCACAGGTTGACTTGAAGCCATATCGATGGTGTGACAGCGTGCCATGGTTGATCGGTAGGGTTAGACTTGAAAAAAGGTTGTATTTTGGCCAAGGATATTGCAGTGAATACTGCGACACTGTTTGGGATGGTAAGCAGGGTGGTGTACGTCTCCCAGGGAGTGACGAGGGCAATCCATACAATATTCGGGTCCCGAAAAGAGCAGCGACTGTCATGCGTTTCTTAAAGGAAAGCTGCACTCTCCATACAATGAAACAGGGCAAGATGACTGTCGCAACGTCGATGATGATGCTGCCAACACCAAGGCTAACATGTAGGGCTTGTTGATTCAAACACCGGCCTGGTGTAAAGTCCCAGGGCCTTGGCCGATCACATTGGAATGAAAGGGTGAAAACGCCAATAATGCCCCAAAGGCAGATAAACCCCAACACCCCATAGCATGCGAGGAGAAATTTATGGAATGGCTTGATGGAGATGATAAGAACGACCATAGACAGCTTGGTGCATGTCAAGGAGACATGTGCGAGAATCTGACTGGCATAAAGATGCTACTTTCTCCCAATGAGCCGCTGGACAGGTATCCAAAAGGGGGCAATTGAGAATACTTTACTGTACTGTTCAAAGGAAGCGCCACTAAGAGCGTTCCTATGGCGCCCAAGTCCATTCAAGCAGGCATATCTCATACATACACCTTCGACAAGAAATATTATCTAGCTCAATAATAGTGATTAGTCGATACCACCGATGGTTAAAAGCAAAAGGAAGGCATCGTACTGTCGCCAGGAACAGGAGCCAGTCACTCATCAAAAGCCGGCCGACAATTTTGGTTCGTGAAACAAACGCTACTCCGACCACCAGCAGGGTCAATATTATGAGAAGAACGCTTGTAACGACAACATATCCGCTATTATCGTTAGGAGTGATGGGCAAAAGAGGTGGCAGTAGGATATCCTGATCACTGTTTGACATCACGATGCCATGAGCAAGAGAAACTCAATTTTCAGGATTTGCACCAATTTTAGATAAAAGAATCGCAGGAAACGGATGGAGTCGAAGAGTAAATTCACGAGACTCCATCTTCACATCCACTCTGGATCAATTCAAGACCAGAGGGATATATAACCGGATATAATCTGACAAAAAGTTCACTTGCCACGATACCCATGAACGACTGGGTTTATTTTATTGAAAACTTTCTCCGAAGCTCCATATTTCTTCAACTTCTCTCATGACTTCATCCAACAGTTGGAGCCACCCGTATCCCACCCGCAGGAACGACAGACATATGAGTTAGTCACAAACTTCCCCGAGCAAGGGAGCTGTCGAGAGATTGTCGGGACTGGGACGATTGAAAGTGCATGAGTGACGAATCGGAAGCTCGACTCAGACACTGTGATACCCAGGATAAGATCGCAATCCTGCAACTCCTAGGATCCCGAAACAAAATCCAATTTCTTCAGGGCCCGTGGAACTGGATATCCCAAGTCTCCCGACGCTGTACGAAGTAAGGCGTCTCAATAATCATAGGAGCTGCGAAGGCCGAAAGGGATGCCAAGGAGCGGCGACTCGGAACGCGGATCCGAGTCCCACTCGCAGCCAATTCTGGCGCTGCACTAGCCGCACTCGGAATAGCGTTAACTGCCGCAGCTCGAGGCTTGTCCGCTAAGTCTGAAAAGGGCCTGTTGGTGCCAGCCCCAAGGTCCCTACGCACCTTGGAAACCACCAGCAGTCTCGTCACTCAATGGGAGCTCTATGAGTTGAATTCTTCCGGATTTATCACAAAAAGAAGCAAAAACAGAACAGCTCGCGTTCGGTGGATCAAGCAGCAAGGAATATTTCATGCACGGGATGATAAGCGGGCATGGATGCAACATCCCAGGATCCTGTGCGCGGGCGACACTGGAGCAACCAAAAAATTGAAATCTAACCAGTCATCCTTCGAATTACGCGGGTGTGGTGTGACCTTTCCCAGATTGGACGTGAGGAGAAGGGAATATGTCTTTAGTTCGATGACTGGCCGCGACCTTTCCAGTCGGTTAACAAATCTCTCCTCAATCCCAGTCCAGCATTTTCCCGCCACAATTATTTTTGCATGGTTGTGCCACAGTCTTTCTGAATCATGAATGGGTGACACTATTCCTCCGCAGGGTTTTCATATTGCCGGTACCCTTGCTCATGCGACTGACTGACCGTCGACCATTCTGTGGGATGCACAGCGAGAACCATCGTTCAATTGACTGAGGGGTTCTGCACACCGGTTTGACTTCTTCATCATTCCTCTTTCTTCCAGCTTCATTACCGCGCTTTGCTTGGGAGGGATCGCCGTAAATAAGGCATTTGGAATTTATTTCTGTTCCAATCCTCATTTACATTGTGCCAATCCTTGCACGACAACATTCGTCTCATGAAGACTGGTCAAGTTTCATGAACCGTCATTATGGAAGATGCTGAATGCTACAAGCTGGATGTCCATTCCCGTATCCAGAGCATAGACTCTCCAAAGGAGAATGAAAAGGTCTCCTCCGGAGGCTATGGCTCGAAGATCGTGGAAGACCAGACGAGGATAAAGGTATGACGTGTATAGCGACGATAATCGAGTGATCTCTAATGCGGCGTTTATAGAGGCTGTTTAATTTTACTCAAATATTCTTTTTTGCCTTGACCTTTATGTCCAGTTGGGAGACAATGGCTCTGTATGGAGATGATATCAACCAACTATGCAAAATATCAACTACTAATATTAGCTGTAGCAATTTGACGGCTGTGTTCACAAATGGAGGTCCGCAAGCGTTGGCTTGGGGTATCCTCGTTGTGGTTTCCGGAGCTCTAGCGCAATCTGCTTCTCTCGCGGAAATGGCTGCCATGCAACCAATTGCCGGTGCACAGTATCACTGGACTCACCACTTGGCGCCACCGCGTCAAAGAAGGTTCATCACCTGGATGCAAGGTAATTATTACCCAGATGAAACTGCAGCTGTCGAAGAGTTTTTCCTTTTGCTTATATTCGCATTACAGGCTGGATTACGTGGTTCGCCTGGGTCTCTCTCCTCGCTGGCGTCGCAAACACTACAGCAAACATGATCCAGGGTTTAGCCATCATCAACTACCCGAACTATCAACCAGAGAGATGGCATCTTACCATGATCATGTTTGCGATGCTTATCATCGAGGGGTTGATGAATATGTACACTTTCTGGCTTATTCCGTGGGTTGAATTGCTGGCTGGTATATTGCATATCGTCCTTTTTATCGTCTTCGTCGTCGTCCTGGTGTGTCTTGCACCCCGTCATACAGCCGACTTCGTATTCGCCAAGGGAGCGTCAGCTTCGGGGTGGAATAACAGATACGTTTCGTGGAACCTGGGACTTCTCACTCCAACCTGGGGCTTTGTTGGTATGCTATGTTATATTTTCTAAAATTTCATGTCCCTAGGGAGATGTTGACTCGCTTAGGTTTCGATGGCGCCGTCCATATGAGTGAAGAAGTCCGACGTGCCAAGAAAGCCATGCCACGGTCCATCTTCTGGACTGTTGCGACAAACGGGGTCCTCGCTTATGCCATTATCATCGTGATCCTGTTTACTATGGGTCCCCTGGAAAACGCATTGCAATCAAGCTTCCCTATCATTGAGATCTGCCGCCAGGCGACAGGCTCTGTCAGGGCCGCCACCGCTATGGTGTGTGGGCTATTGGTTATATCGCTAGCTGTTAACCTTGCTAGCATTGCATCCGCATCACGGTTAACATGGGCATGGTCTCGAGACGGTGCCCTCCCGAGTTGGTTCTCATATGTAAGTACTCGTGGGGCTGCAACTTTCCCGGAAACCCTTTTTCTAATACTCTACTTTTGAGATTGATCGCAAACACTGCGTTCCCGTTCGAGCGGTCTGGCTCCCGATTGCCATTGTGATGGTTCTCGCGTGCCTAAATATTGCCAGCGTAACCGCTTTCGGTGCGTTTATTGCCCTATCCTCTATAGGCCTATTCACTTCCTACCTAATTGCTATTGGATGCATGGTCCACGCACGGTTCTTCCAAACACACACGCTGCAATTTGGCGAGTGGAATATGGGCAGGCTTGGATTACCAGTGAATATCTTTGCTATATGTTACACCATCTACGTCATCATCTGGCTTCCGTTCCCATCCCTCCTGCCGGTCACCGGGGAAAATATGAATTACTGTCTCCCAATTTTTGCTGCAAGCACGCTTTTTGCATTGTCGCTATGGTTTTTGCGGGCTAAGAAGCATTGGGGAGGACTAAATAAAGAGGTTATCCGCCTTGTGGTTGAAGGAGGGGAACTCAACCTTAAATGAGCCACCTTTTTTTCACTGCCGTTTTCGGCTCAGACTGAAATAGCTTTTTTTGAAAGTGTTTAAATTTGTCGCCTCAGGAGCAGGAAAAAAGAGGGAAAACAGGACAAGAAAAGCTCCGAGAGTAAATAAAATAGGTTAACAACTCCTCCGCACATAGAACAATGGTTTTATATGGTTCTTATCTGGAAGAACACGCTCTCTATCAAGGAGAGCTCGGCGTCTTCAAAAAGGAAGTAAGAAGATTATATCAAAAGCTAATTTGTATCATATGAGAGACCTAACATTCATTCAACTACTGACTAATTTATTAGGTTGACACTGGCATCTGCGACTCTCAGTTTGTCTATTCAGTAGGGGATGGTCCGACAGGTTGAGATGGAAGACTTGCTGCCAAGATGCTCCTTGCTTCAAGGACGAGGATTACGCTCTGTGCCCAGTCAATCTCCACGTGGATAAATACATTCTTTTGGATCGATTCAGTCGCAAGCGAATAAATTCAACTCATAAGGAATAAAACAGTGTCCATGGAGCGCTTAAAAGTTGAACACGGACAATCAGTTCAATCGGAAAATGCAGATGGACCAAAAAACAAGATATGATTTGCATATATCTCCTGTTTGAAAGAATGCAGGTGCTCGCAGCCGGTAATAACTAGCATGACTTGAAACAATGTTGTTTCGAAAGCAGGGTGTTACTCCTGCAGACAGGATATGATGAAAAAGTTGCTCCCATGCATTAGTTTCCCAGTGACTATTGAGGCAGTCGTCTTTTATCTTATGCGCCTGGTACCATGGGGACCTACGGATGTCGGCTTACAGTAATGGGTGTGCCGGCTTAAAAGCTGTATAGAGAGAGTGTTCAAAGAGATGATAAATTGATGGAGCAAATTGAAAATGAAGAGGAGTAAGGGTGTAAACTATGGCCAACCCAACGCCCTGCCGGGTTGGGCTCCGGGGAAAATCCAAAAGACGCGCAGTCTGCGTAGACCTCTCTGAAACAGCCAACCTGATTAAAGCTTCACATGATGATAACGGGCTTCTGCCCAGCCCAGTTAACCTATGTATGGGGTGGGTATGTGATCCCGATTGAGAAAAGATTCGATGGTTCGAATCGCAACAGCTTTCAGAGCAGAGAAAGATATTCTCGAAACCAATAACGTCCCCATTGGCCCTAGCGGCAACAGAATCTCAACAATCTTCCCGCCTCCCTTACGAGGATCCTAATAATATGAAAGAGACGCATCGCAAGACGTCCATCCATGGCTTCGTTCCGAGCGGACTTGGCGCTGGGGTGGAAAGGGGGATGAACACGTGACTGTAGTGGAAAATGACGCAATATGTATTAATCAGCGCGGAATTGGGCCCCACTGCGGGGTTATTTCCATCCCGACTGTCCGCCAGCGCAGCGTCGGCAGTCTTGGGGCAGTCCAGCTGGGAGGGAGGAGACTGTTGACCCAAGATAGGACCCTGGCAATTGAGCTTTGCCTCGGGGCTCAACAGCTTCATCAACTCAGCAAAACACTGCTGAATCCCTCGACACTTCGCTCCCAGCCGTAGTTAAACCACATCACGAACTGACACAGCCATGGGAGATACAATGCGAGCTGTTGGTATGATCGATCTTCCAGATATCCCTAATTAACAATTACTTGCATTCGAATATTCGCTGACAGACATATTCTCCTTAGACGTCAAGGGTGGTACGGGCCCAGCCTCTGCCCTCTTCATCAATCCTTCTGTTCCCAAACCGAAACCTTCCGCTACGGAATGCCTCGTTCGTGTCAAGGCGTTTGGCCTAAACAGAGCCGATACGCTTCAACGACAAGGCAATTATCCGCCCCTGCCTGGTATTACTAATATCCTAGGTTTGGAGGTCAGTGGTGTTGTAGAAGAAGTCGGCGCTGGGCAAGGAGAGGATGCTCCAGTGTGGAACGCGGGAGACGAGGTGTTTGGCCTACTGTACGGCGGTGGATATGCGGAGTATGTGGTCGTTGATAAAAAGATGCTGATTAAAAAGCCAAAAGATTGGAGTTGGGAATACGCTGCGGGGTTGTGTGAAGTGTGGTTCACGGCCCTTCAAGCGCTCTATCTCGTCGGTGGTTACGATTCTCAGCGGACGCGCTCCATCTTATGGCACGCGGGCGCCTCCTCTGTTTCTATCGCAGGCATCCAGCTCTCCAGAAACGCTAACCATAGCTTGGACAGCGCGACTACGGCTCAGAATCTGCCATCGGCACCAAAAGTGTTCGCTACATCCCGGACGGATGCCAAATGCACTTTCTGCATTGAAAATCTACACTGCACCGGTGCAGTGAACACCAACAATCCCAACTGGGTTGAAGAGATCAAGAAACAAAACGACGGTAACGGTATCGATCTTGTGATAGACTTTGTGGGAGCCTCGTATTTTCAGTCAAATCTTGACGTCTTGGGTCAAGATGGTCGAGTCGTCATACTCGGACTTATGGGCGGTGTGATTCTGCCAGACAAAGTTAACATCGCCCCGCTCTTGAGGAAGAGGGCTAGGGTTGAAGGAAGCACCCTTCGATCAAGAGATTTGGAATATCAGGTTCGATTGAGAGATTTATTTGTGGAAAAGGTCATGCCAGGCCTCATCGATGGGACATACAAACATCATACGGAGAAAGTGTTTGACTGGGCCGATGTCGGGCTTGCGCATCAGATGATGGAGCGGAATGAAACAAAGGGAAAGCTGATTTGTATTATTGGGTCGACCTGATACAGCTGCCAGGTTGTCTTGATTCGGCCGTCCGTACTCTACATCCAAGGTACTGAAGTGCGTACATGAAGGAGACGTGTATATGACCATGTCATCGCATCGAAATACTGAATATATATATTTTTCCGGAACATGCTATGCTTTAATGCCTTAACAAATGCAAGAGATTGCGCCGAAATCAATGCATAACAACCCCACGATTCTATCCTCATGAACCGGCCTCTGTGTACTCCTTATTCATTCGGACATTCCATAGCGCGACCAAAACAAACGGCCTGACTAACCAATGGCTAGAGGGTCCCACACAGAGAGCTATAGTACTTTCTCCACTGCATCCAACGACAAAGCTTTCTCGTCATTTTTGGCCCTGTCACATCTTGCTTCATCCTCCTCTTCTCTTCTCCGCTGCTCCTTTAACTCCTTCAGATGCTGACAAAACTTGCTATTCGCTCGAATCCGCGTCCCATATTTGATATACGTAAACGGAATCACCGACATCACCAGGCTACAGAACGCCAACAGGCTACATGACCAGTTGGGGCCCAGCTTGTTGAACATCGGGACGGCTGCGATAGGAAGAGCGGCGCCAAATATGCTCCGGGTACAGCTCGCTGCAGACTGTGCACTGGCAGAAAAGGTTTCGTACGCGTCAGAGATATAATTCAGAATCGCCATGAAGATCAGCAGAAAGCCCATGCCAAAAGGGATGCCGGACAGTGCCGGAACAACCCAGTGAATCTCTGGCTTTGCTGTCCAGCCGAGCCAAAATAGGGCGATGACATATAATGGTCCGCCTAGGCATGCTAGCGGAAGACGTCTATATTCTTCGACTGCGGCCCAGCTCGCACCTCGGGCCTTTGCTTTATAAAGAATACTATCCCACCACAGAAAGATACTCAGAGAAATAAAAGCGCCTCCACCAACTACCAATCTGTTAGCTCTAAGACCATAATCTTCTTCTGGTCGATGACTCACTCATCAGATACATCAATCCAGATTCACCAGGGGACATGTGATAAATTCCTTGAGTATTTAAGCATTAGCGATTGATGTACGGCAATTGAAAGGTATTCAACAACGGGTAAAAGCCATACCTTGAAATATTACCGGATATGCCTGGAAGAAAAGGAAAAAAATAGCATATACCATCGCAAGATACAAACAACTAAATAGAACAATGGATTCGTAGACTAGCATCCGTATCGGGCGTGTTAAGGTTACCGTTAGCGTGGCTTTCAAGTCTCGCTTTTCGAGGTCAATTGGGGCAACGATGTTATTGTTTCCAGTCTCTTGACGCAATTTCTTCGCTCTTCTTTGAAGTAATATCGGAGCATATGTTTCAGGCATGAATACCACGAACGGAAGAGTGATCCCCGCGAATATTAGCCCTACCCAGAAAGCCCACCTCCAACTAACCACGGCGACATATCCGCTGATAAACGGAGCGGCAACAGGTCCAATCGTCGTCGCCTAAGGTGGTTAACGTGGTTATGGGATATAATTAGGGGGAATAGGCTGACTTACAGCCATGAAATATGCCATTACTCGCCCGCGCTCCCTCGGATCATCGTGTATATCGGCAAACAAGCCGCCAACCACGGCCACTGGGGCGGATGCCACCACCCCGACAAGGAGCCTCAACACCAAAAGTGAAGCCCAATTCTGGCACACGGCGCACGCAAGTGTGAATGCCATGAAGCCCATGAATCCACCGACAATAATCGGCTTTCGTCCATAAGCTTCAGATAACGAGCCACATATGATAGGACCAACAACGTAACCAATGAGGAACATAGAGATGGGCAGGGCCAGTTGCTCACTACCTTCGATCCCGAAGTCCCGTGCGATATAGAGCACTGCGCCACTGGGGAGAGAGCTCCCCAGGGTACTGTTAAGGACCCCCAAGACTCCAGATGTCAGAACAAACAGTTTCTTTCTCTGTATCAGATGCATATTCTTTAGCAAACATGTACACGCAGGCATAGTTCAGAGCAGGGAATCCCATATAATATTACCATTGACCAATTGACAGGATTCTCCGGGTCCTGGGAGCTAAATGAAACCACCATCTTCGAGGCCACTCGCCGGAACTTATAGCCTCCAGATTCTCCTCCATCCACAGGAGAGCAAATTCTCCCATTCACGCCGTCGATTGAAGTCCCGGACGAACTTTGCGAAAGAATAGTTTCTACATCTGCTAGTTAACTCCAGGCCCCGAAGATCTTAATGTCTGCCACTTTCTGTGCTGCATTTCAATTCACAAACCTGTGGCTGCCACCATACTCGCTCCCATTTCCTTGTGTCCACCAACAGTTCTAACCCCAATGCCTGACATCGCATCATGCGACGCACAAGATGATCGCGCACAGGCAACTGCGCATCCCAAGAACAGCCGATGAACGGTCTCTGGGCGAGAGAGAAGAGTATTAAGGGGGAAAAAAAAAAAAAAAGGGAGTGGAGAGACAGGTCTCACGGAAGCGTGGCAAGGAATATTCTCAAGTTTTCCGGAGGTGGCGATGCTCCCACCTATTTATTGCACAAAAGTAAATAATAAAAATGTTCGACAGAGGCGAGAGAAGAGCCATGTTTCCTTTTGTGCTCTGCCCCACAGCGCGAGTTGGGGGGATGGCATGGAGAGAGCAGAACTCGGCCAAAAAAGAACATTCTTGGCCTTGCTGCTCGAGACGGGACAGCGAAGCACCGCTCTTCTTCGAGGCCAAAGGAAATGAGGACTCGACCCGGGCTAAGGTCAGTGCTCCATATACCCCGGCTTCCCGGTGCCAGTAATGAGCGTGGGGAAAGCTAGCTAACGTGGTTAATGGGGTAAGAGAAATAGGTGAGCGTCCGGATAACACGGCTTCAGGTGTGAAAGTCAATTCCTGACTCGCTAGCGCCCCAGTTAACGGTGCTTCGGATGGCTGCCGACGAAAACGTGAGAGCTCCGAAAGGACTTTTTTTAGATGCTCCGTGATCAGCAAAGTTGGCGAAAACGTAAAGAGGGTTGCGCCACATAAAGTGTGCTGTTTTCGAGATTACATAGTAGGATCTCTAGGTTTTCCTTTCTTGCATTTTTTTCACATACTCCGTACGTGGATGCATGTTCAAGGGTGACCGACAGAGCGTCGGCTTCACCAGACCCAGCATCCTCTCATAGATGGTGAAATGCAATTCTACCCGAGTTTATGTCGGCTGGAAACCTTCTCGAGATTTGATATCGTGCGTGAACCTTGACGCACGTGTTGTGTGCAACCAAGCAAGCTGGTTTGGATCGCAATCCCGCTTCGTCGTGGTCGAAGAACCTTTTCTCTTTCAAGAGCGACTCGACAATCTACAATGAACTAATAAGTGATTCCATACCTGGCTCCGCGTGGATCCCATAAGATACTGCACATTATATTATCTTATCCCAATTGCTATCGGCCAATAAAAGCTTTAGATCATATTCGCGGATACAGATATCCTTGAAGAGGCTCCTGCTCAGTAACTGACTTTGCGTTAAACATGCTGCTTTAGACCTAAGTCGCCTTTCTGAAGCTGGCTAATACCAAGTAGGGTGTTGAGGGGCATGATCGTCTCGTCTTGTCTTTAAAAACAAGACAACACGTTCTACCTGAATTGATGCGCATTTTTGACAGGGAATTTGTCCCTGCCTTGGGCCTCTGAACTAACCCAAATGCTCACACTCTTGGGCATAACTCCAAAGCTACCGTAACCCAGGCGGTTGATCTTAACGGAACCACCATATTGCCCATAGATCTCGGTCCACTTTTCCCCCGCATGATTTCTTCCGACGTACATGAATTTAAACGAGCGCCTCGTGCTGCTCATAACGCAAGCAAGACCGGATGGGTGATCAGCATCCCCGTATCTTACGAAACCTGGGTTGCCGTTTATTACTCATTAGCCATCAACTGATTTAACGCGGAATCAGAAGGCCAAGGCAAGGAGTCAAACCAATGCAGTGCTTTTGAAAAAAGTAGTCACGTTGCGATCCGTAAGCGTAAAGGCTGCGCCCAAGTGCCAGAGACCCCAAGTTGGGCAACGGGCCTTCAGCCGCATTTAGAAAACCAGCGTTGATACCATAAAGGTCGCCATAGAAAAGACACGGATACCCTTCTTTGCGGAGGAGTATCAATGCATAAGCAAGGGTCTTAAACCATTGCTCCACTGGAAGCTATGATGTCGAGAACGGGCGGGCGAAGAATTAGCATGGACACTAGCTAGGGCGAAAATAGAAGGGCGCCGCCCTTACCTCCAATGACTGCCCTAGTTGCTAAACAGGAGTTAGCCAACTTATCACAACACAATGTCGTCGTAGGGGCGTACGACATACCGTGTCATGGTTCGTCACAAACGTCTGTCGACGGTCAGCACATCGGATATCGACAGAGTATCAGTATTACTTACTACGGCATACTCGGGCCGCTTTTTCAGCAAGGTTTCGTGGAATACCTTCCTGAGGTCGGGTTTCCTCGCCCGGGAAAGTCTAGAAATATTGTGGGCCAACGGCACATCGAAGAGGGATACCAAATTCTTCGTCTGTTCCAAATAGGTCAAGAGCTCATTTATGTCATTTTTCCAATACTCGGCGACGAAAAACCAGTCCAGTCCAACTCGACTCTTTATGTGGAGGATAAACTCGATAAGAAAAGACCGTGAGTAGTGTTTCACAGCATCAAGCCTAAGCCCGCCGATGGGAACCTGCTCACTGAGCCACTGAATCCAATTCTTAACATCATCTTTGACATCCTCATTAGAAAAGTCGATATTTGCAAACATGAGATAATCGAAGTTCCCTCGTTCTTTGCTCACGTCTGAGGCCCAGTTTTTCCGGCCGTCGCCAATAATTTTATAGATACCTCTAATTCCCGTTTTAAGGTTGTGGTCGATACCGTTAAAATGGTACCAATGATATTTCATCGAACTGTAGACATTGCCGCGCCCGGGAAACTCGAATCCAAGCCAAGATTCGATTTCTATCGGCTTGTTCCCATGGGTGCAATTTCGATCTATAGCGGAACGCTGAGTCAGATGAAGCGGTAAATTTCTAAAGGAACCAGCAGGAAGCATAGAGGACACTACCATCTGAATCCACCCTAACCGCCTGGCATGTCTCTGTCCTGTCTGCGCCGGCCTTGTGGTTGAGCACTGCATCCCACAGGATCTTTATATTCATTTCCTCGGCCTTGTTGGCCAAGTCCTGCAGCTCCTCCTTTGATCCCCATTTCGTGGGCACTGAGCCTTTCTGGTCAAACTCGCCGATGTCGTAAAGATCATAGATGTCGTAGCCATTACGGGCAGGAGCCATTCCCTTGCAACCCGGAGGAATCCATATAGCGGTAACACCAATCTCTTTGAACCAGTCAAGAGCCGCAGTCAGACGCTTCCAGTGCTGGTGATCAGCCGGAGTGTTCCACTCGAATGCTTGGAGCATCAACTGGTTCTGGTTCGACTGAGTTGTGGCTTTTTTTCGTTTTGAAGAATAGGATGAGCAGCAGTCAGCAAACACTCACGCCTATAAACCTACAGCAGGAAAGCGGGGTCAGCTAACTCTCTGCTTGTTTATCAGTCATGCTGTTTTGTAGCTGGCTGGTCAATATAGGATATCAATGCAGCTGTGTCGAAAGACCAGGTGTTTGGTTCAACAAATCAACAATCAAAAAGCTAGGATGGAAGCGTAGTGGTTAAGCCTGCACGAGAGACGTTTGACAGAGACAGTTGACCGTGTCCTGAGCAGCAGACAACAGATCCTGTGCGTCCATAACACAATGAATAGTGGGCATGGAAGGGATGCAGGAAGCATCCCTTGCTGAGGAAATGAGGCATGTCACGAGGAAAGGAAAGACGGGTTCACTCCATCGTTGCTGGCACGCGAGCCACAACGCAGCAGTTGGTTCCAGGGGAAGCACGACTATCTCAAAAAGCCTGCGGACTGCAATTCCGAAGGAGCTCCTTGGATCTGTGCGACGAGAACTCCGTGCCCTTGTACGGAGTATGTACATCGATATTATCAGCATGCATACGGAGTACATGCTCTGTACAAGCAGAGTTCCAAGCAAACAGGGCAAACACACCCCGAACTTACTCGCCCCAGCAGCCGCACCACGTGACCGACGCCGCGACGCTTGGACCGTGACGCCCCATGTCACCTAGCCACATCCAATGAAGATTCGGCAGTGCCCTGGCTTGATGGAAGTCTGAAGAGCTCACCATCCGCCGCTTTTCGCGCCCGTCAATGACTCTGGGCCATCTCCTCCGTACTCCGCAAGATTGATGTTCGGCTTGCATCATCCGGGCACACTTCGTCAGCACACACTGCTTCACCGTGGCTTTTGCCCGCCCATCAACCCAGACTTAGCTTCCGTCATCGGCTGTTAGGTCACTCCGTCGTCACTCCTCCGTTCCGCCACCTCTTCAAAGGAATGCAGCGCTTTTCAACCTCTTTGGTCCCTTTCACCCTTCCGGAATCCCATTTTGTCAAGTCCATGGAGCCGTTGTTGTGCTAATCTGTGCTGGGACCTGTGCAATGGCTTCGGCGGGCAAACCGAACATCGACGATGGCAGACGGGGCACCAGTTCTCCGAAGCTTAAAGGACGCGGTAGGCGCACACGACCACTCCGTCGAAAAGTTTTCATCACCTTTCCCTGGATGGAGCGGCTAATCGTCTGCATGGCGCGATAGATCACGCGAAAGACACACTATGTCGAAATGTGACCATATACGGCCGCTGTCGTTACGAAGATAAAGGTCCTGGGAGATCCCCCTTGCTTTTACTCAAGATGTGTCTCGACGCTGAACTGACAGCTATGAATTCAAAGGCTGCGTATTCAACCATGATCCGTCACGGGTCAATGAGGCCCAGCATCCGGAAAGGTGAGATGCCCCACCTGCCTGCATGATATGCCCCGGTACACCTCTGAACTCGACCAAATACCTGACTGAGATGGCTTTTCTTCATCGCAGTAGAAGTAGCAGCAAGAAGCGCTTTAATGTGGACTCACCCAGCTTCACACCATCCGCTACTCCCCTCAATGGCTCCTCCGGCTTAAAGAAGTCCGCTACCATCTCTCCAAAGGCCGCCAATGCTGCGCCGTTTCTTCCCAAAGGGGTTCTTTCGAGTATGTTCATCTGTTCGCTTCGGACTATAAATTATGAGATGTTGATCAGATTCGTTAGGATCAAATGCTGCTACGCCTCAGAGCCAACCGGAGACCTCTACACCTGAGTGGTCCATAGGCGAGATCCAAGATTTCGTTCCGCAAGGGTTCGACTCTTCGCATGTTGTGAGTTCATCTCTTTATTTGGCGGGGCTTGAGATTCTAGCCTTGCTTTGTCTGTTGGTCATAGCTATTGCACTAGCCCCGCTGGAACGTATCTGAAACTTAATCTAATCGCATGTGATGTAGGAAACCATACATGGACACGGCAATGGAGTCCTTTCAACTCCTGCTTATGATCCGTTTGTCTCTTCTTCCACACCGTTGGGAGCTTCTGGTGCTGTCACCCATCAGGTGCAGCCTAACCCATACTCCCACGATCCATCTGCGATCGGCGGGGCGGCTTTTTTTGGAGCCCAAAACGCGTTCCAGCAGCCGGTATGAAAAGGATCCTCCATTCAAATTTCCTATGCTAATGAATTGCTTAGGTTCAATACCACTTGTATGCCCCAATTGGACCACATAATCAAAATATTTTAGGTTACCAAAGGAACATCCATGACCTGTTTCTTCCCAATTCCTTTCGAGAGGAATTGCAAAAGAAAGCTGCAGCTACCCTTCAGACACTACCTAGTGAGTTCTACCCTAAAGCAGGAGGCTTTACTTGCTTTCCCAATTATTGATCGTCTCCAAGATTCGCAGCTCCCTACCCAGATAGATTACTTTCACTCTCTTGTCCCGCTTGATCTCTCCCATCAGAAGAACGCTGCCATTTTTGGGTACCCGAGTTGGGTTTATAAGGCTCAATCCAGCAAAGATGGAAACTTTTACGCTCTCAGGCGTCTGGAAGGTACGCTTTAAACCACTGATATCTCCGAACCATAAGCTCAGCTGCTACCCTGCAGGTTTCCGTTTGACAAATGAAAAAGCGATCCGATCAGTGCAGAACTGGAAAAGAGTGAGCTGTGGCAGCGTGGTCACTGTGCACGATGCCTTTACCAATCGAAGTTTCCAAGATAGCTCCTTGATCTTCGTTACTGACTACCATCCGTTATCTAAAACCCTGGCGGAGCAGCATTTAGCCGATGGGCAAGGTCGCTACCAGGGTCGTCATACCTCCGGGCATATTCCAGAGCAAATTCTTTGGAGCTATGTGACGCAAATTGCGAATGCCCTGAAAGCGATTCATAGCGCGGGTCTTGCTGCTCGCGTCATCGAACCAAGCAAAATTCTTCTTACCGGGAAGAATCGAATTAGATTGAATGCGTGCGGCATTTTGGACGTTGTGCAATTCGATTCTCAGCGACCCCTGGCTGATTTGCAACATCAAGACCTCGTTAACTTCGGACAATTAATCCTCACACTCGGGGCCAACTCGCCTTCACTAATGCATAACCCAACGAAAGCCACGGAGCATTTCAACCGCAGTTACAGCGCTCAGCTCAACAATTCCGTCTACTGGCTGCTCAGTGGTATGCAAAAAGATCAAGAACGGACTATCGATATATTTATCTCCGGTATATCTTCACAACTTATGTCGACCTTTGATTCGTCGCTTCATCTTGACGACCAACTTATTTCCGATCTAAGCCGGGAATTAGAAAATGCCCGGCTCGTCCGCTTGCTCTCCAAACTCAACTTCATTAACGAACGACCAGAATACGAACACGATCGTCAATGGTCAGAAAATGGAGAACGTTATTTCCTAAAATTATTCCGCGATTATGTGTTCCACCAAGTCGATGCGCAGAATGCACCTGTGGTGGATCTAGGTCACGTATTGACCTGTTTGAATAAATTGGATGCGGGAACCGATGAGAAAGTTACCTTAATCAGCCGCGATGAGCAGTCGTGTTTCATTGTGTCGTACAAGGAGCTGAAGAAAGCTGTAGAAGCGTCTTTCCAGGCGCTTCTCAAACCAGCGCGGAGAATCTGATGATAGACGTACCTCGATTGCTCTCTTGGCAGGACCTAGACATCCCTTTGTTAGTAGTGAAACTGTTGTGGAATGAATTGGCAGTGTTTGAAAAGCTGCAAACCATATGAGGTGCTTATTTATTAAGCATCTACGTTGTTCTGTCTCTCTAGCTATATGCGTTTTGAGAATGTCTTTCTATATTATACCATGCAAGACAAGAGAAACCTGGGGTCGGAACCTTTTTTTTCTTTTTTTTCCTGATTTATGCAGGAACCATGCAATATTTTGGAAGATTGCAGATGTTCAGGAGGGATGATTTATAGTATGTTAGGAAAAAAATTGAGAAAATATAGTATAAATGTTTCTTATCTTCTCTTTCGATACTTTCGCAGACCCCACTATCATAGATGCAATGCTTCGTCATTGCAGTGGCTTCATCGAGAAGTGTAGAATAGGGCTTACGTCGACTCCAAGGCAAAAGTATCATGCGAGCGTCGTAGGCGCTTAACAGAAGTATGCGTATCCTACCACAAGAGGATGGCCAGTGCACAGAATCTCCAAATTTCCCGCTTCCCCTCTTTGCTGCAAGGGAAAGGCACAAAGGTTATCAGTGCAGGGCAAACTCTGCTGTAAAAGCTTTTGGCTTGCTGTGTGCCGGGCGGGTAGAATTAGTAAAACTTTCCTGGAGTGTGTCTCGATGCAAGCTACGTGGCAGAGGTTCTGGTAACAGAGGCTGTTTAATTTTTTCTGAAGTAGAGGATATCAGGCACATCTTGTGGAAAGGAGGTTGATATGATGAAATTTTGGCCAGTTGTGGCTTGATTCGGCCGGCGGTAAAGGCGGGATTCACCCCGGAGAAATTGTGAGCTGAAGATCGACGTGGCCCTGGGCTTGAAACCTGCATCCTGTCACAGGTGTCACATTAACTAACTACACAGTTACCTTTGTGGTCTATGCACAATTCGACCTGGATGCCGGAGAAAACCTCCTCATCATCAGATATACATTGTACTTCTACAGTTTGACGCAGAAACAGAGAACACTTATGCTCCAGCCTTCACAGCAAACAATCAGTTACATTGCATTTAGAATCCAAACCATCCAGCTGATGGCGAAGAACTCTGCCCCAAAGTTTGATGTTGTAATACTTCACGGCGTGTCTGCTAAAAGGCTCCCAATCGAAGGACTGGAGGATGGTTTGGTGGATTTCCAGCCATCTGAAGACAATGGCTCTGTGATGCTCTGGAGTAGTCTGAGTTAATAATAGTGTTTACTGAGCACAGTTCACCCCAATGATATCGATCCCGACCAGCCATTCGGCATGCCGCATCGAGCGCCAAGCTCATTCCGCCCCGCCACTAAAGTAGATCTAGGCCAATAGGACCTGACAATGGGAACTCGGTCAATTTCTATTGATAGGAAGCTGCAAATGACTAAGGATAATTGGTCACTTTATTGGCTCTCGAGCTGCTGCGTTTCTTCAGTCCGGCGGTTCGACACCGATGATACAGACCACGCGAGAGCATGCATGCTACCATCTCAAGACGGGAGAGAGATGTGATGATCACATATAAGGCCGTCCTGGTATGGGTTTCAGGATGTGGACTTCATATCAATTTACCCGTATTTCTCTTCACTTTAATATTTCCTTTGTTGGCAATTTGTTCTTCGCATCTCCTTATATAAGTATTAATCCTTCCGGGAGCTGGTCTTCCTGCTGATATATATAACTATCAACATTGAGACTGTGATTCACGATTGCAAACGATGGGCCGTTTGATGTTGATTCTTCTGGCTCTCACCTTGTCAGTGCTTTCCCTACCTATCGACCGGCCCCAAGATGAAGCCAAATTCCGCTCTGGCGTTAGCAAAGAAATCCAAAATTTTCCAAAACGCGCCGAACTTGCCCCAACCCCACGATGCGACCTCTCTCATGTAAAGCTTCCACAGAGCTCTGAGCCTTTTCCAGATATCCCTCAAGGACAGAAGCTTCTTGCTGTGGCTGTTGGTCGAGGAACCCAGGTAATATTGAGACCCCTATCGCTTGTTATTAACTCGTGGGCACTGTGGATATGCATTTGCCACGAACTGTGATTCACTTGAGGCCAGGCTGACAAATCGTGATGGGCATAGAATTACACATGCGAGTCTGAGTCCGGAAACACGAAGCCAAAGGGGGCTCTTGCAACCCTGTTCGACGCTTCTTGTATAGCGGCAAACTCTCCACCTCGTCTAAGGGCTCTTGTGAATACCGCTCTTACCCAGCAGCACCATCCAGAGCCCATTTCCAAGACCCCAATGGGCGAAATGCCGTTTCTGGGTCGCCATTTCTTCAGTGATGACACAACGGCAGTATTCGATATCGGCGACCTAGGCTCCTCACTAGTCAGAAAGGAGGGGACAGTTGATGCCCCTAAAACTGCGCTGAAAGGAGTGGGCGGCCAGATGGATGGTGCGGTCGCATGGTTATGGCTCAAATCAATCCCAGCGAGCACTGGCAAAGCAAAAACCATATATAGGGTGAATACTGCGGGAGGAATGCCCCCTAAAAATTGTGCAGGCCAGCCAAAGGAGATGGCAGTCCAGTACTCGAGCGAATACTGGTTCTATGGCTGAATCAAGGGTTCATGATCTCTGATTTGACGGGTATATATGTATGCGGGGCCTTAGAATGGAAGTTTTGAGTAAAGAAAGAGGGCGGCCTCATGTATCAATGTATTTGCCGATAATCGGTTGCACAGAGTAACGTGACATAAAGCTTTTAAGGTTCAATTCCGAACTGCGGAGGTTTGAAATGCGTAGTCGAGACTCTGGAGGAAAGCAGCGCCGCAAACGGAAATTAGGGCAAACGCAGCTCACGTGCGCCAAAAAAGGTACAATCACGTGATATGGTGTTTTGACAAAATTTCCATATGGAAAAACGCCAGTCTAACGCTATTGGGCTAGCGCAGAAAATCGATCTCGTAGAAAGCTCCAAAATTTCATTTTTTGCTTGGGATGAAGGGACTCGTCAAACCATTCTTCCTAACTCAACACAACCTGTTGTGAGCCCTCATTGCCACTCAAAAATAGCATCTTAGGGCTCATAAGTCGGATCTGCATCTCCGACCCCGCCATCTTGCGGTTTTGACTGCGGCTTCCAGCTCCTCTTAGTCGATTATCGAAGCACTTCGTTCTGTGGGTGATTTCCCGGTGCGAGTTTGTCTTGGACAATATCTTCCAAACTGAGGCCCCGCGCTATTATATTAATCGCGATTGTATAAAATGGCTTTCGGAGGTTCGCGTGGTGGACGTGGAGGACCCCCCCGTGGAGGCCGCGGAGGTCCTCGCGGAGGTGGACGAGGTGGTGCCAGAGGTGTGTACTGTGATACCCATCGTCACACTTTATCCTTTGAATGGCATTACACCATGGTTGAAGGATGAATGGCTCTCATTTGGGCCCTAGCCCTGCGAATGGCTTGCGCGGGATAGTAGAATCTTTGCTAACAAGCTTCTCTTCCAACCAAAAGGCGGATTAGGCTCTAGAGGTGGCCGTGGAGGTGGCCGTGGAGCTCCAAGAGGTGGCAGAGGCGGCAGGGGTGCTCGCGGTGGTGGTCGCGGTGGAAAGCCTGGTGCTAAGGGTGGTGCTAAGGTCATCATTGTGGGTTGTCTTGAATTCCCTCCACACGGCGATGCGATATCGCCGGTTTGTGGGATCACATTTGACTGGACGCTTACCCGAAATTCGAAAGGAACCCCATCGTCATGCCGGTGTCTTCGTTGCGAGAGGTGGTAAGGAGGATCTCTTGGTTACAAAGAACTTGACCCCCGGCGAAGCTGTCTATGGCGAGAAGCGCATCTCCGTCGAAGCTCCGGCCACAGTGGACGGCGACAACACCACGACTAAGGTCGAATACCGCGTGTGGAATCCTTTCCGTAGCAAGTTGGCTGCTGGTATTCTCGGTGGTCTGGACGAAATTTACATCAAACCTGGCGCCAAAGTTCTCTACCTCGGCGCTGCCAGCGGCACATCAGTCAGTCATGTTGCCGATATTGTTGGGCCTACTGGAACCGTATACGCCGTTGAGTTCTCTCACCGTTCAGGACGTGATTTGATCGGCATGGCCACCCACCGTACAAACGTCATTCCGATCGTCGACGATGCGAGACACCCACTCCGCTACAGAATGCTTGTTGGAATGGTAGATGCTATATTCGCCGACGTTGCGCAGCCCGATCAAGCCCGTATTGTTGGTCTGAACGCTCACTTGTTCTTGAAAGCTGGTGGCGGAATCCTTGTCAGTATCAAAGCCAACTGTATTGACAGCACGGCGAAGCCCGAAGTTGTTTTCGCCAGAGAAGTCCAGAAATTGAGAGAGGAGAGAATAAAACCAAAGGAACAACTGACACTCGGTAAGAACCTTTTATGGATATATTTCCCAGCAAAAAAAAAAAAAAAGAAAAAAGAAAAAAAAAGAAAAACTCAAGAGCTAACGCGTAATTTCTCAGAACCGTTTGAGCGTGATCACTGCATAGTCGTTGGCGTCTACAGACCATCTTGATTGGATTAATGCTTGGATGTCTCTTGTATGGTGTTTTTTGATTCTTGTTTAGTACAGGCGTTCTATGTGTGGATCCTTTTGGTTGCAATTTACTTCATACACTTTTCTCTGATGATGGGCCGACTAAAATATACGTATTAGATTCAGCATCTGTGCGCTTCCATATCCATGCATCTACTCCGTTCATCTTGCTACATCAGTTGAATGCATGATTCATATCTGCACTCACGACCCCAACTCCTAATAGGCTATCCAGCCTGTAATGCCATGGGATCCGCGGCAGAAATGCATACATACATTGATAACTGCAGAACAGAGTTCCCTCGGGATGCTTTTTCCGAAATAGACATCATTTCCAACCCCGCAGATCCGCCGCGGGATTTCTGGAGTAAAACACTTGTCAGCGCTACCAACCTGCCACCAACTTATAACAGATATGCAGGCAATATATTAAAAGGCCTGCAAATATATAGAGACACTTGCCTGGCGAAATGAGATCTATTGCTCTTGAGAGTCGTGTCCATTTTGGCCACTGTGGGACTATTGAGCCTTAGTTATCTGTTGAAACAATGTCCATTCTTATTACTGGAGCGGCAGGTTTCATCGGTCAAGAGCTGACTACAGCGCTCCTCAAGTCTGCCCCTTCTTCCACCCGCCTTACGATAACTGATGTCACGACTCCCATTATACCAGTTTCTGCCCAGGAGCATGCATCGCAGGTCAAGTCGGTCAAGGCTGATCTCACCTCCCGTTCTGCTGTCGACGGGCTCATTTCGAAATCTGCAGCATACGATGTCGTCTACCTTGTCCATGGAATTATGTCAAGTGCATCTGAAGCTGATTTCGACCTGGGAATGTCAGTAAACTTCTTCGCAACGCATTATATCTTGGACCGGCTTCGTCACACCATGCCAGGCGTTAAAGTTGTTTTCACATCCACATTAGCTGTTCATGGCCCCACGGCTGCAGGCTTTATCATCAACGAGCGCAACCTACCGCAAATCCCGACATCATCGTACGGTACGCAAAAAATGGTAGTTGAGTTGCTAATCAATGATTACTCCCGGCGGGGTTTTATCGACGGGCGATCTGTCCGACTGCCTACTGTTACCGTTCGAGCGGGAAAACCAACCCAGGCAGCTAGTAGCTTTGCGAGCGGAATCATTCGCGAACCATTAAATGGGAAGAGAAGTATTTTACCTGTCAAACGCGATACGGAACTATGGATCTGTTCCCCATACACCGTTGTGGAGAATCTGATTCTCGCAAAGGATATCCCCAAGGAAGCCTTTGGTGATTCCCGATCCGTCAATCTCCCGGGTGTAAAGGTAACAGTGCAGGAAATGCTGGATGTTTTGGAAGAGCTTGCCGGAAAGGAGCGAAGAGAACTGGTGGAGGAAAATTACGATCCGGCAATTGATAGAATAGTGTCAGGGTGGTCACCTAATTTTGATACTTCGTGGGCAAAGTCACTAGGATTCAAGGAGGATATGCCTTTTATACACAATGTGAAGAGGTATATAAGAGATACTTCCTAATATCCTCTCGTTCCAAAGTGGCATTACAATCAAATTTTATTTTGTTACTTGCAACGTCAACTGCCCGTCAGAGGACAAATACAGTATGTCAAGCGGACTTTATGGGCATCTTTCGACACTGTGCAAAACTCCTGCAAGGTCTGTCAATGAGCTCTTCACGATGACAAAAATATGACGTCTTCCTACATAGTTCCATAAGATGGCCAGAAAGCTATATGGTCCATGTTAAGTTTCAGAATTATAGTAGAAAGTATGGGAGAGTCTCCAAATATCGGGGAATACCTTCCAAGCTGTCGAACAAAAATCAAATCTTTTAATCAATTGACAAAGGAAATTATTGAGTATCTCAGTGGATGGTCTCGAGTACTGTACAAGATGGACTACATATCGTGGCTATCAATCATGCTGCCTATCTATCAGAAAAGTTCGCCGGGGAGCGGCACTACCAACGGAAACGACACAAAAGAAGGGGATTTTTGAACATTTTTTTCCTTCATGCCGCATTTCGGCTCATGTCGTTGCGGATTCTCTGGTAGTCCAACATGCCTTCAACGCTGCCGTAAGCACTGACGGCAACATCCTGATCCCACAGCTTGCGCTGAGCGAAGTCCATGACGTCCTTTTCAGTGACCTTGTCAACGGCACGCTCGATGTCCTGAGGAGACATGCGGCGGCCGGTAGTGACGATCTGGCGGCCAATATCTTCGGCGATGGCGGTGGTACCATCGAGGGAGAGGAGAATTGAAGCTTTAAGTTGGGCCTTAGCACGCTCGACCTCAGCGGGAGTGACGCTGAAGGATAGTCGAGACCATTCGCGGAGTGTGAAATGGACGAGGTCGTCAAGAGCTGTCTTATTCTCGCTCACAAGGTAGATACCCCAAAGACTAGAACTTTTCGTCAGCCCACTATCAAAATTCCAGACACCGATACGATACTACCTACCCAGTGTCGCTATAGCTTGTGGAGAAGCTCATAAAGCTGTTGGCAAGGTTGTTATGGCTGATGAAGGTGCTCAATTTGCTGCCAAGGTACGGAGAGTTACCCATTGCTCGATCCCAGTTCCCGACGATGGCTTGCGTGACCAAAGCTGGGAAATAATCATCATCCTTCCAGCTAACGCCCTCAACCGCAAGAGCAATGTGAGCGGTTGGTACGGTGTCATCACGGATTCTGACATCGGAGCCGATGAAGTCAGGAAGGCGCTTCTGCTCGGCTGCGATTGCGGATGCAGCCGAAGTTGGGGGTTGGCTCGGGATGGAGCCAAAGTGTTGCTCGGCAAGCTTCACTAGTTGCTCGTGAGGGATACCGCCAGCACCGACAAGCACCATGCGATCAGCCGTGTAGTTTGTCTTGATGTAGTCAACAAGATCCTGGCGTTGGATGCTTTGAATGTTCTCTTTCGGCCCGAGGATGGTCCGGCCAAGAGGCTGGTTTTGGAAAGCGGTGGCATGGAGATGATCGAAGACAACCTCCTCGAGCTGTTTGTCGACTTCTTCCTGTTCACGCAAAATCACATCCCTCTCCCGTTCAATGGCGGCGGGTTCTAATTTCGAGTTTTGAAGAATATCGGATAGGATGTCGACGGCCTTCGGAACATCGGCATTGAAGGATTTGGCGTAATAGACAGTATTTTCGCGCTACATAAATGTGTTAGGAGGATATTTTCATAAAATGCAGTATCAACGGACGGACCGAAGTGTAGGCATTGAGATGTCCTCCCATGTTCTCAATCTCGAGCTCCAATTGGTGTTGGGTTCTTCTGTTGGTTCCCTACATTAAGTCAACACCATATCGATTTCTCTCTCTGACAGTATTCTGATGGAGATGGAAAAATACCTTGAAGGCAAGGTGCTCAAGGAAATGCGCGGTGCCATTAGTTTTGTCCGTTTCCGCCCTGCTACCAGCGTCGATCCAAACTCCGACTGTTGATGTCTGAGCCCACGGAGAATACTCGGTCGCGATCTACAAGGGGTCAGCAATCGCAAGAGAAGTACCAGACGACCGATTGACTCACCGTCAAGCCGTTGGAAAGCGTCGTTGATTGCGTTGTGGCAGCTGTGGAAACCGGGGTTGCAAAACCTCGTTTAGCCGGTCTCACAGCCTGTAGAGCAGCACGGCTCCGAAGAGCGCCGTTGAGGCTAGAAGCTAGTCGCCGAGATGCCATGGCGAGGGATATCTGGAAGGGAAGGGAGGAATTGGCGCGTTGTGCAGGACAGAATGCCTGAAATCAAGCTGGATTGACATGTTGAAAGAACGGTCGAGGAAGTCAAATTATCGTCTGTTGCCGACCAATCACATGACCTCGAGTGCGAGAAAGATCTAAGCGCTTCCTATTGGCTGGTGGTGAGCCTTTCGACCAGCCGAACGACGACGATACTGACTGCATCGACAACGGCTTTTCAGGGTCGATGGCTGCGACATTTGGACACGTCGTTCCGCGTGCTCAGCGCCGTACTCGGCATGGCGACTGCTGGCAACGCCGTTCCTTCGCCAAACCCATTCGGCCAGCCCAATCTACAAGTTCATCCACCGTCGTATCCATGCTTTCGATAACCAGCTACGGAGTACTGACCGTTTGAAGCCTCTCTTGATCCTCATCACAAAGGCACGAGTCCGATAGACCCCCCAATTTGACCTGGTGGTTGGTATTTCTGGGCGATAGGAATTGCCCCCCGCTGCACGGAGATGGCTAACTACAACGTCGAGTCTCAATGGATGGGAGGAAATATGACGTTCAATGGACCTCTCGTGCAGTTTCGAGATGAAATGGAATGCGACTCCGGTTTTATTCTTGGTTACTAATTTTATGGACACAATCTCTAATAGATGAATTTTCTGGCTAAGAGATTAACTATATCTCAGGCCCGCATCGCACCCCTACACCGTCCAGCTCCCAAAGACACGAGTTGTTACACATTGCGTGGAGGGACCGGAAGGGACGCTGACGAACAGGTGAATCTTTCCGCTACCGATGAGTGAACAGCACCTGAAACAGACACATTGCCGGTTTCCAATCCTAGCCTAATATATAGTTAAGAAAGTAAAGGCTCATCAACCCTTGGAAGTGTCTTCCCGGGTCGGACTAATGCACCTTTTCGTTCCTCCACACCTGTCATCGGCTACGAAGGCTGAGAAACCTTTTTTCGAGCTACCCGCCAATCTATGTAGTGGTGGCACCCGAGCTCCATTTCACTAGCATTAAGGCATTAAAATGCCAGAGAACCATTTGTTTTGGACTTTTAAATCACTACTCCGTAGTTACCGTCTTGCCCAAGATAGATGCTTTATCATCCAAGTTCGCCGGGCTCCTCACTTCATACGCCGAAAGTCAATTTTTCATCTCATCTTGAATGGTAGCGTTCCATGTCGTACCATTGGGCTGGGTCAAAGACTACTTTCTATCTGTTACTTCACCCATCTACTCGGCACTCGCGTATAGCTCCAGATCGAAATCATGGCGAGAAGGCTCAAGTTCCATTTTCTCAGCCTGGCTGGAGTACTCTGTACTCTGTACCTCTTACTACGAAAATGAACGGATTGCCCCGGACGGCAGTCTAATAGTATTTGTGTGCCGTTCGCAGCAGACCTACTCCGTACATGAGATCATAACGGCCAAAGCAAAACCTTGACAAAGGTGACAAAGGCTGGGACCAATGCGAGCTAAACTCTTTGTTGGACAAGCTGTCTAGCGATTCTAATCTGGACCAAAAGCTGAGCAACGATGAGAGCCTGATCAACCACGATCTGCAGATGTGGCTGCCTCCGACCCTTGACGGAGCAATCCATTCGGATTCTTACTCCCACTTGAGCGGTCGTCTCATTGCTTCCATGGAGTCCGGGCGGTCAACCATCACATCCCATTGGCGAATTTCATACCGAGAGTTTTACCGAGTACGATAAAATTGGATTTGAAAGCGCCCAAATTCCTGCGGCACCGATGGGATGACGGGCCTCGAGATCTGGCAGGGGTGAATGAGCTGATTCTACTGGTGTTAATGCGTTCTGCACATTAGCATCATCAGGTTAATTCCCGATTTAGCATGCTGATCACCACTGGCGGAGGACGATGTGGGAAATACTCCATACGGAGTACGGAGTACATCGCGCAATGAAATCCATTTTCGCAATAGGAACTGTTTTATGCCGGCCAATTGATTTCCCCTTTTCCCTGTTTACAGTTTTCATCCCTTTCATTTCATTCTGGGCGGATTCGCACAATAGCCTGTTCAGAGTTGCAATGACAGAATATGGTGCTTAGCACTTTGCACTTGATTCATAAGGGGTGAGGTGCTCCGAGATTCTCTTTTTTATGAGACGGCTGCAAGATTATGTGCCCACGCCGCTACCCGTTCATTGCTTGATGCATTCCTTTCCTATAGCACGATACTAAACACCGCCAACTGGCATCTGAGTTCCGGGCTCTTTTACGGCGAGACTTGCAACGGGCATCATTGATGTCCCTTTCACCCCGCTCCCTCCATTAGTTTGCTAAATCGGACTTTCGTGCATAATGGATGCAAGTGATGGGACACGTCCGGTCTCCCGCTCCTCTTACTCCAATGGTTCCGAGGAGCCTCTTATCGGAAAGGTCAATGACGAAGGGGGCTTTCAATATCCGCGTCTCTCTAAAATTCGATCGGTTTTGATCATAGCAAGTTTGGCTGGGACAAACCTTTCCAGCAGTATGTCCCACGGCCTAATCACCGTGGGTATACCATATATCGCCTCGGATTTGCTGTTGCCAGATCATCTTTTATTATGGTAGTTATTGAATAATCCACTTATCTCGGGGTAGTTTGCTAACATGAACGGATCATTTAGGCCATCGTCTGTCGCTGCGTATGTTCATTATCTACGTTCACACTATCAACTTTAATTCAGCACGGAAAATCTATCTAACAAGTATCTCTCACACAGCTTGGCGAGTGGATGCTGTTTACTTATTGCCGGAGCACTAGCAGACCTAGTTGGCGATCGACTTATCAATATTATCGGCACTATATTACTTGCTATTTCCGCTTTTGGGTCAGCAATGGCTACGTCAGGCTTTTCCATGATTGGCTTCCGCTTGGTCGAAGGCATCGGCGTTTCCATGTGTCTTCCAACCGGGGTTAGCGTGATTACTCGGTCGTTTCCACCGGGAAGACGACGGAACGTTGGGTTTGGATGCCTGGGCTTGTCCCAACCCCTCGGCTTTTCCCTGGGAATGGCCCTTGAAGGCGTATTCGCGACTGCTCCAAATGGCTGGCGATACGGGTTTTACTTCTGCGCGGGGATCGGGCTTGGTTTTGCCGTGTCCAGCATCTTAACTTTGCCAAAGGACTACGAGAGACCCAATTTCCACTGGCGCCGGGTCTTGTACGATATCGACTGGATTGGTGCTCTTGTTGCCAGTGCTTGTTTGGGTATCATATCTTATATCTGCGCGTAAGTTTTATCCAGCCTGTTTGTGCGGTGACAGTGGCGTCTAAAGTTGTGTGTTCCCATGCAGTGTCCTCACGGAAGACATTTCAAACCTGTATCAGGTAAAGCAGATCGTGTTAATTCTCATCGCGATGATTTTGATACCTGTGTTTGTATTCTGGATGGATTTCCAAGAAACCCGTGGAAAGCCAGTTTTGATTCCAAATTCATTGTGGAGCAATACAGCGTTCGTCGCCATCTCAATAGTGGTGTTCATGACATGGGGCGTTCTTCAAGGGTCGGAACTCTTCCTAAGTCTATTGTATGCTCGGGAACTCCTTTTGCTCTATGCTGTGAAGTTTCTAATGATTCCTTAGCTTCCAGAAAATCCAGCATTTGTCTCCCCTGGAAACATCGGTAAATCTGCTCCCGAATATATTTATCGGTATAGTATTGAACGTCACTACTGGGTTGATAGTGCATGCTATCAGGGTCAATTACCTCATTGTTTTGACGGCTACGCTTGCCGCGGTTTCGCCATTGTTGATGGCCTTTGTTGACCCGAAATGGAATTACTGGACCTGTGCTTTTTGGGCTGTTCTTCTGGGACCGGTGTCCGTCGATGGTATGCCACCTCGCCAATGTCTGAAGATTCACTGTATTTTCCGTTAACGCTAATCATTTATATCTTTTTTCCAGTGGTTTTTACTGTCGCGCACCTTCTTATTACCGATATATTTGCTCCTTCGACACATGCTCTGGCGGGGGCCGTTTTCAATACTATTGCGCAGCTCGGGACCTCAGTTGGACTGTGCGTGATCGCTGTCGTATCGGCGGCGGTGCAGCATTCTTCGAACTATCCCAAAGATTCTCCCGATGCACTAATGTCGGGATATAGAGCAGCATTCTGGACCTGCTTTGCAATGATGGTAACCACCGTTATCATCTGCTCTGTTGGATTGCGGAATATTCGTAAACTGGGTGCAACGACCACTGAAAATTGGAGTTGAACGTCAGGGAAGTTGAGTTGGAGATAGGAAAAAAAGGCATATTGCATTAACGGTTTGCGTCATGGGTTGCTCATTGGCTAGTTTTGCCCGGGTTTCAACATGTGACTATTTATTCGTAGATCGTCTCGACTAAGATGACACGGCTACCGTGCGGCTGAAGGGGTCCCCAATGCTACCGGGAAATATGAAGTTCAGCAACACAGCGTGACCAGGCTTGACGTTTCCTGCCAGGAGAGGAACGAGATATGTTCACTGCTATCTGCATCCGAATATTGCATATCGCCGTGGCTGGGGATCCAAATGGAGTACGTGGTGGACCATCACTACGCCTTTAACAACCCATAGTCGATTAGCTACTAAAGTCGCGTTATAAGACCCGGCTTCATTGATTTGAGAGTGTCTTCCGGCTCCACCAAGAATCCGTTGAAATATATGGAGTTTGGGTCGAGTAACGGCTCCTTCGTCGAAAGTCGACCCAGTAGGTATAGCTTCATGAAAATATTTCTCAAATGTATGAGCGATCCAAACTGTCTACATTATTAGGTGTCCGGACCTGCATACGCAAACCAGGCAGAGCGGGATTTCGCTCCCAACTTTTCAAGCGATTCTGGTGCTCTAGCTTCCTTTCTCGTCACTTTCTTTGTCGAGTCCGCATCGCAACGTCTTGGTTGTCAGTAGAATTTACTATATCTCCTTGAAAGCATCCAGGCACTTCTTCCTTTCACCGAGAACACCATCCATGCGGGATGACAGAGGCGGTCTCCTTCCCTCAAACCTATCAACTGGCACGCTAACTACTGAGCAAAAATAGGGTAACACCTCCAGCTAGCATTGTTTGGAGATCTCGGTAATATTCCGGGCTGGAACTTTACGGCGTATCTCGTTTCTGCGGTCCTTACAAAAGCAAGCAGAGCGCGGAGGACAGCTGTTCACTGCGGGCAAGACCGGCGAATATAAGGGTATAGGCAAGGGAAAAGAACACTTGATTCGTAACCAAAATGTTGGGGGCAGACCTTTGCCCGGATTACAAGGGAGCACCGCTAATGGGTTCATGACATGGGCTCCCTGGAGTCATTTGGAAGATATCTTGCAGCCTGAAGTAGCTCCTTGAAAGACAGGCGCGGGTAACAACTACACCTGTCCTTCACATCGTGGCAACCTTTTGATTTTAAATCCATGAGCTCTCGGAGCCACATTACTCCGCTTCGCTAAGGGAGCGATACCCAATGCAGTCGCGGCCGGCGGACGAACATGCAACAAAGGAGCGCGAGGGAAATTTGTAAGAACTCAAAAAGTTGTCCCGAGGCAACTGGCCAATCGCTACCTGCAGCCCTTGTTAATTCGTCTGTTATGATTCTGGGTCTACGAGTAAATCCCTACCAGTTAAAGGCCTTCTGGATTTGCGGCTAACGGGGATCGCGAGGACTTCCACTGCACGGCGACCCCCTTTTTTGGTCGTCCGTAGCAACGAGAGCACCACTGCGCCGTACAGTCTCTTGGAACATGCATGTCGCCATGGCGTAAACACACTTTCCGGGTCCCGGGTTCTGGAGTGTACTCGGCCTAGATGACGTTGTTGAATCGATTTCTAAGCCTTTGCTCCAAGCTTGTCTGGGCATTGACGCGCCCCTCACCTCTCGAGTGCCTAGGTTCATTCAGAGAGAGTACCTTGAGACTGGTATATATATATGGATACAATCCAAGCGGTATTGGGCAATAATACTGTGCTAGTTTTCTTTTTCCTTAGCTTTGTCCGAATATTCTCCTGCTATCATCTTTGCTTGAAGCGGAATTCCCAGCGCAAAATCGTTTACAATGGCTACGGAAAACAAGGCGTTGTTCTATCAGAAGGTCCCCACCGAGTTTCCTGTACCCGGTGAGCACTTGACGATTGAGAAAGTGCCGTTTGACCCTGAAGCTCCAGCTCCCGATGGCGGTCTTACCCTTCAAACGTTGTACACGAGCTTCGATCCATATATGCGGGGTGGCATGCGGCCGGCTCAAGTCAAATCCTACCGTCCGGCATACGAAATAGGAAAACCACTTCCTAGCATTTCGATCGTTAAGGTCCTAAAATCGAACAATGACAGGTTCAAACCAGGCGACATTGCAATAGGATTCATGCCCATCCAACAGTATATCGCTGCACCCGCAGAAACTGTCCAGGCCCTTAGGCTGCTGGATAACCCACTTGGGCTGGACGACCTCCGCTACTTCCTTGGCGCTCTGGGGATGCCCGGCCTCACCGCATATTCGTCCCTGATGGAGATTGGAAGGCCGAAGAAGGGAGAGACCATTTTTATTTCGTCTGCGGCCGGAGCCGTGGGCCAGGTCGTTGGTCAGATTGCGAAGCACGAAGGTCTCAGGGTCGTTGGAAGTGTTGGATCCGATGAAAAATTGAATTACATTATTAATGACCTTGGTTTTGACGCTGGATTCAATTATAAGAAGGAAAAGCCCCGTGACGCTCTGAAGCGACTGATCCCCGAAGGCATCGACATCTACTACGAGAACGTGGGTGGCGAGCATCTGGACGCGGCTATTGAGTCAATGAATGACTTTGGACGCATCGTTACCTGTGGAATGATTTCCCAGTATAACGTCAAGCCGGAGGACCGGTACCCGATCAAGAATCTTTTTATGGTAGTGACCAAGAGAATCACGATGCGCGGCTTCATTGTATCTGATCCCGGAATGGGAGACAAATGGGCCAAGGAGCACCGGGAGCGTGTCTCCCAATGGATCAAAGATGGCACCTTCAAACCTATGATCCATGAGACCGTTGGCATCGACAATGCTGCAGAGGGACTCGTGGGCTTGTTCCAGGGGAAGAATTTCGGCAAGGCTGTGTTGAAACTTTGAAAGCAGAGAAAAGCATTTATTCTTTAAAGGGCCTGGAGATCATTCACAGTAAGGCATGAGACGGTTGTGGTTTGGATAAGGACAACGGAGTTGCGATGTAGACTGGGCGCTGCAATTTGTCAATATTGTGATGATCGCAAGATGGTTGACTAGATCCTTGAATAATGCATCTGAATAGGGCCCCCTGGTGATGTCCTTTCGCATCTTCCGTCCTGAATTCTTTGGCGAAGCAGAGTTTCCAATAATTACTCCGTAAGAAATACATAGCAAATTATCATCAAAAACCTTGTCGCGGAGGGAAATCACGGGATTTCTCGGCTGAAGAGTTATCCTCCCAACCAATCAGGGGCCGGCAATTGTGCTGACAACCCGGCGTCCGAGGAAGCTGTTCCGAATTGGTGAACAAACCATCGAAAGCTTGATCCAGCGCCCGTTCATCGCTCCGCAACGCTACTTTATCGAAGATATTTCCGTTGTATCTGCTGAGCAGCATCACATCACAATCATGGCTTCGATCATCCGCCCTTCAGCGCCAGCGCTGCGACAGACCTGCTTCACATTCTCCGGTCCCACACGACGGGCAGCGTTTTACTCCACAAAGTCACCTCTCGCGGCCCTAACGACCGTCAAGCCAGTGCAGGTCCAGAAGAAGGATGGCTCGATGAAGATTGCCCAGTTCCATGCTTCTAGCAAGAGAGAAATTTTACCTCCGGAGCCACGTGAGTGTTTGTCCTAGCGGGCATTCGATGGGCCGACGCCACACGATGTTCGTGCAAGAGGTTGCCAGGAACTTGAGGCTAACTGATAGTGTTATTTCGGTCACAGAGGTCATCAAAGGAACCGGTACGTCTTATTCGATGCTGCGAGCCGCGAATTGAGTCTCCTGTATTCCATGAAATTTGGGAGAATGGAAGAGATCGTCGTTGAAAGACTGAAGAATGCTGACGGGATCTTTAGTCAACGATGCTGCGCCAATTCCCCCTACATCCCCCACCCACGGCAGCTACCACTGGGATTTCGAACGGTATGTGAAGACGCACCGACTCCGGAGAAGGTGGAATTAACGTGGCTCATGACAGAATCATTGCTATCTCTCTTATCCCCTTGACCATCACCCCATTCGCTGCTGGATCTCTCAATCCAGTCACCGACGCCATCCTTTGCGGTGCTTTGGTACTTCATTCTCATATCGGTTTCCAGTACGTGTATCCGTGATTCCGACTCCCATGGTTTTAAGTACCATTTCGCCATGTTCATGATGCAGGATCTGACTCGCTCAATTTCGTTCTAGGGCTTTGATTGTCGACTACCTTCCACAGCGCCGTGTGCCCAAGACAAAGGCCTTCTGCACTTGGGCCCTTCGCGCCGCCACATTGACTGTGGCCGTTGGTTTGTATGAGTTCGAGACGAATGATGTCGGTGTGACCGAAGCTATCAAGAGAATCTGGAAGGCATGATTTTGAAAACTGTACATACATAGGCATTTCCTTTTCCTGTTTATATTACATCTGTCGTCGTTAAGTTCAGGCATTTCGTTTGGTTAGGCTCCTCCGGCTTTAGGGCACATGTCTACGACGCGATATGATTGCCCACATCCGGGTATCTTACGCCTGGCTGCTCTCTACCCAATGTCGACTCGGGCTCCTTAGACGGAGAGCTCGACTCAAGCAAAAGAAGGATTGAAAATATGTATACACATCAACATATCGTTACTATTCTTCCTCCGATAGCTCATCCCCCAGCAAATCATCATCCTCAGCCTTGGCCATAGCCTTTTCAATCAGCCTCAAGGTAGCGCGTAACGGCAGCCCAATCACATTATCATAGCTCCCTTCGATCCTTTGGACCAAGATCGATCCTAGGCCCTGCATCCCATAGCCGCCTGCCTTGTCCACTCCTTCTCGCGTCCTCACGTATGCGAGAATAAGTTCATCTGTAACGTCCGGATCAAACCTGACTTTCGTCTCTTCCACCACCGTCTCCAAAGCGTATCCCGGATCGCGGGCACTTTCCAGTGGCACGATCGCGGCGACGGCAGTGTATACCTTGTGGTCCGACACGTCTCTCAGCAACTTGAGCATACTTATGTGATGGGCCTCCGAGCGCGGCTTCTCCAGGATGTCTCCTGTTGATATGTCTACTACGATCGTATCGGCAGCGAGAATTAATGCCGGCTCACCCTTCTCCAGATTGTTCACCTCTTGCTGATATACCGTGATGGCCTTGTGAGTAGCGGTTTGGAGAACATATTCGAACGGTGTTAGAGTTTTCGGGAAGTCTTCTGGTGTGTTGGAAGGGATGATTTCGACATTGCGTAGGCCGAGGAAGGAGATTATTTGTTTGCGACGGGGAGAAGCAGAGGCGAGGATTACCCTTTTTGAGCGGAGTTCGTTGAGAACGGGGAGCGAGAGCGGTGGGGGGCGCGGGAGTGGTATGGGATTGGTGTTTGGGCCGCCCGTGCTTGAGGCGGCTGTTTCGTAGGATGGAGGAGGATCGGAGGGAGCGGGAGGCTGAGGATTCAAGTCTGCTTTCTTCTCAGACATGGTAAGACTGGAATGCTCTATGATTGCGCGGGGTGACTGGGCTGCAAATGATATATGAAGTCCAATATCTTCCTTAGATTTCAACTTATTTGTGTCACCCTTTTCCCCTCGAGAAACTTTCAACACTGTGTTGAGTGATCGCCGAGTGTTGGTGACGCAACTCCGCCTGTGCGCGCTGAGGCCGTTTGGTGGGGTCACGAACTAACGATCTTTTCATCCCAGGCGAAACCTCCGCTTTTGAATGGAAATCGTTGCACATCTCGTTGGGTTGAGGAAAGGGACTAACAGGGAAGTACTGAGTATGGCGCATAGCAATGAGAGTATTGACGGGGTTCTGAGTATGTATGGAGAAATATATGCCTAATAGTTTGTATGTATGAACATCCGGGATGCGAGGATATTGTACTAGGGAACTGGAAATCAAACTACTCCGTAATGCACCAACACATCCATAGCAGAACAAATTATGATCAACTATCCCGCCATCCGTTGGATGACCGCCTGGTAATGCTATTAAAAACCACCGGCTTGATGAACTCCTTGTGGCACCCTAAACTGTTATTACGTTCCAACTGCTCTAATCAGGCACAGGATTGTCGAGCCATGGATCACCGTCTGGCTCGGGAGAATTATCCAAATTTGTACCACGAATTCCACTTCGGTAGAGGACAACTTTAGCTGGAACCTCGCCGGGCGGCTGTATGAGGAAGAAGAGAAGTCACGGATCATAGTCCGATATATCGAAATAAATGCCGTTTTGTACTTCTAGAGAGCCGCTGTCTAGTAATCTTAACGGGCCGCTCGCGAAAGCAATTCGTCAACGCCGTGAAAGCAATCATCACCTGTCCTCTGGCCACTTTTATATAGAGTATAACTTGCCGCAACGTCGAAACCGGGGTATTCCAAAGTTGTTGTCAAGTGTTTTCCACTATATTGCGTGCCCGACCATCCACCGTTCCCCCTCTCTTCTCTATCTCTTCGATCAACTCTTGTCTCTCTTGGAGCTTGACACGAATAAAGTCCACGGTCTTTCGCAGAACCATGCCTTCGCTGCGTCCTTGACCGGCTAGGCCAGGAACAAGCTCCGTAAGTCTGTCAAAGCCTTCGCGGATCGCCGCGCGACGCTTCTGCTCGGACGCAATATGGTTGTTTTTCTTCTCTTGTTCCGTCAATCGAGGCTTTTCTCGCTCTGGAGGCCCCGCTGAAGTGAGTTTAGGGGAGGCAGAAGATTTGTCGGTGGCAGCGCTATTTTGATTCGCGGACTCTGTAGTATTTGTCTGGGAAGCGGGTCCTAGAGGCTGCATGGATAATAAAGGGGGTGAATTTGAGGGAGGCATGGGACCAGGGAAGGGTTTGGAGGAGGCGAGTATCATGGATGAGAAGCAGGCGAAGCAAATGTCGGAATCGCCGCAGCGTTTTTATCTTCCTTGCCCAACCCAAGAGAGAAATATGAATGTGGGAAATAAAGGAGAGACTTTGTTGAAAAGTTGAGTTGAAGCCATCGAGCGTTCTTCGTCGCCCAGCTAGTTGAACCGTATTATTATCTGTGCTCCCTCCCCCGGATTGTCTGTTTCGGCTTGATTCTTGCCGAGACAACCCAGAAGCTTGTTGACGTCAAAGCCCGAAACCTTTCGTCCCAATCTCTCATAGCCTGAACCAAAGGCACTTAATTCTCTCTTCTTCTTCTTCTTCTTCTTCTGTAAATCCCTCACGGTTGCCAGAATTGCTGTATTTTTTTTTTCGACCTTGTATGATATATGAACTGATTCGCTCCCTAGCGTTTTTCACTTCGGTTTTGATTTTCGGCGCAGCATGAGTCGTGAAAGACCACTGAGAGGCGGTTGTTCATGTGGAAGAAATCAATATGCCATAATTGTACCTCCGGATTCTGCGGAGCAAGCCGAAGTTTACTTTGATACAAGTAGCGAGCACAGTATGTCCCGAGGCAATTGGACAGTCCTTAGCCGTAATGTCTCATTGTTTGCTGACCCTGCAATTTCGATTCTCGACAGGGCGGACCCAAGGGGCACCGCTAACAGCTTGGCTCCGCGTTCCCTTGCTGTGGTATCAGTCTTTTACAAGATCCTACTTCCCTGACGAAACCCATGCTGCTATTCGCCGCGTTTTCATCCCAGAGACCGCCCCACACAGCAGACGTGTCTTCTGTGGCTTCTGCGGCACTCCGTTGACTTTCTGGACCGAAGATCCACCAGAGGAGGCCGACTACATGTCTGTCACTGTCGGGAGTCTTTCAAGTGAGGATCAGGATATTCTTGAGGATTTGGACCTTCTCCCAAGGGATCCTACGAATGAAGATATTGCTAACACTAGCTCTTCTACATCCGCTTCTCCGCCTACGGATCCTCTTCAGCTTCGGTCCAGGGAGCCTCAAATCTCAGTAACCCGTCGAGCGGGGGCCATTTATGGCATTCCTTGGTTTGAGGAAATGATTCAAGGAAGCCGTTTGGGCCGTATTGGTAAACATCGTCGGGGTTTCGGGGCTTCACCAGACAGATCGGTGCAGATCGAATGGGAGGTGACCGAATGGCATGACACAACTGGAGGTCCGACCACGCAAAAACATGGTTCAAGTCCAGATCGTGTAACGATCTCTTCTAAAAGAAAGAGCCCAGAGGTCGGTTGAAGAGACATTGATGATTCGGAACAACCTCCTGGTTTTAGCTTGGTGTTGTTCCCTTTCCATACGATATGAGCACTAGCTTACTTTCTATACAAGCAGGAATAATCTGCGGTCGTTCTCGAAATCTCACGCTGCGGTATCATTGGGCTAACAACTTCAGGAATGTGTCTAGAATAGTCAGAGGCTCTAACTTGCTTTGCGGGCGTTGCCTTCGCTCTTTGCTGCTCTTGGAGTTCATACCAGTGTTTCTCCATGTACTCTACAATACTTGGCTGGGTTCCGCTTCCAATTGTGGCCCAGCCTAATATACCGTAAGGTTCTCCCGATATCTAGTATCAGGTTCGCCATTCCATGCCCCTGTAACTTTGAACTGCTGAGCTCTCCTTGGCCTCAAGTCAGATGCTTAACATCATGTCTGGTGCTTCAAGAGATCCGTTTATTTTTATTAACAGTTATAGCCCGTCCGGCGAATCTTCGACGAGCTCACAGGATGTCCTTGAGATTTTGAATCTATATTTGAGTTGAAAACACGCTCGCCTTTGCTTCGGGAAAAGCCTCCCTTGTCCCAATGCTCTTGTTGGGATAAGTATAACTCCTTTTTTTTCCCTTTTTCCGCCCCTTCTGAACTGTTGAGGTTTGTTGCCATGGGCACACAACTTTTAGATGGGTACCGCGCACCAGACTGTGAAATGGGAGTTTGGATCAATGGGCGTGGATGTTGATCCCATTTCACACCTTAGGGCGAGGATCATTGTGTTCGGAGAGCAGAAAGCTCTCTAAGAATCATGCAAGCTGATAAAATGCATGCTGCTACATGATTCTTGCTATTTCTCATCACATTTCATTGCAACAACAATACAAAGGATATGGTAGAAGTACCCTTCTTCTAATTCAGCTTACCACCATGGTCAAGTCTGACCAATGTTCTTGTTACTTTTAACAAGGATATTGTACATTTGATTCTGATGTTCTTATATCACACTATCCCTTTTAGGACCCTCACGTGGTCTCTCGCGCATTTGCACCTACACATATTTACCTTCACCAATATCAGCCTACAAACATCAGGATCTAATAATTCTGACAGGTTGGAACTTAATATCCAATGGTGAGTTTTGGAGCTCTACCTCATCCTATAATCACTTGCCAGCTGCAGTCATGGCCACAGCTACTTCTAGGCTCGGCGCAGACAGTCCTTTGCCTGATAGAGCCAGTGCCAATGCTCGCTCTGATAGTGCGACTAATCAACGTGTCGATGATATTTCCCTATCCTTTGTCCCAACTTACAGATTTATGACTCCAACATTTTCTTCTTGTTTGCGCCCTCCAAAAAGAGCCCCACAGGTGCCGCCACCATTTCCAGAGACCCCTACACCTCCAGCTCGCCCCTCCGCCCGCTCTCGAGCCAGGAGTTGGGCCGCAGCAGCTGTGAAAACCGTGAAAAGTGTTGAAGTTTTGCGCTCTAGGAAATCATCAGTTGCCCTCAAAAAGGGTGCTGATAAACGACGTGGTTCAACAAGCGAGTTAGGGGTACGTAAATCCGGATCCCCTGAGCATAATGACGCGAAGCTTTTCCCTAATTATTTTTGCAGGATAAGTACCATCTTATTTCGATTGCTCATTCAACTCCGCGTTCATTCTCTTCAGGAGCTATAAACCTTCGTGACCCATACAAAGTAAGTTTGGCGAGTCACCCTAGTTTCTATACAAGCTGCTGGATGAGCTAACAGGGACTAGGATATACCTCCTGTTCCAAGTCCTTGGGTGGATAAAGCCCTTCCATCCGAGAAACCTCTTCCTCAGACTCCCGGTGCAAATCCGGATCCCAATCTTTCTCCAGTCACCTCCCGCAGCCTTATTGACGCGGAAGAACGCCCTCTGTGTCGGTCCCCGCCAGGAATGCCTGGGATAAAAGAAGATTGGCCGATATTAGCGCCTACCAAGGCAACCGAGTCTTTAGACAGCGAAATCAGTAGAAGTCAATTGACACCAATGGCTCCAATGGCACCCGAAAATATTGAGCGTGGCGTTAGAATGTTTAATGATGCGGCGGATAGGCTTGCTGGCTCTTTCGGAACCGTACCCACTCCTCCACAGGATTCTACATCCATGGATAATGAAGTATCTATCACCACAGACGCGTCTTCTCCACGTCAGCCAGTGTCCACGACTCCTGAACCAGGCACCGTTAATATATCAAAGGCTTCTGCTTTGAACCCCTTCAGGTCCAGATCTAGAGCTTCAGATTTTCCTGGTAGCTCCCCTACAACACCTGTGAATCGAAACTTCTCCTACACATTTGACTCCCAGCGCCGGGGTGGTATGACTGACTCCTGCAGCTCTTCAAAGGGCGAAAAGCGTGAAATATTTTCGGGCAGAGGTTCCATAGCTGAAGATTTGCCTTCATCTGGAAGGAAGAGTTCCGCATCCAAAATTCCTCGCGTTTCACCGGCGGTTTCGCCATCAAGTCCGACGTTCCCTTCTGGTGTAGAGAGCAGACCAATGTCCCCACTACTTTCTCCAACCCATCGCAGCTCGATTCCCCTTCCAAGCCGTTTCCTTCGCAGTCACAGAAGCGAGCAAGCGCCAATTATCCCTGCCCGTAAAGCCTCGACTACGTTTGGGAAGCTTGAGAAGAGTATTGTCCCCGCCGCGGGAAAATCAACCCAACCAGAGATGGTTAAATCTACCGGGCATGATACCTCTGTGGAGCTTGGACTTGCAAGCGATACTGAAGAGTCCGACCCTGGGGCTAAGGTTGACACCGAATACATTACGGAGGGGGGTGTTAGAGTTAAACAGCTATCCCATGCATCTCCGTCTGGAGGCCCACAATTGCGAATCTCTCCAGAGGCCGAGAAAGTTATAATGGGTGACGACAATACACAGCCAAGTGAGAACAAGAGAAACTCAGTTCAGCGTCTCTGGCGGTTAGAGAATCGACGTGAACTTAGGATGTCTACCGACAGTTTGTTCGGTGGTTTTGGAATGAAACGTGACGGTAACCCACGTGCAAGGTCTTCGTTGGGCAATGTCTCAACACCGGACTCCCCGCCGAAAGATGCGGCTTTGACGAGGATTCCCACAGTGAAAAGCGCCGACCTCAGTGTTCATTCTCCTTCGCCTCCCGGAAATGATCAGGGGTCCAAAAAGCTGGTGACAATGGACGTTGGTTCTTCACCAGTGGTAAAGACTTCGAATAACCCGTTCTTTAACAAAGTCCTGTCAAAGTCTTCCTCCTTTACCGTTAGAGAGGAATGTAAAAACCAAAAATATGTGCAGAACAACTTTCCATGTAGCGCAAAGTCACCTCAAAAACACGAAATACCGCAGAATGGGCCGCCCAAGGGAGATAGCGCACGCAAAGATAGCCCTCAGCATATAAAAAAGAATGAATTCTCACCGTCTAAAATTAAGCGAACTCCGGAGCGATTAGAACTCCGAAAGCATTCCCATGTCGTGAGGCGAGAATCCCCTCGAATATCGCGCCCTCACGAAGCTCCCAATCGCTTCCCTGATAAGTTCGGCCGCCCACACTTAGACGAGGAAGCATACCAATCAAAGTTAAGAGCTGTTCGGATGACACCAATGCCTGTCACTGCACAGGATACTGATCATACTCAAGGTATCAGGTGTAGGGATGGAGCTTCTCAGGGTCGTCACTCGCACCTCCATGCACTTAATCACGCATCTCAAGATTCGACCAAACAGAAAGTCTCTGGAACGAAAGGAGTGTTGTCAAACTTCCGTGGCCTTTTTACCAAACATAAAGCAGAGCCTATCAAAGAAAATCCAGCTCCTACTCCGTCCGGTCAAAGAGAACGACTCTCACGAAAGTCTAAGGCCTCACTTCACGGAAGACGGTCCATCGCGAGGAGCCCAGTTCGGTATTATCAGGCAATATTTGGCACCGATCGTGAGGTTCAAGCGTCCCGTGAGCTGCAGAATCGCGATGTCCCTGTTTCTGCCAATAATTCCTTTACACCGGTGGCACCTGCATTTGTAGACACTCGAGAAGTTAGTGGGCTGGCTATGGAAGTACTCGATTCAGCTCGCACTGAGCCAGACACAAGAAACAAGGAAAGACTTGTCAAAGTGAGTATATCTATTGCAAATGACGATGTTGAGGACCTGCTAAAATCGTCATTAGCTTGGTAGTTTTCTTATCGAGGCAGTCAACAACTCCAATGATGCGGAAAAAGCAATGATAACTGCCATTCAGGCTGCAAAGCAGGCCGAGATTTCATGTGCTTTAGCAAAGGAGAATGCCTTGCGGATTGGTCGAGTTGCTCATGAGTGGCTAGGAGAAACCATTAATGGGACCAGAGCCTAGATGTTTCCCTTCCTTGAATTGCCTTCTGGTTTGCGGTGAATGTTTGACTTGGGGTTGCGCACACACTGGTTCTGGCACTTATGCTTAGAAAGAAACTAAAAAAAAAAAAAAAAAAAAAAAAAAAAAAAAAAAAAAGAAGGGGAGAAAAAAGGAAAATTATCCTCCGGGTCTCTTCCGGTTTAACGTTATGTTGATGATTATCTTTGCCTTTGGCTCCCACAACTTTAATCCCTTGGGGTTCCCATTCTTCGGCTTACCATTCTCCGCCAATGCTGCCAGCCCCCGCAGCTTTGGGACCTGCAAGGCTTTTTAGCCATAATGTATCCTAATGAACCTTAATGTTTGAGTAAATGATCATACTTTGCCATCTCATGTTAGTTCCTTTGAATTCCTTAAATTCTCGCTATATTTTTCCTTATAGCCTTTGAAGCTGACATACTATTCTTATAACGCCCTAAATTCGCGATTGGTAAAACATATTTTGCGGCGATAGCAGCGGGTAGCGTTGATCTCAAGCTCGAGGTAGGACTTCATCGGCATGCGGCTGATATAAGGCACTGACTTGGAAGCAGTTGAAGATACGCTACTTACTCATGCACCTCGATGTAAAAGAACAATAATTATCTACGGTTATTAAGTGAGTGAATTGAGAGACCCAGCCCAAATATGTACTTTTCTGTAATCGTAGTATTCAGGGGCTGGATTGACCAACGAACAACCGGGCCAATGACGGGTGTGGCGGCGGGTGCTGACTAATATGAAAGCTTATTTGAACCTCCCTTTTCAGTAATGCCAACCTCGATGCTTAAACAACAGAAAACTACTGGGATTGAGCGACCTTGCTAGCGAATAAATACAAAGAGCGAGGCGATTTCAGGGACAAGCTAGGTGGCAGGCTTTAATGCCCTTTTGATATCCTATAATGTTGCAGTTAAGAGCCAACACCTCATGTGCATTTATTCTGATTTACGTATTTTGAAGAGGGATCAAAAATCTTCAAGTACAAGTAAAATTTTCGGCTTCCTATGGCTGCCAGGATGGATTTCATTCCATGGTGTATAACTCTTCAAAAAAGGACTTGCCTGATGCTGTCCTGGCATATATTTTTTGAATTCCCCGTCCGATGGACCTGTATGGGATGGTATCAGCGCAACCGAGATCAGATACATGCTTTGCGGAGTTTTCCCAGGGCACACATCCAGTTGACAAATGAGTAAGAAGATCATGTCGTTTGCTAAGTCTACTTGTGTATGCACACTGTAATTCCTGAGTAGCTCTCGTTTGATCTTACGAGGCTTATTACACCAATCAATGCACTACGGAACTCGCCTGTGTGGGCTGATCTGGTTGCCATGTTTATCTCACTAGCGCGAACTTGAGGGTATAGATTCTTTCTCATAGCCCCCTCTTTGCTTCTAATTTCTTTCTCGTATCTACAGTTCTTCAACAGAAGTTGAATTCCATTCCTCTATCCTCCCATCGTTTGCATTAATGGCTCTTCGACGGCTTTACTGTCAGGGTCTTACTATTGCTGTCTTTCTTTTCTCAAAAAGTCGGAGCATAAGCACTTAATCTGTTGCCCTTGTCTTTAAACTATCAATTTCTACCTTGTCGTTATGACATGTTCGTTTTTCACCCCTCTGCAAAGGACAAAAGCAGAGAGGGGGCAACATTTCGTTTGCTGCTCTGCCACTACGTTTCCTCGACCCTACGAAGCCAATGTTTGTTTCCTTTCCTGCCGTTCGTTCTCCTTTGGTTCAGTCTCTTACGACTAAGCTCTCAGAACTACTTTTCTTTAGGATCAATGCCTGGACGCTCAATGCAATATTCTTGTTTTACAGTATGTGACCCTCTCGCATTGAATCTTTCTCCTTTGCCTGACAGCTTAAGAGTATCTTGGACGACTCCATCTCGTTCTTGCTAAATCCATACGATGATGTCGTGTTGACGTTTTAATCGTTTGTTGTGAATCTCACAACATGGTCTCGACGCGGTCGTCGAATTACCGCGTATTTGCTCTTGGAATTTCTTTTGCTCTCTCACCCCACATTTCTTTACGCTTGCAAATCTTTCCAGCCCAACAGCTGGTCGATATTCTACGATTTAATTGATTAGTCGTCGCGCAAGTCAACTAACTCACTGTAAGTGTGCCCGCTCCTCCTGCCTGTCGGTGATTGCTGACAATTCCATCTCCTAGAATTTTCCTTTCCTTTTCGCGATCTTCCCCGCTCGGCAGGCCACTATTTTTCCCAGTTTCTCCGTTGGCTCATAGATGGAGTCTATCGCGTCATTCACCCAATTTTGAAACCGTTCTCGAGTATATATTTCATAAAATTTGGAAAACTTCAGGTTTGTACCCAAATACTTTCTCATCCTTAGAATTAATATTTAACGCCTGAATCGTAGTTCAAACCTTTCAGCAAATCCTTTCTCAGAATTGAACTCGACAATTTTTCAACATCACATCCGCCGATTATCTTGCTCTGCACGCCGTCAACACCAGGTTTGGATCAGCTCTTGACGCCATTTATTCCTGGCTGCTAACTTCTTTAGCAGCCGTTTATCCCAATTCTGATTTATTGTTTTTGCATCAAGTTGCAGCATACGTGCATTCAGTGATGCGTCTTCGACGCGAATGGTAACTACTTGGAGCCTTAACCCTAGCGATTATGCTTTCTAACACCTACAGTTCCTCCAATCAATGGCAGCCAAGCCGTGATCAGTAGGTGGCAGTCTGACTCTGTCTTCCTTTTTGGTATTTCAAGCTGATTTTCGATCCAGTCTAACTAAAATGCCGCCAATTCTCTTTCAGAAATCGTGGATTGCCCCTTCGATCGGTATTCTGATGGAACAAACGAACCCACCAAGATAAATAAATAAACATTAAAAAGACAAAAAGAAAATAAGGAAAAAAGAAAAAGATTAAGAGAAAGAAAAAAAAAAAAAAAAAAAAAAGGTATAACAGAAAATAAAAAAATTATATGTTGGTTTTAGAAAGTGTTTGACTATTGAGCCCCCCTGAGACGATATGAAGCGACGAGCAGGCTTATGGAAACACCTCGTTGAGTGATTTCAGTGGGAAAAAAAAAAAAAAAAAAAAAAAAAAAAGGAAAAAGAAAAAGAAAAAGAAAATGGAAAAAAAAGGGGGGGGAGAAAGAGAGAGAAGGGAAAGGATATCCAGCAATGATTATCAGCTTATGCACCCCTACTCCCCGCTACTGCTGTGTTCTGGCGCCTGCTGCCTGCCTGTCCTGCTTTCAATGCGTGTCACCATTTTATGCGTGTTTTGATAAATGTGCCTCCCACTGTCTCGTCTGGCTTTTGTCTACAATCCTTCCTGTGGTATTTGCTTAGGTCCTTATGTATCCTATGCTACATCTTTTGTCTTGCCTCGTCAGTTTTGGTCATAGTCACCGTTCCTTTCGCTTTTATTCTTGTCCTTTTTCTGAAAAAGGCCGTTATTCCTACTCATTCGTACCACAGGGCTACTCGGCGCGCGTATCCTTACCGCATATCTACAACAAACATTGAGTGAAACTCATCTCCTAACTCCTACAGCCGTCATGATCTCATGCTAATATTTATTACAATACAGTGACTCCTCAACATAGCGCCCGCAATCTATAACCGATCGGCGGCAATGGCGGCTGATGTGGCGTGGGATAGCGCACTGGTTTCCTTCGATCGCTCTTGACTTGAGTCAAACGCTTTATGCGGTTCACGAGCTTCAAATACCTGGTTTCTTTTCCGATTGATATAATCAAAAAGACCTTGGAAAGATGCTGACAACCCTACAGTACCAGGCTCCTTGTCTCCTTCTCTTCGGCTGCCTTCCAATCCATTTTGACCATAATAATCAACTGACGGCTCAAGGTCGCTCAGGGTGGCGTGGTGGACAAACAAGGACTTCCGAACATATCTTACCCGCGTTTATTTCTATAAGCTTTAGCTTCTATATCCGATCATATGCTGTTACCCTAAAAGTCTACTTAATTTTTATTGCTTCGCTAAGCCCCACAGACCCAATGTACACACTCTTAAGGTGTTTTGAGCTATACTAATGTCATTTTTAGAGTAACAGATGCGACGCCTTATATTCGCGTTCTTGGGTCTTATAACCAAGCATACCTCTGTGTTATGCTGTGGCGTGGAGGATATCTTTCAGATCCCATCATTCGATCCCATCTCTGACTTGCTCAAGCATTGATCCGGTTTTCCTATTAAACAACACTGGTTCAATTGTTTCCTTCTACTTACTGACATACTCGAGCACTGTTCTTCTCTTTTCAATTGGATTTCTGTTTTCAATGAAGCTGACATGAAGAAAGGAAATATGGGGTCTATAACCAGCCAGCAGTTCGAGGCTTCCTGGCGTGGCGTGGTGGGTCATACACTCGAATTTACATCTTTTAACTAGTACGGCAATTATCCTGTTGGGCCGAAAAATGGCTTAACTTAGCAGACCATTTCCCTCCCTCTTTCTGGAAATCCACCGGCTCACCATTTGACCAACGTCAAACATTCTAGTGTCCACAAGACAAAACGGTCGCGGAGATGTCTGAACATCTCGACAAATATAGCATTCGAATCCAGGGTGCCTTCTTTTGGCTCATTTTGATTCTATGAGACATTGGCTGACAGACAAAATGTCACCTTTCTAGGCTAATCATCTTATCCTCTACCTCATAGAATGACTTGAAATAACTTGCCAAGGGCTCTGAGGCCAGTGGCGTTGCGTGGTGGGATTCATCTTTTGATCAGAATATTTGCTCCGATTCAGCATTAACGTGATCTGTAAAAACACGGCTTCATTTTTTCATTTTTTTGTTTTTCGCTTTATGCAACGATTCTTGCTGACTTCCTCTACATCTTTTAGGTTCATATCTAGGAGTATATTGGACCATATAACCAGTCAGCGGCTCGAGGTCGCATGATATGGAGTGAAGGGATCGAATTACAGCGAAAATCCTTAAATACCTGGACTATTGTGCCTCGTTGGAGAGGCTTCGAAACAGCGTCCTATGCTGTTCCATTCTTACAAATTACACAAGATAAAGTTGGTCTCTTATATTTCAACTTGCTAACATTTGTCTATTACTAGGGAATATCTACAGCTCTCGAAAAGTGTGGGCGTGGACGATACCTAACATTCATTTCGAACATACGTTCTCTTTTATTTAACAGCTCTCTGACAAGAAGTTCTTTGAAAACTCCAGTCTGTTGAATTTGTAATCCATTAGTCGCCCAACTGTGACTTTCTCAACGCAATCACTATGAAAGAAGAGCGAGATACACTCATATCGAGGGTTTATATTTTACATTCCCCGTGTTGTTTCTCCCCAGTTTATCTTCGAATGAGGATCCACTCGGGCCATCCCGCATAAAACTTTTCTCTTGCCAATTCCTCCTTGACACCAATACCAATCGCTAGGAAACGTTTCTCTTGGGTTCTTCATAACCAGTTGGTAACTCGGGGCTACCAATATGGCGTGGGGGAAATGTCTGTTCCACCTACGATTCGAAAATGAAATTGTTCTTCGGAATAACACTATTCTCCTTCCACTGAAATCAACTTTTCTGGGATTTTATAACCAATTGATAGCTCGAGGTTATCAATGTGGCGTGGAGGTCATAACCTATCTTTCCTCAGCTTCCAAGAGGTCTCTACCAGATCTTCTAACGCGGACACTTGGGCACGTTATTTTCCTAGGGTTTTATAACCAATTGGTGAGCTCGAGGCTACCAATATCATGTGGAGAACTCCCTTTCCCACTTCAGCGAAAAGATCACTCTCTGTCCTTTTTCGACACCTACGTTTGGACTTCCGGATAACCTACCGATTGCTCTGAGGGACTTGGCGAGGTGTGGGAATGGTCCTCTCTCTCAAGTTTCCGCGGGCCCCCATCCACCCGACGTTTAAAGAAAGCCCCCGAAACTGTTTGAATCCTATCTTCATTGAGTAAGCGCCATTAAAGTGTCGCGCTAGGCTCTATCACACTCATGGGCAGATCCATTTTCTCCAAAACCCGTCTTATGACTCTCTTCCATTTGGTGGCTCATGGAGGAAGTCTTCTTTTGCTGTTGTAAAGGGGGAGGAGGTGCTTGGTCGATGGCTTGTATGGGCTGGAACCAGTATAATCTTTGGGTATCCTGTATTTCCCATATATTATATCCAATGGTGTGAAGCAAAATTTGCCACCTGTTATTTTATTATTCTTTATTCTTCATTTCATTTTGTTCTTCCACAAAGTTATACAGGTGTATCGTTGGCAATGTTGATGTGCAGCCTTATCGCAACTTTACCTCATTTAGCACCCTAAACACAACATATCTACTACACGACTGCTCCTACATATCCATGAATTGATTCAGATAAGGTTATATATGTGTACAGAGTACAGCACATCAGTATGAAGCATACACATAACTACTCCATATAACGATGTGACGGTTAGCCAGCGGCCGAAAATGGCCATTTTCCATGCTGTTTTTGGCCGCCTGCTAGGGCATCCCTTCAATAATCACGTGAATCAAGCACCACGGCCGCTTGTTTTGTGGCCATCATTCACCCTCACTCACCCGCTCACTCACCTTTGCCCGGGGGGCCATTTTTGACTGAGCAAAGCATCAAAATGACAATCATGTTCTCTCCAGTTCCAGATCCCATCATGCTGACTGTCTCTGGTCCTGCTCCTGTTGTCTTTTGCAGCTGCCACCATGTATCAAAACACTAGTCTCTATGTAGTTAGCCTCCAGCTTAGGGGCTCAGATCTTCTTTGATCTGAACGCAGAGTTTTCATCCTGGTTCTCATCTCAACCAAGAGTCTTACAAGGTGGGAGACCGAGGGCACGAATGTATGGGCCCTTCGAGAGGGGACGTGTCCGAGGTTAATTTAACTTTCAACTTATATAAGTTTATGTGGAGAGGACGGGGAATATATAGCCACGAAACAGCAGGGATGGGCTTCAAGAAGCGACTGAACCTAGAACAAGATAGATATCAAGTGGAAGGACGATGACAAGGAGGAAGAAGACTTGGGCGACAGGCAGCAGGTGAGGGGCAGACTGGTGCCTATTCATTCTTCCCATTGGTGGCGGGCCACGTCCTGGATGCTCCCACACCAACAAACAACACCTTCCCATCAGACCAGCAGAGCAGCAGAAATTCTCAATGGTAGCCCGTTATGCAATCAGAAAGGGATTCATTCGATTCCCCGGAGAAAGTTGGCTGGCTCATGGCGGCCCTTTTTCGGCTTTACCTCTCCTACTCGTCAGGCTCGTTCCGGTTTGGGTGGCTACAAAAGACGGTGGACCTCAAGGTGCGTTGTAGGGACACCACTAGCGATAAGGCAGTTTTTCCAATATCCTCGGATCTCCTAAAGGCCATCCATAAGTGTGAGAGAGTTACCGCGCCAGAGAAATCTCGGGGCCTCCCAAGTGACTGGGGTTTCTCTGGCTTCATGAAGACCGCAGCCCACCAGGTTCTAGACGAAGTTCCCTTTACGCAGTCTGAAGAGTAGGATAATATATCCTTTATTTATTTTTGTTCACCCTCTGACGTTTTATCAGATTCCATGGCCCACTCTTTAGATGGCTGGGCGTTGGCATCATGATCAATTCCTACCCCGCCATTAAGGGGGTCCAAATCTTCATCATAACCACTGGAGCTGCATAATTCGGGATCTTTCGAGCGCATTCGACACAAAATAGCAAGAAAATCGCAGAGATTACCTTCTGAAAAGTGAGCTACTCGCAGTCACTTCGATCTTCTACCGCCAGATGAACGAGGTGGTGTGGCTTCCTGAGGAGGACCGGTATATGGCCAAGCTGATATACAAGGAAGGTTTCTTAATGGTATGTTCACCATTTCTCTCCTTTGCACTTCCTTCCCATTATTCGTATCCATGGAATTGTGCGAATATTGACAGGACCCCCAAGGCCACGGTCGTGACATTTGTCCATGGGAAAGTACGCATAATCCAAGCGACCTGCAACCCATCGGAAACGTACCCAACGCTCACCTTGACGCTGAGGGCTATATATAAGCTCGGCGAGGACAACTACGATAAGGAGGTGGCCTTTGATGTTCTGAAATGGATTCTCAGCCCTCCCGAGCCGGCCAAGCAGCTCTCCTTGAGAGCAAAGAAGTAGGCAATTTTGTCATACATATAACCAGGCATGAAATGCGTGAGGCGGTTTTGCTAGGACTGTGATGATACGAATATTTGGCGATTTTATTTACTTTCTTTTTGTCATCCAGGCTGCTCTCATGAGCGTTACTATGACGAATTTGTATCCCACTCGACGGAGCGTATTGAGCATGTTATTTGCAAATATTCTATTCAAAACCACATTGCTCAATTGATATGCCAGCATTTCGAAAGTGGCCTTCGGCACTCGCCTTTTTTGCGCCGACAGAATCAACGCACCGTTGAAGGAAAATACCGAAACCCTGGCTAGGGCCTTCCTCATATAATGACCAGTTCTTCTTAACGTAAGCCTTCAACTCAGCAAAGAATTCCTCTATTTAGTTCAAATCAGGCGAGTAAGGTGGCAAACATAGTAGCTTCACACCAGCATCGAAGCACATCTGCTTTATCCTGGCCGAGCGGTGGAATGATGCATTATCCATAATTAGGACAGATTTTGGTTCCGGCCACCGCCCACAGTGCTGAAGAAGCTGCCCAATAAAATCTTCAAAGAAAGCCGCATCAGTTGAACCGGTAAAGACACGAAAAAGGAGAATGCCAAATCAGGCTCTGTCAAGATACACTGGACGACACATCATCCCCGTGGTTTGCCCGATAAAGATACTTCCACACGATATTGCAATGAACAAGCTAGGTTGATTGGCACTGTGGTTGAGGGTGACTCGCAAAAATGTGGCCCTCCACCGGCCTCGCAGATGTAAATCAGGCCAATACCAGTGGGATTGGAAGGAACGGAAGGAATCAGCAGACCTGCAGGTTTGCTCCAAAAAGATGGGAAAGTAAATGGTAAGGAAAATGGAACACGATAATATGTGCCTTTGTATCTGGGTGTTGCTCATAACATGCCCTTAACTATGTCTTGTTCAATGGTCCTATCCACGGCCGGAAATATTCAATATTGGCATAGATTTTCATCTTTGCCACATACATTCCAATACCTTCCTGCCTCCGCCTGCAGACCATTCAACAACCGACCATCGACCCCCATCAATACTAGGATCATTGGATTCGGCTTTCCGAGCTGATTTCCCCAGCCGGAAATATCCAATATTGGCAGAGTTATTCACATTTCTTTGCCACATACATTCAGTACCTTCCTGTTTTTGCCTGCAGACCACCAACTATATGAGTATCTTTATAGATCTCATAAACAACTATCATTCTATTCGTTGACTGATATATTGACTATCATTTCCAGTAGCTGGCTTTCTAGTCAGTGCAAACATGTAACTAGTGCCATAGTCTTAGACTGAATGCACTTATTGAAGTAAAAAAAAGTCTTGTGTCTCCCATTGCCTACTCATATTCCACGCTTATCTGTCGTCGTATGTAGAGAATCGTTGTAATAGCCGCTGCAACTACAAAACCCACTCTACTTCTTCAACGCGCTAAGACCCTTTCTACACTCAGGCGGCGGAAATCCATCGGAGAGCTCAGTGAATAACACGCGCAGCTCTTTGTTTGGAAGAGACTCAACATCCTAGCCGTCAGTCATCATCAAGACGAGAGTCTTCCCCAAAGCAGTCAGTCCACTCGCCGCCATCGTCAAAACGTATCCAGTCAACCAAGATATCCCTCACCTATTAAAGAAGAGTAGTATTCTAGCGATGGGGAAAGGCCTCGACAGCGCGTCTCATTTAACCCACCAACCAGATCATCTCCTCAGCGCTTGGAGGGAGCCTCATCTCGTCGCCCAAGTTCCACAGATCCAGCTCTCGCGAAACCTCAGCATCATGTAATCCTGTCAAGGTCGTCAACAAGATGTGTCCTGTTCTGAAAAGAATTAACTACACTTGAACTGGTCAGATCCCAAAGAGCCTCATCAAGAACAACTTCCGAAAGTATTTTGATGTCAAGAAGCTTGTAGACCTTATTGGAATTCCACACAGTTAAGGAAAGAGAGCTGCTTTAAGGCCAAATTCAGCTGCAACATGGGCGCTGGTTTGTTGTCGAGAGAAACAAGAGGAAGACAAGGCTCAAGACGGCAAGAAGGAGGGGTTTGATATCTTGAAGGAAGTGGCGCGTCAGACTTAAATACTCTACCCTCTATAATGAAAATATCATGTAAGGCATCTGACGGATGCGAAAAAGGTGATTTGATGGATTTCCAACTGACCCGGGCGCTCAAATTCTACATTCTTCCAAGTGCCGGCTTCGCCTCCCACAATTGCATTCAAACTTCTGAGTATGCTTGGCGCAAGGCACAGGTGGAATAATTGTTTTTCCGGCCAAGATCTTGAACCTTGGTTGCCTGGAAGGTTGCGACCTCCAGTTGACACGCTAATATCGATTCCACCACGCGCGATGAATCCCCAATCCCTTCCTGCTAGACCTTTGCCATACAGCTCCTAGGGAGAATTTTTGATGCATCCATCGCTCATTTTGTCTGCGTGACCCCTTGGCATTTTCACTCAGTAGAGTTTTGCTGGAAAGTTCTTAGGCGACTCCCCGCGATCTCATAATTTACCGTGGCCGAGCGCCAGAGTTCACAACGCTCTGTTTTAATATGGCGAACCTTTCGCAAGACGATCGAATCACCATTAAAAAAATACCCTTTGAACAACTCCCTGGATCATTTACAGGACTTGCTTCAAGATACAGAGAGGTTCTACACCACACACCTAATTTCTTATGATGGTGCTCTCGATGGCCTTGATGAGGCCTGTCAAAAGCCAGTATCATGACTTCTCTCTGCTTTGCAGGGTACAGATGCAGCTCTTGTTCTTCAGTCAAGGATTAGCAGTGGCAATGTAGCATCAGAAATGGCATGTCTATTTGAGCATGTTCAAAAAGATAACTTCAGCTACACCTACTACCACCTCCTGGTGAAGCTTGTCATCCAAAAAGCATCTGACTTTGACATCTGGAATGCTGTCCTTAGCCTTATTGCAACTTCCTCACAGGCTACTTCTCCACCCTGCCCTATTGCATTTCTTCAACAGACACCTTGGCTGTGCAACACCAGCAGTTTTGTCAACTCAACAGAATACTGAAAGCATGTTAACACTATATTAAAAGAGGAGCTTGGGGACCTTCATGTGGATATCTCTGGTTTTCTTGAAGTCTATTTTGGGAATATCTCAGGTCTTGATTTAATCACATGTGTTGTCTTCAATAAGTGCAAGAAAGAAGATCACCTGCTATATAATGAAGAGAAGAGGTAGAGGGACTGGCCAGAGCAAGCAGTGGAAAAGAAGATGCTAAAGTGGCTGGCAGATGTTATCAGAGAGCTTGTGCATTTTGTGGAGACATATGACAGCTCAGAAAATTGACTGGAGGCCTCTCACACAGTCTACCCAGTCTCTAGAGAGATCTATTGCAACACAGAAACTTGATATTGGCTTTGTTAATGATTCAAGTGCCCCTGAAGACTCCATATGTCACTGGTCTGAGATTCTTGTACCTGGGGAACTGAAGAATGACCCCAAATATTACAGCCTCTCAAGAGCATGGCTTGACTTGGGAAGATACACCAGAGAGATTCTAGCTGCTCAGAATTCATATTGTTTTGTTCTGGAATTCACTCTCTGCAGGCCATTCCTCTGTCTGTGGGAATTTGACCATCTAGGGGAGATAGCATCAGAGAGCTTTAATATTAACACTGGTCTCAGATTCATATCTATTATTCTTGAGTTTCTTCTGATGAGCCTGGAACAACTTGGATTCAACCTCACTATCATCACTATTGGAGGCCAACATTACATTGAGATTGAGAAATATGGTGGGAAGAAAAGACTTGTTATTGATGATGTAATTGGGCAGGCATGCTGTATTACTGGTCAAGCTACAACTTGCTGGAAGGTACATCACAAGAATGACTCATAAACCCCACTGGTGGTCAAGAACTCATGACAGTATCCAGAGTATGATAAGAAAGAGAAGCTTTTGTGCAAAGCAACAGAGAGTGATATCACCAATATTGCTAGATACTATTATTATGGGACCATCTGTATCAGCAACAAGAACAATAATATCTTGAGTATTTGAAGAGATCTAAGCATTCTGACATTGAAATTCAGACAGAGCAGTATGAAGCCAATCACTAGCTGAAACAAATTATACTAAGAGTGAAAGAATTAAGATAGTGCTTCTGAACAGAAAAGATCTTCTGACTGTGCAAATACTCTGCTTTTTTCTTCTTTCAGCAAATATACTCAGTCAAGCTCTCTAATCAAATCTTCTGCAAACAGCATTTCACTGAATTGAGTGCACTACTGTGTAATTGTCCAGGACTATAGAAAGCTAATCTATAAGAGCAGTTCAAGAGTGGCCCTGCTTGCTGGGCTAAAGAGCTGTATCAAAGAGTATGATTCTCTATCAAAACACTGGGATGATTCAATGTGATATCTTCTCTTGAAATCTACTGGTGAATGAAGATGATGATAACTCTTTCTGGCTAGCTTTTTTGATTGATCTTGACCTCACAATCAGAGTGGAACAGAATGACTTCTCTGAAGTGTGAGATAAGACTGGTACTAGGGCATTTATGGCTATTGATGTGTTATATGATGAAAAGCATTCCTTCATGCATGATCTTGAGTCATTTTTCTGGGTGCTCTTCTGGATATGCATCCACTATAATGGCACCAGGAAGGGAAGGATTGTTGAGAACTTTGAGGAGTGGAACTATGTTAACACAGAGAAGCTGGCCAATGAGAAAAAAGGGTTATAGCTGATGAAGGGGATTTTCTCAAAATTGCTGAGGAAAATTTCACTCCATACTATCAACCCTTGGGCTCTTGGGTCAACTGATTATGCTGGGTTGTCTTTCCTGATGGTAGGCGGTGGAAAAAATTGAATCCGCATCTCAGTTCAGAGATGATGGACGTCCTTCGGCGTGCACAAAGCGATTCGAAGGTTATAGACCAAGGCTCCTAATGAAGTAATTTTACTTATTGTTTCTCTCACCAGGCCTTTCGGCACCATGCTGTTGATATTGCTCAATTGTCCAAAGTTCGACATTCTCTTCTTTGCGTTATCGGGAGTCGTGGACATATGTGGTGTGCTCAATGTGCTCTGAGTGCGAAGTTGGCGTGGTACGCCTTGAGCCAGGGAAGTACACCCGGTTTATGAGTGATCAAGTGGTCAATGCGCAATTGGACTTTCTCGTTATCTCAGTGCCAGAAGACGCTTTCAATATTCAAAGTCAATCTTCTCGACATCTCGCGGTGATCTCCATACCCATACTGGTCATCTCGGTAGCTACTCTGGCCATTTATTTCTATCGTACGGTCGATTGTTCTAGGTTTCTGGTAAAGGAGGCAACAAAGGCAGGTAGTACACCCCAGGTTTTGCTGCGCAAGAGAGAAAAGGTAAGGACTAGGTATCATCCTCTTCTTTCCCACCGTTTCTGTGGCTTCGGCTCCCCAAAGACCTGCTCCTCCACATCCAGATCGATACCCGTGTCGCCAACTGGGTGATGTCCTCATCATTCTGTGCAAGATCTTCAAACTTCCTTGTTGTAAAAGTTTTGACAATGTGTGACTTGTTAATATCACTTCAAAACCCATCCACCCCAGCCTTTATAAGAACAGGTAACACTCTTTGGGAGTGGGTTATTTCAAAGGAGTTCTATTTTAGCGGAATGCGTGGAGAAGGGTGGGGGGTCGCTCAGCGACCAGCCTGTCAAGTAATTGCAAAGAAAAAGATAATGAGAGGGTTGTAGGCTGGATATATATCTGTATAATCTAGATGTATATGGGTATCTAGATAAAGTAGAAATATAGAAGAGTGGAAGATAGCTGAGAAAGAAGAGTAGGAAGGAAGAGGAGCAGAGAGGAGTATGAGGTGAGGGGGATTTCCCGTACCCTCGCCAGTTTGAGAAGCCAAAGAACGTCCATCGGGTATCCTGGTTGGCAACTTGTGCTGCCAGCATGGCAGAGTTATTCCAAAATGAATATAATATTATCAATCGATAGCCCTTAAGCGACTCTTTTAATTCTGTGCGTCGTCTGCTAGAAGAGGCAGAGCACACCCGCCAAATATCCTCTGATGGCGCTCCCGATGGCCTTGATCAAACACGTCAAGCGACGGTATCTAAGCTCCTCGTCACCCTAATGGGCGAGAAGGCAGCTTTCAACCTTCACCCACGAACCGGCAGCAAAAATGTTGCGTCAGGACTATCAAGATTATTTACACGTGTTCAAGAGGGAGACTTCGTCTATGAAGAATACCACCGAGTAATGCGCCTGATTTTTGAGAAGGCACCAACTGCTGATATCTGGAAGGCCATCTTAATGGGATGATTTCGTTAAACATTAATATTGCTATTGGTGGTGTATATCCAGCTTAGCGTTGCTAGAGGATCAAAACACCGGCTCGCCCCCAGCTGGTTAACTTCTCGGACTAGTTAACCAACCAGTGACGTCCCCGCCCCCTCCTACAATCCACCGACTCACCACTCAACCAACGTCAAACATTCCAGTGTTGACAAGAAAAAATGGCTGAAAAGCGCGCTGTATTTACGGAAAAGGGTGTTCCACCACTCCCTGTTTTGTCCCAAGCCGTTGTTCACAACGGAATGATATACTGTTCGGGTAGCCTCGGCCTTGACCCGGCCACAAAGGAGATGGTATCGGGAGGAGTTGGCCAAAGAACCGTGAGACAGTTACCTCCTCTCACTTGCAAAACATGGGCAGTTAATCGGGATCCTTTAGGCGCAAGCATTACAGAATCTTAAGGTTGTCCTTGAGGCTGGTGGGAGTAGCGTCAAAAACGTCGTGAAAGCCAACGTGTTTTTGACCTCGATGAAAGATTTCGTGGAGATGAACAAGGCCTACGAGTCTTTCTTTGCAGATGGAGTTAAACCAGTATGCGTCATTCCTGAAATCTACAGGCATAATGCTGATGAATCCCTGCTAATTCTGTTTAAAGTGCCGCACCTGCGTAGCAGTGAAGGAACTGCCTTTTGGAACTGATGTTGAGATTGAATGCATTGCATATCTGTAAGTTATGTTGTCATTGTTTCATTGTTCGATGTCTGACACGCAGCATCGCAGGGATAAACCACATTCAAAGCTCTGAAGCCTCTAAATGTACAAACATATATCTTGTATATATGATGTTTCAATCCGAATACCCGTTTTCAATTGGAATAGACCGGAGTTTACAATTCTTGACAGTTTTGGTGCTGTATTCTATCATGGATTCATGCCCAATAACTATGTTAGCAGTAGAAAAATGCTGATTATTTTTTTGTCAATTACCCATGAAATCAATTGTTGTCTATGTGTCAGACCCTCTACAGCAAGGAACTTCAGCCAAGTTAGATCCGCAAAATGCTTTGCCTGGAAAGCATATTCTATCGTGAAGGTGCCCTATTCCTGGTGCGAGAACACCGCGTCCTTGCTGGAAGTCAATTTAACTAATAAGCTATTAGCGACGAGTCCATTTTCGGCCTCCCATAACATCCGCGTGCATGAGATTTAATACCAACATGGACTGGAATAACCCACCACTGTCTATGATGTGAAACACCTTCACCATAGATACTTCTCTTAGTTCTTCCTTAGTTGCGTAACAGATCACTTGATCCAGCAAACCCTACGGATGACTAGTCATTAATCATGGCTCCCCTAGAGCTGCTTGCAGTGACTGTGATAACTCTGGCTTATAAGTTTCACAACTGCCTCTTTCTTTACTCCACAACTTCTTTTCTGTTGTTGTGACTACATTCAATCCCATTGCAGTCTGTACCAAATGTATCGCTCTTTGTTTCGAGGCAAAGCACATTGGTCCCTTGGCCTTTCTCATATAGCCACAATCTACTACATCATGGTCAGGAAATTCCTCTACAATGCCTTCATATTATTTAAAGGTGACATGATGCCTCTATGCTTTCCCACCATGTCACATGCAATGGGCTTATTGGCACAGCAATAGCAACAAGGGTGCCCATTACATGATCAAGTGTCCATGAGTTTTGATACGGGATGAACCGTGGAAATTTTGCACTAAACTTATTCAAGACTTTCAAAGCTTGCATTGTTTACAATTTTGCCTCTCTATATCTCCATATTGGTGTTTCCCACATCGTCTCCCCCCCAAACCCCAAATGCCTGATACCCAGCTTTATTACTCTTTGCATACCCTCAGGCTCAATAGGGTCTTGCATTTATAGCCCATCGTTCATCCCTCATTTTACTCAATGGCTTGGACAATTGACCAGACTGGGTCTGAACATCAAGTACCCTCAAACAAGAAAATGAAGACACAAGCCAAAAGAAAGGTACGGTTCTTTTCCTCGTAATGTTCCTTTCCTAGCTAACAAATAAAAGCAAAAAAAGACTCGAAAGCGAGCAGATAGTGCTCAGAAGTATTCTACCCCAAAATGGGAGGGAAATAATAAACATACTGGATTTATCAATCAGAATGAGATGTCCCATGTGGCACTATATGACATCAATGAAGGCGTCATTGTGGATGAAAACGGGTACTATTGGCATATGGGATATACTGGGTACGGCTTCCAAGATGGAGAGGAAGTCGGCAGCGGCTGCCCCGGACCATGTTGCTGTGCCGACTGCCAGAAATACTATGGATTCTACCCGGCTGTAAGTCTTGACTCATTGCCAACACAGATGGCATCGCTTTCTCACCCCTGCTGACGGTATAGAATCCGCAACCTTGGTATGCATGTTGGCCGCATGAATTCTACGCTCCCGTGTCCAACAACAATGCGTTTATGGTTCCGGTAACAGCTACTGGAGGATCACGTCTTCGCGCTGAAGCACCTGAATTTGTTCCTGCATATCAATCTTTTTCGTCAAACGATAGTGAAGTTGCAATTCAAGTCGATACACTGGGCCGGACGGACGGTACTGCTACTGTAGAGAGAATGACCGAGGAACCGACGCTGAGACGCAACATCACCATTTAATGAATACGGTTGTGCCAGCCGGAAGTGGGCGTAAGTTTGTCTCCTTAAAAGGCACTCCTATTCATAATGATTTTCTTATTTGGGTTTGTTTTTAATTTCCTTGGTTTGTCATAATTTACAACAATTGAGTCCAAAAAATTTGATGATGTTGTCCCTTTTTGATATCAAGCACATGTGTTCCCCCGCTCTTCTATGTTGAATATCTGTTGCTTTCCAAGTTGTTGATGTAGTGAAAAGGAACCTTTTATGTTTCCCTTTTATTGTTTTCCTGCAGTTTTTGTCATTTCCTGGTGAAAATTTTGTAAAATGGTCCCTGAACACAAGCATGAACAAATAACAGCTAGTTACCTGTTGGATTTGAATCTTGGTGCGTGTAAATTCCTGCAAGGTTTGAGCCAAGTTAAGACGCAGCAGGGGATTCAATCCAGTCTTGTGGAGTACTCTGTACGGAGGCATCGAGCATTTCTGGTAAAGACAGGGGCTCAGCAATGTGGTAACGAATACTCCATATAGGACTTTGGTAATCAGTCGAGCGCCGGGCGACCACATCGACTCAGACTCGACTATCAGGAATTTCAGCCTCATTGATGGGTCCAAGGCGCTACGTAGCTCGGGAATGTTTGGCTCAGCGCCTGAGTATGTATTCCCACTTCTCGCTGGCCGTCTCGTCGATGAGACCATCTCAGGGGCTAAGTTGTGGCTGGTTCTCGTTTCAGGGGTCGGAAAGGGGCTGGGTGTAAGACTAATCCCAAGTTGGACTAGCCTCAAATTGGTGTTGCTCGCACTGCATTCCCCATTGGTCTTAGCGCGGTTGTGAGACTGTCCAACGAACGTGCAGAGGGACTGACAAGGATACGGGAGAAAGCGCATGTCGAACGTACTACGGAGTACATGTGTACTTCATGAGGTCGCCAGTCGCTTCGAAATATGAAGCGCACAAACGTCGAGACGTCGGTGGTTGGAGATGGTTCTCTAACATTCCGGAGTACAGGAGCTTCCACCTGCCATTGCCGGAGCAGAGACCGTTGACTGTCGATGCATTTATCTTCTTGCGTCGAAGGACCATTGAAATCAGTGAAACCATCTTATTAACCTGACTTCTGAATTTGTCAGTTTACTTCCATTCCTGTTGGCAATCGGGGAGAGCCATGGTCTACTGTGGGAAGCCGAGCAAGGGTTGTCATCGGTGTAGACGCAGGAAAATCAGAGTAGGTAACTCGATATTCCCAGCCCTGCCGGGACCCCATCGAGTGCTCTTTTAGGCGCTCAACCTTACTTCGCCATACACTAATTGAGCATACAGTGCGATCAAAGCGAGCCCTCTTGTGGTCAATGCCTTCGCGCCAATCACATCTGTCCCGGCTACCGAGACCAGCTGGATCTTTTATTCCGAGATGAGACCCCAAAAGTAACAAGGAAGGCTCGCACGACCTCGAAGCATGCGGCTTTAGGCCGATTTCAAAGCTCAGTGGCAGATCAATCGTCCGCCATTGTGGAGATTTCCCGGCCCGAACAAGTTCCGCCGATACCCGCAAGGCCATATCAAATGACGAACGGCACTGACCCATTTTCATCACGACCACTTTCTCTAGACCTAAAACATCAGGCGCTCTGCTTCTTTGCATCCAGCTATGCACCTCCTCCTCGCAGTTTTGAGACAGATTATTTAGGCTATACGCCTTTGGGACAAAATGTAATTGACAATGAAACTCTCACCATTTGCATGACAGCAGTCGGTCTGGCCTCACTATCCAACATCACCAAATCACGATCAATGCGGCTTGCCGCCCAGGAACAGTATGTACATGCTTTGGCATTAATACACGGCAGGCTACAGAACCAAGAGCATGCGAGATCAATTGTAACCCTCGATGCTGTTATGCTCCTGGGGATGTTTGAGGTAGCCAATACTCCAATTTTCCCGGAAATGGTATTCTGATGGCCATATAGGTGATAGCATGTCGTGGCGCACGATCCCTGCACACTTGGAGAAATCACATGAGTGGAGCAATTGCTTTACTCAAACTCCGCCTGGAAGATCTACCGAATTTTCGAGCATTTATCCAAGTCCGCGCCCAGATTGTAAGTTGATAACCAGGAGAGCTTTAACGGTCAATCCCCTTCCACCCGACTTGCTGTTTCTATTTTCGCCACTACTTTAGCTACCGACGATCCCCTTGTCAAAACCTCACACGTCTGGTAGAGATTTCAACTAACAAATAACTTTAGATTTCCGGTTGCCTTTTATCTGAGACTTATTGCCCTCCTTTGGTTGGAAACCTATTTGAAAATGATCGTCCCAGCATACCCAGTGCCCAAATTATTACGGAGAAACTGACGGGTCTCTTGGCAAAGGTCGCCAATTTGCGCGCTTCCATAAAGGAAGGAGTAGTTTCCTCCCAGTTCGAGATTCTTAGCATGGCTTTGGGCTTAAGAGACCGTCTTCTTTCCTTTGCACAATCGCTGGAGAAGGTTTATCCATTCCACAAGGCTGGGGATCAAGACAGACAATGTGCATTTCTTTCTCCCGAGTTTGTTTATGGAATTCATTTTGACGTATACCCCGACTTTTATGCCGCGAGCATATGGAATGGCTACAGAGCCGGCCGCATTACACTCAGTGCCGCAATCTCAAAGTATTTCTCACAGCTCAACAAGACTTCTTTGCACCACCCAGGCTGGGACGAAATTAAAGCAAAGGTCGGAAATGATATACGCGAAATACAGCAACTCGCGAGGGATATTTGCGCCAGTGTCCCATTCACATTGGGGATGATACACTGGGATTCAAATACGGTTTCCGTTAAGTCTACTAGCACCAATGCACTGGGTGGCTTTTACATGCTGTGGCCACTATACCTTGCGGCTGAGGCGACTGATACAATGCCCGAAATTCAAGCTTGGGCTGCTCGTCAACTCGAATATATCGGACATTCTCTAGGGATTAATCAGGCGTTGTGGATGGCAAGCATAATTAAAGAGAAATCCGCTATAGACGAGGTGTTGGCTTCCGAATCTTTAGCGGATTCGGACTTGTGAGGCCAAGCCCCCAAAATCTTGACGCCGGTCTTGCACATAGGTGCAATTGCATTACGGTCTATGTTCATTAGATTTCTAAGGTATAAACTCCGAGGTATCCAAGCATAGGGAACTAGACAATCAAATGTATCTACGGGAACTTTGGAGAAATATGAGGGTCTCTACATCTTCGAATTATGAGGAATATGACGCGACTTGGCTTATATGAAGCGGCAGGCTGGATCTAGGTCATAGAATATGAACTGCTAGATAGGCTATGAATCTAGGTGGAACTAGTAATATCGCTCAGTCTTAACGAAGACACGCTGAGGCAGTGGTGTTTACAAGGGTGGCCTCATAAGTTGATAGAAGCTGATGCAGAGTCATGCCTTATCGACAGAACCCGTTCGGTTTAATCTAGTGATATACTAGAATCTTGCTGAATACAATCCCAAAAGCATATGGGTGACAAGAAAATTGCATCTAGAAGGTGATCTTACAGGAGCGATAGCACATAATAACATCAGCCGTATAACTATGAGAGGCCCCTTTTACTATATAGTCGCCATTCTTCTTGTGTTGGGGATAGTTGCACTCACCCCCTAGGATATTGGCCCAGGTGGTCTACTATCTTGCTAGCATTGCTCTATACAACAACCAATATCCTAAGACTGGTCCTAGACTCTACTTTCCGATCACCGTTCGCGAGAACCATGGCGGGCGATGGGCATAGGCTTTCATCAGACTGTGTTTCTGCTCCCGTTGCTAAGATAGCATGGCCAGATAGCTGTGAAACAGCTCCATATGACAACGCAACCGCCAAACGCTTCAATAAGCATCTTACAACGTATTTGACAGCGGAGGAGCTGAGATAAAACATTCTCTGTGTCGGGATGAGGTGGTGGGAATGCCAGAGCTTTTTTTTTGAGGGAGTGCGGGCATAGGTAGCATGCAACAGGGCCCTTCTTTTGATCCATTTTGAAACAGACGTTGGCATCGGAGTTGGGAAAAATCCAACTTGTGCGTTTGAGTCAGGGAAACAACAGCCTTAACAAACCCGGTCAGGGAATACACCGTCTGTTGATGATAAGATAGGCTTTTCCTTGGCCCGACCAAGCATCTCGGTTGTCCCAAGGGTTTAACCGGGCCCAAGCAAGTTCACCCCGGAAAGAAAAGCCAATAAGCTTCCCATTGATTATTCGGGCTCTATAATTCTTCAGACATGGTTGGGGCCGATATGCAGCAGGATATAAAGATATGCGTATAGGACAGGTGATTATGAATCAACAGATTCGTCATAATCTGGCATTGAATAAGATATTCACAAGCGACAGCACCTTACTGCGGTTCTGAGAAAATTCGGCGGGTCGAAATTAGCCTGAGCTGCATGTCGCCGCAGTGACAAAAGATTGTGTCGATAGCAATGGCAAAGCAGCGCCCCCTCCCTCCCCTAAATGGCGACTTTTTACCCGCTTTGGAACCTGGATCGAAGAAGGCCGGTGACAGGTGCATGCAGGCGAAGAATCAAGTGCCAGAGTGTTCTGTGGTGCCATGTTTGCTGGCAGTTCCAATTCGAGGAGTGAAGGAGGCTTGGAGTGGCGGTGCAAGCGAGACACTAGTTCACACCGCGAAAGCCCACCTGCAACCAGTGCAACGGTCGCATCCCAACGGCGTTAATGGATGGATGGCAAACAGACGGTCTCGCGGCAGGACAGCCAGATGCGATGCACGACCCATAAAAGCCTGTTTGCCGTCTGTAACTTGGTCCCCTGAAAATCGTTTGCCACCCGAGTTATCGATTCTGCCCTGGTAAAGCATCCAGATAATGTCAGCTCCGATACGGGTGACGAACACCTTCGTTATCTGCCTTGACTCTTTGAGCGACGGAGCTTGGAAAACCAAGCCATTATATAAATATAACTATTTAATGAATGAAGCAATGGTTGGAGTAATTATTACTTCTTTCAATTCTCTTAGAGAAGCATCCTCTGCTCACTTGGGTTTACCAACATTTTTCTTGCCTGCATATTTGCTTGGCACACTCAGCCGCCAACACTCTTCAACTCAAACCTCCCTGTTGTTTAACCGCCGCGACTTGATCCTTTAGGATATATTTTCTGATACCACTTTGACCACCGGCTTCTAAGTTGTCTGCAAGCGCAAGTCGCTGAAATGGGCATGTTCAGCTCTTCCAAGTCGAAACAATCGGGCCTGCGTCCGGACTCGATCTTTTCACGCGGATTGTCGCGTCGGAGTCGTAGTCGCAGTCCCGGAGAGGGCTCCCAGCAGTTTCCTCGAGACCCTCGGCAATGTTCGAATGCTACCTTAGAATATCCTCTAGAAGATCCCCCAGCTTATTCTCCTCATGCTGAAACACCTATGCCTGCTGCTGCCCTGGGTTCTGATTCACCTTATGCATTTCTAACGCAATTCGACACAGTTTTTCTCATCGACGATAGCGGAAGCATGGCTGGACGTAGCTGGAGGGAAACTGAAGCCGCGTTGGTTGCCATTGCGCCGATCTGCACCGACCACGACGCTGACGGTGTTGATATCTATTTCTTAAATCATACCAATCCGCGCTCTTCTCCGGGCACAGGCGCGTACCATGATGTTACTTCGCCCGTTGATGTCCGTGAGATATTCACCGCCGTGGCCCCGAGAGGCGCAACTCCAACTGGGAGAAAACTGGGACGTATTCTGAAGCCGTACCTTGAGAGGCTGGAGCACTTAGTCAAACTTCACCCTTCTGCCAGCTCGGATACGCTGGTTCGGCCGCTCAACATCATTGTCATCACCGACGGCGTCCCGACTGACGACGTGGAAAGCGTTGTTGTGAGTGCGGCACGGAGATTGGACCAGTTGAATGCCCAAGCATGGCAAGTTGGGATCCAGTTTTTCCAGGTTGGGAATGAGCCCGATGCTGCCGAGGATCTGCGTGAACTCGACGACGCCCTTGCAGGCGAACGGGGTATCCGGGACATGGTGGATACGGTGCCATGGTCCCCACAGAACGGCGGGACACTTACCGCAGATGGTATCCTGAAGGTGGTACTCGGCGCTGTGCACAGGAAATATGATCGTAGGAACGCTGCGGGAAGGAGAACGTAGAAACCAGCAGTTCTTGAAAATTGGTGGATGCTTTGTTACCGGTGATCCGGTGGAGCACGGAGTAATGGAGACCAGAGGATGGATTGCGGGCAGTGTAGTTTCGTATGCCGCTCCGCTTTTGTTTCTATTTGATTGGCAAAGCCCATGCCGTATGCCGTTGTTAAATATACATAATTCGACTCCTGAGCACATCTGGATGGCGCCACCTCCTGTTCATCTGCATATGGGGGCTCTGTTTCTTTGAAATTAAGGGTTGGTTTTTTTTTTTTTTTTTTTTTTTTTTTTTAATATCGATTGCACAAACATGTATGTCAATTCCTTCTCTCCACTTGCGGCCTTCGTTCCATGCAAAGTGTGTAACTGCTCCGTCTCTATAACCATATATGTACTCCATACAAAGTATGTGCAGTACATACGGAGTACATACATCCATATAATATATGGGGCTTTAGTACTACATACTCCATACATTCAGATGAGATGGCAACGGCGAAGGCACCACTTTCTGGCCATCGCAATGCTATGTTTTAATTAGACAGTCAGAGCTCGAATTACTTTTGACTTCGGCTCGGAGGTCGCCATGAATTTCTCCGATTGGCCAGATGCACTCGATTGCAGAGTGGACCTGCTTACCCGTTTGAGCAGCTGAGCTGCACCTTTCTGCCTTGTGATTGGCCTATCTAGCTGAATCAGCACTAATTTTTAATCGAGTCTGGCCAATCGAAATTCGGGAACGCCTCCATTGGCGCTGCGCGGAGCCGCCCCGGAGCACGTGCACGCAAGCAGGCAAGCCTTCCAACTGGCCGCACCGGGCAACCTCAGGCTCGAGGCCATTCGTGGACTAAAAGTTAGCGGACAGCAAAAACAGGTTTGCGCTGCCCAAGCTCGACGTTGCCTAGGTTGCTGGGGCTTTATTTTTGGCGCCATGGTGTTTTCCTCTCAAACTCGAACCTGGGATCTCTTCCACCCTGGGGGAGGTTGTGCTGCTTACTCTCCGTTTCAACAGCCGCTCGTGACGTTTCAAGCAGAGCTTCGCCCTCCGTCCGGAAATTATGGTACTTTGACGGAGGAATTGACTCCAGTAAACGTGTTGCCTTGGCTCTGAGCACAAGGGCCTCAAGTTACGCCGTACTCCGTCCCTGGTGCCGAGATATTCTCCCAAGCGCCGGTCGTTGCTCCCGAGATCGCATCGTTGATCCATCTTCCTCCCGAGCCCCACAGCGTGTGGAATGGGTTGCCTCTCTCAGGAACCTGAAGCAGATTTCATCCCTACTTTGAAACACTCCAAGCTGTCTTTGACGATAAAAATAACAATCGAAAGCTCGTTCAGCACTCCTTGCCCTGTTCCACTATAATAATATAACCAGCTTGGCCCTGAATGATGCTCTGGGTTGAAAGAGCTTGAAGCGTCCTTGAAGCGTCATTGTTGAAACTTGACTCGTTCCTTTTTCTTTCTTTTTGTTTTGCCTTTCTTTCTTTTTTTTTATTGTGCCGTGCTCCGTACAATCTTTCATGCTGGTTCTATCATTGTTATTGTAGCGTTCGTGCAGTTTCTGTGACTAAAGTACGGAGTATATAGCATTTTTTCGGAGTTCTTCCCAGTTTCTTGGAGTTCATTCGCCTGGCTGGATCCGGTCACATTAATTCGTTTAATATACCCACCTAATCGCCAGAATGGTTTCGGCATCTGCAACAACCCTAATAACATTTATGCTGTGAGCTTGTCTTCCCTCTGTGCGATTCAGAGTCTCGCTGACCGTCGGTGTGATTTGTGCAGCCGAACCCCGCCGAATACAAGTTCGGTGAAGCTACTTGGGTCGTGGGACAATTTCTCGAAAGAGTACACCATGGAAAGGGACACAAGAATCGGAGCGGACCATTGGAGAGGATGCCACGTATTCACAAATATAATCTGCGATGGTAATCTCACTGCTACACAGCCGGGTCGTGACGGTGGGCTGAAGATGGGCGGCACATATTGGTACTACGTATGTAAAACTCCTTTTTGCGTTTGCATGATTTTATGTCAATTTATCTGACTTGGGGCTTTTCTTCGACCCAGTATCGTCTTGACAACGATGTTGATTACTATGATGAAGCTGAGCCGTGGACCACTTCCTGTCCGCTTCTTCCTGGCCAACCAATCAATGTCCTGAATGTCCCAATCCATCTCCCTTCGATCGACACCCGACGGCATAAACGTGAGACCAGCATGGCATCGCAGCGCTCAATTCCCCAGACGATGAACCCCGATGACAAATATCTTAACCCCAGGCCTCCACCGCGACCAAAGCTTCCTCGTCTCCTTACATCCACGGGGGCCACTCGTATTCGTGACGCATTGACTTCACCTATATTAGCTTCACCTCAGCATCCAGTTCACGGGAGGAGTGCATCACACCCGCGAGAGCTTGCAGAACGTCGAAGGTTACGGGTTCCTGCAAAATTGAACCTGGATATGAGTCCCTCATCCGAATCTTCGACAAGGAGTAATGCTCTTCGGACTGCTCTTTGGAACTTTAAACCCCCTCGCTCAGGTGGAAAGGATGAAGACAATGGTAAACCGTGGCACATGAATGAATCAGAGAGCAATCGAGGTAATAGGGTCGACTATTCCAGAGGGAGGAGCCCTCGAGGCAATGCGTCATCCCCTTCGCATAACTGGCCGGCAGCTGCGCGTTCAGCGCAAAACCTGAACGTCCCAGCCGAAAGGTACGGGGAGAGGAGGGCTGTCTCGCCCTGCGGAAGCGAACTCAAATCTCGAAGAAATCGATCCCCCTTAAGAGCCCCAGTCAGGTTTGACAAAAGCCCTCTAGCCGCAATTCCATCTCGTGGCATTAGTCCGGACCGAGGAGATTCCAGAGCGTCCAGAGAAGAGCTTGACCCAGATGATCCGCCATCGTTGGTCGTGCCTTGCAAACTGGACATCGGAAGCACTGTAAATCTGAATGAGAAGCGGCTGCCTACACTTCCGAACAGTCCGTCGTCGGTCCTCGATGAAGAGCTACATAGAATAGGTGCCTTCCGATCCCCTATGCTCGATATGGAAGCCTTGCAAAGCCACTTTTCGGCATCTACTGCCGCATCTCCGGATACATCACCCGACTCCTTCCTACATCCTAATGTCAGTCACTTCTCGGAATGCAGCACCGACACCGACGCTGTATCGCCGAGTTCAATGACTTCCAGTTCGACGTTTTATAATGATAGCTCTCTGTCTTCTAACCAGAGCGTTGGGACCAGCGAGGCTTCAGAGCCTCCGCTCACTGACAAAACTCTCCCAAATTTTGCCGGTTTACGTATCACCGACGATTTTAACCTGTCTTTACCTCGTATCTGCAAAAACGACATTCCATCGTCTCCCACCCCCGTCGCAGAAGAGTCTTTACCTAATTTTCGGGTCTCGGGGCTGCATATTACTAAGAAGCCACAAACTGCGTATGGTCCGGTCTCAGACTTGAAAGCACATTCTCACGATCGACAGGTGCTGGACTCTGGGCTTCCAACACCGCGAGCTAGTGGAATGCAGTTAAAACCGGAGGTGGAAGCAGGCGGTGCCCGACTTCCTTCACTCCATGTGCAGACCATGATGCAAGAACTGATGGACGAGTTGAGCTATTTAGGAAATATGATCAATGTTAATGGGAAAGGCAGACATTGATTCGTTTGAAGTATATACAGTGAGGTTGTATAGAACCTGAAGCTGCTGTCTTGGCACGTCTTGTAGCTTGATATCTTGTCTTTTGTCTCGGGCTTTGGATATAGGTACATGTTTTTGATATATAGGTGTCTGTGATGCTGTTCAAGTAGCATTTATATGCTCTTGTAATTATAGGCGTCGCGCATAGAGAGCATTTAGCAGGAAAATTTAATCATAATTTAACAACAAGCATGTCGTGTTTGTCGTTTACACCGTGAACCAGAGTAGGGGAGGTGGAGTTAAGTACACACGCTGAGAGCTGGGTGTGGGTTGTTATCGATAAGATCGTGTAAGGTTGAAGCTTAAGCTCAACTTCCCCCGGTCAATGCTTCATGCAGACTGAACCCGTGTACGAAGTACTCCGCGACGACTAAATATCCTCTAATGTTCAACTCTTGAATTAATTTAATTATAGAAACTCAGATTCATGACCTTCAATTTGGCACCCTCAAAACTACCCATCCCATGCAGGCACCCGAAGACGACACTTGGATATCAAGGCAAGAAAATGAAGATGCTGAGGAAGAAACGAAGCCCGCCCAGCTTGCTTCGGTGTCGGAGAAGCAGTTAACCGCAAAGTGCAAGCCAGATATCTTGACGTACTGCCCTACTATGGACTTGGTCGCGCTTGCGACGGAAGATGAGCAGGTTCATGTTTTCCGGCTGAATGGGCAGAAGGTGTTTGGCGGGTTTGCGCGTGGCGGAGGGGAGGGACTGAAAGTGAAGGCGCTGAAGTGGAAAGCCAATGGTGAGGGCTCTTTCGAAGTTCAATTTGTTTGATTGTGTGGATTTTGGTTTCATATTCAAACACGCAAAGTTTCTTTTGGGTTTCTCGCTTCTGACTCGTGTTGTACAGGTCATCTTCTCGCTGTGGGCACTTCGGATAATAATGTCCGTATTTTAAGTGCGTACAGCGGAAAGACCGTGCATGTTCTGGCGTGCAAGCCGGCTCCGGCATATGGTCCGGGAGTTTCCCCGCGGGACCCGGGCTCCAAGTTGTCGGCCTCGATTTGCTGCTTGGGTTGGGGGGTAAACCTGACGGATAGCAAAACGGCTGCAAGGACTGTGGAAGACTCCCAGGGGCGGGTTACAGTTGAAGATATGCTTGCCCCTGAGACACCGTTATCGAAGATTCCATACATCAAGGCTGATCTACCGCGTGAGTTGGCTTTGTTGGATATAGATCGCTCTCTACCGAAATTGAGCACGTTACCCTCCACGGGGGATGAGTAAGTATATAGTTTAGTTTACTTTGCCCTTATCCAAGCGTAGAATTGATAGGTATTGATATAGAATTAACGATTTGCTAGTGATGATATATTCAGCTCTCGGGCGTCGATTGATTCGGTATTTCATTCGGGCAATAAGAACTCCGACTCTGTTGATGTCTTACTTGTAGGATTCAACGATGGCACTATTCATATACGGATATTCGATTCATTTGAAATAGGCTCTATAAATGTTCGAAAGTCATTTGATAACTCTGCGGATGCACGCGCCCTCGTTCATGCATCCCACCCAATGAGCTCGACACATGCTTTTCTGTTTGCCACCAATCCCCGAGAAAGCGAGCGCCTATGGATCTTTTCCTTGGATCTTCTATTTATCACTAAGTCCGGAAGATATCTCTCTGTGCTGGCCTCTAAAGTGACACAGTTACAGAACCTTCTACGGTATATTAAGCAAGTGCAGACACAAATTCATTTAGAGTGGAAGAATGCCCAAGATTTACCGGGGCGATATCTCAGGAACATAAATGAAGACTTGCAGGAAAAGCTAATGTGCGATTTTGTCACTGCTGCTTACCATTTGGCTGTCACTGGCGACTGCTTCGAGCCTCTTAAGGAATTTCTGGTGGATCAAGTAGGCGAAAGGGTATGGGGACTTGAATGCTTTTTGTATTGATATAGTTATTTCCTGAGCTGACAAATTATTATCAGGGTCATAAACGATGGGAAAAGGCAGTTCTTGGTGGGTACGAAACGACCAGACGCTTGATTCATGAGTGCCTTCTACCAGCGCTAGAGAGGTGCAGTGTTCTCCTTAGCCGCTTGATAGGGCTGTCGAAGTTCCACAAGCTGAGCCCAGTACTGGGCCTGGATACGACAGATCTCAAAGAATGTCTCGCCACAATTGATTGCCTCACGCTCCTAGGACATAAAGTCATGGTAAACAGCGGACACGAACTTGTTCAATTCTTCGCGTTTTCTCGGTGGTTGCGATATGAGATCGACCTTCAGGGCGCGGATCCTCTATCTTCCACTGCGGAAGAACTAATGGAAAAAGCGGATGCAATTGACCATGCGCAAACCTTGAGTTATATCCAAGGGGCTTTGACGCGAAGTGCTTTACTCGATTTTATTCAACCAAGGACACCAGAACCGGGCAATAATCGATGGAGAAGTGTTGATGAAGGTGGTGTGTTCTATGAGATTTACAAGAAGATATTACAGAAGCTGGACAAGCGGAAGGCCGGAGAGGTCGTGGAGGCCCCGATGCTGAGTGACCTTACCGACCGGCTAAGCGTCCAGTTCGAAAGGGTATTCAGGCGCATCGCCGAAACACAACGAAGGAGCATTTTAGAAAGAAGTATCCTGAGTTTGGGCAAAGACTTCGGCCAAGAAACTGTCGACATGACGATGAATTATTGGGTACGTGTGAAGACCGCTCGAACACTCGTTTGGCAAGTGGTTAGGATTCTAACAAGGTTACAAGAATGACGAAGGCACACCCGCGGTTTCAGTTTTCGCAGCAGCGAGATCTAAAACATGCCCTTTCATACGTGAGTACTCCCACAGGCTCTATCCTTATTCCCAGGCCGCTGACGGTATCTTTTAGTCTACCTCGAGCGTGCTGTTCTCACCACTATCAATGGGGTGAGCTCGACAGAGACTCTTCTTACGGCGACGATCAGTCTCCGACAAGGCACTATCATGGATGTTAAGTTTGTTGAAGACGGAACGATCATGCTCCTCTGGTCCGATGGAAGTAAGTCCGACCCATGTCTTTGACCGGTTTCGTTTACTAACCCAGTCACCAGATATACCAGGGGCAAAGTACCTCATTCATTTTCCATACCAACCTGATAAGGATCCTTTATTCTCACCCAAATATGTAAAGGATGGCCACTCTGATCAACCGCCGCCATCGGATCAAATCACTCACCTCGACATATTTGATCCTCGATCGCACCACGTGACCTTTGTGCGGCATACATTTCCACAAGATAAAAATAGGGACCCGCTGCGCATAGAAGTAAACGGCCGCCCGGGCAGGAGAGTTGTTTGCGCTCTGTACTCGGACAGACAGTGGTATTCTGTCTTTGACATCGACAGCATGGACGATAGAGATGATGAAGAAAAAGACGCCAGTGGAGAAGAAGAAATGGGAGAGAACTTCGATGAGCAGGCGGATGAACAGAGAGATGATATTATGTCCGGATGATCACTTCCACATAGCTACGATAGAAAAAGGCCCCTCTATGACACATCCAAGCTGTCGCGAGTGTTTCAGCATTTTCTAACGGCCATGAGAATCAGAATACGCTTGTCCTTACGCTGGCCAAGCTCCCATGTAATCCAAACTCTGGCGATACGTTTAGATCATTGGCCTGATCTTCATATCGTACGCCAGTAAGGTGACCAAACTGCTCCTAGATCCGAAAGCTTCAAGGTTGATACTCCTTTGTCTGGTGTAGTCTTTGGCAACCCTACGTATCGAAATTTTTTCTTTTTTTTTTGAACGGAGAGATCTGGAGAAGGAGATGAAGATGATTGAGTAACTAAATGACGGTCGTGGGAGGACTGGCAACTTGCCCCTGGAGGGAGAGTGATGATTAGATGGGAGACGGGGAGCTCCGTCAGACTCGCGGGGGAGGGCTGCAAGACTTGGCAGGCAACTGCTGTGACACAAAGCCGTGGGCACAGTCCTTTTGCTAGGGACACCCCCATGCAACTGTTGCCTGCACTCGCGCCCTGGTCAAAGGGATATTTCCACTAGAGCTTAGGTCTTAGGTGCAGGGTTTCTAAGGATGTAATCTACTGCTCGTCGCGGCCCCCCAAACGCTCGTATGATGCAGATTCTAGAAGAGGCCTTCAGCCATCTGGTTCTTTTCCCAGCCCTTTGATAGGTTCGCCTGCGTGGAGTTAAGCACCGCGGGGGAGCAAGTTTTGCATGCGCCAGGCCGGATCGAGTCTAGGTGCCGTGTGCGCAGGAAGCGGTGCGTGGGCATAGGCGCTCCTGGTGACTGACGGCGCTGAAGGGCGAAAGGGCGGTTGATCTGGCCCACTTTTTCGCTATCTGCTTGTTTACTCTTTTCCAACAACCACCTCTTGAGGCTGCTCTCCCAGACAGATCACCTCAAAAAGCCACTAGAACTTCACTGTTTTATCATTTTATCTTCGACCCTTTCTTTTTTCCCACTTCCTTCTTCTCTCTTAGTTTGACTTCTGGTATGTTGTGGAATCCTTAATCGTGCGGAACACGGCCGTATAAAAAACAGGGTTTCTGAGTCTCTTCCTCGCCTTTTATTGCAGGTTGAAAAAAAAAAAAAAAAAAGGCACATCTAAGTTCTGAGGACCAGCCATGGATGTCAATCAGGTGCTGGCTGGCACCCTTTCACCAGGTATGCTATGTCCTCCCCTCCGATTGAGTCTTTCAAGAAATTATGCCGATCGACTAACCCGGCGCTTCGCCCTTCAGATGCCGCAACTCGTCAAAACGCTGAACAACAGTTGCTACATGCTGCTGAAGTCGACTTCGTACGTCTCTCTCTCCATTTCTCCCCAATCGTGGTCGGATACAGTTGTATTTTGGGCCTCCCGCGCCTATATCTGGTGTCTGTCGCCTACTTGGCTAACTTAAATCCACTTTTTTGCTTTTTTTGATCGATAGGCTGGATACCTCACTACCCTAGCAGGTGAACTTGCAAATGAATCTGCGGCTCCCGCTATCAGAACAGCGGCTGGTATAGCGCTGAAAAACTCCTTTTCATATCGCGATCTCGCCAGATTGAGAGAAGTTCAAGGGAGATGGGTTCACCAGGTTAATCCACAGGTTAAAAGCGGGGTGAAGGACCTAGCTTTGAAGACTTTGGCCTCCCCTGATTCACGAGCCGGACAGTCCGCTGGTCAATTTATTGCTTCTATTGCGGCGATCGAACTTCCC